TCTGGACACAACAATTATGAATATCTGTTCCAAAAATATCTAGTAGCTAAAAATAGTTCTGAAAACGATTATTCAAATATCTATCTAACAAAATTGTAATTTACTAAAATTTACAAGTCCAGGAATGACCCCCACTATGGCTGATCACAAAATTTATCTACAAAATTATGACATCACAATGGATTGTATGAATATCTCATCTAGATATATTATATATAAATTCCTTTTAGAAAGAGGAGTAGAAAAGAAAGATGTTGTAGATGATTTACGCAAGTCTGGCTCTAACTGTATTAGCTGGTTTACAAAGAATGGAGATGTTAGAGTTAAGAACAAAATTTACAACAAGTTTATTCAGCTTCTTGAGAGTGGTGAAGTTCGTAATCCTCTTAACTCAAAACTTTCTGAATTTGTAATGCCAACTTTGCACAACTTTGGAGAAACATTGTATGCTTGCAGAAACTCTGGCTTGACTAGGATAGAACTAACTGTACATTCTTCTCAGATGCAAACATTTGAATGGAATAGCAGCTTGCTTCTTAACATAGTTCAGTTCATGAATGAATGCAGAACATTTGCAACTTCTTATGAAAAGCAGTGGATGGCACTTGTTGATAAAGTTAGTAGTTGTTATACAGTTTGTATTTATGTATGACAACAGCATACTCTAGCATATTGTCATTGGTTTAACTCTATCACATCAAAGATGCAAGGAATTATTAAGAAGCTAAACAAGGGAGATCAGTCAGAATTGGTTAGTTATTTAATAATGATTAATATTTTTAATATTTTCTTGTTCAGATGCCAAATATGGTGCTTCTCCGAAACCCCCTTCGGCATCCTGAAAAATTTCAGTTGATTTCTCGGGATGCAGCCTCTATCTCAGTAGAAGCATATTAATTATGTATCAACTGAAATTTTTCAGGATGCCGAAGGGGGTTTCGGAGAAGCACCATATTTGGCATCTGAACAAGAAACTAATAAAAATATTAATAATTATTAAATAGCTAACCATTTCTGACTGATCTCCACTTAGATGTGCATACCAGAGTATTGAGCCTGCTGTTGTCAGATCTATGGTACTGTGGAATATGCACTAGTAGTAGCAAGTCAACATATGTATATCTTATCATGTGGTGATAGCAGCCGACTACGACCAGCATGGGAGTTCCTCTCTATGCTACATTGTGCTTGAGCAATGCGTGATACTGTGGATTGAGAGACTCCTATGTCAAATGCAATTTGCTAAGTTGATAAGGGTTTTGCTAAAAAGATATTGGACATGTTTTTTTGTGTTGATTGTAGCTTTTTGGGCATAGCTAGAAAAGGAATGAGATATGGATGTGGAAGAGAGATTGCTGTTGTATTGATGGCTGAAATTTTGAATTTTTCCATTGATGTTTTGGGCATAAAACTAGTCGTTGAAAGTAGGAAAGGACAAAAATGAGCACTACCAAAAACTACTGCTTTTTCAAAAGATAGCAATTTCTAGGGAGTGGGACATTCTAGGAACATAAGTCTTAAACAATACTCATCATTGTAAGCAAGTGGTATGCACACCCCACTATCAAGGGTATCGCATTACTGCTTTTTCCAAAATCGGACATTTTCAGAAGATATAATTTTTGTGACTCAATTTTGCCGCTCAGTGTATCTATTTTTTAAATAACGTCAATTTCTCGATTATATTAAGAGCTATACACTGAGCGGCAAAATTGAGTCACAAAAATAAAAATCATCAAAAATCTTAAATAATTTCTTAGAACGATGCTCGTTGAATATAATAAAAATAATTCATGGTGTATGCCATGCACTAATCTATTTCATGCAGTTGCATGCTTATTGCTCTTGAAATATATGAGAAATTGAGTATTTAAAATTAAAAATTTTAGACTCAATTTTGCTCACAAAATTCGTCGATTTTTTTCTCAATAACTAGTATAGCCACCATAGGTTTTTTTGACTGCAGCAATACGCACAGGCATCGAGTTCACTAGCCATAAACAAATGGTTTCATTTATTTACCTATTTATAATTTCCTAGGCCAATGCCACATAGGTGCCAAAAACGATGACCTCTGGTCTTTATCAGATCATGCTTATAATGAAGCCCTATATGTGAGTAGTGCATCGTATCTAGGGGACTACACTGATCATCATACAGTAGAAACAGTATACATATCTAACCAACTTGTAGCCCAAATTGCCATTTATGTGATAATGACTTCTTTAGACATAATCTTTGCACCCTCCTACTGGTTATCATAGGTATGTAATCAAGGTATATTTTATATCATCATATACACACTGGTCAGTGTGTCACATCCCCCTCAACTAGGGAAGCAATGGCCATAGCTGTATAGAGATACACTACTCTAAACTAAGAATATACTTTTTCTGATTATCTTAGAATCTAGGTTTCTTCCTAATATTCACAGAATAGAGTATATTCATTAAGATATTTCAATCTCACTGTTACCTATAGTACATGTATTTTGTATAGTAAGTACATCTGATTTGATCTATTGAATATTTGATCAGAAGGAGCTGCTTAAAGAGGGATTAAGAAAATTGCAAAATATATGATTCATACTAAATTGCTTATCATTAGGCACAGAGGTTACATATAGACATCTCATAGTATAGAGCAGATAGCCACAGTAGTAACCTCTCTACTTATCTATATACTGATACTATAAAAAAATCATGTCATCGAATTACGTTGCTTCAAAGGTGAGCTGATGTGTAGTTGTACATCATTTATAGTTGATAATTCCTTCAGTGAACTAGCTATCAAACTCATTTCTCTTCAGCGTTGAACACTAGCCATGTGAGTATCAACTATGCATTCAGCATCCATAAGAGTGATGGCAGCGCTAAAGCGTTGATCATTTCCTTCAAAATTTTTCTTCGCATATTGAATATATGATAGTACCATGCGTAGTTGAGCAACGTTGTGGACGAGATATTATTATTGAAGAGCGAGTGCAACAGAGTTATGGGTAGTGATTTCACATTATTTGAAAAATGATATGGTATTGAAATAGCATTACGAAGGCAAAGTGAGTCAAATTTTTGCCTCTCCAATTTTTAGAGTTATTTACTATTGCTTCGTTATCATGCGAGGTACAATGTTTAGAGAACATTTGACTACATACTTTTATACTATGTCAAGCCCCATCGAACATATATCAAATGGAAGTATCTATGTTATCTGATGACGAAGATATAGCATCAAAAAGTTGAAAAAAAATTTTGTGACTCAATTTTGCCGCTCAGTGTAGGCATACAACTATACGAAATAGATTAGTGCACGGCATACACCACAAATTAATTTTGTCAAGAGCAACGCATATCCCTATGAGAAATTATTAAAGATTTCTGATAATATTCATTTTTGTGACTCAATTTTGCTGCTCAGTGTATGGTTTGGATATTGGCATGGTAGTGTGGGAATGGATTGGTACTCCAATGTTAACAAATACACTAAGCGGCAAAATTGAGTCACAAAAATTTTTTTCAACTTTTTGATGCTATATCTTCATCATCAGATAACGTAGATACTTCTATTCATTATATGTTGGATGGGGCTTAACATAGTATAAACGTATGAAGTTAAATGTTCTCTAAATATCGTACTTCGTATGATATTGATACAAGAGTAAAAAACTAGAAAAATTTGAGAGGGAAAATTTTGACTAACTTTGGCTTCATAGTGTTATTTCTATACCTTATCATTTTTTGAATGATGTGAAATTTCTGCCCATAACTCTGCTGCTCTCCCTCTTCTATATAAATACCTCATTCACAATGTTGCTCAACTACGCATGGTACTATCATGTATTCAATATGAGATGAAAAAATATATAGGAATTGATCAATGCTTCAGCGCTACCCTCACTCTTATAGATGTTGAATGCATGATTGATATTCACGTGACTAGTATTCAACGCTGAAGAGAAATGAGATTGATAGCTAGTTCACTGAACGAGTAATCAACTATAAATGATGTGCAACTACACTTATGCTCTCCTTTGAAGCAATGTATTTCTATAGCATGATTTTTTATAGTATCAGTATATAGATAGGTAGAGAGGTTACTACGGTAGTTATCCACTCTATACTATGAGATATCTATATGTAACCTCTGTGCCTAATGATAAGCCATTGAATCTGAATCACAAATTTTGAAACTTTCTTAATCCTTCTTTAAGCAGCGATTTCTGATCAAATACACAATAAATCAAATCAAATATACTTGCTATACAAAGTACATGCCCTACTGGTAATAGTGGGAATGAAAAATCCTAATCAATATACTCTGTTCTGCCGACATTGAGAGGAAAACTAGATTCTAAGAAAATTGGAAAAAGTAGATTTTGAGTTTAGAGTAGTATATCTCCATATAGCTGTGGCTATTGCTTCCCTAGTAGAGGGGGATGTGATATGCTGACCAGTGTGCATATGATGGTATAAAACTTACCTTGATTACATACTTAGGATATGCAGTAGGAGAGTGCAAAGATTATGTCTGAAATAGTCTTCATTATATAAATGGCAATTTGAGCTATAAATTGACTAGGTGTGTGAGCTGTTTCTATTGTACGATGATTAGTGTAGTCCCCTAGATACGATGCGCTACTCACATATAGGGCTTCACTATGAGTATGATCTGATAAAGACCAGAAATCATCGTTTTTGGCACCTACGTTGCATTGGTCTAGGAAATTGTACATGAGAAAGTAAATGAAACCGTTTTTTCGTGGCTAGTGAACTCAATACCTGGGCGTATCGCTGCGGTCAAAAAATCCTATGGTGGCTATGCTAGCTGTTGAGAAATAAATCGACGAATTTTTGTGAGCAAAACTAAGTCAAAAAGTTATTTTTCAAAAAGTCAATATCTCGATTATTTCGAGAGCTATGGGCATACAACTACATATAATAGATTAATGCATGATATGCACCATGAATTAATTTTGTCAAGTGCAATGCATATCGCTATGAGAAATCATTAAAGATTTCTGAAGATATTCATTTTTGTGACTCAATTTTGCCGCCCAGTGTATATTCAATAGGTCCTTATATAATATTTCTGTATGCTGGTGATTTCTATGGTGATGAGCATAGCTCCCACAGCTGTGCTGCCATCTGGTGTCTCGGCACACCCTTTATCCAATTGAACAACAGTTACAGAGCTGGGCGAAATAATTCTTGCCTTGTCGATTTGCTTGCTTTGCCCATTGACTAGTGGCTCCACCCCAAGGCTTCGTAGAACCTGCAGCTGCATAACAATCGCGCCTGGATCCAACTCTTGCTCAATGTTATCGCTCATGTTTGCCATGCGCTCTTCCAATGCAGTAATTTCCTGTTGAAGCCTCTGTTCTCTATCGTTCAGATCGGATATTCCTTGCTCCGCAGACTGCTTCTCGGCCCTCAATTCACGCATGGTTTCCGCATGAGACTTTTCTTCGCGCTGCGCCTTCGACGCATCTACTTTCCCCCTTGCTGTCTGTAGACGGCGCGACAAGGCTTGCAAACTTTCCTGTAGTGTGTCTACCTCGCTCTTACGAATTGTCTGTGCATTGTCCACATGGTGCGCTACCTCCTTTGCGACCAGCGCATCGTTGCTTTGTTTTAGACTGTCAATAGTCTGCTGCATTTGTTCGCGCTGCTGTGACAAATCCTCGATATCCATGCTAAAGCTGTGCGAAAAGGTGAATGACAAGCGTGTTTTTGTTGGCAAGAAAGAACAAGCCACATTTGTTTACCGCAGCGTGTCTGCCTGTCTCGTCAGTTTGCAGCCCGTTGATCTGCTAAGTCGATTGCGTGATCTGGGCTACAGAATCGACACTCATTACTTTCCACTAGGAGTCAAGGGGAAATTAGTCCAGCAAAAAAATTGTTGGCAGGGGTCAGCAGGGCAAACGCATTTCGACTAATCGCTCCTTTTCCCCCGAAATTTGACCTCCTTTTGCAATCGTTTCAACTTTTTTAAACTGCAGCAAAATGGCGGACGATGAATGGCAGACTGTTCCTGAGCGCGCACGCCCGCAGCGTGGCCGTGGTGGCTATCGTGGCGGCCGAGGCGGACAGCGCAACCGCACCCGCTCAACCAGCACTGCTGGAGCGGCTGGTGAGAAAGACTGGCGCTCTACCGAGCGCGGCAAGTCGAACAGACCGCCTGAAGACTGCTGAACCTCAGCAGCGGCGTAACCGGTCCCGTGCGCGTGCGGCCCCTGTAACCTCAGGCCACACGCAGCAGTTCAAACTGCAGACGTCAAACATGTTTGCGCTGCACGTTGGCAAGAGCAGCCGGGCGCGCAAGAATGAGGACCTCAAGGAGTTCTTTGAGGCACGCGATGATGACGAAGGCGAGGAGGAGAACTTTGACGATATCGATGACGATGACCTGGATGTCAGCGACTATGAGTCCGAGGACGACCACGATGAGGCCACGTCGTTCCCGACCTGTTCCTGTCCTGATCCACTGCTCGTTCTGTCCTGGTACCAAGACTGGCGATGATGGCGAAGAGATCCCTGTGGCTCGCCCGCTGCTGCGTAGCGCCACGGAACTGACCAGCCACCTGCGCGAAAATCCACAGCCTGGTGTTCAAGAATCTGAACCACATGGTGCTGTTCTTGCAGGCCTTACCTGGATGCATGGGCCGAGAAGCTAGAAACCTGAGGACAAGGCGACGTTTGGCCGCAAGGAAACCGCCGATGACGGCGTAGTGACGTACTTCATTGATGCTGCGTCATGCGAGGCGGACAAGGAGGTGCGCAGCCAGGTGCAGAAGGAGCGGCTAGAGGAGATCCTGGACATGCAGGACATTGAGCGGCACGGTGAGGCACTGGAGCCTCACAAGTGCCTGTTCTGCAAGCATGTGTGTGACGACCGTGCCGACCTGTTCCGCCACGGCTATCGCGAGCACAACTTTCAACATTGGGCTTCCAGACAACCTGGTCAATGTGAACGAGTTCTTGTACATCCTCGAGAGTAAGCTAGGCATCGCTACAATGTCTGTATTGCGAGAAGACGTTCACGTCGCCGGCAGGTGCTGCGCAAGCATATGCGCAAGAAGAAGCACTTCAAGATCTCTGCACGCAATCGCCTGTACGATCGGTTCTACGTGGTTAACTACCTGGAGCCTGGTAAGAGCTGGGAGGCAATCGAGAATGAGAACGAAAAGGCAGACTCGGAGGCCGATGAGGCTGACCGCAAGGACGACTCGTGGGCCGACTGGGATGAGAGGGCGGATCTGCCGACTGTCTCGCTGTTTGATGACCACATCTCGTCATCGCCCGACGAGTGCTGGAAGTACCTCAAGGCCGAGTTCAACTTTGATATCCACCAGCTCAGAGCCGACGCCAAACTCGATTTTTACAAGGACTGTGTCGCTGATCAACTACATTCGCAAGTGCTCCAAGGAGCTGGCGTGCTTTGCGTGCCAGGCGACCTTTGGCGATCTCGAGGCGCTTTGCGGCCCACGTCAAGCAGGCGGGAGCTGCCCATCTGGCTGTTCCTGCCGAGGACTCGCCTATCTGGAAGGACAGCAAGAACTTTGTGCCCGTCATCGACAGCGATCCGCTGCTGATGGCCTTTGAAGATGACGCAGATTTTGCTGATGTCGATGAGGAGAAGTCGCGCAAGATGCTGGAGGAATCGAAGAAGATCCTGCGCAAAAAGTTCGATCAGATCTCGCTCGAGTCCCCGAAAAAGGACGACTGCAACACTGCGGATGCTGAGCCTGTCTCTCCGACCGTGGCAACCGCTGTCGACAGCCTAAACAACAATTCCTTTCATGCTTTCATCGTCCGAAGTTGCTTGTTTCAGAATCTATCCTGCTCTGCAAATCAACCGCTTGTCCGCGCCATGGAGTTCCGAATCACAGGAGGCAGGCATGGACATTTGCATTCTGGCTGCCAGGTGTTGGGACAAGCCATGCCACCTACCCCAATTCTGGACGAGGTGGTGCGGCTAGTGATCCGATGCAGTATGCTAGCTATCCGGTGTGTGTGAGCGTGCCCACAGTTGTCAGCCATCATCCCCGACCCCCAGTCGAGGCCCGCTCTTGCGCTGAACTGTACCAGTCAGACTGGGCGACTGTGCGACGCTATGCCACGAGTGACACCCTTTCTTCCTCGTCGCGACCTCTACGAGATGAAAATGTTTACTCGCCATGATTTTGGGCTGCATTAGATTCTGGACCTCCTTTTCGGCTCCTGTGCGGAAATGTGACATTATTTTGTCCTCGCAGCACCCCTTACATTTGCGGGTGTGCTCCGCCAGATACGGAGTTTCTCTATTTGGCAAGCACCTTCACTGGAGACAAGAATCTGGCAGATTCTTGTCTACCACTGAGCTTCGCAGCTTCCAGCTGAGCCCGCTGCACTATGGCTATAAAGACCACGCGGCAAACACACACCTCTAGCCAGTGGCAAGACAAAATTATTCTGCTTGTCGCCTTGCCTCGATATCTCCAAAGTCCCGTACCTATTATCCCTCTATCTCCTCTAATACATACAGAAACCATAGGCATGTTGAAGTGCTCCGATATCAGCCCCCGCCAGCAGCAGCTCCTGATGCAGTGCTACTGCAAGACCGTGTACAACACCAATTTTTACAAATACGTGCCTGAGGATCAGAACGTCGTCTGCACCAGCGGTGATAAGAACAACCACGATGGAAACGCCACTGAGATTTGTGCAAACCACGAAAAGTACAGCGACTGCCCGGGCGTCAACATCTCGCCCAGCACCGGTGCCCACATCACTCTGAGCAAGGTCGCCACTGCTCGCTGTTGCCTTCTCGTCCCTGCTGTTCATGTAAAGTGTCTCCATAGCGACCTAGTACCAGATTCTCTTTATCTTCTCTGGTCAATTTTAGAATATACACATTGAAAACGATCAGTGCAGTGCTGGTGCTGGTGCTGGTGCTGGTGCTGGTGCTGCTGTGCTCTTGCGCCTTCATATTCCTAGCTAAGTGCCAAGTGCAGATACAGTCATCCGCACCGATCTGAGCAGGTGCTGCGCGTCCTTCTTGACCTCTTCCCACTGCGCAAGAACCGCCGACTTGTGCTTGGTCTCAGCAGCGACTGCCTGGTCCACTGCATGCTGGTAGGTTGCAAGCATCGTCTCCATGTCGCTACAGGTGGAGTTGGTGCTCGGTTAGGGTGGATGCGTGGGGCAGGTGGCTGTAGCTTCTGCTGACTCGTGCTGCTTACCTGACTATTGCAATCCCTTGCTCCGCCAAGCTGCTGACTGTGGTCTGGATGTCTACATTGATTACCAGTATTCATTAATGGTCAGTTACGTGGCTGGGTGACGACATCAGCGTGTTGCTTGCCTTTGATGTGCTGGATTGCAGCTGCAGGGGTGAGATCTGGGTCAAACTCTGGCTCCTCTGGCTCCTCTGGCTCCTCTGGCTCCTCTGGCTCCTCTGTTTTTGCGGATCCCTGCTCTGCAATCCCTGTTGGCTTGGCTAACGCATCAGACAGACCCAGTCCGCCTGGGCTCATCTGCAGGATGTCGTCAGGAAAGTCAATGCTCCCGCTGAACTCGTCGTCGCTTGAATCCCGAATCACGACCCGGCTGGCCTCCATGTCGCTGTGTTCGATAGCACCAAGCACACTGCCAACTGCCCGCTTCAAGGACCTGGTGTATTGTGCCTTGGTTCTCTTTTGCACAGGCAACTGAACATGTGCGCTGTTGTTTGTACTGTCTACCCAGCAGCATGACGTGTCAGCAGTTATTCATGGCTATCAGCCGTTGATTATCTATGCCAATTACTTTGTTAGTCCTCGCTTGCCTTTGGTGCTATTTCCACTTGCGCTTGCTGCCTTTGGCGCTGGTACTGAATCCTTATTCCTGTCTGCTGCGACATTCAGTGGTGTGGGTCTGATACCTGTGCTTTGCGGTTGTGCTTTGCGCTTGAGGCCTGCTCCTGCTTCTGCCTGCTATAATCGCTTCCCACAGGTCTGATAGACATTGGCATCAGAATCGGCTTTGCATATGTCATACTTGCTGTTGCTTTGAATGGCTGTTGAACCACTAAAGCCGAGGTTCAGCGGGCGTGCGCTCCGTGGAAGCGGTGACTGCATGCCACTGGGATCAAATGCAAATGGTCGTCCTCGCTGTCTATTCTGGTCAAAATCCATTGCAAGCGAGTGAGTGCAGAGCAGGAGTGGAAGCAGGCAGTGTGCAATGTCCAATGCAAAGGTTTGGCGCATATATGAACAGCCCAATGCACCTAGCATTTACCCAGGCGGATGCCTGACTTGCCTGCCCCGTAACCTGCGCTGGGGATTCATCGGGTTTGGAATATTGCGATCAGTTTGCACAGTTTATCCACAGCACCTAGCAGCACCATACGATAGCACATCTACGCAGCATGCAGTTATTCCGGAGGGTGCAGTTTGGTTTGTCTGCACGCTACACTGCATCACTGCTCCCACCGTATTGCCGGCATCCTATCAATATCCCATCCTGGTCCTTGGAATCATTCCAAATCTGAATCCCTCTGTCCACGCATTCATTCGAGAGGTATTCCCGAAGCACCTCTCATTCGCACCTATATCTATGCAACCAGTCATGCATGGAATAAACCTGGGATAGTGCTGCCATCCAGAGTGGGCTGTCGTCCTTGAAGAGAAAGCACACCTCTTTGTAGCTGACCGAATGCGCAGATCGCACTTCAATATAAAATGTGGTGCTGTTGACATTTGGCTTGGATGTGCCGCTCCCAAAAATAAAGCAAGCCGACTCTGCAATGGCCAGTCCGCATGTGCGTCTCGGGTGCGCAATATGTGCCAGCTGACCTACGCCTCCACCCAGTATTCTGGCTTTGCAGGTCGGAGATATTTCTGGGTCTCCAGCGTGACGCGCAAATCAAAGCCCGGTTTAGGACAGCATGGTACAAGGTTGTTCTTTGGGTCGGGTTTGAGTGTGGCAGCTCAAACCCATGTACATCAAGCTTTACATTTCCATACCAGGAATGCCGTATCTCGCAACTATACAAATAGTCTTGATCCAGGACAGGCTGTGCTCACAATAATTAGCAGCTGTCCTTAGCAACCTTCCAACACAGCCCCACTTTCACATACAAACTGCGCTTTGGTGGTTCAAGGCTGGTAACTACTCCTCCACTATCAAGCGTCTAACGCCGGGCTCCCAAGGATCTATTCTGCTGCAATGGGGTTATTCACCTTCTTCTCCTCCCTCACTCTCGCGTCTGCTGTCATGGCACACACCTATCTCAGCTATGACATCTTCAACGGCGAGCGCAAGTCTGAAGGCACCTGCATCCGCCGGTACTGGAATGCCAGCAGCAGGAACTGGTATGTGGTAAACGACAGAACCCAGGGGATGATTTGCGGCATCAACAATCTCAATTCCACTGCTGCGAAGACCTGCGCTGCAAAGGCTGGCTCCGACACAGTCTTCGAGTGGCATCTCAATAAGGACAGCCCGTCTGATCCGTACATCAGCCATGGCCACAAATGTGCCTGTACTGTGAACATGGTTCCTGCCTCGACAAACGGACTTGGTGCCTCGTGGTTCAAGGTATTCGAGTAGGGCTACAACGCAACCACCAACAAGTGGTGCATGGATCAGATCCATGAAGGCGGAGGCAAGGTCAATTTCACAATCTCTGCCGATATCAAGGATGGCGATTACATTGTGCGTGGAGAATTCATATGCCCGACTTTCAAGGGCAACGCCGACTCATCGTTTGTCAACTGTGCGCACATCTCGGTTACTGGTGGCGGCAGTGTTGGGCCCAAAGGCTACGACATCACCAAGGCGTACCAGGCATCGAACGAAGTCCAAGTACTCTGCCCGTAACAAAAACTTCACTTCATACCCGATTCCTGGCCCTGCTGTCTATGTCCCTGGATCTGGCTATAAGACACCTTCGTCAGCTGCAAGCACTGCACCTCTAGCGGTTAGCAGCTATGCCTCATGGGCTCCGTGTTCCACAATGTCAACAAGCATGTCCTGTTAGAATGTCAGCTCTGCAGTGTATACAACTGCAGAGGTAAAAGAGACATTGGAACCGATCAATGACTCTTTGCGATTCTGATAGACGTGAGGACACTGCTAGTTCTTGTATATGTGACACGCCTACTCCGCATCGTCCACTAGCATTATGACATCCAACCAGCAGTTCTCGAGAGTACGTTTGTCTTGGTGCTTCCCTTGGGTTAGCGACAAGCTTGTCACCAGAGCACAACATACTACTGCCAAATAAACAGTAGTAGGCGCTTTGGGATGCAGCTCATGTCTCAAAATGACTAGACAAGGTTAATTTCTACTTTGAAACCACTACTTGCTTGATGACAGCGTATGTGGCAGGCGCTGACATTCGAGATATACTGGCAACTACAACTTAGCACTGGTGTGATCCAGCGTGGCCAGGAATTTTCCAAGAGCTTTGTTTGCCAACTCTTTCTGCTCAATCATAATCCAATGTCCCGAATCCTCGATATGGACTCGCATGAGGTTTGGGATATATTTGTCCATGTCCTTGGTCCACGCAGCTGGCAACGCCTTATCCTTGCCGGCAGTAACCATTAGGCACGGCTTGTGGATCCTATCAAGTTTGAAACCAGCGCTGCTTTCTTCCTGCCAGTTCAGCTCATGCACGCGGTAGTAGTTGAGCGGCCCCTCCATTCCATGGCGCTGGTACTCGCTGATGTGGTATCCAAGCTCAGACTCCGCCAGCATTTCGCTGCGCTGAGCACCTCGGGCATCGGCAATAGTGCGCTTGTCAATGGGTACAGACTCGCTAAAGACCGACGTATACATGGCATCCTTGTGCGACCGCAAAATGGTGGTGAGAAACAGTGGGATTTCGGCATTGAGCTTTGCAGTTGTTGACTCTTTGCTGAAATAGACTTGGTATTTCCAGTTCGGGCGGCGCTTCGGCGACCTGCTCCAAGGGGATGTGCGTGGGCATGGTCGGTGTATATGACACGCAGTATGCAGGCTACAGCACGCACCCGCTCAGGGTGCCAGAGAGCAGCGCGCCAGACCATCCATGCTCCCCAATCGTGGCCTACCCACACGGCATCGCGAATATTCAGAACGTCGAGCAGGCCGACCAAGTCCTTGACAATGGTCTTGGACGTGTAGCTGGCAATCCCCGCCGGTGCGTCAGTCTGGCCGTAGCCGCGCACATCAGGCACAATCACGCGGTACCCGAGCTTGACCAGATAGGGAATCTGGTAGCGCCAACCGTACCAGAGGTCTGGGAAGCCGTGGACGCAGATTACTGTTTTGGGACCGGAGCCCTCGTCGACATAGTGCAGGTTGATGCCGTTGACGCAGGGCAAACCTGTGGCTGAACGATGCGGGGTTGAGGGGGTCCATACTTGAGAAGATCTGAATGACAAAAGTAAGTGGAGAGCATAGGAGAGAAGGAACGGGCAGGGTGGTGTTTAAAAATGAGGGCAACTTGCTGCTGGAACAGTAAAATCGTCCTGGGCTTATTGTTCCAAGCAAATCGCACTGGCATGTGCACTACGCAGCCGGATCGACAGTGTGGCAAGCCCTCGCTTCTACGGAAGTTGGCCATGGAACCGAAGGTCCGGAGAGGTACCGGTTAGAATTTAGATAGCATATTGCCAAGAAGTACATGAATCGTTAAATACGAGAGGGGGTGTCGGTTGGTGTGTATCAGCACGAGCTGGGCATGGGGAACGGGTACGGGCGCGTACTCCACGAGACCTGGTTCCGGATAAACTCGATAGGTTGCGGGCGACAAAGTCTCTGGGACTGGCGACGACAACAAAGTCAGACATGATCTTGTTCTTCCACCGGCGGGTGGCAAAGTACTGGATGGGCCAGCCGACTAGGCAGGCGCAGGTGATGAAGCAGAGGAAGGAGGTGACGGGGTGGCGCCAGACGCGAGCAACATCACTGTGCGACTTGACAACGATGCGGTCGTGCTCCATGGGGAACGAGACAGCGACCGAGTGCGGGTAGCCGAACGGATTTAATGTACTCGGTCAGCTCTCTGCGCACCAGGTCGTAGTCCCAGATGACCTTCTTTTGGACCCGCAGCTCCTTCAGGATATTCTCGGCCTTGACGTAGTCGTTCAGGACCTTCATGATGTCGTAGGGCTCGCCGGTGGGCGTGCGCGCAGTGAATAGGTTGCCTTTTTCGTGGATGTAGGGAGTCAGCTCGAGGGTGAACTTGAAGTCGACGATGCGGTCTTGGTGGGTGTGTGATTCGTGGCGTGTTTGGCCATTCTCGTTGTAGGTGCGCTCAACAACACGGTCCTCCATATGCGAACCTACATTGTGGAAATTAATGAGTGGTGGAATGGCGTTAGCAAATCATGTGCAAAAATCACGTATCGCCTTGGCACCGAACCGACGAGATGCGGCCAAGGCTACTTACCGACCACTTCGACAGACACCCGTGGGCGCTCGTTGCTTTCGCTGAGGAACCGGTGCAGGGCCATGACATCGGTGTTGAGCCACTGGTCTGACGATGAGTATCCCTTGGATGAGCGCTTGTACTCGAGCGAGGCGAAGAACTCGCGTGATGACAAATCGGCAGGATTATGTGGGTGGCGGTTGGGCGCAGCGGATGACTGCGGGTGAATCAGCGGCTGGCTCTCTTCCAGCGGCGGTGAGCTGTCAGGGCTCGGAGGGATGCTGTTGTCGCTGAAGGGTCCGGCGCCGCCCTTGCCGGTGGAGTTGCGGCGGCGCGGTGCAGCGGAGGTTGATGGGCCGGCTGCTGCGGTACTGGAGCCCGAGGCAATATCAGACATGACGTCGTCGTATGACGGCGGCGGCAGCGGTGGGGCCGAGGCCGGTGGCACATTCTCTGGAGCAATGGGGGCGTCAATTTGGCGGTCGACTTGAGGGGGCATTTCCTGAGTGCAAGTTGCGGAAATAGATAGCTACAAGGAGTGTGCAGAGAAGAAGTGCAGGGCCAGCTCGCCATGGCCGTCAGGGGATTAGAAAGGCTTGGCACAGGGCCTGGTGAGCCTGGGCCGTGCTGATTGGGCAGCAGGCGCAGGCGCAGGCGCGAGAAAAGGGCTGGCGGTATAGCACGGGGCGTGCAGGCGGCAGGGAACTGTCTTTCCAGCTTTCATTGCGTCAATTCCAATTTGCACATACATTCTTGATGAGGCCACTACACGCACTACTAGGAGCAGCCGCGCTGGTGGCAGGCGCGCAGGGGTTCTACATTCCGTCAATGGGCCCGCGGTCGTTCAAGGCGGGCGAGCGGGTGCCGCTGAATGTCAACCGGGTGTTCTCAGAGCATGTGCCGCTGCCGTTTGCATACTACGACCTGCCGTTTGTGTGCAAGCCCAACGACATCCAGCGGCCGTGGCTCAACGTGGGCGAGGTGCTGCGTGGCGACCGCATTGCTTCGTCGGACTACGTGCTGACGATGGGGCAGGACGTGCCGTGCCAAGTGCTCTGCACAAAGTTCCTGAGTGCCGACGCAGACGCAGCAGCGGGGCGGTTCGTGGAGCAGGACTATCTGGTGGAGTGGATTGTCGACAAGCTGCCTGGGGCGACCACGTATGTGTCAGCCAAGGACAAGCAGCGCAAGGAATACGAGCCCGGGTTCAGGATCGGTTCGTACGATCGGGGGCGGCAGGATAGCGCACCTCAACAACCACATGACAATGCACATTCTGTACGAGAAGCGCGGCGAGGCACGGCGCATCGTCGGATTCGAGGTGTACCCGCGGTCGATCCAGAACTCGTCGTCGTCGTGCCCGAATCTCAACGCGACCAGCGCACTGCCGCCGCTGGTGGTGGGCGAGCGGCGCGCGCAGACGATCACGTACTCGTACTCGGTGCGGTGGATCGAGGACCCGGCAGTGCACTGGACGCACCGGTGGGACCGGTACCTGGCGACATCGGATCCGCAGGTGCACTGGTACTCGATCTTCAACTCGGCAGTGATCATCCTGCTGCTGACAGGCGTGGTGGCGGTGATTCTGATGCGCATGCTTAATCGCGATCTGGTGGCCACCGACGACTTCCACGACATCGAGGAGACGTCGGGATGGAAGCTGCTGCATGGCGATGTGTTCCGCGCACCGGCATACGGCGGGCTGCTGGCGCCGTTGCTGGGGGCGGCGGTGCAGGTGATGTATACGTTCATCGTCACCACGGGCTTCGGGCTGCTAGGTGTGCTGAGCCCGTCGTACCGCGGCGGGCTGCTGACTACGGGCATTGTGTGGTTCCTGCTGACCGGTGCAGCCGCCGGCTACTACAGCAGCCACCTGTACCGCACGTGGGGTGGCAGCAACTGGTTCAAGAACGCAGTCATGACGGCTGCGCTGGTCCCGGGCATGCTGATCGGCACTTCGCTGTTCCTCAACTTGTTCCTGTGGTACCGCGCCTCGTCGGCAGCCATGCCTTTCAGCACCATTCTGCTGCTGCTGGCGCTGTGGCTCTGCGTGGAGCTGCCGCTGACGCTGCTGGGCGCGTGGTTCGGCTTCCGCCGCAAGCCGTACTCGGAGCCGGCTCGCACCAACCCGATCCCCCGCCCCGTGCCGCCGATCCCCACGTACCTGCAGCCGGTGCCCAGCATGCTGCTGGCTGGCGCGCTGCCGTTCGCTGTCATCTTCATCGAGCTGTTCTTTGTGCTCAAGTCCATCTGGCAGGACTCGTTCTACTACGAATACGGGTTTGCGCTGATCGTGGGGCTGATCCTGGCGGTGACAGTCTGCGAGACCACCATCATCATGGTCTGGATGGCGCTCAATGCCGGAGTGCACCAGTGGTGGTGGCGTGCCTTTGCCTACGGCGCCAGCTCGGCCATCTATATCCTGGCCTACTCGATCTTCTACTACTTCTCGCGGGTGCGTGCGGGCATGCCTGGCGTGGGCGGCTTTGTGCCGACACTGACCTTTTTTGTGCAGTCGCTGCTAATTGCGACTGCGTACGCACTGTGCACCGGCTCCATGGGCTTCTTTGCCGCCTACTTCTTTATTCGCCGCATCTACCGCCTCGTCAAGCTGTCGTAGGCCCAGCATACACACTCTAGACACTGTCAGTCCCTTGTTTTTTCTCTTTTTATTTTTGTCTCAATTACACACGTATGTTCCGCTCTATGCCTGTTTGGACTTTTCGTTCTTGGCCTGCATGTACGTCAGCGACTTGGCCACGCCCGACGACAGCACGCCCTTGAGCGACTGCGTCAGCGCCGGCCTCGCCACAATGCCCTCGACAGCCTTCTTTGCGATACCAGCGATCTGGTCGACTGCCACCAGCTTCTCCGTGTTGACGACCTCGGCGCCAAAGCCCGGCGGCAGCCTGACTCCGGCCTTCTTCCCCTGGCGCACCAGCCCAGCATAGAACCGGTTCGGCATCTTGCGCACCATAGCCGCACGCGCACTGGGACCCATGTCCTGCTGCAGCAGATCCTGCCCGATGAACTCGAGGTTCGGCAGGCCCTCGATGATGCTGGCGTACCGCGACTTGAACAGCGGCAGCTGCGCATCGACAATATTGCCGACCTTGTTTGGGTTCTCGCCGCCCACGCGCATGCGGAAGTCCCCCGAGAACGAGAGCGATGCGATTGCGTGGAACAGCTCGCGCGACGAGAAGTTCTTGGGCAGCATCAGCAGCGCCGCCCGCATTGCGTGCGTCAGATTCACCTGCTTCGAGATCCGCATCAGCGGGTCCCGCCGCAGCGTCAGAGTCGGCTTGTGCATGCGCCCGGCCAGGTACAGCGAATCCCAGTTCAGCAGGTCGCTGCTCAGCGTGTCCATCGACACCACGCCGTACTTGATCACCACGCCGTTGATCTCCACAAACGGATTGTAGTACACCCCGGCGCCCATCTGGCTCTGCACGAATGTCACTGCGTCGGCACCCAGCGAGCCCATGAACGAGTAGTGCGACCGGTTCTGTGCAATGTTCAGCGCATGCCAGTGGTCCGGGTGGCTCACCGCAAACACCAGATCAATCATCGGCTTGCTCTGCCCGCTGTATCCTGCCTGCTTGTACACCCCCGAGCCATACGCAAACGCATACCGGATCGGCGCATCGAACTGACGGAGCACCCCTTGCAACTGCTCCTTAATCTCCGCCTGGGCGATCCGCATTGTGCCCAGCTGCCTTTCCTCCGCTGGTGTCAGAATCCCCGTCGACGCTGGTGCCCGCTGCGTCTCTGCCGCCCACTGCTGTTGCTGCTGTTGCTTCTGTTGCTGCTGTTGCTGCGTGCCTGCGCGCTTTTCTCCTGCCATGCGCTGTATCGTGCTCACGCCACCCTGAGCCATCTAAAAAAAGATAACGCGGATTATTAATCTCAGCTAGAAGTCCCGCGCTCGTTGATCTCAGTGGCCCCTTGGTATTTTCTGATAGGGCCTGTGCTTATCATGTGAACTTGCTGCTGGCTCGTACCTGCTGCTTGCGCATCAGCAGAACGTCGTCAATGCTGGCCTTGCTGGTGCTGCTAGTGCTGCTAGTGCTGCTGCTGCTCTCCACTGACGGCCCAGTACTTTCCCACCGGACCTGCGACGAGATCATAGGAACAGCTCCTCTCTACAGATCCCCGCATACTGTTTAGTCTAGACTCTCGCTGGAAAAGAAAAAAGCAGTTGTTCAACAAACAATCTCTCGCACTTGCCTTGCCCAGAACAGCGCACCTGCGCAGGAGACGACTGGAATTGACTGTCGAAAAGCTCATTCTGCTGATTTTGTGTGTACAAGAAAGGGCAATATTTGGGAAAGAAGACGAAAAATGTACTGGAAGCAGAGGAAACAAAAGAAACATCGATCAAGGCTCGCGCTTCGGCTTTGTAATGATTAGGGACCTAATTATCGCCTTCCCCGTCTCCTTCCTAGCAGGCAGGCCCAGTAGAGCAGCTCTGGGCGCTCTTCCACGCCCTAATTGTCCTCTGTCCACGTTCCACGCCAGACATATGCGGGCAGACCAGAGTGCCGCCCTGTCGCCTCTCTACCAGGCGACGCGGGGAGACGAGGCAAGCCGGCTCGCTCTCATTTCCGGTTGAGTGTGAAGTCCAAGCGCCATTGGGCAAGCCAAAAACCGCATCTCCTCCGCCCCCTGGCGGTGAGTGACGTTGACACACCGTGTGCATACATTGCATGTCTGCTTTTTACATGTTATTAGAGGGGTTTAGAAAAATACAAGTGCTGAAATCCTGCCGTCTACAGCATGCGCGCCTCGGGCTTTTCTTCCTCGTCCGACAGCGTCGTCTCAAACGACATCCGGTGGTCTTTCCTGGGCGACTTGAACGCCCACACCGAGCCCGAAAACAGGCTGTCCATTTCCTCAAGCGTCAGGTTCTTTGTCTCAGGCAAGAAGCAGTAGATGATCAGAAAGTTCATCGCCATGATGATGCTGAATGCGCAGAACAGCCTCCATCCAGCCCGCTCCAGCAGAATCGGGCTGGTCAGTGTAACCACAAAGTTCGAGATCCAGTTGGTCCCTGTGGTTACTGAGGTGGCCCGCGCTCGGATGTGCGTTGGGAAGATCTCTGACGGAATCAGCCAGCCGCACGGACCCCACGAGAACGCAAACGAGGCCACCACAAGATACACCATGCATATAGACGCAATGCCCATGCTGTGGACGTCCAGGTGAATCAGGACACCCGTCATGTCGTTGGCCTTGATCGCACTGTACGACCGCATCATCAGCGCCAGGACAAGGTAGAATGTCGAAATCAGCACCGTGCCCAGCAGCAGCGTCGGCCGTCTGCCCCACCTGTCAATCCACAGAATCGCCGGCACCGTCGACGACACATTCACCAGCCCGTTGATGGCCTGGCACATGGCAATGCTCTGCACGCTGCTCAGCCCCATGTCGAGGAATATCTTGGGCGCATACAGCATCAGCGTGTTGATGCCGGTGAACTGCTGCATGAACTGCATTCCGCACCCCAGCAGCAGCCGTCGCCGGTTCGGAAACTTTAGCAGCTCCCAGTATGACGAGCTCTTTGTCTCTTTTTCAGTCTTGATCGTCTCGTAGATGAGCCGCAGCTCCTCGGCGACCTCTGGCACGCTGGCATGTCCGTACGCCCGCAGTCGGCCCAGCACCTGCCGCGCGTCGCCAATGTAGCTGTGTGCGACCAGCCAGCGCGGCGAGTACGGCATAAACGCCATTGTAAACAGCAGGACGATGCTGGGCACAATCTGCAGCCCCAGTGGCAGCCGGAACTGCTTGTCACTCTTGATGTACGAGCACCCGTAGTCGATGCCGAATGCGATGAAAATGCCCCACGTAATTGCCCACTGCTGCAAGCTGACCATACGTCCGCGGTTCGCCGGTGGCGCTGACTCGGACTGATACACAGGCACCACATTAGACAGAAATCCAATCGCCAGGCCATTGACGAACCGCCCGGCGATCAGCATCGACCGGTTCACGCTGCCGAACTGGATGGCCGACCCGATTGTGCAGATGATGGCGCCAATAACTATCGTCAGCTTGCGCGAATACCGGTCCGACACGGGCGCAGATATCAGCGACCCAAAGAAACATCCAATGGTCAACGAGCTGACTATTATGCCCTGTGCCACCGACCCTGGCGCGCCAAAGTATTTTATAAAATGCTCCATCTGCAATATTGATGACATGATGCCGATGTCGTACCCAAACAGCAGCCCGCCCAGTGCGGTTACACTGCTCACCACATACTTTGGTGTCTCATGTCGCATCGCATGTCCCTCCTTTTATCGGCTCTCTCCGTTTTGTATTATGTGCGTGTGTATATATACACACACGTTTGAAAGGGCGAGGGCGAGAAATAGAGATGCGAGAAAAGGCAGGCAAAATTAAAGTGCTGAACCAAAAAGGAGAAGGGTGTGGAGGGAAGAGGGAGGAAAAGGAGGGATGAGGTTGGCTCTTGCGCATTGCCGGCCTGCGAGGAAAAACAAGAACGCTGATACCCTCTCGTCATTGCGGTGCCATTAGAGCAGCTGCCAACCTCCCCCACACCCGTCCCAAATTATTTCTTGTCATGTCGTCGTGCATGGCAGCCAGAAGAATGGCCAACATACGAGTCACTCTTGCAATTGGAGGACCAAAAATGCGATAAACCTGATTCCACCTGCCTTTTTTTACATGCTTTTGTTGCCTGCTGAGCACTGCCCAGACACTAGCAGTCGCTCGCACCAGTCGTTTGCCTGGCTGGAGGATAAACAATGCGCTGCGATTTGCATGCCCGCATCCTCCTTTCTGCTGCTTCTCCGTTTGGCCACCTCTCTGCCTCCCCGGCCCATTCTGGGCCAACAAGTGTCGGGGAAATCCGCCTGTCGCGCGTCCACCTCCCCGCGTGACATCGACCTACTTGCGCACGCACCCTCAGACACTTTTTCAGAGTAAAATGCCCCCACCGCATTCTCCATCGAAACGGCAGATCTGCATCAACCGGGCTTGCATGTGTTCGATTTTGCATCTCTTTTTCTACCTATGTATCTACGTCCAGATGATGACAGGGACAGGGAGAAAGAGCTCTGGCGTGATTTGCCCTCCTGCCCTTTCAGCCAGCATGCGCCCCCAGAGAAAGGACGACTGGATGAGCAACAGCTGGACCGGAAACTGCAAATGTGCTTTTTGGAACTCAACGCAGTGCCTGCACCTGCCAGCCTCTCCCCTGGCTGCCCCATATGGCAGACGTATCAACTGCGCACGAGTGGATCCTGGGGTTGTGCGGCAATGAACTATAGCAGTGGCATACATTAGCTATTCCGCTTGTGCACACAACATCAGCGGCATTTGGAGCTCCGAACTATGCTCAAAGCGGCTACACCTCCGCCGCTGTTGCTCAATAGCCATGTGCAAAAGCCTGCATGGCCCCAGCCACAGCCCCAACCGCGCCCTCCTGGCCGCCACCCATGGCAGGATGCATGTATCCCAGACAAGAGGCGTGCCAGCCCCCAGCTCCGAGCCAGAGAAAAGACCAGCATGCACGCAGGGGCCACCGGGCAGCAGCCTGAGCGATCGTCCGCCAGAAGCACACACTCTGCGCCATATACCGGCGCTATCAGTAACATGGGGCGCAAGATAGACTGTTCATCGGCGTTGGCATTGAACACTCAACATGCAGACCTAGCGTAAGATTTACTTGAAGGTCTTGCCGTCGGCGCACTCGCGGGGCAGAGCGGGGCCCTCCCAGGCGAAGCAGTCCTCGATCTCGGCCTTGGTCTTCGGGTCCTTGTGGTCGACCTTGGTCCAGGTGTACGACTCGTAGTCGGCAGCGTCAGTGACCTCCTCGGGCACCTCCTGGCCGCGGACCATGAAGTAGCCCCAGATCTGGTTGTTGCCGTTCTCGCCGAGAACCAGCAGGTTGCCGAAGGCGTACTTGCGGGCGCGCTCCAGACGGTTGAAGAACCCACCGACCAGGTTGTTCGACATGAAGATCTGGGTCAGCTCGTCGTTGTACTTGTAGTCGACCTTCCAGAACGAGTAGCCCTCCTCGTCGTAGTGCTCCCACAGCCAGTTCATGGCATCGGGCTTGGTGTCGTTGTTCGAGTAGAAGCGCTTCCAGTCGTCCAGCACCATCTTGGGCGGCGGCAGCAGGTCGAGCTTGCTCTTGGGCTTGGGGGCGGGCTTGGGAGCCTCCTCAGCGGGCTTCTCGGCCTTCTTCTCGGCCTTGGGCTTCTCAGCCTTGGGCTTCTCGGCCTTCTTGGCCTTCTCCTTCTTGGCCGGGGCAGCGGGCTTGATGCGCTCCTTGCACAGCTCAACATCGGGAACAACGGCCTTGAAGGCAGGCTGGCTGATGATGGTCTTGAAGTAGCGGGTCAGGTTGCGGTACTGCTTGCGGTCGGCGGCAGTCAGGTACAGCTTGTACGGCATGATCAGGTCGCAGGCCACGACGACATCAGCGACGGTGATGCGCTCGCCAACAAGGAAGGTCTTGTCCTGGAGGATGGTGTTGAACACACCCAGGAAGCGGAACATCTGCTCCTCAGCGGCCTGGTGCGCGGGCTTGACGAACGGCATGAAGCCGAGCAGCGGGTACAGGACACCGCCCATAGCGGGCGAGAAGTCAGCCTCGGCAGCCAGGATGAACTGCAGGATCTCGGCGGTCTCCTCGGCGGTCTGGCCGAGCAGGGGCGAGTCGGCGCCAGCCTTCGACGCGACGTAGTAGGCGATAGCCGACGAGTCGGTCAGGCGGAAGCCGTCGGCGCCCTCGAAAGCGGGAACCTTACCGGCCGGGTACTTGGCCAGGTACTCGGGGGTCTTGTTGTCAACACCCATCTGGAACTCGGGGGTGGTGGCGAGGTCGAGGCCAAGGAAGCTGGCGACGACGCGAGCCTTGTAGTTGCGGGCGTTCACAGTGGGTCCAACGAGGGTTCCGACAGGGGCCATTTTCAAATGTTTTCCGATTCTGCTTTGTAGATTAGAGTAAAACGAAGGAAGGTGAAGGAAAAAGAGGTTGATTCAAGCAACCGATCCAGCTTTACAAGCGCTCGACGTGGCTGGCTGACAGCCCAACAAAAAAATTTTTGCAGCAGTTCCAGGTTGGGGCAGGTAAATGCCCCTGATGCGCAGATCGTAATTGCTGGATTTAGCTTCTGAGCTGATTTCGGCTAACGCATTTTATTGGATTTTGCTATTGAAGCTAGCGGCACTACTGCCCGACTGGAAACCAGTTCTCCTGCTCACGCTGCATAGACACAGCGCGCGCCGGTGTGGTCAATATGTACAAGGGGAGATTATTAGGGTAGCGAGGAGAGGTGCAGCGGCCGGGCACAGCCTGCTTAGCGGATGAAGGCGCGGGCCATGGTGGCGTCGGTCTGCTGTTTGCGCAGCTTGTCGAAGGCTGCCATCGGGTTGGTGCCGCGGAGCAGCTCGGCAGAGCCGCGGGGAGTGGCCGGGGCAGAGCTGGTCGGCGCAGCCTTGGTGGACTTGCGGAAGATCTTGGTGAAAGCCATTGTAAGAGCTGTGTGCTGGGGCTGCGAGCAGTATTAGAGATGTAGAGACGTGTTTGAGTGTCGAGTCTCTTGGCCGGCTGCGCTGCCAGCTGTCTTTTATACGGTGCTGCCGTAGCACATTTCACCGTGCTAGATCCGCCAGAAATATGCCCTGGACGAACACGCTGCGGGCACGTTGAGGGCACGTTGGGCTGACGCCGGGCTGGCTCTGGGGCTGTGCAGCCTGCTCCAAGAGGCAGCATTTGCTCCATATGGCAGGCAGCCTACGCAATGTTGGGGGCTACGCGGTGCAGCGGGCGGGTTGCCAATTTACTTTTGTTGGCGCCGGATCGGTGCTGCCGTCGCACTGGGCTGGCCTGAGCCCACAAATCCCCAGCGCTATTTTCTCACGCAAAGCACGACGGCGCTAAAAATAATGCAGGGGCTTTCTAAACCCCTTCGCCGGCTCTTTGGGGACTTCTGGGGTGCCGTCGCCCGCACCTCCGCGCCCATGCTTTCCAGCCCAGTCCCAGAAACACAAATAGCACCAGCCCAACCGACCGCATTTTACTATTTCGCCTAGCAACCGTGTCAGATTAGAGAAAAAGGAAATAGGATATTTTCTAGCGCTGGCTGCAGGCGCAACTACGCTTCCAGCAAGTAGTATGCACAGCGGTAATTGGGGCACAAAGCTCTTCAATGCTATCGGAATTCGGATTTTGCGTCTTGCAACCATATACACTGTCTAAAAATAATATCCGGTGATGTATCATGGCCGCCAAAACAATGCTATATTCATGCACATAATGTTTCTCAGACCAAGTAAGTTGAGATGGGGATGTTACGCATCTCTTATACAGCCAGGCATACAACCTGGCAACTAAAGGTGAATACTATGTAGTATTGTTTTAATGCTAATTACTCTTTGCGCTGTTTGAATGCTATATTCGACCGCAGTATATCTTTACCTTTATATAAGATTTTATAGTCTAAAAAAGTGTCCGACCATCTGTTAGAAATTATTTAGTTGGTTAAAAAAAATAAAACTCTTAAGCCTCAAAGTGAGTTTGGGTGGCTTGCTCCGTAAACTCCTTTTGATCTTGTATGATATCTGACCTCAGTGAAACCAGGGTGACAAGTTGCTATTGTACTGGTCACAGGTCTCCACTAGATATCTCCATTGGTTCAGCGCAAGAGCTGCTCTCATTGTCGGTTGGCCTGATAACTTCCATGGCATCATCATGGTGGTCATCACTAGCTGCGCAACACTCTTAGGATGTTTATTTATGAGCACCTATTGAATAAGGCCATATAGCTCTTCTAGCGGCCATGTAATATTTGTGGACTTATTTTATAAATTAATTTGTCTTATGAACATGCGTAAGCAGTAGTATTTGGGCCACAATGGACCCAGTCTGTATAGACTTATTCAAGAGACTGTATCAGTGCTAAGGGCCCTAAGAACCATGCAAGCCAGATCATTTTTAATAAAAAGTTCTTAATGTTATGCATACGCAATAAGGCAAAACTGAACAGCATCATTTCTCTTCTTACTTGCCTATTGAATTTCTCAAATGAATATTACCCGCAGCACTACTGTCATAAAGACATCACTTGGTGGTATTGGCTTCCGTGATTCTATGTTGCCCCGCCTAGAGCAATTTGTACACAGCGTCAACATCATCAAAGAGCATACATATATGCTTGCACGATGGATATTACTCCATCAACTAGCTGACGATGATGCCTTTGATCCTGCAACATTTGTGAAAAAGGGATTCTTTCGTTTTATTTATTTATTCATTTATCGCAACCTGAAGGCGAAGACTGTCATATCTGCCGAGGATTTCGTCAACCGGAAGGACAAGTCAGAACTGTCGAGCGCAGATTTCGGTGATGTAGTTAGATATTATATTTATGATTATCTAATACATAATGGCGATATCGAGCTACATGGCATGCGCGAAATGAATCAAGTAGCAACATATGTTGATACCGAGCTGCTAACAGCATACAAGAACAACATTGTGTTGCACTGTGGCACTTACCTACAGCGGATTCTGGCCAAATTGATTGATATTCGCAGCCGCAAAAACACACTGCACAGTACAATGGGCAATGTGTCCAAGGCTGAGTTCAATAATGCATTTCAAGTGTGTATTTATACACCTGCACAGAAGCTCCGCCAGACAGTTGCCTCTAGGCACCCTGATCTCAGTGTGCTCACCCCACCGATGCTTGCAATCTACAACAAGCTGGCACCAGTGCTTAATGCCTATGATGCCAAGTACAGATTCGCCAAAGACAGCCGATACTATGATGCCAAGGTAAATCCACTTAAGCATCTGCGTGCATACATTCGCCTATGCCAGCTTATTGAGAATGAGCAGCTTGGCAAGTCTCTCTCCCAATGCTTGCCTCTGCGGACATCATGGATCCCAGGCCATGTGCGCTTAGACAAGCAAATAATCAAGCAGGTGTTTATTTCGAAAACACGCGAGCAGGCTACAGAGATCAACGCAGCAAAGAGAGCAGCAACAGAGGCAAGGAAAGCAGCAGACATTCCGGCATATTCCTAACCCGCGGCCCTACCAGAGATCGAAGAACCCAACTGTGAAGTGCCATGGCCTTCTCCGCTGTACAGGCGAGTCATGTAAGCGGGCCATGGCACAATACAGGCGGGCCTATTCGTCTCGGCTCTTGAACCGCGATCTCGCAGCAGTTCTAAACTTCAGGCTCATTTTCCAGTCACTCTGTGATTCAGGCAGTATTCCTGAACGGTTCCGTCGTTCTACGGCCATTGCTGCCAATGCTTTTGGCACCACCTCTAAAACAAAGAACCCGCGCAAGAGGCATGCAGCAGCAGCAGGCGATTCTGTTGCCAGCAGCAGCGAACCGGTGCAGAAACATCTGCGCTGAGCAGACCACCAAGATGGGAGATGTCCATGATCACCATTGCACCAACAACCATCCGACACGTTCAAATGACCGATTCGCCGTGATGCCCTTATCGATGTGTCAACCCATGCTGACTAGCAGCCGAGCTCGCATCACGAGCAGAACAATTCTAGTACAGGAATCGAACTACTATAAGGAATCGATGTATAGCTATTGATACACTGTGTATGGTACATAGCTGCGTGTAGCTCGAGTATCATGTCCAGCAATTGGAGATGGATGACAACCAGCTGTCAATGCGGACCCATCGAACCGCTTGAACAGTTTGGTTGCTGGATTGACTCAACTCAGCTCATATCCATAGTGCCGACACAAGGAATAAAAAGCTGAGGCAGCACGTACCATGAGGGCTGCTCACATGCAGCCGTTGGCCACCACGGCAGTCTGCACCACAAAGCATCCCAACTGCTACTGGCCAGAGCTGATTGGGACTGTACACAAAACAGATCGCCACGGAGCTCAGGAAAATCTTTCGGTTTTTGATACTCTGTCGTCTGTTGTACATAGCTCATCGAACCCTTCGTTTCTTAGATAGCATTTGACACGTTTTGCACATTAGCATAGTCGTATGCACTGAGGGGGCATGTCCCCTGCAGCACATTTGTGTGGCGTTATGTGAGCACGCACATGTTGTTGTCTTCTTGTTGGCCAAAGCGCACAATGGTGCAAGCTATCCAAACAGTCGAGGTTGAACTCCAGGCCATTAAACTCCAGCCCTGATTATCGTCGATATATGTTGCTCCGGGTGGTGAAGCGCTGTATTTGCCCCGTATCTTTCGGCTGTCTCCTTGGCTTCATAGGAAACCAGGTGCGGAAATCCAGAGTCCTCCCCGTGGTTGGCGATTCCTGCCTGCATTTCTGGTTTGTTTTCAGAACGAGCAAAGATACAGCCAATAGTCAGTCCACTTGCGAGAAAAAATATTGTGGCTCCGTGATTCCCTATGGTTGGGTTTCTAGAAGCTTTCTGCTTTAGGGAATGCACCTGTTGCGGTGGTGAAACCTGGCGCCATATATAAACGAAGACTCCGTGAAGGCACGCGCTGGGATCCAGATAAGCCGTCTTTACAACTCTTACCGCTCTCTTTCCTCTGTACTTTTCCCAAACAACCTAATTGCCCTCCTTTAATACACGCTGACACCATGACCATGCTGAAGTGCTCCGATATCAGCCCCCGCCAGCAGCAGCTCCTGATGCAGTGCTACTGCAAGACTATGCATAACACATACTACTACAACTACGTGTCCGATGAGCAGAACGTCGTTTGCACTGTTGGCGACAAGACCACCTACAATGGAAACACCACTGAGATTTGCGCAAACCACGAAAAGTACAGCGACTGCCCGGGCGTCAACATCTCGCCCAGCACCGGTGCCCACATCACTCTGAGCAAGGTCGCACTGCTCGCTGTTGCCTTCTCGTCCCTGCTGTTCATGTAAAGTGTCTCCATAGCGACCAGTACCAGATTCTCTTTATTTCTCCGTCAATTTTAGAATATACACATTGAAAACGATCAGTGCAGTGCTGGTGCTGCTGTGCTCTTGCGCCTTCATATTCCTAGCTAAGTGCCAAGTGCAGATACAGTCATCCGCACCGATCTGAGCAGGTGCTGCGCGTCCTTCTTGACCTCTTCCCACTGCGCAAGAACCGCCGACTTGTGCTTGGTCTCAGCGGCGACTGCCTGGTCCACTGCATGCTGGTAGGTTGCAAGCATCGTCTCCATGTCGCTACAGGTGGAGTTGGTGCTCGGTTAGGGTGGATGCGTGGGGCAGGTGGCTGTGGCTTCTGCTGACTTGTGCTGCTTACCTGACTATTGCAATCCCTTGCTCCGCCAAGCTGCTGACTGTGGTCTGGATGTCTACATTGATTACAGTATTCATTAATGGTCAGTTACGTGGCTGGATGACGACATCAGCGTGTTGCTTGCCTTTGATGTGCTGGATTGCAGCTGCAGGGGTGAGATCTGGGTCAAACTCTGGCTCCTCTGGCTCCTCTGTTTTTGCGGCTCCCTGCTCTGCAATCCCTGTTGGCTTGGCTAACGCATCAGACAGACCCAGTCCGCCTGGGCTCATCTGCAGGATGTCGTCAGGAAAGTCAATGCTCCCGCTGAACTCGTCGTCGCTTGAATCCCGAATCACGACCTGGCTGGCCTCCATGTCGCTGTGTTCGATAGCACCAAGCACACTGCCAACTGCCCGCTTCAAGGACCTGGTGTGTTGTGCCTTGGTTCTCTTTTGCACAGGCAACTGAACATGTGCGCTGTTGTTTGTACTGTCTACCCAGCAGCATGACGTGTCAGCAGTTATTCATGGCTATCAGCCGTTGATTATCTATGCCAATTACTTTGTAGTCCTCGTTTGCCTTTGGTGCTATTTCCACTTGCGCTTGCTGCCTTTGGCGCTGGTACTGAATCCTTATTCCTGTCTGCTGCGACATTCAGTGGTGTGGGTCTGATACCTGTGCTTTGTGGTTGTGTTTGCGCTTGAGGCTGCTCCTGCTTCTGCCTGCTATAATCGCTTCCCACAGGTCTGATAGACGTTGGCATCAGAATCGGCTTTGCATATGTCATACTGCTGTTGCTTTGAATGGCTGTTGAACCACTAAAGCCGAGGTTCAGCGGGCGTGCGCTCCGTGGAAGCGGTGACTGCATGCCACTGGGATCAAATGCAAATGGTCGTCCTCGCTGTCTATTCTGGTCAAAATCCATTGCAAGCGAGTGAGTGCAGAGCGGAGTGGAAGCAGGCAGTGTGCAATGTCCAATGCAAAGGTTTGGCGCATATATGAACAGCCCAATGCACCTAGCATTTACCCAGGCGGATGCCTGACTTGCCTGCCCCGTAACCTGCGCTGGGGATTCATCGGGTTTGGAATATTGCGATCAGTTTGCACAGTTTATCCACAGCACCTAGCAGCACCATACGATAGCACATCTACGCAGCATGCAGTTATTCGGAGGGTGCAGTTTGGTTTGTCTGCACGCTACACTGCGTCACTGCTCCCACCGTATTGCCGGCATCCTATCAATATCCCATCCTGGTCTTGGAATCATTCCAAATCCGAATCCCCTGTCCACGCATTCATTCGAGAGGTATTCCCAAAGCACCTCTCATTCGCACCTATAACCATGCAACCAGCCATGCATGGAGTAAACCTGGGATAGTGCTGCCATCCAGAGTGGGCTGTCGTCCTTGAAGAGAAAGCACGCCTCTTTGTAGCTGACCGAATGCGCAGATCGCACTTCAATATAAAATGTGGTGCTGTTGACATTTGGCTTGGATGTGCCGCTCCCAAAAATAAAGCAAGCCGACCCTGCAATGGCCAGTCCGCATGTGCGTCTCGGGTGCGCAATATGTGCCAGCTGACCTACGCCTCCACCCAGTATTCTGGCTTTGCAGGTCGGAGATATTTCTGGGTCTCCAGCGTGACGCGCAAATCAAAGCCCGGTTTAGGACAGCATGGTACAAGGTTGTTCTTTGGGTCGGGTTTGAGTGTGGCAGCTCAAACCCATGTACATCAAGCTTTACATTTCCATACCAGGAATGCCGTATCTCGCAACTATACAAATAGTCTTGATCCAGGACAGGCTGTGCTCACAATAATTAGCAGCTGTCTTAGCAACCTTCCAACACAGCCCCACTTTCACATACAAACTGCGCTTTGGTGGTTCAAGGCTGGTAACTACTCCTCCACTATCAAGCGTCTAACGCCGGGCTCCCAAGGATCTATTCTGCTGCAATGGGGTTATTCACCTTCTTCTCCTCCCTCACTCTCGCGTCTGCTGTCATGGCACACACCTATCTCAGCTATGACATCTTCAACGGCGAGCGCAAGTCTGAAGGCACCTGCATCCGCCGGTACTGGAATGCCAGCAGCAGGAACTGGTATGTGGTAAACGACAGAACCCAGGGGATGATTTGCGGCATCAACAATCTCAATTCCACTGCTGCGAAGACCTGCGCTGCAAAGGCTGGCTCCGACACAGTCTTCGAGTGGCATCTCAATAAGGACAGCCCGTCTGATCCGTACATCAGCCATGGCCACAAATGTGCCTGTACTGTGAACATGGTTCCTGCCTCGACAAACGGACTTGGTGCCTCGTGGTTCAAGGTATTCGAGTAGGGCTACAACGCAACCACCAACAAGTGGTGCATGGATCAGATCCATGAAGGCGGAGGCAAGGTCAATTTCACAATCTCTGCCGATATCAAGGATGGCGATTACATTGTGCGTGGAGAATTCATATGCCCGACTTTCAAGGGCAACGCCGACTCATTGTTTGTCAACTGTGCGCACATCTCGGTTACTGGTGGCGGCAGTGTTGGGCCCAAAGGCTACGACATCACCAAGGCGTACCAGGCATCGAACGAGTCCAAGTACTCTGCCCGTAACAAAAACTTCACTTCATACCCGATTCCTGGCCCTGCTGTCTATGTCCCTGGATCTGGCTATAAGACACCTTCGTCAGCTGCAAGCACTGCACCTCTAGCGGCTAGCAGCTATGTCTCATGGGCTCCGTCTCCCTTGGCTTCATCAAATAACAAATGCACCTAGCTTCATCGTTCGCCGTAATGGCCCTTTATAACATTATCCTTGAATCACAAATACTATGTTCGGCATAGAATATTGCCTCAGCACCCAGTAGCTCTGCTGTTTACACAGCTAGTCGATGTGCGTCGCTTCGATTTGCAACGCAGCGGCCAACATAGGCATGTGTGTATGCAAGCCAGGCTTGATTCGGCTCGGCTCATCGACTCGCAAGTGTTCAGCTTGATCGCGTTTTGGCGTTTTAGCCATCACTGCGCTCTGCAAAGTTGTTTTAAAGCTTTTGCATGCCTCTTTGCCATTCACATTTCCCACTTTCCATTCTACTAGCATTTCTATTATTATCCTAATGAACTAGGGCGTAAATGTTCAGCGAGCTCAGGAGCACATTTAATAGAAACCCAGATATGAGCAGGCGAAACGCCCACACGAGAGCCCGCAGCCCACACAGCTCAACTCCTCGAGGGTCGAGCTCCCCACCGCAGCTGTCGCAGCAGAAGCAGCAGGGACAGCACCAGCTGCATACATCGGCTAGAACAGTGCGACCCATACCTCACCTTGCTCGGCCACAAACAGAAGCGGCCCGGTTATACTACGAGTCGCTAATTTGGCGCGGAATCTCATTGCTGCAACCACACTCGGTCTTGTATATAGCTGAAACATACCATTCATGGTTTCATAACCTGGAGGTAGTTGATATCGCTGGCAGTATACTTCAGCAGACAGTTGGGAAGACGGGTGAACGGACAACAGAGCCGCGGACAGACATGTTCGACGTGCGCAGCATATACTGGCTGGCGCTGTGTCATTGGCATCTGGGCGAGGTTTCGGCTGTCTACGCGCTGCTCAGCCCGGTGATAGTTGAGATCGACTTCATCATCGACATGTGTGACAGCAGCTCTGAATCGGTGAGTCGTGTGGCTAATGCGCAGCATCAGGGTAGACGCGAGGATTCACCACAGCTGAAAGCCAAAAAGGCACTTGCATGTTCATTATGGCTGCTGTCAGTGGCTTGCACACGGCTCGAAAAGTGGCAGGAGGCGGAGGACAACCTCGAATCGCTGGTAGACATCTTGAAGCTGGTGTTTCTGCCTGATCAGCCAGGCAGCTCTATTGGGGCGGACATCCAAACAGATGTGACTGGTGAAGCCGCGATATACGCTGTGCCGACAATAGCAGATACTCGTGATATGCTCGGCATGGTGTGTCTACGGACAAACAGGACCGCGCAGAGCGAGGAGCACTCGTTGGAGGCAGTGAGACGGAACCCTTTGCTGTGGTCGGCATGCAGACGTGTCTGCGACTTGGGATCTGGAGAGCGGCTTGTGCAGCTGTTGGATGGCAGCGCTGATCGGTTCTCACCTGATGGACTGCTGCCTAGCTCCGAGCAGTCGTCCCAGTCGCTCGCAGAGTCAGGGTCTGAGCCACTAACACGGGTGCACCCAAATCGTACAAGTTATACAGGAATTCCAGGTATACCATCAGGGGCGCTGAAGCGACCCAGTGCAGCGACTAGGACAACAAAAGGCACTTCAGCACGGTATAGGCAGTCTGGTACGCAATCAACAGCCGATATTCAGGCCCGCACACGGGCAAATATACAAACACCGATGTCGTCGATACCAGCTGGCCCCAATACCAGATCACGGTCGCACCATATTCAGCCGACAAGCAATGCATCGTTGTCATTGAGAGGACCGACAATATTGGCCCGTGGGCAGGCGTCACGACCGGCTGCATCTGCATCTGCATCAGTACCGGCATTGGCACCGGCGTCGGCATCGACAAGGGCATCCCGCTCGAAGGACTCCAGCACGCTGGCTCATGAGAAGAAGCGCACACGCAACGGAGCAATGGTAAAATCGATATCGCTGGACCAAATGTGCGAGCCTGTGACTGCATCAAGCAAAAGCAGAGCATCCCAAATTCGCGAGCAGAAGGCTGCACTGGCACACATGTTCCAGTTAGTGGTGGCCAGTAGCCAGATCTATTCCAATGCAATGGCGTACAGGACATATGACGCAATCCAGTCTTTCTCGCGGTTACCGGCAGAGCTGCAGAACTCTGCACTGGGTCTCTGCTTGCTTGGTCGCATCTGCTTTGAGGCCGGGCGCTTTCCAGAAGCACACCGGGCGTTTTCGAGCGGCCACCATATTGCCCCCCATCGTGTTCGTGACATGGACATATACTCAACTCTGCTGTGGCACATGAAACGCGAGGAATCGCTGGCACAGCTTGCTCACGACATGATTTCCATCGGTCGTACATGGAGTCCCGAGGCCTGGATCACGGTTGCCAATTGCTTTTCGCTCGACGGCGACCGTCAATCGGCACTGAAGAGCCTTCGGCGCAGTATCCAGTTGTACAAGCCAAGCCCAGGACTGGCACTTGCTCCACGCGTCGACTCGGGCAGTCAGGGTGGGCTTGCGTACGCATATACGCTGAGCGGGCACGAGAGCACGGCAAGCGATGAGCTGGACCAAGCGCAACAGTCGTTCCGGACTGCAGTGCGTGTCGACTCGAGGCACTGCAACGCGTGGCATGGCCTTGGCACTGCCTATCTGCGGCTGGGGAAGGTAGATTTGGCTGAGTACCATTTCAAGCGGGCCCTGTCGTTGAACAGCCAGAATCCGCTCCTGCTGCAGAGCGCTGCTGCGGTGTTTGAGGCGCGCAAAGACAACCAGCAAGCGCTAGCGACATACGAGCGGATTGAGTGCATGATGCAGCCAGTGACAGTCGGCAGCAACTGCAAGGGCAAAGAGGTCGATGAGGAGGGTCGTGGCCATATCGGCCTTGGCGCTGTGCCGACGGAGCAAGGCATACTAGTGGGCGGGCTTGGATCGCACCACGCGCTGAACTTTGTCATGTTCAAGCGCGCCCGCATTCTGATGATTCTCGAGCGCTACGACGAAGCGGCGGCAGTCTTCGAGTGTCTCCTCCGCCGGTGCCCACATGAATTCAATGTGCCGTTTTTGCTGGGCCAAACGTACACTCACCTGCGCAGATACCGCGAGGCTGCTGCCTGCCTTACACGGGCGCTTGATATCGCACCAGAGAACGCGCCTAATGTGCGCGAGCTCTTTGACTCGCTGTACCAGCACCATTCGCCTGACGAGCAGGGCGGCAGCGGTGCACAGAATGCAGCTGCTGGTTCCCAGCATGGAGCCGCACCTGACCGCACTCCTGACAACAAGTTCACAGAGCACGACCCAATGGTGTCTACGTCCCAAGGCAGCTCCCCGTACTTCCAGTCGCCTGCGCTGTATGCTGGGCGAAGGGGAGAGCAGGAGTGGCGACAGGACTGGCAGGCGTTGGACAATGCAAGCGATCGCGTGGACCGGGTGCTGCGGTTCGATCTCGAATAGTGAATTGACCAGTGCAACAACTATAAATATGAACTCTAGCTACTTGCTGCTGGCGACATGTGTGCATGCAGCGTCACTGCTTCATGTTCAGCCAGCTGGCAATCATTGGGATGCTGTGGCTCAGGTTAGCGACCTTGGACAGCGCAGCATTCGCGGTCTGCGCAGTGAGGCTGTCTGGTGCGACGGTGCCGAGGGAGGCTGCCATGTCGGCAGTGGGGGAAATCCCAAGGTCCTGGTGTGTCCAGCCCTGAATGTCGCCTGTATACTCTGCGACCTTGAGGACTACACCAGTTGGCTGGCTGGCAGCGGATGGTTCGGGCGCCATATCGTCAACCCTTGCACGCTTCTCCTCGTGTGCTGCCTCCTCTTGCCCAGGCGCCTTGCGAATGACAAAATCGATACGGAACGGGTCGCTGGCAAAGGCACGGGCCGAGATGTGGATGGTAGAAGAAAGCTCATCGCTACCGCTATCAACATCATGCTGCTGAGAGAAGCAGCTGGAGAGCAGCTCGTTGAACACTGCCTGCCGACGCAGTATTGGTACGATGCTGATGACGCTGCGCAGGTGGTCAAGCGGAATGCGCTCGATAGACCACGCGCGGATCTGGGGTGGCTCCATCTCAACCGTGACCTGATCCCCACCGAGGTTGTGCACAACCTTCGGCAGTGTCCGGTCTTTGGAGCCGACGCTCTCACCACCGCTTTCCTGCTTGCATGAGTGGCGGTAGACCAGGTATTCGAGCGTTGGGGCGTCCTCAAGTAGCCGTGGTGAGTCTTGCATGGTTGCTGCAACACTGGCAGTGTCTTGTGTCTCTGGGCTCAGACAGGCAGCAGTCATCAGCTTGCGCACAGTCTGCGCACAGGCTGGCATCGATGGCGCAAGCTTGGCCACAACGCGATAAGGGACCCAAAACTTGTCGTCAAAATCTGCCTTTTGTGCATCCGAGTCTACTTGCATTTGGCTAGGGTTAGCCTGGCGCCGGATGAACTCCAGGAAGCGGAGCTGCAGGCCGTGGATCGTTGGGTGCGAGATGCTGGCCACTCGATGTGACTCTGAGTCCTCAATCATGTACTCTGGCGACAGACAGTGCTGCTGGAACAGCGCAGACAAGAAGCACTGCGGTGGTTGCGTCGGCTCCCAGCCAAAGTGCAGCCAGATGCACTTGTCAAAGACCGCCATATTCGGGAACGTGTTTGTAGCCAGCTGTGCCCAAGCAGCACCCGATATCCCTGCCTTCAGCACTGCAGGGACATATAGCAGCGACGATGAGCCGACATGGCACGTGTGTGGCAGCGATATGCCCGATCCGTACCGAAGCAGCTGCTTGGCATCGCTGTCCAGCGCCGCTAGCTCTTGCTTCTGGATCTCGTTAAGGGTCGCGACCATTGCGAACATGTTGTGTAGAAAGTTTGCTGGTGTGCGCACCTTTGTCAGTTTATCCAGCTCGGCCATCTCCTCAATCAGCCGCTCAAACCCATGGATGTCGCGTTTCTTCAGCTTGGACAGCATCAGTGCGTCGATCCGCTCATCGTGCTCTGTTTCCGATGCGTATGACACCTTGACTTTGAGAAAATCGGCGTTGTCGCTGAGGTCGACATCGATAACAAGGATCTCTCCGGCCAGGGTCACTGTGGTCACCTTGGTTCCGTTGTTTGTCTGCTCGTCAGTATAGCTGGCCAGACCAAGCTTGCTGGCCAGCGCCTTGGCCCGGTCGACCAGCAGATCAGCATCACCCTTGAACCCGCTCTCCAGCGCGGTAGAGATCGCGTCTGCCGCAGAGTCCATCAGCATGGATTTGCACTTGACTAGGTCGACATGCAAGCCATCGGTAGATTGGCGCATGGTGCTGAGCTCTTGGGCTGACGCAATTGCCCTGTTTGTTGATCCTAGCACCGCAGTTGCCAGTGGGTTCGGGCTGCCGTCTGGCATTTGCATCGCGTTGGCACTGTTGGCCAGAAGCCCGCTCCAGGATGTCAGTGTGGAGTCACGATAGGTTGTCAGTGCGGTCCGCAACCGCCCTACTGCCTGTCTAAATATCTCCTTGGATTGGCTCGCGTTCACTGGCCCGAACGGGTGCAGTCCGATGGTCCCGTCGGCCTTGTCCAGCTGAGACTGAAATTGCGAAATGACATGCTGAATCTCACGAAACTCGTCAGAGATAGTGCGCTGTGGCTGAGGCAGCGCTGGTGTGGCCTGCTGGTTATCAGCCATTGAAGGTATGGAAACGTAGTAACGAATGGATAAGCAGAGGCAGCATTATTGAAAATTGCAATAAAAATCAAGGAGAGAATATATCCCCAGTGGGCATGGGCCACTTGTTTGTGGGTGCGAATCGCTCAGCACTAAATTGCTGCTACTTTTTCAGACAGGGATGTGCAGGTAATGTGTACCGCTCCAGTGGGGTCAAAAAGGTTGTAGATTAAAGCAACAGCTTTACCAGAGTCCCACATCAGATATACCATGGGCCCATTTAGGACAGCCTGGATGCTGTTCATGCCAGGCACGTGTGCGTGGCAAAGCACCCAGTCCCGAGTCAAGCGCGTTTGCTGGTCAGGCTGGACAGGAGTGTTCATAGGGTGTGCAGGTGGGTATTTCCTGGACATTCCGAAAAGCGCGGGCGCTGGCACATGCTTTAAACGATTGCTGTGTGTTGCCTCAGTCTTTTATCCGGCTCTTGTGTATGCATAGCGTGCTCTCGGTGCAAAGCGTGGCACCGGGTATCAATCGCACCACTATCGACATATACAGAAAGCTATTGCGCTTAGGCCCCAACAGAACTGGGTCTGACACGGTTGCTAGTCGAAATAGTAAAATGCGGTCGGTTGGGCTGGTGCTATTTGTGTTTCTGGGACTGGGCTGGAAAGCATGGGCGCGGAGGTGCGGGCGACGGCACCCCAGAAGTCCCCAAAGAGCCGGCGAAGGGGTTTAGAAAGCCCCTGCATTATTTTTAGCGCCGTCGTGCTTTGCGTGAGAAAATAGCGCTGGGGATTTGTGGGCTCAGGCCAGCCCAGTGCGACGGCAGCACCGATCCGGCGCCAACAAAAGTAAATTGGCAACCCGCCCGCTGCACCGCGTAGCCCCCAACATTGCGTAGGCTGCCTGCCATATGGAGCAAATGCTGCCTCTTGGAGCAGGCTGCACAGCCCCCAGAGCCAGCCCGGCGTCAGCCCAACGTGCCCTCAACGTGCCCGCAGCGTGTTCGTCCAGGGCATATTTCTGGCGGATCTAGCACGGTGAAATGTGCTACGGCAGCACCGTATAAAAGACAGCTGGCAGCGCAGCCGGCCAAGAGACTCGACACTCAAACACGTCTCTACATCTCTAATACTGCTCACAGCCCCAGCACACAGCTCTTACAATGGCTTTCACCAAGATCTTCCGCAAGTCCACCAAGGCTGCGCCGACCAGCTCTGCCCCGGCCACTCCCCGCGGCTCTGCCGAGCTGCTCCGCGGCACCAACCCGATGGCAGCCTTCGACAAGCTGCGCAAGCAGCAGACCGACGCCACCATGGCCCGCGCCTTCATCCGCTAAGCAGGCTGTGCCCGCAACAACCACCTCCATATCATTCATGTAAATAAACAATTCACATACTATCAATATGCACACCCTCCGGACATGATTGAAGCAGAGTATTCGCGTGCACCCTTAGCCTAGCTTTGCCAGAAACACGCACTGCCACACACTTCAGGGGGTTGAGGTGGAGAATGTATTCACAGAATTTTTACATGGAGAGAAAGCTAAGCCTGGACATTACCTACAGCACAGAAAAATAGAGTCGCAGTTAGTGCCAAAGCCAATTCACACAGTTCACCAGCCGGGAATTGGGAGAGTTCAGAAATTAAGTCCTCTGCATTCATGAAAGCCATCGTGGGCAAACACCTCGGTCAGGGATAACAGTCGCTAACTCCTTTTGGAGAAAGCCTCATCATAAGCACATCGTAGCCGTGCAAACCGTCTGACAGCGCGAGACATACCTTACCGCGAAGTAGACGAAAAGCTTTGTAGCGGGAGCGAGAAGAGGAAAGGACCAGGATTCGGCGGCGGACAGCGGATCGGGGCTTCATTTATACGCCCAAAAAATTTTCATTTACCGGTAATCCAGAAACCAGGCCGAAATCACGGTGCAGATTACACTGCCAAGAGTCCGAAGCCGGGCTGGCCGGCAAAATGCGGGTTTCAGGTTTATTGGAGAGGGTTACAGAGAAGAAGCAGGCTATAGAGGTGGAAGATCAAGAAGAGATTGAGAAAGACAGCATGTCTGTAGAGGAGAGGTCAGTAATAACAGCTAGTAGATAAGCAAAAAGGTTACAAAGGTGGAGAAGAGGTAATGCAGCAACAAAATAATAATATTACAGACAGGGGTTAGTACTTCCAATCTCGGGCTACGTCGACAATGCGCGCCCTCTCCAGAATGAACTTCCCTTCCTTGAACTTTTGGTCTGGCGAGTACGCTTTGACGTAGGTCCAGCCGACATACTGTTCGCACTCCATGCAGGTGATGTCCTGGACGACATGCACGCCGGTTGTCATTTTGCGCTCGTCCTCGTCACCAGCGACAACGTTCACCAGCTTGTCAAACAGGATGGCGCGACCGTGCTGGCCTGTGTAGTCCTACAAGTCCGATGGGGCTGTTGTCAGTTTGCGGTGGCACTGTGGGCGGGTCTGAAAGGCCATAGCGCATGAATGGCAAACAGCAAGGGAGGGATGTCGCAATCGAAAATGCGAGTCGTATTTCCAGTGCTTTTCTTTGGCAGATAGTGTGTGCGCGCCTCAGGCCTGCTGCCATGCGGGATGCATTCTTTGCAAGGCGGCAAAAGTGGTATGCGTGGTGGTGCAACCAGCAGCCAAGGGAGGCGGCCTCGCGCAGGCAAGGTTGCAAAAAATAGAAATTGATGTGCATCGAATGTTGGCTGACAGCTTCCACGCGGGAGAGGCGGGTCAGCTGTGGAAATGGCCCTCATACACGTTGATTGCACAGCGCAGATGAAGAGCGCACTCGAATAGTGCAGAGCGGGATGGTATAAGCAGCACACTCTACCTTTGACCGGATCTTCTCCTTCTCGACAAAGTGCGTGCCACAGTGTGAGCAGCCGTATATGCCCTTGCCCTTCAGAAACACCTTGTACATGTACCCCATCTTTAGGAATAGGAGGCAGAGCGGATAGCAGCGGGTTGATGTCTAGCAGCAGAGAAACAGAAAGCCAGGGGTGCAGCGAGTGGTACCGCAGAACAAGAAGCGAGCAGGGCTGCAAAAAGGCAGGAGCAGAAAACAGAAATATGCAGAGGAGAGGTGCAAAAGCAAGTGCCAGCCGTGCGCCAACACCTTTTCTCTGGCTGCCCACACACTGGCGCAGGAGCTGCGGGTAGCCCAAGCCAATGCCGCCGCTAATGCTGTGCCAAAGAGCAACGCATATGCGGGCAGCTGACTCGCCCAAAGGGTGATTTAATCCTGCCGCTGCAGCTCCGCCACATGCACTGCGGAATCCTGGCACGGTCCTGTTTTCCTGCAGCATATGCTCAGCAGCGCAGCCAGACCAGCGGATATCTGAAACCCTCGCCTCGTCGGGATATCGCGCCAGCTGCGGTGGTGATGGTATCTGGCCACCGCCCATGGTGTTTCCTACCAGCAGCGTGGGCGTCTCACTTTGGGGGTGTGTCGCTGCCAGGGACAGGGGTGCGGCACTGCGGCACCCTTCTGCAGCGGCTGCCCTACCTTTCTGTTCAGTGGAGCCCGAGGCTGCATTGCCTGCTGCAGTGACAAATGACGTTGCCTGGATCCCATTCCAGTGGACTATCGCTGATCATCGATGCCAGTGGCCGGGAAGATACATGCTAAAAATAGAGCGTGGGCGAAGCTCTACTGCTGGTGCGGCCCACAAAGCGTCTTCAGACACGGTTCACACTGGTCAAAGATACCAGCCACGTGAGCGAATCGCCCGCTGCTAGCCAATGGCAAGCGACGCTCTACATATAACGAGCCAATGATCGACCGTCTCCTCCCCACACATTTTTATCGCAGGCTACTTCCGTTGTTTTGCAAAAGGTCGTGCGACCTCTAAAACAAAGCGCGCAAAATAAAGCACAGGAGGGAAATTAGGCCCGCGTGAAAGAACCGCCAACCCGTACAGGACACAGGTGCGCTCCAGGGGCGGAGGCTCTATAAAACGCGCGTCAGCAAGGGCCCAGCAGAGGCTCTTCTCTCCTCTTTAGCCAACAAGCACTAGCATTTTAGTTTCTTGCCTTTTTTCACATCTCGCAGCTTTTTTTTTATTCACATCGAAACCATGGTTTTCAGCAACTCCCTCTTTGACGCCTCTCTCCTGGGCACCGCTGCCGCATCGATGGTGCCCGCCAACCACATCCTGCGGCCACTCGAGCTCACAGACTTCCGCAAGGGCTATGTCGAGTGCCTGTCAAACCTGACCATTGTCGGCGAGGTCACCGAGCAGATGTTTGCCGAGAGCTTTGAGGAGATGCAGCGCGCTGGCAGCTACTTTGTTGCCGTGATTGAAGACCAGGAGACCGGGCGCATCGTTGCGTCGGGCACGCTGGTGGTCGAGCAAAAGTTCATCCGCATGTGCGGGCGTGTGGGCCACATTGAGGATATTGTGGTTGCCAAGGGCCAGCAGGGCAAGCGGTTCGGGTTCACAATCATCAAGCAGCTCCGGGAGCTGGCCCATGCGACAGGATGCTACAAGTCCATCCTCGACTGCAGCGAGGAGAACGCGCCGTTCTACGAAAAGTGCGGGCTCGAGGTCAAGGGCCTGCAGATGGCTGTCTACTCGCCGGACGCAGCCAGCAAGAAGACCGCCACGGCCAACATCTAGACTTAGACAACCACATGTTTTCTTTTGCATCCTTCATCCTCCCTCCCCTTGTGTTAATTTCACTCATTAAATATTCTCACCGCTATATTTAGACAAAGAGGCTGAACAGGACATCAGGCAGATACCCCAACACGGCGAGGTCGGACAGCGCCAGCCGCACATGGCGCTGGAGCACTGGCGCGCCAACCAGCTCCTGCAGACCCACCATGCGTGATCTGAGCTGCTCGGCAAACACAGCCTTTGCGTCGCCTATCGATGCGCCGCGATCTGTGCCAGATCCGCTGCCGCGCGCTCCCACGAATCCCAACATCTCGTCGCTGGCAATGCCAGCCAGCGCCGCGCATGCCTGCACCTCGGTCACACCCTCGGGGTGCGCCAGCGACACTCCGGCCAAAATTGGCAGCAGCCAGCTGACGCTCAACAGCGACGCTATCCAGTCGGAAGCTGCCGTGTCGTGGCTGCCCGACCGCACAATGCTGCCAGCAAGGATCAGCACGTCCAGTGCTTGAATGACATAGTGACGGGCAATACCAGCATGCTCACTCTCACATGAGTGTATTTGGCTGGCCACGCTGCGGAGGCCCCACGCGACTGCGCTGTTGACAGCCATGCGGCCGGTCCCAGAGCCACGTTGCGCCCACTCCCTGACCAGGCGCTTGAGCCAGTCCCCCACCATCCTGCGCCGCTCGTGGACCGCCGCTGACGTTGCCAGCTGGTGGCGCAGAATCAGCGCCTGCTGCTCGACAGCCTCGCAGAACCCATCCGTGTCGAGCTGGTCCATGGGTTGGCCCAGAGCCCGCTCTGCGCTGTCACGCCCAGAGAACGTTGCTGAGATTATCCGCCGGCTCATCGCCGCGAGCTCGCGGCCATGGCGGATCTGCTTGGTTGCCCCCAGTGCTTGCAACAAATCGCCGACGATCCTCTGCCGCGCTGCATCCAGCACCACCATGCCTTGCTGGGGTCCAGAAGACTTGTTTCCAGCAGTCGGAATGTACTCCGCAAAGGTGTCGAGGATGAAAATCTGGTAGGCAAATATCTGCGGCGATCCAATCGTCACGCCTTGCTTGGCGCTCAGCTGCAGCCGCGACATCAAGCCCACACACACATTGGCGGTCTTTTGCGCTGGGATCACAACCTTGCTCAGCAGCCGGAACATGCGCTCAGCCTCGGTCTCCGTGCCGTTCAGCGAATGGCCCTGGCTATCTCCTCCAGTCTGTGTGCGGTTCACGATTGACGCCAGCTCTTGCGACACGCATACCTCGTCGGTACAGACTGCTGAAGCGACCTCTCTCGGGATCACACTGCTCTTCAACTTTGCCGCCAACGCGCGGCGAGCCAGCAAGTCATCGCCTATCGCAGCGCTGCTGGTGGCGACGAACCCCGACAGCTGCAGCAGTCTGCCCAGCCCGGTGTCGCCTACACAGGCAATTGCCAGTGCCAGCAGCGAGTTGCTACCGATCTTGTCCAAATACTGGTCGCTTGCAGGCGAGCCAAGTGCAATATCGACTGCCCTGCCAACAATGCTCTGCACGGCTTTTGTCAAGAACAGCGTCATCGAGTACGATGTCGCGCTGAACCTGCTAGCAACCCTCACCAGCAGCCAAAGCACAGGCAGCGGAGCGTTGGCCGAGCTGCCGATCCGGTCGCTGGCCATATACACCTGCAGCACACGCGTAAACACTCCGTTGAAATCGACCAGCGGGAACGGCCGCGTCATCTGCAGCATTGAGTGCAGGAGATACGCAAGCTTGCACTCGACCGAGTCGACAATCTTGCCGGATTCCTTGTCCTCCAGCGACCCTGCCAGCGTACACAGACATTCCCAGAACGCACGGCACCAGCTGGTGGGTGCTGGCAGGCGGCTCAGGCTCTGCGGCTCCTCCTCGGCAGTGGCCGTCTCCACAAACTCCGAGGCCACAGCAGCTCTCTGTGCTGACTCGCCGGCGCCCGTAGAGTTATCGGCACCGACCAGCCCGCTGTCCTGCTGCTCGGCAATAAGCAGATGCATGGAGCGACGAGACTGCGCCCACAGCGCACTTAGACACACTCCGGCAATGCGCGCAGCCCGCACATCGTCAATCTCCGCCCGAGCTATCTTGCTCACAAAGCTGTTTTGTCCTGCATCGTTGGCCGTGCCTGCGTCATTGCCATCGTTCTTCAGGTAGCGTAGCAGGCCAGAGCAGGCCACCAGCGATCCCAGCGGCTTCTGCAGCGTCTGTTCTGGCAGCCTGAGCCATGCAGTGCTGCCATACTGCACGGATCCCACACCCAACAGCACAGGCAGATTGTTCTGTTGCGCTAGCGGCAGGTACTCGTTGCTGACTGTCGTCTCGGGCACGCCATGCATAGGAATACCCAGCAGAATGGCCAGCGATACTGTGCGGTTCGCCCGCAGACTGGGCTTCTCTGTGGCTGCAAGCTCCAGATCGCCAAAATCGCCCTCGATGGTCTCTGAGAACTGGCGCACCAGGCGTGCATGCGTTGTGTGTGCTGCTCCCTGCCCTCCAGTCATTACAAGGTGGTACGTTAGCGCTGCATATGCCAGCTCGATCTGGTTAATCAGTTCCAGATCACGCGTGGTTGACTGCTTCTTGCCAGAGTCGTCGTCACCAGAGCTCCACAGCTTGCGCAACAGCCGAGTCACTGTCAGCCAAACCCGGTCGGGCGTCACCGCAAATAGACTGCCATGGAGCTCCATGTGCCGCGGTGTGATGGGCTTGGGCGGCCATACAAAGCACAGATAGAACAGGCTGGTCAGCGCTGCCTGGCTCCACCTGCCCGACTCCACCTGCCTGACAGAGTCAAACGCAGTGCGCAGCGTCTGCGATACCAGGCGCTCTGCCTGCGACGCGCGCGGCAGTTGGTTCTGCTCAGCCAGCGCCGGGTTGATCAGCCGCGCGATCCAGTGCCGGTGCATTGTGGCCAGCGACATGGCCAGCCCGATGTTGCCCAGATCGACGACTGGTCCAGCACCGCTGTCGCCAGCTGGCTGGAAGATGCCCAGGCGCTCAACACAGCGCCGCAAGTCGTCAGACTCTACCACGATGCCATCGTCGGTGTCAGACTCGCTATTTCCGCCGCCAGCCTTGCGGCTATCCAGAGCCGAGTGCAGGAAGATCATCGACCGTCCAATGGAGTGCAGCACGCTGGCTGCGATCCTGCATTTCTTTTCGGCCTGCAGCGTCAACGCCGACATCAGGAACCGGGCTGTACGGTTCAGCATGCGCGTGTCGTCGCTGTTCGGACGAGCAATCTGCCCCACACACTCGATGGCGGCCGCCAGCACCTCTTCATTGCGCGATCCAGCGCTCTCCGCCCAAAACTCTTCGGGAGATGCCGTAATGAACGGCAGTGTCCGTGTCGAATTCAACAGCTCGCTTACCGCGACTGCCAACACACTGCCTTGCGTAGTATCGACACCAGCGACTGTTTTGACCAGACCGACGCAGGCAAATATGGCGTTGGCCTGGTGGGCTGGAACGTGGCTTGCACGCAAGCTGTCGCTGACAGCATTGAAGAACTGGCTGCTGGCCAGCGATATCGCACTGGCTCTGTCGCTGGTCGACACTGCGTTGTGGTCGGCGCCAGCACCCACGCTAGCAAGGTCTGCCTGGATAGCAGCAAACGCATTGGTGAACCAAATTGACCACGAGTCGGCTGCACTGTTGCGCACGCACCAGTGATCAGCCAGCGGAATATCCACAATAAGCGACGTCAGCTGTGCTGCAAATCGGTCGATACCAGCACTGGCCGGGAGGTCCTCCGCTTGCCCCGGCCCATCTGCACCGTCTGTCACCGACGGCCCCATCATAGCAGCCATTGCGTACCCTGTTACTTGGTCCAGCTGATCTGCAGCCGGACCGTCCCAGTACTCGCTGCAAACCTTGGCCAGCGCCGGCAACAGAACGTCATTCAGCCACTGGCTTCGCTCAAAGTTGGAGCGCGTCCACGATCGACGCTGTCCCTGATCGGCCGCATCGTTCTCGTCGTCCTCGGTGCTTGTCTTTCCCTGTGCACTGCTTCCGGTAATATGGCTGCGGCGCATGAACCTGACCTCATTGTCCATCAGGCAGGCCAGCAGGTCAGCACAGCTGCCCGACCGGGAGATCCTATCCATGAGCTTGCCAATCGACAAGCCATCTTGCTCCTGCAGCTGCTGGACAAGAGACACAACAATCCTGTGCACTGCCTGATTCGTTGTGCTTCCTGAAAGCAGCGGCAGCACTTCTTCCAGTGGATACTTTGACAGCGCGGACAGGAACAGGTCGCGGGCACGGGGCTCCAGCAGCAGAGTAGTCGATGCAGCCTCTTTGGTGTCCGATCCGATATCTTCCGATGCCTCGCGCTGCTTGGGGAGCCCGCACAGCGGCTCTACAAAGTCTGCCAGGATCTCTTGGCGGAAGGCTGCATACGTCTCCGTGTCCTCACCATGTGTAGCGACCAGAGCAAAGAACTTTGCCAGAGACATAAGCACCAGCACTGTCTGCGCATGGCCTTTGCCGATCCTGGCTGTCCACAGCTCGGCCGCCTTCTTGACAATTGCCGCCCACACGCTGCGCACGCCCGCTACGTTCGCCTCGACACAGACATTGGCAATGTCAATTAGCAGTGCGGTACTGCTGGCAGACAGTGACGGCAGTGCATAGCTGAGTAACGAGTAAACAAATGGCAGAACCTGGTCAGCGTACCGATCAGGCTCATATTGCACCAAGTCACGCATAGTGACCAGAACTGTCCACTCGTATTCAGGCTCCAGCGCACTTCCAGCCTTGCGCGACAGCTGCGCAGCCTTCTTGCTCTCAACCCATTGCACAAAGACCGGCTTTAGGTCGCGCCAGACCCGCGGGTTATGCTGAACTGTTTTGTACCAGGCCCGAACTGCCAGGCAGCGTAGGCGGATACTCCCTGTGTCGCACCTCCCTGTGCGCAGCATTGATCCCTGCTTGCCGGCCTGGCCCCACATGCCCGAGATGATTGACACCACGCGAGATGTCGCATATGCATCGTGTGTCGACGCCAGACAAGGCAGTGCGTCTAGGATAATCGCGTGTCGCAGTTTCGCCGGCGCCTCTGGGTGCCGCAGCACGCCCATCAGCAGTGGCAGCAAGTTTAGCCGCATTGACGGGTATGTGGCGAGCAATGCCACCAGTTTGGCCAGTGCAAGGCGTGGGACCACCGAGCTGGTTTCGGTCCAGTCAAACATAAACGGTGCCAACAGCAATGGCCGATCTGAAATCGGCGACATGGCATTGGCTATCGTGTTCAGCGGCTTGTCTCGACTGCCAGCACCTGGTGTGTGGCAGCCAACCCAGCCAGCAACTTCTAGGTAATCGACCAGATTCTGGAACAAAAGTGCCAGGCGTCCCGAGACCCATCCAGATGTTGACATTACTGTGAGCTGCGTCTGAAGTTTGCCGAAGCTACCAGGGTCACGAAGCTCACTCGCCGGTGCAGTCTGATCAATGTCTACCGAGAGACTAAGCGCACGCGAGCAAACATCCGGCGTAAACCCGTCCATTGCGACACACAATAGCGGGAAGCGTGCTAGCGCCCTGACCTGGCGAGGTACGCCGCTAAACACTTGCTTGTTGCGCACGGTCATTTCAAGCAGCTCCAGCCAGTTCTTCTGTCCCAAAAGGGCTGCAGACCGAGCAATCTGGGATACTGCTGTAGTCCACACAACCATGTCGATCAGCTCCCGATACTGCGCGTCGGTTGTGGTTGCTTGTTGCTGAAGAGCATATGCAGTGCGGGTAATCCGAATCAACCAAAGCGAGACTGTGGTGTCATCCTGGTGCGTGCGAGGCAAGGCCGGCTGTTGAGATGAGAACTTGCTCAGCGCTTCGCTGTACGCCAGCGACGCCAGAATCAACCGGACATTGCTAGTGCAGTCAAGCAGCCTTGTCGCCACTTCGTCAGATGCACTTGGAGACAGCACCAGGATTGATTGGCAGCACTCGACTATCCACCTGAGACGACACCACCGGCCCGACAGTTCTGGGTTGTTGTATACTGTCACTGGAATCCGCACGCCAAGGTCAATAGCCCATTCGAGCACGGCCAACGCCTCTTCCGGCCGCTGAGTCTGCAAGGCAACAAGTTCAAAGACAGTCTGGATCGCCTGCACCTGTGCCCAGGAAGGGACCGATGGGTCAATGACAGCAAACACCAGGAATCGTGAGCAGCCCTGCCACACCTCAGAAAACGCCCTCTCATTCGAGCAAAGAGCCTCGCGCAGGTGCAGCAGCACGTATTGCCACACATCGGGGTTCGTTTCCACCGCCCTTCGCATTATATTGTCGCGGGCACTGCTCCCCTGCGCATACACAAGCGAATCGGCCCCAGAAACCACAAGCCTGACAAGTGCCTGGCTAGCTGAAGACAGAACCAAAGTCTCGCTGACACGACACCGCTGAGTTTCAGGCACAACCACCAGATCGCTGAGAACACGCACTGTCTGCACAACATCGGCCTTGCCTGATAGCGCCAGATGTACTATGTGCTCTATTGCTCGTGTAAACACTTGCGGGGCTGCCGCCGCAATTTCCCAGCCTAGCAGCTTTTGCCACTCGCCGAACTGTATCTCCCTTGCGTTTGAATCTGCGCTTGGCTTTGACGCCAGTCTGTCCACAACTGCCCAATGCACGCTGCGGTGCTGAGTACCCAGCAGCGTCTCCTTAGTCGACATTGAATGTATGAGCAAAGGTTGAAGAAAATAAAGAGAAGGTGGAATTAGTCGGCGCAGAAAGTCGAAATTTGGGGCTCAGGTATGGAACACGATGTGTCCTTTCCCTGTGGCAGTGATCAGTGGTGATCAGGCTATCCCCAAACTCCCAGCACTGCCACCAGGCTCCCTACTACTACTTGCCGATGCTGCAGTCGCACTATTCCCGGCACCCAACTGATTTCAAGATAGCCTCCACAGACCATTCCGGAGAAGCTAGTATTTGGACTGCAAACGGGATAAAGACGAGTATGAAGAGGACTAAAGTGTAAGGAAACAGCAGCTCACTCGTCAAGGCAATGGTTCACGCCCCTGGCAGTGAAGCCGTGAAAGTCAGCAGTTACCGGAGTGAGGAGCACATCCAGGATGCTCTCACATATCTTCCAGAAGCCCACACCATCGCCCTTAAGGTGGGAATGATCGGTATCGCTGGCAGCAGCAGCAGCAACAGCAAGCGTCATGTCGCTATCCACACTGGCTGGGCGCTGGAGCTCTGTTGCCATCGCCTCTCTCAGCTCCATTTCAATCGTATTGGCGGTAGGGAGTTCAGGCTCCCTAAAGTAAGGGAGCTCTGCCAGACGCTCAACATCCGTGGGTTCAGCATCTGCAGGAGCAATACGCTTGGGCTCAATTGGTGTTCCAGAGGTAGCTACAATGGCCATGCGGTCATCTTCCTCCACTCCTTCTAAGAGAGTCGGAGCAAAGGCAGTCGGTACTTTGCTCTTGTACGTGTACGAAACCAGTGTCATTGCGGCGCGGATGACGTTTGCGGCAGCGACACCCCGAGGGATATCTCCATATATCAGAGCTGCGGCCACCGTGATTACAGATGCACAGACCCTGCCGTTTGCGCACATACCCTGTGCCAAATCAATTACAGCTGTATCTTTGAGGCGCTGGAGGACAATCTGGATAGCACATCCAGTGATGGCCTTCTCGCTACCATCATGCTGGTAGTGAGACCTCCCAGCCGATACTGCTATCTGACTAGAAGATGGTGTTGGAACCGATTCTGGCTCGACAGCAGAGGCAATTGGCACAGTCGAGTCGTCGGCCGACTGCTTGTCTTTCGTAGAGCGGTGGGGGCGCAGCTTCTTGAGCTTCTTGAGCCTTTTGATCTTTTCGCCAGCACGCTTGGCAAAGCTACAGACACGAGTCTTGAGATGCATTGTGAAGGGGTAAAAAATTAATAATGATAATAGTAATAATATGTGGATGATATGAATAAATTAATGTGTAGGCAATAACAAGAGCGAGAAGAAGCTGTTGAAAAGATAAAGCGGGTGAACGCCTTTTTACGTGGGCGCGTTGCTAGTGGTGCCTTTTTTGCGTGTGAACGGGATGTGCGATTAGCAAGTTTGTACAACCCAAACTCAGCTCCGCCCACCAGCAAAAATCAGGATTCTGCCCCAAGCAGTACCAAATATGGTAAAAGGGTGTAGAGTACACAGGATACATGTACATAAGGGAGTGGCATCCCATCTACTCGTTTATGGATGGCTGGCAGGCTTACTTTGTATGTACGCGCTTGTTTACTCGCACGATATGGCCATACTATATGTGATTCCCTTGTAGCCTGTTGCGCTAAACGGTTCCAGGAAGTGTAGGGTATAGGAGTGGGAGAAATACGCTGTCCACTTGAGCAAAGGAGGGAAGAGATATAAAGCGGTATCATTAGTCTGCTGAGGATCTTGCTGCTTGGGTCAGGTTGATGTTCTATTCGCCACTCCTGGTGTCAGCTGCCACACTGATTTCAGGAATAGCCACGTTAGGCGTACAGCAGTGAGACGAATACTCGCCAAAAGTATGGACCATAGACTGCATGACTCTTACATAAAAGCATACTGTTCGTCCATCAGGGCAATCATGCTATATAGGTTGTCATCCAGAGAAGTATCATTCTAGGTTGCTTGCTTGTTGTGGCCATGTAGCTCCTATTTTCTCATAGCCTCAGACTCATTAAAATGGTTCATTAGGTAGCGTTGGATTAGCGGGATAGTTTGACTTGACTGTGCCTGCTAACCTAAGGGATGAGTGGTTTGTTGTAGGTCTAGAGCACACGGTGGGTGATGTAGGGTGAGAAAAGAAAAAAGAACAAGAGAAATAGCAAGAGATATCTGATATGTGAATGTATGCATTTTTCGTGTAGTACGGATTCCAAATGAACCGTAAAGCGGTAATATCTCAGTCCATAAGCGCGCTAGTAGTGCAAGCATAATGCCAACAGGAAGTGACAGAGTCAAGAGATAAATAGATGTGAAAAGCTAAGGAGAAAAGAAAAAGTAAAGGCGAGTGTAAAGGTTTTATACCTTTGCTCAGGTGGCACATCCAAAAATTAAGAGTGAATAAAGGAAAGAGGAAACAGCGAAATAAAAAGCTATGTAGTTCACAGTAATCAGATCTTGGGATTCAACCAATACATTCTAGTCGGCATAAATCTAACCTCCAGTGAATAATAAAACGGCACCAAGATAACCAGCTCTCTATATACAAACATCCTGTGTAGCAACTTCACAGCGTATCGCATCTGCATATCCATAGTCCACGAATACTAGACCAGTAATATATTAAACAGCTCCATCCCTTCATTAAAAAGCCATATAGCCACACTTTACAAACTAGCTTCCACATTATTTAAATACACACAGGAGCTATGCAGAACCGAACGGTCGTTTCATGTTGACAACATCAGCATCATATGTCGACTCACACAGTCCTGAAAACACGCTGTTCAAGCGCAGCTGCCCTGCAGTGGATGACAGCGGCGAGGGTGGGCTGGATGGCACCATTGGCTTCTGCTGCCGAGTCTTGCTGCAGTTCTTTATGTAGAGTAGTAGCGATGGGTACCACCCAAAAATAGGCGCTGGCGGCTTTGGGAACTGCAAGCTAGGCAGTTGTGTCTGTGATCTATCCTAGGGGTACTCTATTTTGGTAATCCTGGTAGTCGCTCTCATGCTGGCACACCCTGGGATCGATACCGGGTGCCATTGACACAGTACAGCCTTACAGCATTGGGGATGGGATACTGCGCCCTGATTGCCGATTCACAGACAACCTGGCACTGGGCTCAGACGGTTGGGACACAAAGCCACGCGCCAGCAACAATGCATAGCCATTATGAGCTGACCGCGGCAATACAACTAAAAGACACTAAGTGCTTAATGAAAAGTAGAATATCTTGAAAGGTCAAAGGAGTAGACTTGTACTGAATATCCTAAAAGTGTGAAAATTTGCCAAGCGGGAAAACCAATGGACAGATGAGAACAACTAAAAGGATTTCAAAGATTTCACATGACCAGAATAAGGTACGTGTGTCCAGATTGATACGCCATCCTATTCTGGTAAGCAAAAGAAGTCTGTTTATGCGAACGGGTTGAATGAAGTACTATGGTGTTGGCTACTATTTAACAGGTCCCAGCATCTGAAGGGCTGAAGTGGCCTCACATCAATTGTACAGATTGTCTCGTTTGCCATTCAATGTCATACTACAGAGTCAGTTCTCTACATTTTGTGTTGCAATACGGGGTCCGAGTTCGTAGTTATTCTAACAGGTACATACTGCATGTACCAGAGTTGTAGAACCAGATCGTGCCAATCGTGTAAACTACACAGCTAGGTCGAGTGACATGTGGTGCTCAGCATGGCTCAGACTGAGTGTGAAAACAAAACACAGGTACTATGACTGAATTCGAACCATTCTGAGAACAGAAAGTGTAGCAGTCTATACCAGTAGCCTCTGTCATTACCTAGCAGCATTGTTCTCAGCCCTGGAATCGCCTCTATATTTGTGGTTCCAATCACTACTGTAAGTGACACGCTGATTTGCCATCTCAGCAACCTCTCACAACGGTAGCTCTGACTTCATAACGTCTGTGTGAGCGTATCACTGTCAATGCTGCTGTTTTTCACGAAAGCGGTCGCTTGCTTAACAACTCCACAATCTGTAATCCCAGTTCATTAGCTGGACATGGTGAGAGACTGGTACTGAGTACAAGAAAATACTATTTAATTGAAAGAAAAGGAAAAGACCAGCTATCCGTCGTGCGCAATGCGTTTTAGGCGCGATCCTCCCAAAATCAGTGGGAAAGCGATTGGTTCTGGCAAACCGACGCTTTACCTAGTAACTTTGCCCGCTCTTGAGTCTTAATAATCATATGGGCTTTACTAGAATAGACATCGGTCTGCTAACTACCATTCGTGGATTAGCATCTTAAATTATGCTATATTAATTACAATAAAGGGAGGAGCCGTCTACAACAACCGTCAATACCCACAGCAAGGCCGTGGTGTAAGAACTATGTACATGCTGACTGCGACTGGCACTAGCGCTATGACCTCAGTAGCTCTGCGACTTGGGAATCCAATTTCCAAATATATGATTTGCAAGAACCATATAGCCATTTGACAATATCGGTATCGACTGTGGAACATAATGGTAGGTAGATTATTATTGGGATCAAGCAGTGGTAGAGCCGCTGTAAAGCCACGACTGCGGGTGTATCAGTCAAAAGAAGAGCGTACACATACGTACGCGTGTATAGCTCCGGGCTGCCCCCATCAATATCGATCGATTATCTGAGGGGTTTTCCTGGCCAGTGCCACATCAGAGAAAAGCGAGAAAAGCGAGAAAGGCTGCCCTCGCTATAAAATACTTGCCTCCCCCAGCGACATGCGCTGAATTCATTGAATTCGAAAAAGACATTTGGCGAATTCGGTTGAAATTTCAAAAATGGCAGTTACTGCAGATCTACCTTGCAGCCATCGAAGCGGTTACTGTGGTATATCTGTATTTGGATATAGGCTTGCGTTACATAATCTTGGGACCCTTTTTGCGCCTTTCTACCCTTCCCCACAGACCATTCAGCAAGTATGGTGTAGATACCTTGCCATCATTCTTCAGCAGTCGGAGAACAACGGAATAGCCGACCACCACTGGCAGCCACCCGATACTGGGCACAATCGCTCCATGTCCTTTTCTCGATTGCACCTATGGCATCGTTTGTTGACATGAACAACCGGCAACGAATAGAATCATCCACTACTCATCTACAGGCCAGATTCTTGCTGATTCCTTTGCCAGATTTTTGACGTCGAGACGAAAAATTACGCGTCGAACCCCCAGCAGCAACAAAAAATCCAGGTATAAAAGCTTGCGCACTCGCATGCTGGCCAGTTTCTCTTCTCTTCTCTTCTTCCTTACAATCCAAACGAAATATATTTCTCGTACTCGCAAATACAAGCATAATAAGGTAAGAATATTCCACTTTCACTCGCTCACTCGCTCCCTCCCACAGGTTCAAGCACACGTTCAAGCACACGTTCAAGCACATACGATACTAAACACATCAAGTATCAATACTGTTAGATGTCTGCATTTACCACTCCCATTCCTCCCTCTACCATCGCCGCTCTTCGCCTTAAAATCGCAGAGGCGCGGCACCTTCTGCGCGGCCGCCGCACTGCAACCGGAGATGTTGCCAAGACCATCGCCCGAGCGGCGTCCAAGCTCCTCGAGAAGATCATCAAGGTGACCGAGGTAGCTGATTCGGTTACCTGTGGTGTAGCAGTGTACGTTTACATGCGCTCTGTGTGGGGAAAGCCCGTGGGTGACTTGGGGCTGCTTACCAGCGATACATTCAAGAGAGAGCTCCAGAGTTCTCACCTCGTCACCCATGCAATGATTGCATCACCGCGCGGGCTGGAGGCGCTGCATGTGCTCCTTCAGGTACAGGCAAAAATTGTCAGTGCCTCCGCCGGCCGCCGCAGGCTGGCTTACTACCATGCATGCCAGATGGCCCAGAAGCAGTCGGCCGCTGCTATCGTCGTGCGCACCACCATTTCCACTCTCCGCGCTTCGCACACCAACATCTCTACCGCCTCCATGGTGCACGGGGTCACTTTTGCTGCAGTAAACATGCGCGGTTCTTCCACCACTGCCGCTGCCATAGCTGCTGATACCCGCGAGGCTACCACCGCTGCAACTGACGTGTGCGATTCTTCCACCGCCGCCGCTGCCATAGCTGCTGATGTGCGCGAGGTCACCACCGCTGCAACCGACGTGCACGGTTCTACCACCGCCGCCGCTGCCATAGCTGCTGATGTGCGCGAGGTCACCACCGCTGCAACTGACGCGCGCGATACTACCACCGCTGCCACTGCCACAGCTGCTGATGTGCGCGAGGTCACCACCGCTGCAACCGACGCGCGCGATACTACCACCGCCGCCGCTGCCACAGCTATTGATGTGCGCGAGGCTAGCACCGCTGCAACCGACGTGCACGGTTCTTCCACCGCCGCCGCTGCCATAGCTGCTGATGTGCGCGAGGCTACCACCGCTGCAACTGACGTGTGCGGTTCTTCCACCGCCGCCGCTGCCATAGCTGCTGATGTGCGCGAGGTCACCACCGCTGCAACCGACGTGCACGGTTCTTCCACCGCTGCCACTGCCACAGCTGCTGATGTGCGCGAGGTCACCACCGCTGCAACCGACGCGCGCGATACTACCACCGCCGCCGCTGCCACAGCTATTGATGTGCGCGAGGCTAGCACCGCTGCAACCGACGTGCACGGTTCTTCCACCGCCGCCGCTGCCATAGCTGCTGATGTGCGCGAGGCTACCACCGCTGCAACTGACGTGTGCGGTTCTTCCACCGCCGCCGCTGCCATAGCTGCTGATGTGCGCGAGGTCACCACCGCTGCAACCGACGTGCACGGTTCTTCCACCGCTGCCACTGCCACAGCTATTGATGTGCGCGAGGTCACCACCGCTGCAACTGACGCGCGCGGTTCTTCCACCGCCGCCGCTGCCATAGCTGCTGATACCCGCGAGGTTACCACCGCTGCAACCGACGTGTGCGGTTCTACCACCGCTGCCGCTGCCACAGCTATTGATGTGCGCGAGGTCACCACCGCTGCAACCGACGTGCACGGTTCTTCCACCGCTGCCACTGCCACAGCTATTGATGTGTGCGAGGTTACCACCGCTGCAACCGACGTGCACGGTTCTACCACCGCCGCCGCTGCCATAGCTGCTGATGTGCGCGAGGTCACCACTGCTGCAACCGACGTGAGCGGTTCTTCCACCGCTGCCACTGCCACAGCTATTGATGTGCGCGAGGTCACCACCGCTGCAACTGACGCGCGCGGTTCTTCCACCGCCGCCGCTGCCATAGCTGCTGATACCCGCGAGGTTACCACCGCTGCAACCGACGTGTGCGGTTCTACCACCGCTGCCGCTGCCACAGCTATTGATGTGCGCGAGGTCACCACCGCTGCAACCGACGTGCACGGTTCTTCCACCGCTGCCACTGCCACAGCTATTGATGTGCGCGAGGTCACCACCGCTGCAACCGACGTGCACGGTTCTACCACCGCCGCCGCTGCCATAGCTGCTGATGTGCGCGAGGTTACCACCGCTGCAACCGACGTGTGCGGTTCTACCACCGCTGCCACTGCCATAGCTGCTGATGTGCGCGAGGTCACCACCGCTGCAACTGACGCGCGCGGTTCTTCCACCGCTGCCACTGCCACAGCTGCTGATGTGCGCGAGGTCACCACCGCTGCAACCGACGCGCGCGATACTACCACCGCCGCCGCTGCCACAGCTATTGATGTGCGCGAGGCTAGCCACCGCTGCAACCGACGTGCACGGTTCTTCCACCGCCGCCGCTGCCATAGCTGCTGATGTGCGCGAGGTCACCACCGCTGCAACCGACGCGCGCGGTTCTTCCACCGCCGCCGCTGCCACAGCTGCCGATGTGTGCGAGGTTACCACCGCTGCAACCGACGTGCACGGTTCTTCCACCGCCGCCGCTGCCATAGCTGCTGATGTGCGCGAGGTCACCACCGCTGCAACTGACGCGCGCGGTTCTTCCACCGCCGCCGCTGCCATAGCTGCTGATACCCGCGAGGTTACCACCGCTGCAACCGACGTGTGCGGTTCTACCACCGCTGCCGCTGCCACAGCTATTGATGTGCGCGAGGTCACCACCGCTGCAACCGACGTGCACGGTTCTTCCACCGCCGCCGCTGCCATAGCTGCTGATGTGCGCGAGGTCACCACTGCTGCAACCGACGTGAGCGGTTCTTCCACCGCTGCCGCTGCCATAGCTGCCGATGTGTGCGAGGTCACCACTGCTGCAACTGACGTGTGCGAGGTCATCACTACTGTCGCTGCCACAGCTATTGATGTGTGCGAGGTTACCACCGCTGCAACGGACGCGCGCGATACTACCACTGCTCCCTCTGCTTCCACTGGCACTGGCACTGGTGCACATGGGGTCTCCATCGCTGGCACTGGCGCTGGCACGGATGTGCGCTGTGGCACCAATTCTGCAACTGATGCACATGGGACTATCACCACTCCCCCGACATGCTCAGCAATACCACTGCCTGCTGCTATCTTGATGCTATCTCCACCATGCTCAGCGCAGCAACTGGTCGAAGCTGGGGCACTGGATGCCTCCATCACCCTCAGAGCTGCAGCCAGTCGCAGCAATAAGGCAGGTCCCTATTCCACGCTCATCGTGGGTGCGACTCTCACTAAAGAAGCTGCTGCCCCCACCACGCTCAGCACCACCACTTGGTCCAGGCCAAGCTTTGGGGGCTCCACTGCAGTCAGCACCACCAGCAGCTTCTGCAATGTCACTGTGGCTCATGCCGCACTTGAAACCAGAGCCGCCGCCCATGCTGCGCTCTGCAGAGCACCTGTTTCCCCGACCGCCATCAGAATTCTTGCCATTGACCCCGCCGTATTCAGCAGCAACATCGCCGCAGCCCCTACCCTACCTATCGGCACCGCCATGTAGCGATACTGCTGTCACTCTCGATGCTCTTGCTGCCTCGCTCAGTACCGCTGCTGCTGCGCTCAGTACTGCTGCTGCCTCGCTCAGTGCTGCTGCTGCTGCACTCAGCAAGTCCTGCCCAACCCAAACGTGCACGGGCCAAGGCTCTTCCTGGGAACCTTTTTGCTATCGGCCCCAGAAACTCTAGACTCCATGTCCGTATGGTGCTATTGAGTCTACTCACGTTCCATGAGATTTTTGGAGATGTTGTTTGTGTGCGATGAGATATGCGCAGATGGTATGCACCTGAAACATGCCAAAGCTATCTCAGCGACCGCAGCACAGAAACAGCCTATATAAGCATGAGCGCAAGCATGTGAACCTGGTGTTCTCGACAGTATCTGCCACCGCCTGGGATTCTATGGCCCTCTGATGCCTGAGGAGCACGCTCGCATACCTTGCTTTTCAGTTCGAATGTTTTACCTGTGGTTCAGTAAGAAAAGTGATTTTACTTATTATGCTTACAAATGGATGCATTTTGGCCAAGTTGTTATTGATAGTTGCCTGTCACATACACGAATTTGAGCTGAGGCGATATGTTCGATCAAAGCTGCCTTTGCTGTACATATGTCAAGCGGAGTCGTGGCTTATTTAGTTCATAACCGAGCCTGTGAGCAGTTCGCTCTTGGCTCAGCTGAGTGCAAGGTAATATAGAATCAGAGAGATGAAAAATAATCGAAGGAAAAAGAGTCGAGGAGAACCGTATGATGGACAGACAGGCAAAAGCTTCTTAGTCACTCAAATTGGCTCGGATGCTGCGCATCGCTAGCTGGTGTTAGCATATATGGATAACAAACTGCGAATTTTTCGTTTCTAAACCCCTTGCGCCTTTTTCTATGCTCTTTGTTACAACCCCAAGATCCGATTACTGTGAACTACATAGCTTTTCATCTTGTTTTCTCCTTTTTACTTTTGGCTGTGCCACTTGAGTGATGGTATAAAACCTTGCGGCCACCTCTCTATTTCCTCTTCACTTTAGCTTTACACATCAATATAATACTTGGACTTTATCACTTTCTGTTGTTGGTATGCTCACACAGGTCACACGTTTCTGGACTGAGATATTGCCACTTTACGGTTCATTCGGAATCCAGTACTGCACGAAAAATACATACACTCACATAAACGGTATTTTTCATTACTCGTTACTCGTTACTCGGTCCCTTTTTCTTTCGCTCTACACCACCCACTGTATTCTCTAGACGTACAAGATTAAGAAGTATACCTGTGTTGTAAAGCGGAAATCCTCTCTACAAGCCTTTATCCAACGCATAAAGCTCACCACGAATAAACTTTAGGAGCATGTTGAGAACAAGTAGTCTTTCTAGTATTACATTAATGTCTAGGCTAGCATATCAAAAGAGTCATGGACAAGAGCAGCTATCTTCCTTTTCATATGTGGACGGCAGGTGATGCTTGATCATGTTGCGCGAAAATCTCAGCTCGGAGAACCTCTCAGTAACATCTGGGCAGTAGAACAGCGCTGTCGGCAGAGACTCTGGGTGCTCGTCGCCTTTAGGGCGCTGAATTATGCTCTTCAGGCAACCCGCTCTAGGTTCGGAAACAGCTTATCTGCACGATCTTCTTCACCAGGACTGGCTAGCACAAACACATCTCCAGGCGGATACAATTTTTCGCTGTCCATGCTGGCGCGCAGAGTCTTAATCAGTGACCAGTACCAGTCGTCCAGCCTTTGCTTGCGTGATTTGGGGTCAGATTTCTGTCGCTTAGCGGATGAAGTTGAGGAGGCACTACTGGATGCTGTGGATGCTGTATCCGAGGACGTGCGGGCAGAGGTGCTCTTGCGACTCCACCAGTATCCGCCAAACACACTAGCCGATTCCTCAGCCCCGATTTCCTCGCCTTCTTCTGCTAGTTCCTCGTCTGCAGCATCGTCATCCTCATCGTCGCTGGATGCATAGGCGCGTAGCCGCGAGAAATCAAAATCAAACCATCGTAGTTTGCCGCCAATCTTCTTTCGCTGCTCGTTCAGGAACCTGCGAACGACCTTCTCTGCGACACCGCGCTCGCGGCCCAGCACGGCAGAAATATTGAGCAGGTCTACGCACGAGCCAACAGACAGGTACGACACAAAGTCGTCGGTGTTGACGACAGATGTGACGAGTCCGCGGCAGTAGTGCGAGAGCGCAGGCATTCGTTGAACAGGGGCTGCCAAAGCTGAAGCAGTGGATGGGGCGGGTGCTCACCAGGCCAAAAGTATCGGACGTGGCGAACTGGCGCATGCCGCCCATGGTGGAGCCAGGAGTTGCCATGGCCTGATCCTGCGAGTGCGTGAACAGGGGCTGCGACCACAAAAGCGTGAGCAGGGACGCAACGCCGCCGCCTAGCGAGTGGCCAGTGATCACTAGTCCGTACTCAGGGTACAGTCGCAGAGCCTCAGCAACCTCGCGAAAGACCTCTGACGACGGATCCGCTAACAGCAGCGCCGAGTGCCACATACCCGAGTGCACTCGGTATCCATTCTCGCCGGTAGTGGCTGGATGATCGGGTAGGTGCACAGTCTCGTATTCGCAGATCATATCAATGAACAGGTCCGAGATCCCCAGCGTTCCACGGCATGCAAGGACCACAGCGCGAGTTGCATGGTCAACTGCAATGTAATGCACTAGGGCGTGGATTGATGGGTTGCGGTACACTAGGCGCTGGCGGATCTTGTCGAACCGGCGGAATTGCTTTAGCGTCGGCTCATTCTGATGATCGGGAAGGGGCGGTGTGTTTTTCGACACCTCAATGACGGTGGGCTTGGTGAACATGCGCGACACCATGCTGGGCAGGGGAACCGCCGACATAACAGTCACGTGGGGATGGAATATGCTGGCACAGCGATCCGACGATTGGGATACTCGAGACCCAGCTTGTCGGAGCATCACTCGGCTCAGCTGGTGCGGATGATTGGTCCGTAGTCTGTGGGGCATCAGCCTGGCGACTGCGCTCGCGCCTCAGCTGGTTGGCAGACTGCCGTGAGCGCAACCTGCGCTCAACAGCCTCGGCATGCGCGTTTGCAGCCTTGGTGACGCCAGGGCAAAATCGGCGGCACATACGACGAAAACAAGAGATCACGGAGCGGAATACCTGTGTGCTGGGCGAAGCAAAAGTGGTTCGGGTGATCTGTGACTGGCCGCCTTCTATTGCTGCGCCTGCGCACCGGTCTTCTTCCGAGCGCTCTGCGGCCATGCGGCGAGCTGTGGCCAGACTGCCGGAAATGGCGGCGCTCGTACTGGCGTTGCGAGTCCGGCCGCGACGGATTGTACGCAGAGTGCGTGTGGTACGTGCTCATGGGCTGGGCACGCGGGAGCTTCGACATGCTGGGAATGCGCTCGACATGGCCAGGCGTGGTCACAATGCTGGGTGACCGGGACGGCATCGTCGAGACTTCATAGTCGCCAAATCGGTCGATCAACGCACGCACATCGACAGAGGTGTGCGCGATTCCTAGTACCTGCATAAACCGGCGGCCGTAGGCTGATGATGCGACAGTGACAAAGCGTGCCAGGTTGAATAGCAGGGGCTTGCGCGGAAACTCTTGCTGCAGCCATTGCGATTCATGGTCAAATGTAGCCACCTCGGGCACCTGGAGGAGCGACATCGGGCTGGTTGGAGCAATGAATGGCGCTGTGGAATGCATTTGCCGTACGGGTATAGCTTGGATACCAGTGGGCGATGAGATCAGACTGGCAGGTGCGGATTCGAATGCTGGATGCACTGGCGAACCGTCCGAGCGTGCATCTGGGCCATGATCGCAGGCGGCCTCGTCGGCATGGGAGAGCAAGTATGGCGTATCGCGCATAGTGCTGGCGCGCGGCCGGACTGGTTGCCTCCTCCCTTGCGCCGTGGATATTGTCGTCGCCTGTGTTGGCGCCAGAGCCATCGATACGGATCGACAAACTCCGCAGAGCCTCCATTAGCCGCTGGTCCCACTCGGGGTCTCGCCGTGACGACTCCTGGTCGCTCATGGCAAAATAAACATCGTGGTCATCCTCGCTGTCAAACACGGACACGCGCCTGGGCATCGTCGGCTGGCCATCCTCAGCCTGCACTGTCACATTCGCGTGCATCTGAGGTGTCCGCACACTGTTGGCTTTGCCATCCACCGACATATCTTCTGTGTCACGGTTGCAGAATGGAGGCTGGCTGATCGTGTTTGCGTACACAAGCTCCAGGCGGTAATTGCGTGGGCGTCCGTGGTTTACAAATTGCAGACACACCCATGCCACAAGCACCTTTCAGTACATGGCTGACAAAGCCCACAAGACCCAGATTGCGATACATGGCACGGATCTCGGGGTTCTTATCGATGGCCTCGCGGTAGCACAGGTGGACAAACGACCGGAGCACGCTCGATGTGTCGGTAGCCCCAAACACTGCATCAAACAGCCGCACAGACTCGCCCATCGCATGCATGCCCATGTTGACTGCCTTTGATCGACGCCTCGAAACTGCCGCCCAGAATGTGCTCCGCTGCCAACCACGACGAGTTGAGCAAGGTAGCGCCTGCATGCGTCGACGACTCAAAGAGTCTCTGCACAATCCGCGGATTGAGCGCAGCCAGCGGCGACAGGATGCTGGTGCACGCCATGGTAATTGCCTTGGCCTCTTCCCAGGCCGCTGAGCCCAGCCAGAGCCCGCTTGAGGTGCTCTCAGCGATCGTCTCGAATACGGCCTCCCAGAATAGCGTCGTGATCTCAAGACTCAGGCGCGTGGCACCGGACATGGCGGACACAAGGGAGGCCACGCGCTGTGGGAGAATTGGTGGCCGTTGCCTCCATGCGTGCTTGTCGCTGCCGTTGTCCGTCGCCCGCAGCTTGCTGGCGAACCGTGCGCTTTTGAGCGCGTGCCGTCGCTGCCGCTTACCAGCGCGGTCATCGAGGCCGTCCAGGCTGCTATCGCTGTCCGACGGACGAAAAGTCGCTGGCCACTAGCGGCTGTATGGGCGACGTATTGGGGACGAATTCCATATCGTCATTTGCTCTGCTCATTATTCGCCGAATGCGTGCCGGTTCCTCTTGTCTAAATTAGTAAATGCAGAGTCGCAGCAGTAGGTGTAGTCGTAGCACGAGCCAGGGTCTCCAGGAACAATAACAAAACCAGCTATCTAGGGTACAATAAGCGGGATGAAGGAGGAAGCAAGTTGCGAGAAAAGAAAAGAAGAAAGTAATGCGCCAAGGCTTTGCCGCTTCTCAGAATCTAGTTCCCACTGCCCTTTTATTGCAAGGGGAGAGGGAAGCTCATTTTCCGCGCCTTTGACTCCTCCGTCTGCGTGGCTGGTCTGTAAAGACACACAAGAAGCCGTAGCGGCCAATGGCAAACCGCCCCCAAGTGGTGAAATTCATGTCTCGCCGTCGTCTTCACTGTGGGATAAGCGAATGCAGTTGCCCAGAATCAGAATGCGGCTATCTTCATTTCCCGTCGATCGCTTGCAACATGTCGATTGTTGACACTATGCAACCCATGCAACCAAGAGAAAAGCACATGCCCCTCGTTCTGGAAATACCTATTTTTACTTGCACCAAGCATGTCAACGCTGGCATATGATAACACTGCCGAAAGAAAACATAAATCCGCTAGTACGGCGACCGATACGTGCTGTTGTTGAGCATCTCGATCAAGTAGCATGCCTCGCGATGGACCTGCTCGACCTTTGCAACGTCAAAGCCGTGCATTTCCATCCACTCCCTCGATAGCAGCGCCGGATACGGGATCTTGGCCTCCAGCGCAGAGCGCGTATCGCCATGCATGGCCATTGATAGCCTCAGAGGTGGGCTGGCGCACGTCGCGCGAGACATGCACAAGACCCGGGTAGAACGCCCGCAGCTGGTCGGCATCCAGAGAGGCACTCATACGTATGGCCTCAAGGTTGCTGCCGGTAGGATCAGAGGCGCCCGAGAGGAACCGGTGCGGCAGGATGTCGAACTCATCGATGTCGTTGCGCAGCGCATCGGTGTCGTTGGATGCCAGAAGTGGAGGCGAAAGAACTCCGGGCTCATCGTCCATTGCCGCAAGTTCGTCAGATGTCAGTGGCGGCTGCGACATAGCCTGCTCCTGATCGTCTGCATCCTGGCTCATCACATTCCTGCTGGAGCCCAATGGGACTGGTCCTGATGCCGGGAAGCTCCTCGGTGGCCTAGGTGCCGAGTCAGTATGCGTAGCACACGCCGTTAAAGCCCAGCACCATGACGCTGCCTACACGCGCGTCGCCAAACGAAACACCGCCGCCGTTCGGAATAACGTCATTCAGGGATGCCGCGCCGTGGGAACCAATGCCGTTGTACATGGACATGCCACGCGCGTGGTTGTTCTGCCACAGCCACCACAGCCTGTCGATGTTGGCGTGGTGCATGTGGAAGAAGAAATCGGCAGGCGCATGCTTGGTTGCAGCGTCGCCGCCAAGCCCCACATGCGTGTTGCCATGGATGCCGTACTCGATGTGTTCGCGGAAATCCGCCAGCGACGAATCGCTCTGGATATACGAGGAGACAACCTCTGGCGGCATCCACGAGCTGATGAACGGCGCGTTATCGAAGCTGCGTGACAAGCAGTGTCTGTTTGGTACTGACATCTGCCAGTTGGCCATGACCCCCGTGGTCAGACATCCCGTCAGAGCTGCGCCCATTGCCACCGAGCGTGTTTCTCTGCAGGACAGGCGAGCGCTCGGGGCGGCGGTAGTCGAGGGGGGCGTCCCAGTAGGGCACGGTGAAGTCCCGGGTCGTATCGAGCGGCCGATGTTCTCGAATTCAAGGACAAAGCGGCGGTGGAACGGGAAGAACGCCGATGTGCCGTGGACCTGGTCAAACACGATCTGGTGCGAGTTGGCGAACCGGTCGATGTGTCCATCGGCGTGCATTTTGCCGAGGACATTGTGGATGCGCTGCCATTCGGAGGGGGAGAGGTGGTGGGCTGAGCGGCGCACACGAATGTCGCGGCACGGCGACTGTGCAAGAGCCACGGTGCTGAGGAGAGAGATAGCAAGAAGCTTCATTATTTTAAGGTGATTAGTGTACTGCTGCGGAGGGGGATTTGGCCATGGACGGTTTCGGAGCGGTTTTCTGGGATATATATGGTGGTGTGGGATACACTATCATTTGATACCAGTTACTTGTAAAACATGGTCTTGGCCATATCGGTCTGATCTACAACAGCACTCATATCCGGCAGAGGTGATTGGGGAGATTAAGCAAGACTCGACACTGCGCGATTTATGCTGTCGATGTGAGGTTCGTGCCATTGCTGGCTGGATGTGCGGTTATTGTCGTGGGAGCAATGGGTGAGACACAATGTACCAATGGGCATTGTGCATAAAATCGCACTACTCTCGTCTTCGCCTGGGTGAAACGGCATATGCTATGCAGATATATCGGCCGAGGGTTAGAGGGAATCTAGGCTGGCAACCGTGATACGCTTACCTGTTTTTTTTTATTTTGCGCAGGTTTCGATTTGCGCCATCTTGTCCATGTGGATGACAAACGTGGTGTGCCAACGTCATCCCGGCTGGAATGCAATCACCTGAGAAAACCACCGCATACGCCAGCCGCATTGATGGTGGCAACATCGGAGGGGCAGGAAGATCGCATAGCTCGTGGCTGCCCACTGCCCCCACGCCAACGCAAAGCACATTAAGCGCTGTAATGAACCTCCCCTCATTTCCACTGCTGTGGTGCTGGTCATGTAGCTCGACACATCACACGAGCATCATTTGCGGCGTGAGCACGACCAGTATGCCAAGAGCTGGCAGAAGGTTCGACTGTGTTTATGCTTGCGGTGAAATCACGATAATTTTCTCGATAAAGATTGTTGTTATCCAAAATCAATTCCCCCTATTTGGAGTTCCGACCTGTTTTTGTGTTTCCCTTCTAAACCCGCAGCTCTTGCTCATACAGGCCAAGCTTTGTGTTCTCTTTATCTTCAGTGTTTACGCAACTCGTCCGCCCCTGCTCACACTGTCTTATTGGTGCAGGTAAACAGAATTTCGCCAAGGTTTGAATTTTCATCCCCTTAAAGTGCCAGCACCAAGATTTTTTCCCTTTTCAGTTCTCTTCCCAACCGTTTTAATTTTTTTATCTCTTTTCCGTTAACCAACCTAATAATTTACACCTCCGCCCAAGACTTTCCTAGAGATGGGACTCAAGAAGACAATCACGGCCGCTTCGCTGGTGCATGACGGGCATCCAATTGCCACGCAGGCGGTGCCCAAGGACTTTGCCTGGCTGCGCGACAGCACGGGTTCGGAGACGCAGACATTGTATTTCCATCTCGAGAATGGCGTGGTCGGGTTTGTTCAAATAGCGTGGGCGTACCTTGCGCTGACGACGACGATCGAGACGAACGCGATGTTCTATGCGCCGGGACACGACTGCGTGTTTGAGACGCACAACGGGCACCACCTGAAGGTGGGCAAGGACAGCCAGCAGTACGAGTGCAAGGGCCTGGCGATGGGGTGGAACAGCGACTTCTCCAAGCTGACGGTCAAGTACACGGCGGGCAAGGAGCGCTCGGCTAAGGGCATGGCGGCGCAGTTCGAGTTCTCGCGGACGTCCGACGGATACAAGATTGGCGACGGCAAGAACCACATTGGCGACGGCACGGCGGCCCACTACTTCTACCCGGCAGGCACAGTCAGCGCAGAGTGCGAGATCCACGGCAAGAAGTTCAAGGCGTCGGGCGTGGGCATGTTTATCCACGCGCACTCGGGCAACATCATGCCGTACAATGTAGGCGTCGAGTGGAACATGTCGTTCTTCACTGGCCAGCGGTCCGACAAGCTGGATGGGCCCAAGGACACTGACACGTTCCACGTGCTGCAGTACACCACGCCCGAGAACGTTGGCGCTGTCAATTGCTCGCAGGCAGCGCTGACCCACGACGGCAAGCTGCTGGCTGTGTTCTGGGAGAACACGATCGAGTTCCACGAGCGCCACAAGGACCCGAACGGCTCCGGATACAAGATCCCCGACCGGGTAATGATCACGTCCGTCGGCAAGACGGTCGACGGCAGGACCGCCAAGGCCACATTCGATGCCCGGCCCGCCAGGCGGCTCCACGACATTGATGTGCTTGGCGAGATGCCATTTGTCATCAAGCGCCTGGTGCAGGCCCTGATTACTAAGCCGTTCATCTTTGAGCGGTACGAGGACACCGCAAAGATCACCGTCGAGATCGAGGGCGAGGAGCCGTACGACATCGTCGGCTGTGCCTTCCACGAGCTGACGCTGATGGACTGAAGGCCCAAATCCCAAAAGAAAACAAGACCATTTCTATATCTCTCTTTACAGAACCTATAAAGACAGTTTATTTGCTAGAGGTGCGCACGTCGATGTCGATGTTCTGCACAAACCCGAGCTGCTCGCGCAGCTCATGCCGTACATGCCACAGCGTGTGCTCGATCTGCTCGGCCGTTGCATGGGCGTCAAACTCTGCTGTCGCGGTGACGTGGATGAACGGGCCTGACTTTCTGCAGTGCACGTCGCCGAACCGCCGCACATGGTCGGCGTGGTCGGCAATCCTGCCAAGCACCGTCTTGACATCCTCGGCATCCTGCGGCATGTCGGTGATCTCGTTGATGGCGTCCATGGCCATCTCGCCGCCGCTCTTTGCCAGCATCGCGCTGACCACCAGCCCGCCCAGCGGATCCAGCACTGGGAACCCCATGATGGCGCCGCCAATAGCCCCCACCGAGACTAGACTGGTCAGCGCATCGCTGCGGTGGTGCCAGGCGTTGGCCACCAGGACATCGGATTTTGTGCGTCGGCCGACCTTCATCGTCGCCTGGAACAGCGCCTCGTTGATTCCAATCGATGCGACAGCAAACCAGATGGCTCTGGAATCCATGCCCACCGACTCCGACGACGTAGCAGCCGCTGGCGTGCTTGACAGCATCGGCAGCAGCGAGTACACTTGCTCCAGCGCATGCATGCCAATTCCAACTCCAGCCGCAACCAAGAACCCACTGACCACCAGCGTGCCCAGCGCCTCATACCGCCCATACCCAAACGGATGCGAGGCATCCACAGGTCGCCTCGACTTGCGGAACGTATACAGCGTCACAACATCGCCCAGGATGTCGCTCAGCGAGTGCGCTGCATCTGCCACCAGCGCCGAGCTATGGAACACGATGCCAGCTGCGCCCTTGGCCACGCTCATCCCCAGGTTGGCCCCCATGCCGATCAGTGTTATGCGCGACCCGGCCTGGTGATGCTCCAGAAGATCAGCCTTGGCCTGCGTCTCCTGCGGCGAATGCGTGTGCGAGTGCATCGTAAACAGGCTGTGCGAGTGCGAGTGCTGTGTGCTGTCTGTGGGCTTCGTGTTGCTGTGCTGGCGGTCCTGCCGCAGAATTTGCGACGCGCTGGAGAAATTCGAGGCATGGTCGGCTAGGCGCTGTAGCTCGTGCCGAGTCCACTTTGTCGAGTACGTGCGGGTCGCCGTTAGTGCTTGCAGCCGCAGCAGCTTTCCTGGACGCCTGAGGCACTGGCAGTAGAGAAGGCTGCTCATTTCTATTAAGTGGTTGTAAAAAAAGGAGCCTCGCGTTTAAGAAAGAAGCATAGAGCGGGGGAAAGTTTGGCCGTGCAACTAGGAAAACAGGCCACACATCACCCTAATTCCGGCCAAGCATCCAAGGAATCTCCGAGCCTCAGAAAAGCCCTGAGCGCAGAAGGGCTGGATTTTCCGCGGTGACAGGCCAAGCCTTCATTTTTTAGGCAGGCGATGATATTCTTAGATCGACTGGCCGTTTGGCAATCGGTGCCTCCGCATTATCGAATGCATCGTCGAGCGGGCGCTTCCGCGGCTCGCTGTCCTCGGCAATGGTCCTTGCGGGCTTTGGCAGTTTGGCAGGCCTCGTGGGCCGCGGGCTGTTCGTGAAATACGCGTGCCTCAGTGCGCCCTCAGCTGTGATGCGCTTCGCCGGGTCAAACGCCAGCATCTGCCCCATCAGATCCAGCACATCCTGCGTGGCCGCAGAGAACAGTGCGTTCAGCGGCTTCCGCGGCTCTCTCTTGTACTCGACAGTAGTCTGGCAGCTTCGTCATGCCCGGCCACTCGGCCTCTGTCGGGGTGCCCAGCGCGCTGAAGATCGTCGTCAGCTGGCCCATGTCCGAGTCGCCGGGCAGGTACGGTGCGCGCAGCAGCAGCTCGGCGAAAATACACCCCATGGCCCAGATGTCGATGGCCCCTGTGTAGTTCTTTGCGCCAAACAGCAGCTCCGGCGCCCGGTACCACCGCGTGACTGTCTGCGAAGTCATGTTGCGCGAGATATCGCCAAAGTCGCGTGCCAAACCGAAATCCGCCAGCTTCAGCTGTCCGTCAGAGGCAATCAGGAAATTGTTCGGCTTCAGATCACGGTGCAGGATCCAGCTCCGGTGGCAGTGCGCCAAGGCCCTTCAGCGCCATCAGCATCCAGCTCTTGATGTCTGCCGGCATAAACACCAGGCTCTTGTCCTTGATGACGATCTCCAGATCTGTGTCAAGGAACTCCAAGGACCAGGTTCAGGTTTGTCTTGTGCGAGAACACGTCGATTAGCTCAATGACGTTGGGGTGCTGCAGCTCGCGCAGCGCCTTGACTTCGCGCACTGCCGACATGTCCAGCCCGCTGCGCATGTTGCCCAGCTTGATCTTCTTAATGGCCACCGTGCGACCGGTTTTTACGTGCTGCCCGAGGTAGACAACGGCGTATGTTCCTTCACCGAGCTTCTTCTCCTTCTTGTATAGCGACTCGGTCTCCTTGTTGATCTCCTCGCCAAGCAGCGCTCTGTCAGACATGATGTGTGTAAAGGCAAATGGGGTTTAGGTATGCGGCGGACCCACGCCCGCGCACATGTAGCACATTTTGTATAAACTTCTCAAGAGCTAAATGCTGTTTATGGTTAATGACCTTGCGTCACTACTTTTAACTAGTCCTTGTTGCGACGGCCGACAACCGGGAACTTCCATCCCTTCCAGAACTTGTACCACGGCGCCTTGCCATCCACGTCTTCATCGTCCTCATCGTCCTGGGTGTGGTCGAGACCCTGTGCAATCCACGAGTCCGTGACCAGGTCAATCTCGTCCATCTTGACCCACTTTGTCTTCTTCATCAGCTTCCACACCCCGTACACGATGGCAAACGCGGGCAGGCCGATGTACGTCGAGAAGAACAGGTTCTTGTCGAAGCCGCTCTGGAACGCCGGGTAGCCCTGGCCGAGGATCACAATGAACAAAAGGACGCCGGCAAAGATGGGGCACATGGGGAACCACAGCGACTTGTACGGCAGGTCGCTGACCCTGTAGCCCTGGCGCACGTATGCGCGCCGGAACCGCCAGTGCTCGAGCGAGATTCCTGCCCACGCCATGAATCCGCTGATGCCGCTCAGGTTCACCAGCCACTGGTAGATCACCCTGTCGCCGATGAAGGAGATGCCAAACAGAATCAGTGACACCACCGTGTTGAAGCCCAAGGCGACCCAGGGCGTGCCGTTCTTCAGCGTCTTGGAGAAGATCTTGGGTGCCATGCGGTCCTTGGACAGCGTGTACAGCGTGCGCGTGGTGAGGTACAGCCCAGAGTTCCCGGCCGACAGAACTGCCGTCAAGATCACTGCATTCAGCAGATGCGCACCCCAAGTGATCCCTGCCTCTTGGAACATAATGACGAAAGGAGATTGGGCAACATCCTCGGCACCTGAAGACATCAGGCGCTCATCGCTCCATGGCACAATCAGCCCGATAATGAAGATTGTGGCAATGTAAAACAGCAGCACACGCCAGAATGCCGACCGAATGGCTCTCGGCACGTCTCTGCGGGGGTTCTTGGATTCGCCTGCCGTCACACCAATCATCTCGGTACCTTGGAAGCTGAAGCCGGCGACAATGAAGCAGCTCAGCAGTCCACCAAATCCGTTGTGGAACGGCGCGCCATCGATCGTCCAGTTGTCGAACCCGTACGTGCGCCCACCAACGCCGCCTGCTGCGACGATGATCCCGACAATTACAAATGCAACCACAGCAACCACTTTGATTAGCGCCATGTAGAACTCGCCCTCACCAAACGAGCTCGCACCAAACGAATTAATCAGAACCATGCATATGAGCAGGATGAACGATGCCCATATGCCCGTGACATCTGGGACCCAGAACTGCACCAGAATTGATGCTGCCACCAGATCCGCGGCAACCACCGTAATGAAGCTGTAGTAGTAGTTCCATCCCAGCGCGAATCCCATCGCGGGTCCAAAAACCGGGTGCCGTACGTTGTAAACGATCCTGACACAGGCATATACGTCGCCAGCTCCGCAAGCGACTGCAGGACCGCCAGGACCATCATCGCACAGATCATGTACGCCACCAGAGCGCCTGCTGGTCCGGCCTGCCCCAACGAGGAGCCACTGCCAACAAACAGCCCAGTGCCGATGGTGCCGCCGATACTGATCATGGTCATGTGCCGAGGACGCAGGGTGCGCTTGAGGTCTGTAGCCGTGACCTGCGGCGGCTGTGCCGACTTCTCCTGGAACTCGGCGTCGCTGAGATCAGACGCATACGCCACGTCCTTTTCAGACATCGGCGGGGGCGTCATTGTCGGCGTGCGGTCGAACGCGTCGAGAGACGGCATGATCTCGTTTGCCTGGGTATTGGGTGAGGACATTCGAGATAACCGCTAAGGGGAAATAGTAGAGCAATAGAATAGGATATCGATACGATATAGAGTAGCTTGGTGTAAATGAAAGCGAGGTGGAGGATTGGTTTAGTTTAGATCGACGTCTCTGCCAACGTGGTGCGCGCTAGTTCCGAAGTGAAAGTAGGACATTTAATGCGGAAGACTAGACGGGGGAAGTAGCTGTCCAAGTTAACGAACTATCTCAGGACCTTGAGCAAATATGAAAAAGGCCGAGATGTCCGATAATGAAAAAGGAAGAGAGCGGGAGTGTTCTGGATCTAGCAAGAAGCGAGCAACTGGTCAGAAATGTTGCCAGTAAGAGCAGCCTAGGATGTAGACGCGGGGCCTCTGAGAGTATTGAAAAAACGATGAAGCGAAGATTGCAAAGTAGCAAAAGGGTATCGGTCCTCTGCCCCCAACTGCCCGGCGTCTGTGCGACTATTTATACTTGAGAGACCCACTCGGCACGAAAATTTTTATTATCCACTTCCCACGCAGCGACGAATACACGCGCTAGCCCACAGTTGACCCACTAACGTGCTTCCCCCCAACAGCCAGACAGAACCGGGGGTGCTAGCTGGCCATATTTGGCAGGACTGCGTCGGACCTATTCCAGTGAGTAGAAGGCGCGCCAATATCACTCGATCTTGGCAGCACGAACTCGCCGCTTTCCCTTGCGCTTGACTACTGCCACCTGGTCGATCGCCGGTGCCCTCCCTGCTGCATGCAGGCCTTCAGCTGATGCCTGGCGAGGCAGACGCTGCCGCCATGGAAGACGATCCCTCCGCTAGCATGTCGCCCTGTGGCTGCCGCACGTCTTCCACGGGCTCGCTTACGACAGGGGACTTTGTTGTGGCTGCTGGGGACGAACCCGCGCTTGCCTTCGCACCGTCCTGAATCCCAAGCACACTGATATCTGGGAGACCATCCAGGTGACAGCGACTGCTCTGACGCATTAGCGGCAGCCGGCACGCTGCGCATCTTCTCCTGATCCCGCCAGTCAGCGACCTGCTGGTCCTGCTTGGCCCGGTGCTGCCTGAGCCGATCGGAGCGCCGCTTCAGGTCCTGCACGCGCCCGTGGATCAGCATCATGCGCCGCTGCAGGAGCCCGGCCTGGTGGATGTAGAATGTCAGCGTGGAGACCAGATCCTCGGATGTGTCGCCGTTTTGGATCTGGAGCTTCAGCGAGTGCAGGCGCTTTATGAGCTCCTGCTGGTATTGCTCGAGCCCGCCGAGTGTGCTTGCCAGAGCCGGTATCAGTGCTGCCGACGGCCCTTCGCTCATTGTAAAGGATGTATTGAAAACAGAGTTGGAGTGGGGGAGGCGTGCATGGTGCAAGGAAAATCGCTATTGTCTGCTATATGTGGCCGCCCTGCACGTCATATCATATGGGGATCCTGTGACAATACCTGCGGCAGCACGTCCTCGGCCGTGGCTTCGATCTTAGTCGTTGCATCAGGGTCGCCTCGGGTTTCGCCAAAGTTGACGACCATGACCTCCTTCCCCTGCTCCTTTGCCCTGCGCACAAGGCGGTACGCGCTGAATGTGGCCAGGCTCGTCCCGCACACAAACAGACCCGTGGCATCGTCGACCATCTGGTATGACTGATTGCGCACCGAGTCAGCGACGTTGCCGCCAAAGAACACCACCGTCGGCATCCAGTGGCCGGTGCCACAACTGATGGCATGTCGGGTATTGGAACTCCTCGTAGGTCAGGTCTCGGCGGCAGGTCGACATCACCGTCCGGCCGACGCTGCGGCTCTTCGTCTGACTCGACCATCTGCTTCCAGAATCTGACCCACTCAGGGTTTAGTCTCCTCGAGCCGTGTCTGGAACTTGTCGCGCGACTCGACTTCGCCGCAGCTCAGGCACTTCACGCTCTTCAGTGTGCCATGCAGCTCCAAGACATTTTGGCTGCCAGCCTGCTTGTGCAGGCCGTCGACGTTCTGTGTGATCAGACCCGACAGATACTTTTGTGACTCCAGCGTGGCAAATGCGTGGTGGATCAGGTTTGGCGCCGCCCTGAATCGCTGGCCGGATCCCAAAGAATGACCGTGCCCAGTACCGCTGTCGCGAAGCATGCTGCGTCACCAGGTCGTTGTGGAGGATGGGCAGGTACTCGCCATGCACCCGGTACGTGCCCTTGGAGCCGCGATAGTCGGGAATGCCGGAGAGCACGCTGACGCCGGCGCCCGTGAGTCCGAGGACCCGGCCCCGGTGCCGCCGGAAGAATTGAGCCACCGCCGCTATCGTCTCGGGTGTTATCACTGTGCGCGTCTTGGGCAGGCCGTAAAGGCCCTGTATTTTGACCTTGCCTGCATTCATGGCGAGGCAATTCGAGACAGATAAATAAAGGTACAGTGCAGAGCCAAAGGACGCAAACAGAAAAATTCGCGCCATCTCTGCACGGGTCCGGACTATTTTAAAGAATAGTGTATATTAGTCAACAGAACAGGGAACCTCAGGGCCGTCACTTCTTCCCGCCCTTGCCAGCCTTGCCAGCCTTGCCCTCGAATCCCGGCCGTGCCTTGCCGCCCTTCTTCTTCTGCACACCGCCGTTCTTTGTGGTCTTGAGCGTCCGCTCAATGGCCTTCTTCGACAAGCCCTGCTGCTTCAGCTTCTTAGCCTGCACCCGCGCCTTGATGTTGTCATCGCGCTTCTGCTGCTTGTCCTTGATGTTCTTGGCGACCATCTTCTTGCGCTCAGTCCACTCGCGCCCGCTCTTCTTCTTCTGCTGCTCCTCGCGCCGGATCGTCTTCCTGAGCAGCTTGGTGTCGTCCTTGACCCTCTCGCCCTTGGCCAGATCCAGTGCCTTGCCCCACTTGCCCTTCTCCTCCAGCTTCGCCGCCTTGGCTGCATCAGTCTTCTTCAGCTCGTCCAGCTCCTTCTTCTTGCCCTCGACGGCCTCCAGCGTCTTGCGTGCATTCATGGACTTCTTGCCCTTCTTCTTCGAGCCTGTGGTCAGCGTGCCAAAGAACACATTGTCCTTGACGTCGTCCGGGTTAGCACCAGCGGCAGCGGGCGTCGCGGCCACGGGCGCCTTGCTGCCCAGCACCTGCTCCTTTGTCGTCTTGCCGGTCTTCTTGGCCTTCTCCTTGGCCTCCTTATTGTTCTTCCGACGCTTCTGCCGCTTCTCTAGCAGCGCCTCTCTTGAAACATCGTCCTCGGGCGCCTTGCGCTTCTGCCGCAGCAGCTGAATCCGCTCGTGCAGCCGTGTGCGCAGGTCGGAGATCGACGATGACGCGGGCATCGGCGTCACAGCCTCTGCCGGCTCTGCTGGTGTGTGGTCCTCTGTGGCCAGGTCAAACTTGACGTCAGACATCTCAGCCTCGCTCTGGTCGGTCTGCTGCTGCTGCTTCTTTTTCAGCTTCTCGGCCTGCAGCTCCTGCACCGTCTTGTTGTTGTCCGGGTCGAGCCGCGCAGCTTTGTTCTTGCGTGCAGCCTCCTTCTTCTTGGCATCGGTGTCCTTCTTTGTGTTCTTCATGTACTTTTGGTTGATCCGCTCCTCGTTGATCTCTGGGAGGTAGAACTGCGGCGGGATCAGACCCAGCAGGTCATCGAATACCCGCGCGTGCTTTTGCAAGCTCGCCGTGATCTCATCGATGCTGGGCACTGTCGTGGTCATTATAAGCAAAGCCTGAGGGGAGGGAGAAGTGGTTTGTGGAGGAAAGTTTGCAGGTCCAAAGTCCAACTAGGGCTGACACTGAAGCTAGAACATAATTTTCGTGTTTGCAGATTTTTTCTGACGAACGCTAATCTGGCTCGAGTGATTTGATACTGGTAATCATGTCTGCCACCAGTGGTTGATTGATCATCAGGCAGGCACGTGCCTTGGCCTGGTCTGGTGTGGCTACTGGACTCGGCTCGCTGCAGCCTGATCTGCAAGCGGTCTACAAATGCCTGCAAAATAGATAGCTCGCAACTGCGGTGTAGCTGCCGCCATGGAACACCTGGTGCTTGCTTTGGTGCCTGCACACACCCTCCCTGTGCTACATTATCTTCGATAAAGGACGCTGCCATTGTTTCTTAATTCGTTCCGCACAATGCACCCACAAATGCTCCACCCCGATCAATATGGTGATGATCGCACGCTTCAACCCAGGGACTATGAGATCACATATCATATTTCTTTTGCACAATGTCGGGCGAGACCGAGACGAAGAAGCGCAAACACAGCACACTGGCTGACTCGCAGCGCAAGCACATTGAAAAGCTTATGCGCAATGTCGACAAGGAGATTGTGCTTCCTGGGCCAGCCAAGGTCGAGCTGAAGCCGCCACCTGAGATTGTTCTGAATGTGGGCGGATCGAGTGCCGGCGCTGGCAGCAGTGACTTCCATACATACCGTGTGCTGCGGCGGAAAGAGAATGCGCGCATCAAGCTCATGGAATCCGAAGCCAAGGACGAGGAAGAAAAGGAGGCGTATGAGCAGGAGCGCGAGGAGCTGAAGCGCAAGGACGAGGAAAAGACGGCCAAAAACCGTGCCAAGCGGCAAAAGCGCAAGCATGGTAAAAAGCCCAAGAACACCAAGAGTGAATAGACATGTGTGTTTTTAGAAAGGAGCCTTTATACAACATGGAGGAAAGTGAAGTAAGAAATTGTAATTGGATGTGCGGTGTGTCAGCACATCTGCCACATTCGCGAACGGTCGAGGGCACTTTGTCTTTTTATTACATCTTCTGCGGGTGGCATTCCCGGCGGTATCCAGGCTGGCTGCGAACATTCGACATTTCGCTAGCCTTGGGCTGGATGCTTGCGGCTAGGATGTTGTAGGTGGTGCCGCTGGGTGTCTGCGACACAGCCGCCGGCATCTGGTGCACGCCATTATACGGGAGGCGGGCGTGGTGCAGGCCAGCCATCTTGGCGTTGCTCGGGGGAGGTGGCGCCAGGCGGTAGGAAGCGAAAGGCGGCGGAGCAGTATTGCTGGTGGGTGATACCGACGGAGACGTCGACGAGGCCGAGCGGAAGGTCATTTCCGACTGCTTGTCCATGCCATCCACAAGACTGTCGCACCGCGGTCGTCTGGCAAACTGATCAGCATTCTGGCCATGCTGCTGGTTGTGCAGGTTTTGCGCCAGGGTCTTGGCCAGCGGCACTGACGACTCATAGTCGTCGGGATCCAACGCCGAGGCAGCCATCTGCGCCTGCGCGATGGCGTCAGTGTTAAGCAACGGGCGCAGTGTCAGGTTCGAATAATCCGGGTTGGCTGGTGGCAAATGGCAGCACCGGGCGAGATCCGGACCCAGGATGCCCTCGACATGGCGTCGGAACTTTTCTGCTGGGTCGTGCGTGCCACGGTAGCTGGTGCGGCGGGCCCTGCCGCGGCCGTTTCCCTTGACACTCGAGTTCTTGATATTGGGGATCTCAGTTTTCCGTCCCTCGACCGTGTGGATCCCGACGTGCTGCATCATGTTGTCGAAGCGGCTAAACAGTTTCGCACACTTGGATACTAGACATCGGTACGGCTTCTCGCCGGTGTGCCGACGCTTGTGTCGGTTCAGGTGCTCGATGCGGTCAAACGACTGCCCACAGCCACGCCACTCGCAGCTGTACTTGCGCTCTGCTGGCCCGCTCTTGTCGGGGTTGGATGTAGCCGTCGCCGTCGATGCCATGGATCCGCGACGGTTGCGCTGGAACGCAGCGTAGAGTGGCATCTCTGGCGAGAGCCCGTCGCTCTTTGTAGGCTGGCAGTGTAGCTGGGATGTGTTCTTGTTGATGACGATAGTGGCCACGGACTCGCGGCGGGTCGGGGCACCGCTGTCGATGCTAAAGTCCTGGCACACAGAGGAGCGACGAGCGTGGTGTGCAAAAGACTCGGAGTTGCGCAGCGCAACCACCTCGTTCGGCAAGCTACCCATGCTGCCGCGGTGGCGGATGAGGAACTGGCGGCTGTGGCCAGTGCCGTTGGCCGGGGCATGTGAGCCAGTACTGCCCTCAGGGATTGAGGCTTGAGGTGTCATCGGCTGCTCTTCTCTGGCCAGCGACTGCGACATCTGTGCCTTTCCCATGGGGTAGGTACTGGCAGCGGGGTCCATGCGCTGAGAGCCCTCAGCGGCAGAGATATAGGGATGCCCGTCTGCCTGGAAGACGCCAGAGACCGTGCGCGGCAGAGGCGGGTTATGTGGGATGGCGAGGATATTGGAGTCGTCCATGAATAGATGGAGAGTAACTATATGATGTAAAAGTGCTGTTACTAATGTGAGCAAGCCAGTGCAACTCATGGATGAGGAAATATGCAGTGCAGCAAAAGAAGAGACGTTCAGGGAGATGCAGAGAGGTTTGGCTTCCTCATTTATACAAGAGGAAAACAGGTGTCGCAAGCGAACTGTCCCTGACGCAGGTGTTCACATAATGTGGTATTGATACACCAAAGCAAAAAAAAAGGCGAGTGCGGCCTTGATTAATAGCCCTGGGTGTCTGGCACGGCAGAGCCGCAAGCGAGGGAAAATGTAATGATGAACAAAGCGCGCAGAGAAGAATGACCAGGGGCTTGCAAAAATCGTCGGACATCCACAAAGTATCCCTTTTTCACAAGCATATATATAGCAGAGGATGCCAAAGCGCACATGGAAGGGCGCTTTGCTGCCAAAGCAAAGCGATCCAAAACCAGCAAGAAAGTCACGAACAAGAGAGCACGCGATTTCTTTTTTAGCTGGCAACTGATCTGCTCAAGGAACAAGAAAAACACGAGTCTGTGGATACAAGCAAACGTTTATATCTAGAAACACCGGTCAGCAGGAAAAACAAGGACCCTTGTGTGTCCCAAACATGCACTCACAGGAGAATGTATAAAGGCAGGCTAAGACGGAATAGATGGTGAATCAAAAAAGCATTGATCGACGGCTAGAAAACCACAGACACGGGATGAAGCATGTCCTGGTATATATATACAAGGAATGGCTGGGCATGCAGAGCGCAGCAGAGGCAGTGTGTCGATTAAAAATCTGGAGGGCAAAGGATGTGGGCGTAGTGTGGAGAGGGGGATTAATAGCCAGTCATTTGCTGTCCATGTCTGTGTTAACGGCAATATTACTACTCAATACAACACGCTTCCACATCCGCCTCAATCACACACCTCTCCTCACCCGACTGCCCCCTCTCGCTGGTAAGCAAATTATAAGACTCTTGCTGGTTCATGCTCTCCACACACCCTCCCCAAGGATTACTAGCTTCCAGCCATGTCCTCCGCCATTTGGCCATGGAGAAAACAGAACAGAGAGCTGCTGACATGCTATTTTCTCGATACTTACGTTTTTACTATACAAAATATTTAATATTGCAGCTTTTTTGCGGAGCAGGCAATGGTTTTGTACAAGCTCATAGAGATTCAAGGATAAAATAGCGTAGTGAAATGTCTGAGATGTGTGCTGGGAGAGGAAAGGGCGATCGGGACGGAAAAAGGTGTGTTCAGGGATCCGCCGTTATATACCAGAAATCCGTAACTTCATTCGCACGCCCAACCCGTTCCCAGAAATGTCTGCTCTGAGTTGCTGGAGTGCGCAAAAAAGTTTTTTGTACGTGCAAAGTGGCAACCCGCACCGTAAACAATGCCCATGCGAATGAACGGTGGCCGTCTTTGACTTTAACAAGAACAACATTAAAAATCAACAAGACGTCTCTTATTGGCCCTAGGCGACGAGGAGAACGGGTTGGTTGGCAGGGAGGGGGTCGGTAAACAACTGAGCCAGTGTGTGTCTGCCCAATGAAGCTGGGAGTTGAGGGTCAAGGGACACCGGTCGCCGCCAGAGGGAAAAGGATGCGGGGAAGACCAAGGCGATGTTGCATTGAGGGAGCGTGCTAGACGATCGCGGGCATAATACGGCGCTCGTGTCAATATTTCCCCTTCTGGAGGCTCTATTTTTTCACTCGTTCGGGGCCACGATTCCATGCATGTCATGCCAGTAAGCGCAGGGCACGGTGATCGCATAGGATGTATGTGATGACGCTGCACGCCCTCCACAAGCATATGCATTAACAGGGCAGAAAAGGGGGTGCCGGTTCTCGGCCTTGTGTGCCTCTCAGCAATTCTTTTGTTTGCAAAGCAGCAGCCCGGTGTCAGAGTTTTGTTTCTACGATAACAAGTGTGCACATTGTGAGCGCAGCATGTTCAGATTCTCATGTGTGGTAAACAGGATCTGGTGTCCTCGGCTGCACAAAGCCAATGGCAGGCAATGTCCGCATCTCTTACCACATGGTTACAGCAACAGGGACAAACCGCAGCGACACTGCCAAATTGACTGTGTCCTAGCAAAAAAGAAACAAAAAAGGTGTATTGGCAGCCCCTCCTTTCGCTCTAAATAACACAGGCAAACAGGTAATAAAGCTTCTATCATTCTTTGGCCACGATGACTGCAGCATCATCGGCGCTCCTAAACACCTTGGTCACACTGAATTCATGCTGCCGGGCGCTGATTGGGATGGTTTGGCGGCCGTTGTTCCGTGCAATGCTAAAGTTGCTGGGGATACCGTCGAGCTCCTCACGAATAACCGCGGCCAGGTCATTCACCGTTTTCTCCGAGCCGACCAACACCGAGCCTACCAGATTGTCATCTGCGAAAATTTGTTTATAAACAAGGATCTCGCGTTCCTCATCCGCCGATGCAGCAGTGGCTACAGGTCCCTGCTGTCCCTGGGCAGATCCAGCTGCCAGATTAGCCGGACTCGCCTTCTCCGCGATCCTCTGGGTGCGCTTGGCGCTGGTGCTGATCGATGCCTCCTGCTGCAGCTGCTGCACATAGCTCGAGTCGCCCTGGCTCGGCAGCATCGCGTCCTCCGGCACGCCCCACGCTTTTGTCAGGTCTGGATTGACTAGGTAGTTTGGCGTGAACGTCTTTTCGTCGCCTTCCGCTGGTTGGGTGGGCGCCAGTGTGACGACATCAATGTTTGCAATGGTAGCAAACAGCGCCCGAATCTCGTCAGATTTGCTCAGATCCAGGGGTGTTTGTCCTTGGGTGTTTTTCAGCATAGAGTCTGCGCCTGCGCGCAACAGGACATCGACTATGCGGGCGTGACCGCGCTTGCACGCCCAGTGGAGGGCTGTCCAGCCGTTCATTTTGTTTTGGCCGTCGATGCAGATCCCAGATCGGATATACGCCGTGACAGCCTTCAGATTGCCCAGGGCGGCCATTTCGCGAAAGCTCTCGTCTCGCTCGTCGGTGATCATATTTGTTGCTCTGGTTACTGAGGGGAGGAAGCGAGGACTCACGAGGGGAGGGATAAATGCGAAGCTATTCTGTGGTCACGGGCATGTGCTGTGGTTGCGCAAAAAACGAAGTGCTGTTTACCTTTGCAACAACACAGATGTAGCCTATGGGTGCAGCACGATCACAGCCGGCGGCTGAACCAGCAGGTTTTTTCCTCCGGTGCTTATGGAAATGGCTCAGCGCCTTCACATTGGGCAGGTCAGACAAGATCGCTTGCAGTAAACCGCAATATTTCGCCTGCCACACAGGCTTGCCAAACACGTAGCGCTGTGTGCCTCTGCGAATTCATGCAGTTCTCCTCACCTCTAGTTCTTGTGTTTCCTCGAATTCCTCTCTCCCTTTCGCAAAAAGCATGGTTCTTTCTGACGTGATCCTGGTTCTGCGCTCAGCCAGCAAGATTGCCTCGTTCGCCGCTGACGAGTGCGGGCGCTCGGTTGCGCAACACCTCAGGACATCGAGCCTTGTGCCGAGCCAGGTCAAGGTGCTGGTAGCAGCGACCAGTGAGCGGCAAACACCGCCGTCAACAAAGCTGACAACACAGCTGGCAGCGAGGGGAGTGCCTGTTAGGCTGCACCCAGGCCGGCTGGATCGGAAACACCTGCTCGGGGTGTTTGAACAAAAGCCGCACAGGGTCGGACAGACAGGTGCGGAGGAGATAAGGGCAGCCGATTTGTCGGACGTTGGACTGGAATTTCCGCAGCCGCCGACCGAGCCAGCGACTGAGCTAGCACAGCCAATGACAGAGAAGATCAAGCCGGTAGAAGTCATAGAAACCGCAACTTCCGCAGAGCCCATGCAGTCTACGACTGAGAAAGAGCAACAGCCGACTGAGTATGAGGGACACCTGGAAATATCTCAGAAACGGCAGCTGCAGGCATCGGCAATGCCTTCAAATCGCGTCAGCCGGCTGTACCATTACGGGTCGCTTGCAGTGGGCCTTGGCCTGGGAGCGCTGGGCGAGGCGACCAAGCGGTGGAGCGGGTTCAGCGACTCGTCGGACCAGTCATCGGTCATGCTGAGCCGGGCCAACATCGACCGGATCGTCGACAAGCTGTCCAAGATGCGTGGAGCCGCCCTGAAGCTTGGCCAGATGCTGAGCATCCAGGACTCCAAGAACATGACACCCGAGATCGCTGAGGTACTGCAGCGCGTGCAGAACGCTGCCAACTACATGCCGGTGCGGCAACTCGAGAAGCACATGCGCAGGCAGCTCGGGGCCGACTGGCGCGACAAATTCACCGAGTTCCAGGACGAGCCGTTTGCTGCTGCGTCCATTGGGCAGGTCCATGAAGCGAGGATCGCGATGGCTGAGCACGGGTTCACCAAGGTCGCCGTCAAGGTGCAGTATCCGGGAGTAGCTGGCTCGATCGAGAGCGACCTGAGCAACCTGCAGTCGCTGCTGGTTATGAGCAAGCTGTTGCCGCGCGGCATGTACCTGGAGAACACAATCAAGGTTGCGCGCAAGGAGCTTGAGTGGGAGTGCGACTATGTGCGGGAGGCCGACGCCATCACAAGGTTCAGCGAGTTCCTTGCCTCTGACAAGGACTTTGTTGTGCCCCGGCTGGTGCCTGAGCTCACCGGCAAGATGGTGCTGACCACCGAGTTCATGGATGGCGTCGATATGAAGAAGGTCGAGACGCTGAGCCAGGAGGTGCGCGACCACGTGGGAACCAGCGTTCTGAAGCTGTGTCTGCGCGAGCTGTTCGAGTTCGAGTTCATGCAGACCGACCCGAACTGGGCCAACTTTATGTACAACACGGAGACTGGCAAGATCGTGCTGCTGGATTTCGGCGCCTCGCGCGGATTCGGCAAGGAGTTCCTGGACAAGTACCTGAACACGCTCAAGTCATCCATGGAGGGCGACCGCGAAGGTGTGCGCCACTGGTCGACCGAGCTCGGGTTCCTCACCGGCTACGAGGCTGACGTGATGACCAACGCCCACGTCGACTCTGTGCTGGAGATTGGCAAGCCGTTCCGAAGCCCCGGACTGTACGATTTCGGCAACCAGGATGTGTCGGATAATGTGCGAGAGGCTATCCCCGTGATGCTGCGACACCGTCTGACGCCGCCGCCGGACGAGACATACAGCCTGCATCGCAAGCTCAGCGGCGCCTACCTGCTGTGCATCAAGCTGGGCTCGCGCGTGCCGTGCCAGGACCTGTTCAAGTCGATCACGTCAAAGTACACGTTCAGCGATGGTTCTAAAGTCACTTACTAATGATAGAAACACTTATCCACCCTTTTCGAGATCGTTCTGGATCTTGCGCACTCGCACAAACAGGTCGGCGGCATCTTTGACCCACGGATATGTGAGGCAGAGTGAGTTCAGCTCGACCGACATGATCACTGCATAGTCATGGTGTGCGTCAAGCACCTTGTTCAGCACTTTGGCTGCCAACCGCACGCTGAATTCCTTGCTAGACGACGCAGTCTGCACCCGGCACGTTGCCTCCACCGCGCCCAGATACTTGAACAGCGTTTCTGGCGAAATGTCGCTGGCTCTGCCCAGAATCAGCTCGGCGCTCGACGCATGCTGCACCGGGTTCATCTGCTGCGGAATCAGCGTCTGGATGATCTGGTTGGCCCGTTCCTGATCCGGCAAAACTAGCACCATCTTCTGGAGCAGCCCAGGACAAGCCTCCATGTACATGGCGACATCGTCGTCCTGCAATGGGACGCGGTCAAGCAGGTCAGGCCACTTGCGGATAATCTCTGCCGCCTGCATCTCCTCGCGCACCGGCAGATTGTGTCCTGCTTTGAGCGCGTTTAGTAGCGTGTGCTGGGCGCTGCTGTGCTGCTTGGCTGGCAGATACGTGTTCTTGGCGAGTGCAAAGCCGTCCGCAATTATCTTGGCGTCTGTGTCGGCTGTAAATGTAATGTGTAGTGTGCGCGGCAAATGCCCAATTGGATGGCTCAAGAACCTGGCCGACCAGCTCGCAAATACGCTGTCAGCCATTCTGCATTAAGCGAGTATCTGTTAGTTTGCGCCAAGAAGTAAATATGCGAGGGATGGATGCGTGGACGCTATCGCTCATGTCGCCCCCAGTCATTCTTAAGCTTGAGCCCAGCTGACGAGCCATATGGTTCATCATTTCGGATGCCGTTGGTGCCGGCGTCATCACAGCTGCCAAGACAGCAGAACTCTCCAGAGGCTTTTTCCTTCTCTGCCACTGCAATTTCCAACTAATATTATTTCCCATTTCCCCCTACAATGAACAGAATTTTCGGCACCAGCAAGCCCAAGGCTCCTAAGCCGACACTCGACGACGCAATTTCCTCCACAGACGCGCGCGTGAGCGCTGTTGAAGTGAAAATTCGCAAACTCGACGGTGAATTAGCCCGGTATCGCGACCAAATGCAGAAAATGCGCGACGGCCCGGGCAAAAACTCGGTCAAGCAGCGCGCCCTCCGCGTCCTGCAGCAGAAAAAGATGTACGAGAGCCAGCGGGACCAGCTGATGCAGCAGTCGTTCAACATGGAGTCCGCTGTGTTTGCCACTGAGAACGTCAAAAACACTCTGTCGACGATGCAGGCCATGCAGGACGCGAGCAAGGCCATGAAGAAACAGTACAAGAACGTCGACATCGACAAGATATACGATATGCAGGACGAGATGGCCGAGCTGCTGGAACAGGCAAACGAGGTGCAGGAGCTGATGGGCCGCAGCTACAATCTGCCCGAGGACGTCGATGAGCAGGATCTGGAGGCAGAGCTGGATGCGCTGGGCGACGATTTGGATTTTACTGAGGACGTGCCGTCGTATTTGAATAACGCCGAGGAACCACTACCAGAGCTGCTGCCCGAAGCCCCCGACGGTGGTGCACAGCTGCCAGATAGGCCCGAGCACACCCGGGCCGAACCAGCCCTTCGAATGTAACACATGCTGCTGCTGAATATATCTCGCATCATCAGCGACAATTGATTGCTGAAAGATAATGCCCCAAATACATCCCTGGCTGGAGCGCACAGACTACGTCAACATGCACTGTTGCGCGCCAATTCTAGATAGGGACCCCGCAACGCCCATTGAGGCAATTGGCCAGAACCGGCTGGCTTGTGCCCACCTCACTCCACTCTGCTGCTGCTGCTGCTGCCACTGCTGCTGCCGCTGCTGCTATCTCTGCATCCCCCAAAGCTTGCAGTTCTCGGATTCTGGATGTCACGGCACATTTTCCTCCATCGATAGGAGACGATGGCTGGCCGATAAGAAGTGGCCTCTTTTATCTGTCGACATCATCACCTCTCATCGATCGGAGCGGAGCACTCCTTGCTGGCACCTCTCCCTCTGCTGCCAGTTCAGCCTGTCTTTAGCCCCACGTTCAACCCCAGTCGCGCCATATCAGCCCGCCACCGCACACTGCGCCTAGCCGAAAAGGGCGCATATATAAGGGATGGTGACGGACCTGGCCCTTGCTCCCCCTCCTCAACTCATTTTTTTCTGCAGCGCCTCCCTGGTCTTTCTTCAGCCCCCTTCCTAGTGTATCATCTTTTTTCTCCCTACTATCTTCGTATATTTTTGTCGTCGCTATTACCCGGCTTCTGGTTACAAGTGCTTAAATGGTTCAGCCTAAATTCGACGACTCTGCCGACCGCACACTTGAACTGGTCTCGCTCTCCCGAGCCAACTCGTTCGACGGCGCCATGACGCGCACACGCACCAAGCGCGAACAGCTCAAGCGCCATGTGCGCATCATCGCCGCAACGCATTTTCTGCCGTTCTCCGTGCAGGTCTCCGAGTCCACCCCGCAGGAGCCCTATGAGTGGACGGTGACGCGGCGCGGCGGACACACGGCCATGTATGCGGGGATCCGCTCGCTTGGCGAGCAGCCCAACATGGACTGCACCAAGGTCGGCTGGGTCGGCAGCTACATGGATGCCAAGGGCAGCGAGCACTCGTGCGATGGGCTGAGCGAGGAGAGCAAGCGCAGCATGTGCAAGACGCTGCTGGAGGTTGACGCTGTGCCGGTCTTCATTGATGAGGAGCTGGCGTACAACCACTACGAGGGCTTCTCGAAGCAGATTCTGTGGCCGCTGCTGCACTATATGGCGTGGAATGACGCCCAAGCCCCGGAGCCCGCGTGGTGGATGAGCTACCAGAAGGTCAACGAGCTCTTTGCCAACGCCGTCAGCTCTGTTTATGCCGACGGCGATATCGGTAAGTACCCAGAGTCTAGAATCAATGCACACATTATTCGCTTGCGAGGATGGGGCGGCGTCCCTGCCGTGCGCAGTGTCTGGCTTCTTTGTCTCCGAACCACGCTGCACACAGACTGCAGCTGACGCCGCCACCGAGCCATACAGCAGGAGACGCAAGCCTCAGCGACCCTGGCCATTCTGCCCCTCCACAGTCCCTTTGAGGGAGCCGGGCGTTTCATTTCCAGCATGCAACCTTGCATGCATAATCGCAGACATGCCTTATCGCATCACGTTTTTATTTTCCCACTCACATACACCTTTTTCTTATACGCCGAATAGTGTGGGCCCATGACTACCACCTGCTGCTTCTGCCGCTCATGCTGCGCGAGATATACCCCACGGCGCCAATCGGCCTGTTCCTGCACTCACCGTTCCCCAGCTCAGAGCTGTTCCGGTCGCTGCCGCAGCGCAAGGAGATTCTCAACGGCATGCTGGGCGCCACCAGCATCGGATTCCAGACCTACTCGTATGCCCGCCATTTCCTGAGCTCGTGCACACGTGTGCTCGGTCTTGAATCGACTCCGACCGGCGTCGACTACAACGGCAGCATGGTCTCCATCGGCGTGTTTCCCATCGGCATCGACGTCAAGGCCGTGCAGGAAAGAGCCTCGCAGCCCAATGTCCTGGCCAAGATGAAGAGCCTGCGCGAGACATACACCAACAAGCTAATCATCATCGGCCGAGACAAGCTGGATGAGGTCGCCGGTATCACGCAGAAGCTCGAGTCCTTCGAGCTGTTTCTGGAGACACACCCCGAGTGGCAGGGCAAGGTTGTGCTGATCCAGGTCACCCAGCCCGGCCAGCGCCGTCAGCCACGGCTTGAGGCCAAGATTTCGGAGCTGGTCACATCTATCAACAGCAACTACGGCTCGCTCGAGTTCATGCCCGTCCTTTACCACCACTCGTTCCTCGAAACCGACGAGTACATGGCGCTGCTCAACATTGCCGACCTCTGCTTCATCACGGCTATCCGCGACGGCATGAACACTGGCTCCCTCGAGTATGTTGTGTGCCAGAAGACCAAGCACAACCCGCTGATTCTCAGCGAGTTCACCGGCACTGCGGGCTCAGTAAGCGGCGCCATCCAGATCAATCCGTGGGACTACCGCGACGTTGCGAATGCGATCAATTCGGCGCTGTGCATGTCACCCGATGAGAAGAAGGTGCGGTTCGACCAGATGTACCGCCATGTCATCAGCCATGATGCACAGCACTGGGCTACTTCATTCATCCAGGATCTGCGCGCCCTAGTGCTGGCCGGCCAGAACAGCAGCGCGACCCCATACCTGGATATGCCTCTGTTCACAAAGTGCTTCTCCGATTCCAAGAAGCGCCTGCTCATGTTCGATTACGACGGCACCTTGACGCCGATCACCAACATCCCCGCCGAAGCCCTGCCGCCCGCCGACATGCTCAAGGCTATGCGCCGCCTGTGCGCTGACCCGCAGAACTCGGTGTGGGTTATCTCTGGCCGTGACCGCCAGTTCCTTGACCTGCACCTCGGTGAAATCCCGGGTCTCGGGCTCAGTGGCGAGCACGGCTCGTTTATTCGTTATCCAGACACCGAGTGGGTCAACCTGCTGGCCACCATGGATATGAGCTGGAAGGATGACGTCCTGTCGATTTTCACCTTCTTCAAGGAGCGTACAGCCGGATCAACCATCGAAGCCAAGGAGACATCCATCACCTGGCACTACCGCAATGCTGATCCCGAGTACGGCGAATTCCAGTGCAAGGAATGCATGAACCACCTTGAGAACGCCGTCGTGTCGAAGCTTCCTGTCGAGATCTTGGTCGGCAAGAAGTGCCTGGAAGTGCGCCCCATTTCAGTAAACAAGGGCGAGATCGTCAAGCGTCTGCTCGGCAACGACCCCGACCAGTGGGAGTTTGTTGCTTGTGCTGGTGATGACAAGACCGACGAAGATATGTTCAGAGCCCTGCGCCATGCTCGCCGCGATATTGCAAAGCATGCAAACGGCGACCGCCAGGATGTTGCTGCTACCAATGGCACCAAGGATGATGATGATAACGAGCCCTCGGCGTTCATCGATACACCGCCATACTACTTCACCATCACTGTTGGCCCAGCCGAGAAGAAGACGGCCGCATCGTGGCACGTCAATACTTCGGAGCAGGCTGTCGAGGCACTGGCGTGGCTGGCAGCCTCAAGCAATCCTGGCAGATTGTAGAATCCTAGCTGGAGGCTGTCTGCATGACATTTATTTCCCCTTCTTAACCATGCGAGCTTATACGGCTTCATACTACATGCGTTTGCTCGAGAATTAATGGTGCGCAAGATCACACTTGCTTGCTAACAAGATAAGAGGCTAGGGATGGTAGTCTTGCTCTACCATCAGAGCTGCAGCTGTAATCTTTATCTTTACCTTTATATAAGATTCTATAGTCCAAAAAGTGTCCGACCGTCCGCTAGAAACTCTTAAGCTTCAACACGAGTTTGGGTGGCTTGCTCCCTAAACTCCTTTTTGATCTTGTGCGGCATCTGACCTCATCGGTGAAACCAGGGTGACGAGTTGTTATTGTAGTGGTCACAGGTCTCCACCGGATATCTCCATTGGCTCAGCGCAAGAGCTGCTCTCATTGTCGATCGGCCTGATAACCTCCATGGCGTCACCATGGTGGTCATCACCGACTGCGCAACACTCTTAGGATATTTATCTATGAGCATCTATTGAATAAGGCCATGTAGCTCTTCTAGCGGTCTTGCAATATTTGTGGGTTTATTTTATAAATTAATTTGCCTTATGAACATGCGTAAGCAAAGTACCCAGCGTGCATGCAGGATTGGCACCCCATTTCGGATCAGCTAAATTGCCAGACCGATCTGCCCGTAACCACCGAACAACGGCCGCCATACCAGCCAGTAACCAACAGAAGTGCAAGGTATAAACAAGCACACTACCTTCAATTGTGGTTGCAGATGGTTACATGTTTCACACCTATCTAGTCTGGCCACAATAGAGTGCCAAAAGCCTGTCAGACATCACAGATGCCTCCATACAAAGATCGCTTCCCCTTTGTCCATGTGCATGCTGCTGGCAACACCCTGTCTTCCAGTACAGTTGGGCTGCCATATGTAGTCGCCTTGCAACGATATTTCACACGTGAAACACTGGTAGTCAGTGCCATTTATCCATCCGCAATGCAGCTACCGAACATCTCACTCGTATCTGCGTCATGTTTGCTATTTGTGTAGTATACAAATGCAATTGAGTACCTCCGCTTGAGTCTGACACAACGATCTACCTTCGAAGTACACGATAATGCCAACTTGAGAGGCTTAAACGAAACGGAGCGGAGCAGGGATGGTTGGACAGTAGATCTGTCTCCGTTTAACAGGAGTACCCGATTCCAGGACTGGCTTAAGTTCGTGTAAAATTAGACGTTGAAACCAGGCATAGAGCGCTCCACTAAAACTGCGAAAGTGAGCACAAATACTTGTGATAAAAATGGCTAAGCTAGTTGCTCTGCGCCGCCTTGTACTTCTAGAGGTCAGTCTGCATTTGCTCCACCTGTCTGTACCCACAACGCGCTCCTACCCGAGAGTGTAATGCCACCTCCAGTGGATCTGATGCACCTTCCTGCGAACTGGCTCTAGCAGAGGCCTTGTGGTCGAGCTGGCACCTAGTGGGGACAAGGCGACTAGCGTAGTGGCTAGAGAAGGAAACTGGCAGGTGTCTGGGTTGGGGGAATTACATGTGTTGAGCTCGAAGCGGGCATCTAGCGAGTTCCACTATTTACTATCAGACTGTCAACAGAAAGGCATCTCTGCCATTTGATGTTGAAGGTCTAGAGCACAAGGCACAAGATAGAGGGCGATAGATAGCGGCAAAGCTAAATAAGAGGAAAGAGGTGGATGACGAAAACACATTCAAATTGATATGTATATGTCATGCCGCCAGGGTGGTTCCGACTCACCCAAGGCGGATTACTCACTGAGAGTGGCGCAGCCTTATCCAGGACCGTATGCGGCTTAGATGAGGGCTCAGTATGCGCACTCGGCGCTTGCTTAAATACCCCTGGCTGGCTCCTAGCAGCAGGGATTCCTCCTGGTTTTTCCAATATATTTTAGTGAACGCTTACTTTTGGTTTTATCAGCACATTTATAATCATTACTAGGAGAACACGCTACCTAGTTTCCTCTTCCCTGACATTTGACCAAGGTCGATTTAGGCACGCACCGTATTATTTAAGTATATTTTGTGGGCTATGATGAGTGCTGACAGAAGAAAGGCACCTGGCACCACATATATTCAAGGATTGTGGTTTTCGAAAGAGTCTTTGAACCACGATGTATTGGTCCAAAGGCGTACCAGCGCCGTGAGCTTATAACAGCAGAAGGCAGCAGAGTCCAGAGTTATATTGATGTGTAGAAAGCTGAATGAAAAATAAAAAAGAAAAAGCGAAGATGAGCGTATGGTTTTATACCGTCGCTCAAGTGGCACAGCCAAAAAGGAAATAGTAAATAAGTGAAAGGAATTCGCAGGATGGAAAAGCTATATAGTTCACAGTAGTCAGATCCTGAGATTTTAACACAGACGTAGTACCAAATGCCTCCGTGAGCCATCGTTTCGTGTTTTGGAGTATCATAAGAGTTCTAGTATTTTGTGAGAAAGTAGTAGACGTGAAAACTACAGAAACGAAAGGGAGACAGTGACGTGTGTACGGGTGGTCTTTTTTGTATGTATTCAAAGCCTATCACATTATATGCCTCGGCTGGAACACTGCTCATAAGCTCGATGCTTCACAGCACTCGAATGACTTACCCACATTGTCAGGCTGGCATACGTATTTTCTGATTGCTCCAGTTTTCATATATTATCTGCGAGCTACTAGCCAGCTGACTAGGCGGGCTGGTACCGAAAGCTGCTATCATGAGCACGTCTCTGCTTGGGAGCTGCAATTCCGATACTCGATTTTACCCCAAGTTGGCCGATCACAGGGTCTCAGGAACTCATGGGTTGAACCCCTAGGCTACGATAGCTCCTTTTACTATTTCGAGCGACAGACGCCATACACATGCGGGCGCCCGCCCCTTTACCCAAGGGTTTTTCCTTTCCTTCTTCATATTTTGTACTTCATACGCTCCAATATACGTCGTGGAAAGGTACTTCAGAAAGTAAACGTATTAGGGCAGTTGCAAGGGGCTGTTTCCCAGGCACATTGTACATGAAAAACCACAGTATTGGTGAGCTACTTGATAGAAGTTCTGATGAGAACGGCGTATGGAGAGAAGTGTTATAGACATTATATCGACTGTTATTAAGATGCTAGATGCACATTAAAACTCTTATAGAAATAACAGCACGCCTGTTTAACTGGTATACTCTTGGAGGGGTCGCAATGTTCCTTGTGCTATGGAGAAAAGTTAAATAAACAGTCATCACATAACTTGTACAAGCGACTTGAATGGGACGAGTATTCCATGAGCTGTACTAATACTACTTCTCCACTGATTAATTTGATATCCACTTTGGAGTTGCGAACAGATCATATGTTGGCAAACGGGCAAATGTATTTTACAAATTTTCTGTGAGGTTTGCACAAGATAATGCTTAGTAGTCATCTTTAGCCAGACAGACTCAATCTCCATAGTCCCATGCCCTACTATCCTTAAAATAGCAGCCACTCTAATTGTAGATGGCAGCATCAAGGCCAGCGCCGACACCGGTGCCAATAACCTCGACACCCAGATCACCCAGAAAGTCCTTGGTGCGGTCGCTGAGATGAGGGCGGCGACCACCCTTGCGGCTGCGCTGGTTGTCATCCTCCTCAAAGTCCGCGTCGTCATACTCGAAGCTGCGCTGGTTGTTGTAGATGGCAGCATCCAGACCAGCACCAACACCAGTGCCAATCAGCTCGACACCAAGGTCGCTGAGGAAGTCCTTGCCACGACCGCTGCCGCGACCACGACCACCACGCTGGTTGTAGATGGCAGCATCCAGACCAGCACCAACACCAGTGCCAATCAGCTCAACACCCAGGTCGCTGAGGAAATCCTTGCCGTGACCGCTGCCGCGACCACGACCACCACGCTGGTTGTAAATGGCAGCATCAAGTCCAGCACCGACACCAGTACCAATCAGATCGACACCAAGGTCGCTCAGAAAATCCTTTCCACGACCGCTGCCGCGACCACGACCACGACCACCACGCTGGTTGTAGATGGCAGCATCAAGACCAGCACCAACACCAGTACCAATCAGCTCGACACCAAGGTCGCTGAGGAAGTCCTTGCCACGACCGCTGCCGCGACCACGACCACCACGCTGGTTGTAGATGGCGGCATCCAGACCAGCACCGACGCCAGTGCCAATCAGCTCGACACCGAGGTCGCTGAGGAAGTCCTTTCCACGGCCGCTACCACGACCACGTCCGCCGCGCTGGTTGTAGATGGCAGCATCAAGGCCAGCACCGACACCAGTACCAATCAGCTCAACACCGAGATCGCTCAGGAAGTCCTTTCCACGACCGCTGCCGCGACCGCGACCACCGCGCTGGTTGAAGCCACCCTGCAGCAATGAGCTAAGGAGGTCTCCAAAAATATCGGAGCCAACCTCTCCACCGAACTTGCCAAGACCCCTGCCAAACCCTCCAAAGCCGCGCTGGTTGCCATCCTCCTCAAAGTCGTCAAAGTCGTCAGTAGTCTCGATGACAGGCTCGATGATACCAGCAGCATGGTCGTTGAAAGGAGTCGAGATGTCGTTGTCAGCAGGACCAGCCTGGTTGGCAGCGGCAGTAGCAGCGAGAACAGCGAAGATGGTAGCAATAGAGATGCGCATTGTCAGAGTTGCCTTTTTTTGAAGATGCAAGTGCAGAAAGTGAATGCGATACTTGAATGAGGTTGCTTGTGTGAAGCTTGAGGTGGTGATGTTGTTGTTGAAGCAGGATGAAGCAGTCATGGTGGGCTGGCTTTATATACGCTGCGTGAACCTCGAGGATATCTTCCGATACTGCTTCTGCCCTTTCCAAGATTTTTCGAGGAGATTGCTAATTTTAGCGATGCGGTGCGGTCCAGTGGGCGCTGAGAAGGAGAGATATTAATAAGCTGAGCATGTGTCGATCATCTTGATTTTTCACCTCAGGATATCCTCATTCTGTGCGACTATGCACGGCCGAAAATGTCGTGCATGGGCTCACAGAAAGCGCCTGCAAAGACAGCCGTCGCTCCTGAAAATAGACTGGGGACCATGTAGCCCGTTCAGCAGACCTGCACAAATGCTTGGAAATCTTGGTGATCTAAAAATACGAGAAGCAGCGGCACAGAAAGCGGCATGTAGATACAATCGAGATATCTGTTTGCAGGAACGTTGGCACCCGAGCTGCATAGCTGCACTCCCCGTACTGCGGCATATACGGAACTCTCGCAGTTTGATTAGACACCGTGCCCACCTATATTGTGGATTCTGGCGCTGTCGTCCACAGCACCTTAGGAAACACATTTCTTGCGTCTACGACTAACAATAGTCGCATGGTCCCTTTCGGCCGCCATGCTGAGTGTTTAGACCGGAATACGCCAGCTTGCCTTCAAACTCCTTCCCTCTTTTGATTAACATACATCTACTTTTAAATACACATTACAGAACAGTGCTTTGAAAGTAAACGTATTTGAGCAGTTGCAGGGGACTGATAAACCTGTGGCTGGTAAATTCTGCACTATACAATACAGATATTTTTACATATTGTCCTCAAACTCTTATGTATTTGCGAATGTGCCAACTATATTCGAGCAATCCTACCAGAGACCATGCCTATCTGACACATAAAGACACTATTCAGAATTATTGCCAGTAAATACAAAGAAGAAAAATGAAAAATGAAGCGAGGAGAAATAGATGAAGTGATGAGTAAACACAATGACCATCCAGCTCTGGGCAGCACATGAATCTATTTAACCTATATGGAGGCACGTTTGAAAGTAGCAATTATATGCCATTTTAATAGCGGGTAGTGAACGAATATACAAGCTTGCTTCGTATATCATTGGTCTGATCTGCGCGGACCATGAATATGCAGCTATGCTAGACTTTGAAACTGCCAGCTAAAATGTGCGTGTGCAGAGAGCCGGTTACCTTGGCGCAGTCAGTGCTACCCTCTCAGCTTTGCAGTATCCCAAAGCGTTCCTACATGGGTTTAGCGCCAGCGGGCTCTGTCAGCATTCACGTTAGCATCACCGTGGATGGCCATGTTGCTATCACCGGTATTGTCGTCGATTGGTGGGCAATGCTCAAATATACTTGTTACATAGTGTTGATGTGAAAATAGGGTTGGAGTAATGTGTAAAAGTATTTTTGTTAGTATTAGGATATTGGAAATGTAGAGTAGCTGAAAGAAAAGAGAAACAGAGAATGTCAGATTCAGCTGCACAAGCCTGATGATATACTTGACTTCTATATTGGTGCTGCTGTAGCAAGCAAAGAGGAACAAAACACCTTTGCATACCAATGTTGTAGATGATTGTCTGGTACACCACACCATATCACTAACACTCCTTGAAGACGCTGAGGAGTGACTCTCGCTGGCGCTTGTGATGAGGCCCTATACATTAGCCTCCATGGTGGCATCAAGGACCATTGCTTCTGGTGCGCAACAACTGCACTGATGGCCATAGTAACTCTATCTACCATCAATATATGGCTAGATACACAGCGACCACAAATATGATTATGTTGAACTTGAGCATCAGTATGTGTTAACACATGACTGCATACTTAGCATATTCAAGTGAATGTCGTGGGGGTTAAAAGAAACATGTCAATAAAAAAAGCGAGAGAAAAAATGTGAAAATTTGTGTTTTGTGTTTTGTGTTTAGTTGGCGGCAGCAGCGGGCTTCTCGGTCTCCTTCATGTAGGTGTCGAGGTCAGCGTCAAGCGACTCCTTGGTGGCATCCGGGCGCTTCTCACGGTCGCCACCACGACCGCCCTTGTGGCCGCCACGGCGACCCTTGCCTCCGTTTGCGGGACCGTTCTGCTGCTTCTGCCGTCCGGCGCCATTGGCTCTGCCACCGCTCCTCGGCGCCTTGCCGCCAGCCGGCGATCCCTGCATCACAGCGCCGGGCATCATGGTGGGCATCATCATCGGCACAGCCATCGGGTTGTAGGCGACCTCAATCTTCATGGTGCGGCCGTCGAGCGTCACGCCATGGTAGCGCTCGACTGCCAGGGCCGCGTGCGCCGGCGACCGGAAGATGACCTCGCCGCTGCCCTTCGACCGGCCATTGGGGCCAAAATTCAGCGTGGCACGCTTGACTGGGCCAACCTGGGTGAACAGCTCGCGCAGGTCCGCCTCGGTCACGCCATAGTCCAGGTTGCCAACCAGGATCTTGCCGCCCTGGCTCTGCTGCTGGGTGTTGGCAGTGAGGAATGCAGCCTGGTTCATCATCATTGTCTGGGCTGCCAGTGTTTGTTGCTGCTGCTGCTTCTGTCCGCGCTTCTGGACTCCGCCGTCGCGGCGGGCGTAGGGCGAGCTGCGGTTCGACTGGTGGCCGCTGCTGTTGTTGCTGCGACGTCCACCGCCGTTGCGGCGGGGGGTCTCCGAGATGATCTCATCGAGCGACTTGTCGAGGTTGGCGGACATGATCTGACGTGTTGATAGACGGTCTATGTTCCACACGAGGCAGAATCCGATGTATGTGTGTGAATGGGAGAAATAATTCAGCGAAAAGAGTGAGGGAGTGAGATGACAGTGGTTAGAAGCATGTGTCAGCATGAGCAACGCGAGAGAGCTGGAGATAGAGGAAGAAATCCGACAATAGTTGCAAAACACAAGCGGTCCTTTCGAAATAAGCACTTGCGAACGACAGTTGGGCACGGTGGCTCCGAGTAAACACGCGAATGAGCCAGAGGTGGCTAGTCGGCAGCAGACTGAGGGGGGCAATGAACGAGAGGATGCTCCTGTTGGCCCTGGTTTGTTCAGCAGGCGAAAGAGAGACAAGCTCCAGTCCGCGATCCACTCTGCGAAACCAGCCAAAGGGGCCAAGCCAAAAGCACCTAGTGCTGCTACGTAGAGCAGGGGACAGGGTCAAGCCGAGGGCCTGTGTAGGCTCTACCAAGTAGCTTGCCACTAGGCACATTCTCGCTGCAACTACGCTTCAGAGCCTCCACTGGCGTCCGCATCCCCTTCGCCCCAATCGCGCCCCTCTGCAGCTGATCCGCGCCAGAAGTTTGTTTGCGTAACCGGCGAACTGCGGCCAGCAGAGCAAAGAAAAGCGCTAGCGCTCTCAAGAGCAACCACACCGCCCACGCTTTCATTCTTCGCCATGTACTGCCAGTTACGCCCGCACGTGTGCCCGCCAGCCCCCGCCTCAAAGCACGGCCACCACCGCTGCTTCCGACCGACCCAGAGGGAAGGGGCTATCTCCAGACAGGAGAACGCATCGTCCACCGGCCACGAAACGAGTTAAAACGCGTGCGCGCGGGGCAAAATAAAGCGAGAAGACAAAGATACCAAGGCTTTCACAAGCCTGAACAGCGGCTCGCTTGGACTCAAAGACCACACATTGCGCTGTCTTGAAAGAATAAGGACAGAACACCGGGCGACAAGTACCTTAAAGCGAGCAGGAAAGAAGATAATTGAGAACGACAAGCAGAGATTGTCGAATGGGCGCTGGTAGAATAAAAAAGAGTACAGAGAAATGGCTAGAGAAGAAAAATCAGGAGGCAGAGTGTTTCAGGCTTGCAAGAAAAAGTGGCACAACGGAGCTGGCCAACAGCACATCCAATCACGATCGGCGAGCGCAGATGCGACCGATTGCGGCTTGCGGAGCTTGGCACACTGGGCTTCAGGACCACTGTCCATGCCATGGTTCGGATTCCTATGGCTGCTGAGTATCGGTAAGCGCATCGTCTGAGCAATAGTGGACAAGATGAGCGGACTAATACGGTACTGCTTCATTTATGAGTTGGAAGCTGCAAGCATGGTAATAATAAAGGCTAATGATGCCACATACCAGGCAGCGAGCATGCCAGATATTTGGAACGATTGTAGCAGGCACATAGCCACAATATAGTAGTGTCTCAACTGGTTCGAGTGCTGGCCATAACACTGCCCACTGAACCTCAAGGATTTTCAATTGCCAGCATCTTTGCGGCCAGAAAGCGACATGGTATTTGTACTTTTCAGGCTCAGCTTACACACAAGCCCTTTAAACATGAACAGACTCGCAGCTGCACAATGCCTGCCCGAGTTAGTTATTACGCGGATCATATCTTGTCTCCTGCAAACCTTGGCCAAATCTCCTCCTTGCTACATGATTGTCAGCAGTCTAGGGTATGCGAAATGCCCATCACTTCTGCCCCTTCTCCAGGTGCCCCAGACCTGAAGGAACGTAGCCGCTAAGGAATTCTACAAGCATGCAAGTATATTCCTTGGCCTGAAATGGGACCTTCGCGCAGTTTGCCTCCAAACACCAACCATTGAACTGGCGGCCGAGGAAAGCGTTCTGCGCTTTGTTAAGCAGGTAACCGCCCGTGTCAGATTCGATTGTATCTTTGATGGTCGGGCTGCTGACCTGCTCTGCAGCCTCCGTTCAGCAGCATTGCATTTCCAAATGTCCCCCAGATATCGATTCAGGCGAAGGGATGCCCTCACCTTACCCGTATGGGTCCGAGGGGGCTCTACTATTCTGTAAGCGTGTCATGGAGACCTTACCCTACGCAGTTCCTGACAGACAGGATGAGTTCGCGCTTTGGGTGGACATCTGGCATTGGCACAATGACGTAAAATACGACAGGTATCGGCCTTTGCAGCATTTCACACGGTATCACGCCTTCAAGGAGTGTCTCTCTATAGCTGCAAAGCCAACCGCTAGTCTGACTAGCATTTCACTTGGAGGCGAAATGTTCGATGTGCCCCATGTCGAGCTCGTGCAACGGAAACGCCCAGACGCTAAGGTCAATCTGTTTACGTCAAATCTCACACGACTTGTGCTCGTTGCTGGTCCGGGACAAGGATGCAGCCATCCCTCATGTATACCCAGACGTACAGCACCTAGAGCTGCATGCTGTAGTGTCCTCCAATTTCGCTAAGTATTCCAGATATGCACCAGCTGGTGACCCCTTTCCCAGACTGAGAAAGCTAGTATGTAGCCCATTCTACCCTTTCAGTAATGATGTACTGTTTCGTGGAAACAGAATGACTCTGGAGAGCCTTGTGCTACCGGTGGACTATATGGTTGCAGACGCTCTAAAGAATTCGTCCGATTCAGACCGAGTCTTGTATTAGTCTGGACTACGTGCATATTCCGGTGTTTTGGCCACAGGATATAAGTTTTCATCGACAGCAGAGTGATACAATGCGTGGCAGCATGCTTGAGACGGTGCTACACATATCACAGCGCTGTAACATCGCTTGTATTAGGATTGAATGGCGACTTCCACTACAGCCAGCTTCATACCTCGCTTGAACAATTCCACGGATTTTCAAGATTGTGTAATTTGACATTTCCAGTATGTGGATATCGCCAAGAGAGATGCTACGGATGATACACCACAAGCCTACAGTCCGGCGGGCTTATGTCAGTTTTCTTTGTGACAGCACAGAAAGCAGGGAACACATGGTACCAAGAGCTATTGAGCAGGCGTATGGCGCGTTCAAGAGCACGCCTATCGTCACACTTACCACAGCCTTCATGCGTAATGAGAGCAAAGCGATACACCAGGTAGCAGCTTGTAGAGCGCCTTCTTATTGTTGCATCTCTAGCTTCCAACTGTCAAGCACATGTCAGTACACACGGCTATTGAGGGCGCTGTGGTAGAGCGGGTGCGGTGCGAGCTAGTTCCAGAGATTCCGTGGGCATGTCCGCACGTCAACCAAGTCGATATATACTGCAAATAGAAAGCAGACACATCATCTTACCACCAGGTGGATTACAGTGTCATACTTTGTATATATTCATGTAAAGAATGAAGAGCGGAACTGGTATTCAGTCAAGCGATGCAGCGTTGCTGGCAGGCGTGCCCTCCTTCTCGCTGGGGGTAGCAGGAGGCGGAGGGTTAACAGGACCTGCAGCCAGACCACCGGCAGCTGGGCTGGTGTTGGATGGGCCTGCAGCCGGCGCCGGCGGAATGGGAATCTTCCCAAACAGCGGCGACCCATCAGCGCGCTTCCGCTCCGCAATCTCCCTCGCCTGGATTGCGCAAGGTCCAGGGCCGAGTCATATGCGTCTTTGACGGTAAACAGCACCCTCTGGCCGGTCGGATGGCTCTGCAGCTTGTTGTATGCGTCGGTTGCACGCTTGGTCAGATTGAACTTGTTGTCCCACTGCTGCAAGTAGTCGGTCAGCTTGTACTGCGAGTCAAGCGACCTGGCCTGCTGCTGCGAGCGCTCGGTGATCCTGTGCTTAGGCATCAAACACTGACGCACGCGCGATGACTTGCTCGCCCAGAACATAGCCAGCGGCCAGGAGCTCATGGACAATGTAGAGAGCGGGCTTGCCCGTCGAAGATGGCTGGGCGGGGGCCGGCTCGGTGCTGCGAGCTACGGCCTCGTTGGGCGGCGTCTCAGGGTTTGTCTCAGGGAACAGCGGAGCCACAGTAATGGCCTCGTAGTTGATGAGTGCATTGGACAGCAGCAAGGATGTCTTTGCCGAGTCAGCGGTCGCGAACTTTATCAGACCAACCTGCGTGCCGCGCTCGGTCTTCTGGAGCTCCAGCGACTGGATAGTGCCGCAGAAGGCGAAAAAGTCGCGCACGTTGTCCTCGGTCGCGCTCAGAGCGATGTTATCGACGACGACGAAGGTTGCGTCAGGCACGGTTGGCACAGGCGTCTTCCAGGTAACGTTGACAGTCATGGTTTAAAGTGTGTGAAAAATTGAAGAGAACTGGGAGGTTTGTTGGAGATAGAGCGAAGGTGTCAACAGCACGGCGGGTGATCCTTTTATACCCAGTTGAGGGCGCCTCATGCCGCGCCAAGACATTGCATACGTTCGGATTGGACGAAAAAAAGGCTGGGCCCTCATCCTGTGCGCAGCTGATGGCTGCGCTGGAAGAATTCGAGCCGCCTGCTACCAGGTGAACGTGAAAGCCCACACTCAGAGCCGAGTTTATTTATTGCTCCTACAGGTCCTTGTCGAGCTTGGTCAAAGTCGGTCCTCCATGTCATGTCGGCAGTATACGGCAGCCGGATTGTTTTTCCAAATGTTCGTATCGAGTTGACTGCCTTGATCCACGCAAACTCCAAGCAGAATGGGCCTTCCTGCCTGTCTGAAATCGAAAAGCCCACAGTCTCCATCTCGGTCTCAGACATTCCGGGCTGTGACGCAATAATGACCGAATTGCTTGTCAGCGTAAACTCGTTGAACGGAATTACCACTGTCTCCCACCGGCCAGGCGTGCGGATCGGCAGCAGGTGCTGGTAGATATCGGTCTGCACGACAGTCGACGACTTCAGATTCACAAAATACTTGCGGTTGTCAGCCCTGACTCTCAGCATCAGGTACCGGAACAGCGAGCTGTCCCAGTACTTGCCGCCAAACATGTGTGACTGGGGCTGGCAAGATCGTACCATTGCGTAGCCGCTGCGTGTGAAGCGTGGGTCTTCGGGCAGCTTCTGTGAAATGTAGCCGTGGAATTTGGCGTGCCCATGGCGCGTTGTGTCCAGGTATGCATCGGAGAACCCGCCGACGTCGCGGTCCGAGCCACGCACCCAGTTTTGCAAATCAGCGCGGCAATTCACTTTGGCGACAGTGTAGTCAAGCTGGCGGTTCATAAAGTCGCCAGAGTACGCGCTCTCCACGCCCTGCTTCAGCGCGACAGCCGAGCGCTCCAGGTACTTTCGCATAGACATTGTGAGCTTTTTTACTTTGACCAGGAAATGCAGACAAGAGGAGGCTGGGGCACAACGCTTGAGCCATTTTTTTGCTGCAGATTATCTGCTCGGTTCGGCGGCTCGGTCTTATTCGAGAAGCATGGTGGCTCGGTGTTCACGTGAAAAGGATGGCTTTGATCTACCAAGCAGGCGGTCGGCTGCACCTCGTCAAAAAGGACGGGTCGCTTGGACCTTCGTCGCCCGCTTCCGCCCACCACCATTCCGCCGTTTTTATTTTAATTTCCTACCAATACTCTTCCTATGAGCGACAAGGATGCCTTTTTCCTTTCGGCGGTCGGCCAGCTGCCGCGCGACCAGTATCCAGCGACAAACGCGGTAAACGCGGTGTTTCGCCGGCTCGACAAGGTGGTTTTGCAGAGCCTGCCGCCGCACCTCCACCCGCTTTTTGTTAAGCTGCACTGCTTCTGCACACGCCGCACTCTGGCCCTGGAGAAGCGCCTGCGTCTGAACCCGACCTTCCGGCTCCTGCTGAGCGTGCGGATAGTGCCGCCCGAGTTTGCATTCATGGCAGCAGCAGCCTCAACAGTCTATGCCCTCCGCTACATGTACATACACGCGCTGGACCTTTTGACAAACATTGTCGGGATTGCATACCCAACATACCAGTCAATCCTAGCCATCGAGTACGGCGACATGATGCAAGCAGCGTCGAAGGGAGAGCTGGATATGGCGATGGGCGAGACAGGGCCGAATCTCGACAAGAAGCAGTGGCTGATGTACTGGGCCATATACGGCGTATTGACGACGGCAGACCACTGGGCTGGACCGATTCTGAAGCTGTTTCCGTTCTATCGTGTGGCAAAGATTGCAGTGCTCTTGTGGGCGCAGCACCACAAGTACAATGGCGCGACGTGGCTGTATGACACGTTCGTTAAGCCACTGTTGCCGCCAGCCATTCCTGCCACACTGTCCCAGAACTACACAAAAGCACACCAGCAGAGGCAGCGGAGGCAGGAGACTGAGCAGCAGATGAGCATTGGCGATGTGGAGGGCAGACATATGGAGCGAGAGGAGGAAGAGAAGGATAAGGAAGAAGAGGATGAGGATGAGCACATAGTTGAGAGCGTGCCGCAGGCGATGACATTTTCGACACTACTGATGCCGTCTGTGTGGGAGTCACAACAGCAGCATCATCATCCTCACTATCCTCAAGAGCAGCAGACTGACAAGTCAGCAGCATCTAGCACACCGTCGTTGCTCGCCGTGGCAGGACCCACCCGGGCATAATGCAAACACCGTTTGAACTCAGTATTTTTTTAGTATCGTTGGAATGTAATGGCGATGTTCAGTTGTATGATGACTTGTGGCGCTTGCGGCTCTCGTCGAGAAGCTCCTTCATAGCCTTGGTCTTCTTGAAGTTCGGGTTGTTTGGATCAATGGCAAAGTTGTGCGAGTCGTACAGAGCGCTGAAACGCGGGTCGCTGGTATCCACCTTGAAGCCATCGTCAACCTCGGCGCGCTTCTGGCCCTTCTTGCCCTTCTTCTTGCCCTTGTGCTTTTCGGACTTGATGATCTCGGCCATGTCAAAGTGCTTGCGGCCAGACTCAGCGCCATCCAGAAGCAGCTCGAGCTCCTCCCGCTCCTTCTTCTCTTTCTCCTGCCGCTGCTTGCGCTCAGACTTGCTTTCGCGCACCTTCTTTGTCTTTGCAGGCGTCTCGTCGTCGCTGTAGGTGAAGAACGGATCGGCGGCGGTCTCGGTATCCAGCTCGTCGTCCGAAACCAGATCGCTCTTTTTGTTCTTCTTGCTCTCCTTCCATTTCTCGCGACGCTCCTTCTTGACGCGACGGAACCGCTCGATGGTCGTCTCATTGTCATGCGAATCATCCACCTTGCTCTTGCTCTCCAGCTTTTCGGCTGCCGCCTCGCTGAGGCCAGGCGTAAATGTAATCTCCATCTCGTTTTCGCCGTCATCGGCGTGGCTCTCGTCGCTATCGCTGTCGTTTTTGCCGGCCAACAGCAGGCTGCGTGCGCGTGTCCGGGCTTCTTCATCAGACGACTCGTCAGAGGATGCTAGCAGCCCGGCGAAATCCATATTCTCAACTTCATCCTGCGTGAAGGCGCGGCGGGTGACCTTTGTGCGGCTGGGCTCGTCTGCGTCCCACGTCAGGCTGACCTTTGAGTGCTGCAGCGCTTGTGTGGTGAAGTCGGCCGGCTCGTATTTCTCGGGCACGCGGAATGCCTCGTCAGTGGGCTCATCGTCGAACGCCATGTCGTCGGGGACGAACCGCAGATCAAAGAAATTCGCCGATGCCTCAAACTCTGTGTCATCGCAGTGGTTGTAGACAGCGCGTGCGGTCTCGACAGAGTCGAATTCGGCGACAGCAAAGTAGTACTTCATTTTCTCCAGCTCGTACTTGCGCAGTGCCACTTGGTCCAGCTCCTCGCTGCCATCCTCAACCTGCTTTTTGACAAGATCATCGTCCGAATCGCTCTCATTCTCCTCTTCCATCTGCTTGCCGTCGCCAAAGATGTCGCGCGGCGGACCCTCGATTGCCTCCTTGGCCATGCGCTCCTTACCAAACTCTGACGGGTAAATCTTGACAGACAGGACGGAGCCGCCGTCGGGCTTGAAGGCCGAAAACACGGTGAGCAGATCGACTGCACGTACATGGTCCCAGTCAAGGTTGACGCAGGCGAATCGCCGCGTCTCATCGCCACGCGGAATCGTGTCGGGGTCCTCCTCGACGTCGCTGAGCCCGCCCTCGCGCCGGCCGCCGACCTTGCCCCACTCGACATCAGAAATATCGGAGTCAGATTCAGACGACGACTCAGAGTCGATGCCCTCGCCACGAGCCCGGTCTACAAACCCGGCAGGCTGCTGCTCGTCGTCGTCATCGCTGGACTCTGAATCAGACTCGGACTCGGACCCAGACTCGGACCCAGACTTTTCCTCCTCTGAGCCGCTGAAGTCGTACGTGTTGCGCAGCTGCGCTTCGATTCTGTTGTCCTCGCGTACACGGCCATACCGGTCAACCTTGGATGTCTCGGTGAAATCCTTGTCCTTGACCATGTGCGCAAACCGCTTGTCGACCTTGACCTTGCTCTGCCCCTTCTTTGGCCGCATGAACCGCGGGTCCTCTTGGACGTGCGCAAACCGAGAGTCCTGGGTCACCTTCTTCACCGGCTCGCTCTTGTCAGACTTTTTTCCCTTCTTTGACGGTGCCATTCTGTGTAAATTTGTGTAGACGAGGGGGAGCAGGAAGAAAACCTTGTTCCCAACCAGCCGGGTTTTCTGGGACATTTTTTAGATCAAGCTTCGCATTTTTTTGTTGATTCCAGGACTAGATTTTACTGATTGGGATTTGGGGGCAAAATAAACCACGGGTGGCAAGGATCTCCCAAACACGGGCCATTGTTTTCGTCCAGCAGGTCAATACCGAACTGCGTGTGCCATTCGCGCTCGGACTGCTGGGGGTTTCCGGCCATCTTTCTCTCTCTACTAAACTAAGCTGTTTCTGAACTCCCCCGCTTTGCAATATGGTAAGCCCCCACCACCGACGGCAATTCAAAATTCCACGGCATTCGAGCTTATTTTGTTCCGCAGCGTTTCTCCTAGACCACACACACAATCCTGCTCATGCAGCGATCGAGCTCCAAGGAGACCCGGACATACGAGGACTTTGACACGCTGGAGGAAGCCCTGGAAAGTGTTATTCGTATGTTTGAGACGCGTCTCAAGGCGCTGTGCCCAACAGCCGAGCATTTGAACTATAGCCTGGATGACTTGAATCGGTTTATCGACCAGCACAAGGAGTTTTGCATGTTGGTACTGGACGCCAAGACGCAGACATACGAGTCCAGAGATGTTGCGTGGATCAAGGTGCGAATCCACGACCACCTGCGCAGGCTTCTGGCCATGAGCAAGAAATGACCACATGTGCATATTCTGGTAACGCCGCATGTGAATGTATTTTTCTTTCGTCTCAGTATTTGACGAATATAAACGAAAAAAAAAAAACCGACTCCTAGACCGAAGTGAACAGGGTCCACAGGCCCTTCAGGTAGCCGACAATCTCGTTGGCACCGAGCTTCGACTCGCCATACACGCGGTCAACAAAGGTAATCGGCACTTCGGCGACCGAAAAGTTGAACTGCTTCGCCCGCACCATCATCTCCATCTGGAACACGTACCCCTTGGACACGGTCGCATTGATGATCTGGTGCAGCACATGCTTCTTGTACAGGCGGAACGAGCCCGTCAGATCCGACACGCCCGGGTTCAGCAGCAGATCCGCAATGAAGTTGGCACCGCGGCTCGTCAGCTTGCGACGCAGATCCCATCCGTACACGCCGCCGCCGCTGACGTAGCGCGTGCCCGTAACGATATCATAGTCGCCCTCAGCCTGCTTGCGGATGAACTGGGGGATCGCCTTCGGGTGGTGCGACATATCGGCGTCCATGATGATCACAAAGTTGCCAGTCGCGTTCTGGATTCCGTGGATATACGCAGTCCCAAGGCCGAGCTTGCCTGCACGCGGACGCAGCACGATATGCTGCTCGCCATACACCTTCTGCAGCTGCTTGGCGACCTCCAGAGTGCCGTCGGGGCTGTTGTCGTCGATAATGATGATCTCGTAGTCAAGGCTGTTCTCCTTGAACATCTTGGCAAGCAGCCAGATGATGATTGGCAGGTTGTCCCGCTCGTTGTAGGTGGGCAGGAGAACCGAGTACTTGTTGGCCGAGGAAGACATTAGTGGCTGCTGGGAGGCGCTGAGAGGGAGAGTAGAGGTGTTCCGAAAATTCGCGGGCGAAATGCCAGATGAGGTACTGAAATCGGGTTCGGGAGTAATTGAAACGTGAAAGCGAGACATGTAAACCCGTCGGGGGGAATATGTATAGGAAAGTGTGGGGAACGAGAACGCGTAAAGGGGAGGAGAGGGGAATGAATCGACAGATGAGAAGAGAGAAAAGTTTATTCGTGCTACAGTTTAACAGCGAAATATTTTCCTCATGCAGGTGATGCGATGGGGTCAGGGATTCATTGAATGCGTGATGTCAAGCTTGCTGTTGGCTGCTCGTCAGAAGACCCAAGATGGAGCACAGCACAAACCTCCCGCGCATCTCTACTCCCGAGACAACCTCCATGACATATTTTTTTCAGACTCCACAAGCACACTATAACGAAAGCAACAATGGCCTGGAGATGCACTGGCAGTACAAACGACGAGCTGGTATCCAATCTAGTCCGCACGGCAATCATCACCTCCCACCATGTAGACGCGGCCATGCGCCAGGTTGACCGCGCTCACTTTGCGCCCAACAACCCGTACGATGACGCGCCACAGTACATCGGATACAACGTCACCATCTCGGCCCCGCACATGCACGCATACGCGCTCGAGTCCCTGAGCAACTACCTGAAGCCGGGCATGTGCGCCCTCGACATTGGATCCGGGTCCGGATACCTGACCGCCTGCATGGCAGCCATGGTGGGCACCAGTGGCAAGGCTGTTGGCATTGAGCACATCGCGGAGCTGGTTGACAAGTCAAGAGAGGCACTGGAGCAGCACTACCCGGAGTGGGTGCGCAGCGGATGTATAAAGTTCGTTGCAGGAGATGGCCGCCAGGGCTATTCTGACGACTCGCCGTACGACTGTATCCACGTGGGCGCAGCGTCGCCAAAGACGCCGACGGAGCTGCTCAGGCAGCTGAAGAGCCCCGGGCGCATGTTTGTGCCCGTGGGGACGACGGACCAGCGCATCAAGGTGTTTGACAAGGACGTCCACGGAAATGTCGCCGAGACCGACATGATGGGCGTCGTGTACGTGCCGCTGACCGACGAAACACTGCAGCGCAACAGCTAGCTTCTGTGTGTCTCAGCCAGCATACATTTCATATCAGCCCATAGGCTAGCCCTGCCACTCATAAATTTTGCAATTTCCCCGATCTCGCCCAAAATCACTCCAGACAGTGCGTAGCGACCAAAATTAAAGCCGCCCCGGGCCGCCAGCCGCAGCCACTCACAAAACACACTTTTCTGATTTCCAAACCACACATAAACATGGCTAGCTTCAAGTTCTGCCCCGACTGCAGCAACATGCTGTACCCGCGCGAAGACCGCGTCCGCCAGCAGCTCATGTTTGCGTGCCGCAACTGCGACCACCAGGAAGAAGCCGAGAACAACTGCGTCTACCGCCATGAAGTCACCCACATCCCGTCCGAGCAGACCATGGTCATTGCCGATCTCGGGTCAGATCCCACGCTGCCACGCACCAACCAGGTGCCGTGCCCCAAGTGCCAGTTCGAGGAGGCGGTGTATTTCCAGTCGCAGTCACGCCACCCCGATACGCGCATGACGCTCTACTACGTGTGCTGCAGACCGACATGCCAGTACCGCTGGACTTCGTAGATGCACATGTGATCCGCTCTCCCATCTACACCATCAAGTCCTGCAGAAAATACATGAGGTTGAGGCCTTTTATGCGATAAATGTTGGTATATAATGTCTGGAGAACCTAGCAAACTAAACGGGACTATGCTGGAGAAGAAAAAAGCGAAGAAAAGGCAAGTCGGCTACAGGGACGCCGGTCTCTCCCAGCGAGAGAGCGCACTCGTGGTTTAATTAACCTGACTTGAACAGCAGCACCGCGGTATGGTCAACATAGAAGTAGATAAAGTTGCTTGTCTCTACAAATAGCACGGGGCTGATCAGCTTCACATGTCTTCGGACACACATCTACTGCTCATGCAGAGCATGCTACTTACCGTGGGTGACGTAGGAGCCAAAGTTACGGCCAACAACCACGTGCCAGGTGGGACCGAACTGGCGGTCGGCCTCGCGCTTGATGGTGGCAGCGATGTCCTTCTCCAGCTTGTTCTCGTCGAAGGCCTTGGAGGCAAATGCGACAGCCTCGTTCTGCATCGTCTCCGACATGTCGACGCTCTTGACTGTAATCTTGTGCTCGGTCATTGTCAAAATGAATTTTACTGTAGAAATTGAATGTAATGGAAAGGCAAGGAACAAAAAACACTGCAGATTGCCTGAATTTGCAGGTAGCTTTTTTTTTTTCCTTGCCAGTATCGCGTTGCCTGAAAACAAGCGCAAGCCTCATCGATTTACCGCCCGTTCAAATCCGGCCCCGCTGTGATTGGCCGTGATGTGCTGTGATTGTTGTCGCTACAGCTGATTCCCCCAGTGGGAGCAAAACGTAAACACTGGCAAACACATGCTGCGTAGACGGTGATGGTGTTGGTGGTAGCGTGTCCGCTGTCGCAATATATTCAGGATTAAGGGAGGTGGACTTTATTTTCAAATGGGGGGAGGTGGGGGGTTAGGCAGAGTTTCCGTTGGCAGTGGCGGCCTCTTTGGGCTCCTCTGTCTTGGAAGCGGCAGTGCCCTTGCCAAAGATACGGCTGGTGATCTGCTCGAGAACCGGGACCTGCTCGCCGCTGATAAGGATCAGGTTCAGCACCTTGCTGCGGGCATCCTCGTCGGTGCGCGAGTACTCGGCATGCAGCTTGGTGGCCTTGGTAACCAGAATGTCCTTGCCCTGCTCGTAGTACGGAACAGCAAACTGGGGCAGGTAGGTGGGCAGGGTGGAGACAGTGGCCTTGACGCGGTCCTGGACAGAGCCCAGGAGCTTCTGCGACCGCTCGGAGATCTCGGTTTCGTAGACAGTGACGGTATCCTTGACAGACTGCTTCAGACCGCCAATTGTGCTCTTGCTCGACTCCAGCTGGTCCAGGTAGTACTTGCTGAGGCGGCTCGGAACCTTGTGCACGAGGATCGTGACCTTGCCCAGCGGCGACTCGGTGTTGTTTGTGGTCTCGGTGGTCTTCTCGTCGGTCTTTTCGTCGGTGTTGTCATCAGAAGCAGCAGCGGGGGGAAGACATAGTCGACGAGATAGTCGACGCGGTCCAGGGCAGAGTTGGCGGTGTTCTTGGCCACAGCAAAGGTGCGGGCAATCACCGGATACTTGTTCTCGACATCCTTGGCGCCTGTCTTCACAGGACTCAATGACCTCGTTCGTCGGCTTGGCAACAATCGGGTACTTGCTCTCGATCAGCTCCAGCGAGCGCGTCGCATATCCATCGAGGGACCACCAGCGGCTTCTCGACCGGCTTCAGCAGCGGCTTGGACTTCTCGGCGAACCCGCCAATCTTCTCAGCATAGCTGATGATCGAGGACGTGTAGCGGTTTGACTCGGCGATCTTGTAGATGCTCGACAGGGTGTCACTCACCACAGGCAGCTCGTACACGCGCGTGAAAAACGTGAGCGTGTTGAGATCAATCTTGGCATCATCCTCGGTGTCCACAGTCGAGGTCTCGCTGCGCGAATCCTCAAACACAGCGGCGTCAGCCTGCTTGGGCGACACAGCATCGGGCGTGGAAGTGGCAGTATCGTAGGTGGACATGGGAGGTGTTTATTTCTCGATAAAGAAAGGGATATATGATCAACCTGGGCCCGGTAGGAAGGAAGGGCAATAAAGAAAAATTTACAGCAGATTTTCGAAGGAAAAAAGACAGGAAACGAGATTTCGTCGGGCGATGGTGGATGGGGCGAGGCTTTTATTGCTGGGCCAGAGAACACGAAGAATGCGCTTGATGGGATGATTCAGGACACCTGTTGCACAACCCTGAAGCTCGCAAAAACCTCCAAAAGCCACTGAGGCAAGAAGGCAGTTGAAAAACATAATGGACCATGCACAAGCATGTGAAAGCAGACGGCTGTGCCGGGCGGCCAGCGACGCAGCCAACCCAACAGAAACGCACTAGCATGGGATATCCTCACATTGAAGCCCAGCACCAGACATAGCAAACCATCACCTCATAAATGGCGCGAACGTGAAAATGTGTCGAAATGCCGTGCAGGCAGGCGGCTTGTTTTGATACATGTCCCTGGCCTCCCCACAATCTGGAGGAGGGGGGCATGGCCCCAGGTGGACAATAGCAAATGCAATGCAGCACGTCACCGCCGCCTAGGGTATGCTCGGCACACTCTATTCACATGCCTGCTGGGCTGCGCTGCAACGGACCCGGCGAAACACGAAGCACCAAGAAAAGCAGCCCAACAGAAACATCGTTTGATCCATGTAGAACGCCTGCCTGTGCTTAAAGGGGTAAGATTTCCTTATCGATCACTGCTGCATTGCGCGCATACGCATCAGCGTCACGGCCTCAAACTCGGCGAACGGCAGGCGGTAGCCCTGGACCGTGGCCACATCAATGCGCTCAATGTCGGGCAGGCCCTTCTCGGCTGAAGCCGGGGCTTTCTCGGGCCTTGCGGCAGCGGACTGCTTGGCGGCAGCCCAGAAGACCTCTAGCCCCGGCACGGGGGCGCCCACCAGGGAGTGTGCGGCTGAAACCGTGCGAAACACAACCAGCGCTGACCGACTCGAGTGCGTTCGGCGCGCATTAGTCGGAGACTGGCGCCACGACGATCTCCTCGATGTCGCTGGATCTCCCGAGAAGCTGGCTGAGCGACTCTTGCGTGTGCTGCGTGATGCCTGCGTCCCAGCGGATGCGGACCGACCGCTCCAGCTCATCTGCCTCCTCCGCGGGCTCTGGCTCGGACGCCTGGGCGACCTGCTCTCGCATGGCCCTGTCCCTGGCCCACTCGCTGCGCATCGCCTCTCTCCTGAACCTCTCGGCCTCCACCCGGAGCATCTCCTGTCTTTCCCGCTCCTTCTCCCTGGCCATCCGCGCACTCGACTCGCTCTTTTCCAGCTGCGACTTCATGCGCTTTCTTTGCGAGCTCATGGCATCGTGCCGCTGCCGCTTGGCTAGCTGCGCACGCCGCTTTTCGTCGTAGGCAGAACGCTGCTGGGCATCGGCCAGTGTGTCGTAGGCAAGCTTGGCAAGATGGAAGAGGTGCACGGCAGATGGATTGTCGCGGTTCTTGTCTGGGTGGTGCTGCAGGGCCTTGGCGCGGTAGGCCTTTGCCAGATCCTTGTCGGTAGCCGCCGGGGAGACGCCCAGGATGTCGTAGTAGTCGGTGTCATCCATGGTGTGCAATATGTGAGCAGAGAAAATATGCGGAAAGGTATGCTGCGAGCCGCGAGCTGGATCTTGAATCGCCCCAGTTTGTTCTGACTCGTGCCCAGCTTCATATTGTGGATCGGCAGGCGTGAACGCGTCTCTTTTGCGTTTCTTTTCTTCTTCACAAGCCGCACCTGGAAATGCAGACTCTAATTTACAAAATCTTTACGCGCAAGTTCTCGCTTTCGCTGCAGGCCGATGCGCTGCTGTACCTCAGCGACGTAATAGCCCAGAAGGGCATGGACCATGCCTCGGCGCAGGCCTGGCTAGAGCTGCTCGCTGACACATGGACGAAGCGCGAGGAAGGCAAGCCTCTGGTTGAGCTGGGCCCGCTCAAAGCCCTTGTCAGCGCCATCACCTCCGCCGACACCACCACCACCGCCACCACCGCCACCACCACACAAGCGGACGGGACCGTGGGCGCCAGACCTCTTCTCGGTCATAAACGCATTCGACGTGCCGTCGTGGTGGTTTGATCCGGGCCAAAAGAAATTCACAAAGCCGTTCGACTCTTCCGAGATGCTGGCGCCAGCCGAGGCGAAGGCGGCGCTGTTCCGGCAGCGGTACGATCTGCTGAAGGCAGCGGGTGCTGAGAAACGAGAACTTCATGCCCGTGTCATTCAGTAATTCCGAGAAAGACCGGCTCTACCAGCTCAGCACTGTCGACTCCTTGCAGGGCCGTGAGGGCGAGCATTTTCTGCTGCTCGGCATGCTGGCGCAGATGGAGGAAGGCAGGGTGTTCCTTGAAGACAAGGACGGATCGATTGAGCTGGACCTGGCCAGGCTGCCTAGCCAGTCTCCCAGCGGGCTCTACACCGAGGGCTGCTTTGTGCTGGCGGACGGGTACGTCAAAGACAACGTGTTTGTGGTCGAGCAGCTTGGCTTCCCACCACCCGAGCCACGCACCACTACGCTGCAAGCATTCCCAAACACCAACCTGTTTGGTGCCGAGCCATCCGTCCGCACACCGGCGCAGCTCAAGGCCATCGAGGCCGAGCACGACTCGGGCATCGTCATTCTCTCGGACGTCTGGCTGGACCACGCACCGACCATGGAGGCCCTGCACGCGCTGTTTGAGGGCTTCTCGCAGGATGTGCCGCCAATCGCCTTTATCCTGACTGGCGACTTCTGCTCCAAGCCCTTTGTGCCTGGATCCGGCGAGACAGGCCCAGTACCGCGACAACCTGTCGGCGCTCGGCCAGCTCATTGCAGGATTCCCGAATATTGCGCGCCAGTCGCATTTTGTGTTTGTCCCCGGCGCCAACGACCCGTGGGGCCAGGGTGCGTTGCCGAAGCCGCCCATCCCCGAGTTCTTTACCAAGCGGCTGGCGAGCAAGCTGGCCAAGGTCACCTTTGCGACGAACCCGTGTCGGATCCGGTTCTGCACACAGGAGATTATTGTGTTTAGAGAGGACCTGCTGAAGCGTATCCGCAGAAACAGCATCCTGCCGCCAGCCGAAGACGCCGAGATCGTCAAGCACCTGGTGCGGACCTGTCGTGGACCAGGGCCATCTGTGCCCGCTGCCGCAGCGCATCAGGCCGGTTTACTGGGCATACGACCATGCTATGCGCGTGTATCCGATCCCAGATGTGCTGGTGCTGGCAGACAAGTTCGACTCGTACTCGATCAACTACGAGGACTGCCACTGCGTCAACCCCGGGCCATTTTCATCGGGCGACTTTGCCTTCTTCGTATACTACCCAGCGTCGGGCAAGTCGCAATACAGCCAGATCCCCCATTAGCTTAAAAATATATTCATGGGAAAAAGGTCGTCGAGAGCTCGGTCAGGAACGACGAGCTGCTGTGCACCGACGTGCCGCCCAGCAGGATGCGGATGCCCTGGCTGCTGAACTTTGCATTGAGCCGAGCCACTGCAGCCTCCTCCTCGAGCGTCACGCCGCCAACCACAAACACTATGATGTCTTGGTTGCGCAGCCCGCTCTCGCTGCCGAGCAGCCGGCGACCGGGTCTTGGGGTCCAGGCTCGGCAGCCTCTCCAACCACTGCACCGCCTGCTTGCCGCGCACCATCTGGTCCAGCATGTCGGCCAGCGCCGGCGAATGCTGTGTATAGACGTTCTCGACGCCCTGCAGCCCCTTGAATATGTTCTTGCCGCGCGATACAAAGTCCTCATTCTGGAAAATGTCGCTCTGCCGCTCGCGCACGCCCGCATACCTCACCACCACATCAACCATGCTTGCCATGTCCGCATCTACGCCATTCGCCGCCAGCATCCGCTTCAGCTCCTCTGTTGCATTGCCCTGCATGCGCTCGTACCGCAACGCGTACAAAACCACACACCGGACCTTGTTGATAGCCTCGATCTTCGGATCAACGACCATCGTCCGCAACGCCTTCAGATCTGTGTTGTGCTGCTCGTGGCACGCCAGGCTCTGCTCGAGCTCCGACACTGCCAGCAGCTGGCGCTCGGCGACGATTCGCGACAGCTCGCCGACCAGCGTCACATGCTTGGTGACGTTGCCGCTCAGCTTGCGGAACTCGGGGTACGCCTCGACAAACCGCTTCATGTCGGAGATCGACTCGATCTGGTGGTGTGACTGCGTCTTGCCCTGGTACGTCTCGACATACTCCTTGATGGACGCCCCGAGGTCGCCAAAGTTCAGATACTGCGACTGCTTGAAGAACCCATCCTGGTCCTGCGACAGCGTCACCTCCTGCAGCTCAGGCCGGATTCCCGGCACATACGACAGGTCCACGCGCCCGTTTTTGACTCCAATTAGATCGTTTAATAGCGCATGGTACGTCCATTGCGTCAACAGAGGCGTTACTGGATCATTCTTGCGGTCCAGGATCAGAAGCTGCACATCGCCCTGCTTGCCAAAAAGACTGGCCTCATGCTTGATCAGGTAGTCGAGCTCTGTGCCCAGCTGGTGCGCCATCACGCTGTTGCGCTCGTACCGGATACTTGGCCGCTTCCGCAATGCCAGCAGCATCGCACTCAGCCCTTGGACCGTCCGCGCCAGCGCACCCTGGTTCCAACTATGCCCTTCGCTGAACAGGGGATGTGTTCCTGGCTCCAGCCCAATATGGAATAGACACGGCGTGACTGCATAGAAATCCGCATACAGCTCCTGCACCTCCCTGACCACCTCGCTCTCGTCGTTTTCGGCCAGTGTCTCGATCATACTCTTCTTCAGGATGTTTGAGAAATATATATAGTAGTCGCCGTACTTGGGTGCCCGCAGCTCGTCTACCAGCGCCTGCAGGGAGCTGTCGGTCGGTCGCACAAAACAGATGCATTTGAGGTGCCGCATTACGTCACGGCTCGTGTTCTCAATCTTATCCACCAGGTAGGTCTCCTTCGACAGCAAGTACGACTGCGTCGAGACTATCGAGACTATTGGCGTCGTCTCCCGGTCCAACAACAGGACCTTCATGCCCGTCACATCCGTCACAATGCGATTTGCGTAGTACTGCACGGCCTTGATTGCATCCATCTGCTATAAAATGTACAAAAAAGAGTCGAATTGAGAACAAGTAGCTGCTGGCCACCGGCTGGTGGTGACGCTGGTGTTGACGCTGGCAAGTCGAGGGAAGTACATCACCCTGAATCACGTGATATTCTCGATCCGATTATGTGATCACGTCCAGTGCTGGAAAAAAAACTGGCAGTTTATCATAAATTGCAAATTTCCCTGTCCAATTTGCCAGCTCTTCTCGCTGTTATCGTCTCCTTTCTTCAATTCACTACAAAACAACCTCACAATGTCAAAGAAGGGAGGAGCAGTCGCCGGCGCCGCCAGCATCCTGAAGCTTATTGTGCCTGCAGGCAAGGCCATGCCCTCGCCGCCAGTGGGACCCGCACTCGGCCAGCGCGGTATCAAATCGATGGACTTTTGCAAACAGTTCAACGACCGTACAAAGGACCTGACGCCCGAAACACCCACGCCAGTGGCGATCCTGATCCAGCCGAACCGCACGTTCACGTTTACAGTTAAGTCGCCGCCTACCTCGTGGCTGCTGAAGCGTGCGGCAGGCGTGAAGAAGGGCGCTGCACAGCCCGGGAAGGAGTCGGTGGGGACTGTGTCGCTGAAACATGTGTTTGCCATTGCGCAGATTAAGAAGAAGGACCCGGTTATGAGCCACGTTGACTTGAAGAGCATTTGCAAAAGTGTTGTGGCCACGGCCAAGTCCGTGGGTATTGCAATCGTGCCCTGAAGCGCTGCCATGCTTTCCGTTTTAAAAAATATATACACCATAGCTATACCACATACGTCGCAGATGGTGTGTCGAGGATGGCAGATCGGTTTCTGTTGACGATGACGTGCACGGTCTCAACGATGCCTGACGTTTATTTTTGCCGGGGATCAGGGTTGGGCCATAGAGCAGTGCATTGGAAGAATGGCACCTGCCATTTCCGAACATGCAGGCGGGCATCCACCTGCTTCTGACATGTAAAGCTGGATGCAAACTCCTTGCTCCCTCGGCTAATATCATGATGTAAACTCTGCCGCCGCAAAAAAAGAAGAGCATAGCATCTAGCCGCACGCTCCAGCTGCACCTGGCTGAGCCAGCCGGATCATTGTCTGGATCAGCAACTTGGAACCAGGACCTGACGTGTACCGCCGTAGCTGCAACGGCCCATTTGCCGCTGTGGTGGCATATGGCCACCGACTTGTGCTAGCGCCAACATAAGCCTGTTTTAGGAGGCATTCACACGATGTTTATCTGTTTTGTACGCTCATTATCTGCTTGGAATCGACACTGTTTTACAAGACACGGGTCTTCAGGAATGTACTCCCGCAGGAGTGACGGTGGCTTTTGTGTGTCTTCGGCTTCAATGCAACAGCCGCCTGCGTGCCTGCCACTATCCTACAATTGCCTGTCGTTTATGACCCACAATTGTCCCCAAGGTTAAATGGCAGAAAAACTCTGTGCTTGGTGTGTGTGCTCGCAGCTCCATTGTTGTAGCAGAGGAAGAAGGCTGATGGCAGCAGACAAGGATAAAGCTTGCCACAATCGCCGCATCTTGTTTGCCTGGCAACCTCTGTTTACAACTTCCACTTCAAGACTGGAGAATCAATGGTTTAATTCTTCAATGCCAGGCCTTGGTTTTGCCCTGTTTACAGCAGCATTTTAAGCGGATTTCTCCGAGGCCACAATGGGGGTGGGAGACACTAGCTACTACGTAAGTGATTTGTTGGTGGGAATGCAAGAACAACTCGACATGGCATTTTGTAGTTGGTATTTATCGATTATGCACATTGAACCTCCTGCAGTGCGCAATGCCACATTCGGACTTGCATTCCCTCCACATCACCTATATTTGGTCTCTATTTTCAAAGTGCCACCCGTTTTTGTCAGTGTGCAGCTATTCGCTGAAGCGCTGGTTGAGAAAGAGTGTGAGCACCGAATTCCGTCGACTGCAGACTGAAACGATTTTCAGCACCAGGATTGCACGATTGCCTCGAGATGGTCTGCGTGCGTCAATAGATATGGTAGAGGAACGACTCATAGTGCTTGATATTCGATGCTGTGACCATGCATTAAGGAAGCTCTGCGCACTCGGGTCTTCAGGAGAGATATTGCAAATTGCAAATCTTCGGTTGAAGGAGAAAAAGGACAGCTAGCGTGCGCCGAATGAGCCTAGGAAAGCAGGCCGTTGGGGGGTGTGGGGCTTTTCGGGAAGGGTGAACCCGGGTAGAACTGATGGTGATCCGTGTGACTCCTGGGCGAATGAACGTCCGTGTCCTGCTGACGGCCCCAATGTGGGAAAAAGGGCGAGCCAAGCATACGAATGCAAATCGTACCGCACCTGCAAGGTATTGGGTACCTTCATGATGTCCTGAAGTGGCAATGGGCGGATCAGGCTCCGACCATGACATCGAACCAAAGAACCCACCCATTCGCTGCTGCTGCGAGCACGATCTGCGGTCATGGCCACCACCTGCCAGCCCTCAGTGTCACTATAAAATATTGTCCGTTCTCCCAATGATTTCTAGCGGGTGCTCTTGGCCTGTCTATGCCGGAGGAACGGACAATCATTGCTGATGAGGATAGTGCTCATCTGTTTGCTCGCCCGCCGGCCACACAGCACCAGTCGATTTTTGCGCAACCAGTGGACGATAGAGAGAAAATTAAATAAACAACTTCCAACGCCAAATCAATTGCGTCTTAGTATATCCGCTTATTCATGCAACCAGGAACTGTCCACATTGCGCTGACGGAACACTCCTGGTGCTATGCGTAGCTGGCATTTGACACAATTATTTACCAATCCAAAAATGGCCAGGCAAGACACCTGGGTGTCGAGGTCAGGAATTGTTTTGATCCCGCCTTTGAGATGAAGGCGCAATTGTAGTATGCTCTTGCGGCATCCCTCGTCGCGGGCATGTGGTCCTGGGGTCACGGCTGTATGGCTACATAGTTGTATACCAGGCCGGGGTCCCAAGGGCTTGTTTTGTAACCAAATGCAAACACGCCATCACCGATATATAACAAAGAGGCAGGCAGCCAGTTTTGGGCAATTGCGTCGACAGCTTCTGGCACAGTGTGCTGCTTCTCCTGAGTCCTAGGGGAATACCCGTACATGCGTCGGCTGAAATCCGGATGTCATATTGCGCATGCAAGGGCGCCACCTAATATATTTCGTGGTCCATTGTGCCCCGTGCGCTCTGTGTACATGAACAGCATTTACAGGATCCGGTTTGGGTAGCAGCAAAGTAGGTCCAATGCGCCTCCTTTTTACCCGCCTGCTTCACCTTCTTCTTCAGCCAACTTGGAGGACTCGGTCTGGGAAAGCGCAAAACTAATCATATTCAGTGTTGTCCGTCTGTTTGTCCATGCATGGGGCTATTCTCAATCCACAAAGAGCGCGATGGCTGGGCTGGATGGCTCTAAACACCAACGTATAAATCCTGCAAACAAAGCACACGCACTGCCCTGTTTATTTTGTTGGCACGGCTGCTCCTGCCATCTCCCTTTCATGCAGCGTCTGCGTATGGATTACACGCTTCAGGTTTTCAAACAGCTATTGTTTGTTGGTGTGTCCCTTTTCACTACATGCGCATAGGGGTGCCTCATTAGCTCACACCACCAGTCGATCCAGCCAGCCCGGTCATGGGCAAAGGGGACCGACTGGACAGCGAGGTGGGGGAAGGGAGGGGTGAGCGTAGAATGCAGATATTGTGTGTGCCGAAAGAAGGATCCGGCATTATCCCTGACCTTCTCCCTCTCCTTGTATTCAGTTGAACCGACAATGATTACAGCCTTTTAGCTAGACAGACTGCAAGCGCATGCACTTTCTGTTGTCTCCGCTTCCTGGGATTCATTTGTCCAGCTTCGTGCCTGTCCCTCTTTTTTATTACCTCCCTATTCCCTCCAACGGACAGTAGCGCACTGCACCATTTTGTTTTGATTTCAAGTAGCAGCAAGTGGTGTGAGGGCATGGTTAAGGAAGGGTGGTGGGCAACAAAAAAGGGAGCCCACACCTTTCATCTGTGAACATGGGTTGGTGAACCGTGCCAGAACAGCTGGTATTTTTCGAGGTGACAGGGCGACACGAAGGCACGCACACACCATGCTGGGACGGCAATTGCATTCAAACCTGCTAGTCACGTCACAGACTCGGCCCGGCATCCACTGATGCCTGGAGAGATGACAACTTGCTGTGTGCCCCGGACAGTAGAGACATCATTTACTATTCTTTTTCCCAAACCGCAATTCGCTGGCCTCAATTTTTGTTGACCCGTTGCACTGTTACTAATTTTTCTACGTTGTCACACAGTGCGGTTTCCGAGAACAAGGCGGGGGAGGGAGACAGGACGGCGCGCGCGCGGTAAACAACTGGTAATGACATAAAACCAGTTTTCTCTTTACTGACATCACTCGACATGGACCTGGCCTATGAAAGGTGGATCTGGTGCAGCATCCGCTTGGTTCGACAGTGCCAGTGAGAAGAGCGAGGTGGCCGCAAAAGACATTGAAACTCATGCATGGGCAGCCTGTTAATCGCCAGATGCTGCTGGCAGCGGCCGATCTCTGCTTTTTCCTATCCCTGAGCGATTGCAACACTCATCGCTGTGGCCTGGTTGAGTTGCCAAAAGCAGCTGCAATGTAGTACACTAACGCTCCTGTTTCGCATCTGCATTGAGGTTCCACTGGTCACCGTTGCTGCCAAGTCTGTCTGCTCGCATTGCCTCGTCAGAGCAGCTTGTGCTCTCCCCACAATCCCAAAGGGTCCCCCTTCCACTAGCGGCTGTATCGGGTTTCCTGCTTGTTTTGGTGCGAATGGCTATGTCCATGCCTGTGTCTGTGTCTGTACCTGTGTATGTCGGTACCTGCGGCCGTGGTTGCAGAGGCGCCATGTCACAGCGCTCTAACTCATCCACATTGGCACGCCAGGGCCATGCACAGTGGGCTTGAGGGGGCGGTTGTTTACCGAGCGACAAGGAGGGGCGATCACCCACCCCTTCTCGCATCCCGCCACCCGATGGACTTTGTCCCCGGTTCCCCCTTTTTGTACCAGTGAGCTCCGCCACTCGACCAACAAACAAATAGAAACGGCCCGGTAGATCGACCCCTCCCCTCTACACCCCCCGCTCCTCGTATCAGAAACCTTTTTACCTTATTCTGGCTACGACGGGCGACGCATGCTGGCCATTTTCCTGTACTTTGAAGAGAGTGCGGGTTGGTAATCCAGCAGGCAAGCAAAAGGCGCTCAGGCTCCTGCCTCTGCGCCCGCCGTTTATATAGAAGCGCCTTGATTCCTCCCCCTTTTCCCTTTCCTCTGGCGGGTACCTGACCTTGTTTTTAATTGCTGAGCTCGTGTATTCTTTTCCTCTACCTGCATCACCACTGTCCTTTTTAGTCCTTCTCTTCTTGCTCTTATTACAAATACTCCTGAAGGTTGGTTCTCCCTTCACTCGTCTGTACATTGACATCTACCCCACATCTCTTATTCCCACAATGAGCCCTGCAATCACCACTCCTGGAAGCACCCGCTCTTCGCCGGGCCTCTTCAACCACATCAACCACTCGGCGGCTACGGGTCCCGCAACCATGCGGACCCCGATGCACCTGGGTCTCTCCGAGTGCTCTTACGCTCGGCCGCCACCCCTGAAGTGCGCGCGCCATTCAATCCCGTCGCTGTCAACAAAGACTGCCGACGGAAGCAGAGTCAGCATCCTCAATGACTCTGACCAGGATCCCGCTGCCACACACGACCGCAAGCGGTGCTTGTCTGTTCCTGGGCCCTCGCCCGTGTACTCAACGGCTAGCTACAGCCCGTTCCGCGCCCAGTCAACACCTGGCGCCACACCGCAACAGGCCCCGTCATCGCTGCCTTCCCTGAACACGCTGGTCCAGGCTGTGGGACTAGTGACATCCGAGTCATCAGCAGTGCCCCCGCCGGCTAACAATCGGACGCACAGCCTCCCTGTGATGCCGCTCCACCGCCAGGCACCGCCTCCGCCTCCCACACAGACCAACAAGACCATGGCCAAGCGCAAGTACAAGTGCACATTCACCGGGTGCGGCAAAGCGTTCACCACCAGCGGCCACCTGGCCCGCCACCAGCGGATACACACGGGCGAGAAGAACTTCCCCTGCCTGTTCCCGGGCTGCACCAGCCGCTTCTCGCGGCAAGACAACATGATGCAGCACTACCGCACGCACTTGTCGTCAAAGTCGCGGCGAAATGGCAGCCCGCGCAAAGTTGTCTTCCTCGACCCTGTTGTCGACCCGTACCGGGCGAGCCCTGGCATGTATGGCACGCCAAACTATGCCAACACTGCCCCTGTCCACCATCCCTATGCCCATCCCCATGCCCATCCCCACCATGCCCAGCGGCACTCGGCGAGCGTGCCCACATCTGTCCCCCAGCAATATCAGCAGCCGCAGGTGACTGGTCAGCGGGCACCAACTCAGCCGTATGGGCTTCCGGCAGTCCACATGCTGGCAGCTAATAATGTCGCTCCGGGATCCCCGGCGACATCGCACGAGTACCATCACAGCATGCCAAAGCAGCCGTCTACTGCGGCTCCCCGCACCGCGGCTGCTGGCCCCATGGCTTACTACTGAGGCACTTTGCACCAATTCATCACAAGCATGCATCATTCAACCCGCGCGCAGTAAATGCATTAATTTTTCCTTGCTTTACGTTTCCATACATTTGCAATTTGACACCGTACAAAGCCCACTACTCCGTCCCTGACACCAGCATCGACACCTGTTTTTCTTCTCTGTCCGGCTGATATGTCGTGCCGCACTCGAATTCTGCGCAAGAGCCCATGGCAAGCGACAATCACCAGACACAACCATGCAAGAGGCGATGGCAAGCACACTCTGGCAGCAAAACAACAACGCATGTCGTCCTTATGCTTGTTGTCCATGCACCTGGTGACCTGGCCAAAGTACTCATGTGCGCTTTATGCTCAGTGGAGCAGGCATACAGATGTGATCTACTGTCGTCCGCCCCTACTCCAAGCTCCATTCCCAGCCCTTCTCGGCTGGAAAACAGCTTTTAAACAAGGATCCGGATACATATTTGCGTGCAGACCAGTATGTGCTGATCGGCAGGACAAAGGCCAGCAAGGCCGGCTGGCCAGTCTCTGGATATATTGTGGCCTTGAGAGTTTAGACGATTTCGCAAGGAGAAGTGGGCAGACATACGCGCGGCTGCTCTTCGGTATGTTTGTAGAATGGAGAAACGCAAATCGTCGCCGCGGATCGCCGCTGTGTATGCCGACAAGAGTGGTGATGTCCCTGGCCCAAGAGACAAAGGTTTCTGCTCAGCTGCAGCTCAAGCCATGCGTGCTCTCCCCGTCCCGATGCATGCGCTTGCACGACCCTTGAAAGGGGTAAAAATAGAACCGCCATGTCCCTTTTAATTCGCACTGAATGCGAACATTGGTTCCTTCCAAATGCTGCCGCGGCGGGTGCTCGATGTGCATGCCTATTGCGTACCCGATGCCTGCGCGTGTGAAATCGCTGATTCGTCGGTCCATCGCACTGTGGGTGGAGAAGGATGGCGGCTGCGATTTCTGTTCTGTGTTCTTTGGCTGTGGTGGGCTTTGTAGACACAAGGGGGAATCCCACTGGCTGGCGCCCTGACTGCTTGCTGTTGGCACGGCTTTCTCCGATCCTCGCCCCTCGCTAATCGGGTTTCAAGCGTGTTTGCTGTCCGTCAATGACATAATTCGCTGATCTCTTGGCCAAGCCAGACCCAATGGCCGAAACTGGAGCCACACTGAGAGCCATGCTGAGCAGCTTTTAGGAACCTCGATGATTCCATGCCGCGCTACATGCAGTGGGCCATCACTGATGGCTGCTGCCATGGTGCAGGCACAGCATGGAATCTATGCAGCACAGCATGGATTGCACACAAGCTCATAAACAAAGATGCCTTGCCAGCATCGGCTACCCCCTGCCCATACCCGCAGCTGCTAATTCTAGCGCGATCGCCACCACAGCCCACATCATCTCCAGACAGTGAGAACCACGCACTATCATCCTTGCGTGCAGCGCACTTCCAATGCAGACATTTGTTTTGGTTTTGTATATTTGCCCGTTTGCAAAAAGGAGATCCGCACAGCTGGGCCTTGCCAAGCGACCTTGCCAGGGACGCCCAGAAGCAAACAAAGCAACACCCAGGAAACTTGATTCTACTATCACCCGGCGCATTATTTTGTTCTTGGATACGGCCCCTTGCGTTCCTGGCAAATCCCGCCGGCGACGCACTGAGGAACCGCGTGCACTGGCAGAATAAGGCAGCGCAGGATGCGCGGTGGTGTCGATCGCGGCCGCCCCTTCTGCGGTGAATTTTTTGTCTTGTTGATTTAAGCACAGCCAGCGCCCAGTCGATGCTGACAAATTGACATTTGGGGAGGGCTATGCATATCCGAACCTCCCCTCCTGCTTCTGTGAGAGCGCTATGCCCTGCGATCCAGCCTTGGCGCGGGGGACTAGATCTGTGTAGCAGACGGGCGATTTCCCTATTCTCCATTCGGTGATGACTCCTGCTGCCTCGGAGCCTTTGCCAGCTCCGTCTCCATTCCAAGTGTGTGCGAGCCACACCCTCGCCACAGGCATCCCCAATTTTTCGATTATTGCCCGGGGACGCTATTTACATTAGCGAATGCCTCGGCAGCCGGGTTCTCTATGGGCTCATATATATAGCAGCCACTATACTAGACGGCTAATTGGCCAAGTGCACATGACGTCGCGGCCGCATGTCTTGGCCCTCGGCTGCTCTCCGATTGGCATGGAACCTTGCTGCAGGACACGTCGCGAGTCATTGACTACAATAAAATAGATTCAGGGATACGTGCTGTCCACAAATAAATTGCTCCCTTCCCGGCATCGCCGCAGCCGCAGCCATTCAGCACTGCACTGCCAGTTCCACGCTCCGGTACGGCTGGGCATGCAGTCGCCCAGGCACAATGCCAACCATTTCGCTCTTCTTCGAATGCCCGCTCCCTCCCCTCCCCCGACAGGCCATCCTGCTTTATTTCTGGCACCCACATCCCTTGCAGCTTGGAAGGAGAATGCAAAAAATTTATGCACAGTGCATGTGGGTGTCCTGCCCATCCATTATCGTTGAGCTTTTCCCGCATATAGTGGGCGTCTCGGCAAATGAAGGGTCATATGGGTACCCCTACCCTTTATTTTTGGTTTTTGCAGGATGCTGGATGCGCTCAGAGTGACACGCCCGCCAGCACAAGGGCCAGCAGGACGCAGGGCAGTGTGACTTATGCAAGGCGGGATGCAGATTGGCAACCTCCCGCCTGCCAAATTCATCAGCCCTTGAATGCAACCTCCATTGTCGTTGCTGCAGCCACCCCGGCATCCCGTGCTACTAGATGACAACCCCTCACTGCTCTATTCCAGCAATAGCGCCTTTCGCTGTCCCTTCAATTTAAGCAGCGAGTGCATTAATTGTCGTAAACACCCAGTCATGTGGGTATCGGCAACTAGTGTTTTGTGAATCGACAAGAGCGCTGTGGCTGGGCCCCTTGTCACAACGTCAACTGCGCTTTCTCCGGCCACTCGGGAAAGAAAAAGGGAGAGAAGGCATCCCTTGCGTGCCCATTTCCATTTCCAGCCATGCAGCTCCGTTCTGCAACGCCACTCGACTTCCGATTTATGTCCGCAAGCAATATTTGCGCACAGCCTTCTCGTCTCACACTCATTGTTGCGGGCGAATAGAGGGACCCACATTTATATTGCACCGAACCAGCTCCAAACACAGCAACGCGGTGGTGACAATTCGCACTTGTCGTGTAACCTGATGCTGCCGCACGCTTGAATTAATAAGGAAATTAGCCCGACTAGAAAAGCATCTACAGCCAGCCAACAGACAACAGAACTGGGTGGTTCAAAACACAGGCTGAAACCCAATTCAAAAGGGGGGCTGTCAAACCAAGTACACGTGTTGATGCAAGACCATTCCGAAGTAGCACACCTTGTGCCGTCCAATTCAGATATCGTCGTTATGGCATGTAGAATGGTCATGCCCTCGAAATACATTGCCAGACAGGATATGAAGCCGATAGCCATTGTTGACCGATACCTACCCAGTGCAGTAGATGAAACATATACTCCGGATACAATATTAGATGCTATTAAGCGATAGAAAAGATTTGCGAAACCCATGTCTGATAGTCAGACGCCTTGTTGACATCGCCAAAGGGGCGTAGGGCCTTAATCTGTGCCCGGTACAGTCCGCTCGGCACCTGGATTTTCTTGGAGAGCTTGTGGTCTGTGTAAACGGTTCCGCTGATCTCCACCTCATTTAACTTGCTGCCTTCATCCTGCATATTGCGAGTGGCATACTCGATATATCCATCAGGCAGGTAGCCGACAGTAGTGTTTCTCCGATCAAGTAGTGTTACAGCGACCAGACGTGAAGGCAGATCCAGACGGTATTCAAGAGTGAGCGTGTTGTTGGCAGCAGCACCAAAGGTAGTCAGGTCGTCATGTGTTTTCAAGTCCGTGTCGACAATCTGGGGGAAGCCGCTCGTGGGCTCAGCCAGTACATCGAGCTTGGAGAAGTCTCCGTTGAACCCAGCATACGGGACGACATATGTTTGCACATCGTCGCCAGACCCACCCCATGTAAGCTCAAAGTTGAGGAACCCGCCGTAGAACCACCTCTCTGATTCCTTCAGCCCATATGGAGCAACGATGATGACGTCGATCTTACGGTGCTGGCGAGGACCGATCGAGCTGGATATCTGCGAATCGACGGAGAATACCTGCGGCAGCTTGTTCTTGTCGCCAATAATGGATGATTCCGCAGGCCACACACGCACTGGAGGAGCGAGAGTACCGTTGGCGTGCCACGCTGTCAACGAGTCGGCAGCAGAATGTGTTAGGGAGACACGCACCGGCCGACGAGCATCGGAATTCTGAATCGTGATAGTGCGGCGAGCCCAACGGACAGATCCAGGGATATGGACATTGGGGATGCTCGTCAATGTGCCAATGTCGGTATTGTTTAAGATGACCGATGACGGGAACAGCTGAGCGCGTGTTGTGATGGCTGCATATGCATCAACCAGGCCGCTGCCGCTCTGGTACGGGTGGATGTTGAGGTGCGTCTTGGGGTCTCTCAGAGGTTTGGCAGTAGTAGCAAGGGTGCTGCGAATCTGGGCCGGCGTGTAATCGGGGTGAGCCTGCTTCAGAAGAGCGGCAACACCAGTAATGTACGGCGCGGCCATCGACGTCCCGGATTTGGTATCATAGCCACCGTTTGCGACAAGATACGTGGAGTAAATGTTGGCGCCAGGAGCTGAAACAACAGGGCCGATAGCAAGCTCAGGTGTAGGTCCATTGGAGCTGAGCCCAGATACCTGCCCGCCTGCTGGATCCTCAACTATCACCAGCTCACGCTTGGGTGCAGCGATGGTGGCCGGGCCTTTAGTGACACTATCTATGAGATACTGCTGGTGAGATGTGTCAACAGCAATAACAGGGATCCTGACCGTCGAGTTCGTCTTCCCAGCAGACAGTGCCTGAACCTCGGGTATGACAAGAACAACACCGATTGCACCAGCAGCCTGGGCGTTGATCGCCTTCTCGTTGACGGTGCACTTGCCACTGCCAATCACCACAACCTTGTCCTTAAACGACCGATCGAATGCGGAGCAGCCGTTAGCGCTGCCCTTTGCGGTGACACCAAGGACGAGCGGAACCGGCTTTTCAAAGAAGAATCTGAGCTTGTCGTTGCTCGGAACAGATGCAGTGATCGTTTGGTTGCCAAGCTTCCCATCCACCTCGATTTGTGTCCCGGTATACTCCCAATTGTCGATGGAGGCAACACTGATGACTCCATTTGCCACTGCAGGACTCGCAGACGTGAACAGCCCGCTGTATCCACTGTTGCTGGCCGATACAACTACCACAACGCCCCTCTTGACTATGTTTTCGCATAGAACAGACACAGGATCCTCCGACCATCCCTGCTGGCCGATGGAAAGCGAAATGATGTCGTTGCCATCCTTGTAAGCCGCCTCGATACCAGCAAGGATGATGTCATCTGATGATCCGTTCTGACAATCGATAACCCGGTACATGCCCAGAGTAGCGTTTGGCGCAATGCCTGTAACCCGTGGCCCGCGGGCAGCGATAATACCGGCGACGTGGGTGCCGTGTCCGTAGCAGTCCATCGGAGTCGGGTTGGGCTTGATAATCGGGTTAGCGTCGCCCTCGACATGCAAGTCCCCAATAAAATCCTTGCCATTCTGCCACGGGCAGCCGGGGGTCTTCCAGCACCCACCGAGCTCTGGATGCGTGTAGTCGACGCCGCTGTCAACAATGCCGATCTTGACTCCCCTGCCATCAAGTCCGAGCTCGCGCATCACCCGCTCAACGCCAGTGTGCCTGTGCTGGCCAGAGTAGATGCTAGTGTGTGCGACGGGACGGCTGTCAACGATATTGTGTCTGCGAACAGGCCACACCCGCCTGACACCAGGAAGCCTGGCTAAATGCTCGGGGTCGAGGTCCTCATTAGCATGCACTGCAAAGCCCTTGAGCACCGAGTCATAATGGTGACCAATACTGAACTGCCCAACTGACCGCTTGAGTATGGACCTGGCCTTGGCTGAGGCCGCCTTAACCGCCCGAGCGTCATGCTCGGCATGGAGTTCGACTATGTAGGAGCCCGACCTGGTGCTTGTGCCTGTTGGGTATCTGAAGATTTTGTGCAGATGCCTGTTGGACTCTGCAGGAAGAGCCTGGGCCGCTTGCTGGCCGATGAGAGCGATTGCAAAAAGTAGAATGGACGAGACGACATACATTGTCTAAATGGCCGCCTATATATTATTGATGAAGGTGAAATTAAGAGGGTTATAGTGAGGAGTTAGCTGGCTGATGAGGTGTAACCGGCGGCTTCAGGAGTGCCACCGGCATTTATATGTCGTATTCAATACGGCTTTTGTGGTTGTTGAGTACGCCTCAGAATAACGCCGGTCACTACACCAGGTCCGGGCATGTGCATCAGCAAGCGTTTGCTATAAACAGCTTTTTTGACAACCTGATCTGCCAAGTATAAAGGGCGTGCAGATCCAGATTGCCTAAAGAGTCTTGGTGAATGGGATGTTCTGAGTGAAAACGCAGCCAGCACATCGGGTCTAAAAATACCCACTGTGACGAACCCGGATATCGCGAATGCATGTCAGGGAAACAATCCAAAGGGCCCATGCCGAACTGCATATGCATGCCATTTAGCAGCTGCACCTAGGCTTCAACTCAATTTCCGCACCTTGCTGCCTGTGAGGCGCCAGCCTTCAAAACATGCCTCTTGCTGATCCTAGTTGTAAATTGAGCGGGCAATTACTGTTGGGCGGTAGCACCGAGTACCATGTATCTGTATTCCCTCGTCTGCCTGGGAAACATATAAGTCTGCAATATTCAGAGAGATCTACAGGTAGTTATATAAATTTTGGCTAAGATAGATGGCTGATAGATATTTACAGAAGACGCTTGGTGCCACTGGCAGCGGCATTGGTAGCTTGGATGGCCTTATTGACGGCGTTGACAGCATTGATATGTGCCTGCCTAGCAGCAGCAATTCTCGATCCACTACCACTGGCAAGAGCCTTCGCATTCTGCTGCAAGCGGTTGGCAGCATCCCTGAGCTGAGCAGAAATGCTCTGGTCAGAGGCCACAACGTTATTGACGGTGTTGCGGTTGTAGCTGACACTGGCTCTCTTGACATGAGTTGTGGTATCGGCATCAGGTGTGGGGGCAGCGAGGGCAACAGCAGCAAGGGCGACAAGGATGGTAGCAAGCTTCATTTTTGTTCTTGTGGTGGTTGGAAGACAGTTTTTTGTACTAGGAAGGTGGTGTATGTTGCGATTGCAAATTGATGTACTGAGGACCACTGCGACTACATGGCTTTATATACAGTCCGGTTAGGCAAGTTACAGACAACAATGGAGGGGCGTGTGCTAAATTTAAACAAAAGGCAGGCGCTGGAAGCGTCATCCATGATGGCATGTGTACACGAATGATCTTGCTTCAAGATATCAGCTCATGCATAGGAATGTATTTATAGATGCATTTTGTACCTCTTACGACACAGCACGGCTGAGGTAATCAATGCATGAACAACGAGGCTGGGACATTGGAGGGGGCACTTTTGCCAACAAACATCTATTTTTGGCCGATTCATTACTGCATAGTGATATGGAATGTATGGTCAAACGGGTATTGCTTTTACTGAAGGTGTTCCTAGGCAAGCCGTGCAACAGAATCAGCTTCTAGTTCCATTGCAATAATCCCAATCTAAAAATAGCTGGCTATCCAGCAAGCTGCACGTCTTTTCTCTTGCAGTAAAGGTATCTTCTAATCAGACAGGTTCACACTGTATTGCAAACCAATGCACTCGTTGTCACAGCACTGGTCTATCATTATTTGGTTATACAATCTTCATTCTGATACTGGGCATAAACTGAAAACTACTCCTTCGAATCAACGGATTGCCCTTTAGTTCCATTGACCAGCAGCGTGGCCATCAGCACCCTGGTACGAGGATATGGCACCGTTGATTCCGGACACGATCTTCGAGATATCCCCGATAGCCCCGTGGATCTTGTTAGTGGCATCCGATTGAGCACTGTTCAGAGAGGCCCGTGCGCTGCCTTGAAAACTGCTCAGAATGTTGTTTTGTGTGTCTTGCATCTGGGATAGGATGTTGTTGAGCTGGTTCACATAGGTTTGGTAATTATTGGCAGCCTGCTGAAGACTAGCAATATTGACAACCACAGCTCGCTTGTCGTAGTCGTTTGGGGACGGAGCAGCAAGCACAGTGGCGGCGGCGAGGAAGGTAGTGGCAAAGGAGAGTTTCATTTCAAGTCAGGAGAGGTAGAGCAAAAACTGGGTGTGCAGAGGAGAAATGGGCAGTGGAATGGGTCTAGCGATGCATTTTATACTGCCACCACCGTGGCGCACTGGCCAACCAATTGAGCTTGTTTGGACGTAATAGATAGAAAGGTTGTATCATACAGCGGGAGTAATTAGATTGATTGTGTGCCTACTATTTATAGAGAACTGCAAAAAGAGACAGTTGTCAAGACAAAAAGGCACAATTGCTAAGTATGCAACTAAAAATACTTAGCGGTGACAGAAATATGTATTGGCCATACTGGTCAAACGCAGAAAGAGCAGTGGGCTAAATTTGAACACTGATGTTTTCTGCCAGCATATACAGGATGCTCAGGCACTAGGCAAAACTCTCATCCAATTGGCAAAGTGTATCTAAAGCATTTTAAAGATCGTACGACAGGATCGGGCGTAGCCACGTCTCGACGTCCTCGACTGTGATGTTCTTGCGGGCAGCGTATTCATCGACCTGCTCCTTGGTGATCTTGCCCACAGCAAAGTACGACGACTTGGGATGAGCAAACACCAGCGAGCACACCGACGCACCGGGATGCATCATCAGGCTCTCGGTCAGCTCAATACCGGTAGTCTTCTCGATATTGCCGAGCTCCCACATGGTGCGCTTCTCCAGATGATCCGGCTGGCTCGGGTATCCAGGAGCTGGGCGGATTCCCTGGTACTTGATGCTCAGCAGGTCCTGGGTGTCAAGAGACTCATTCGGCGCAAAGCCCCACAGCTCGCGACGCATGTCCTGGTGCAGCTTCTCGGTCATGGCCTCAGCCAGACGGTCAGCCAGCGCCTTGACCATGATTGCCGAGTAGTCGTCCTGCTCAGCTTCGTACTTGGCGGCCAGCTCGTCGACACCAAAACCGGCCGACGCGGCAATGCTGCCAATGTAGTCGGGGATTCCGGTGGTCTCGGGCGCGATGAAGTCAGACAGACACATGTACGGGTCCGAGCTCTCCTTGTCCTTCTCGGCCTGCTGGCGCAAGCCGTAGTACGTGCCAGCCACATTGGTACGCGACTCGTCAGAGTAAACAACGATATCGTCGCCGCGCGCGTTGGCCGGCAGAATACTGACAGTGGCTGAAGCGCGAATGCGGCGGTTATCAAGAAGATCCTTGAGCATCACTTGGGCCTCGTCGAATAAGCGGCGGGCCTCCTCGCCAACAGTGGCATCGTTGAAGAGCTTCGGGTAGCCGCGGTTCGGATACTTGCCGCGCAGCTGCCAGACCTGGAAGAACGGATTCCAGTCAATGTACGGCAGGACTTGGCTCAGGTCGTAGTCCTCGTACACCTTGGTACCAACCATGTTGGGCTTGGGCGGCTGGTTCTCGGACGTATGCCAGTCAATCTTCAAGGCCTTGTTACGCGCCTCTACCAGGCTCAAGTAGCGGCGGTCCTTGAGCGAGTCGTAGTGGTCATCGCGCACCTCCTCATATTCGTCGTTGATGTCGGCAGCGAAATCCTCGCGCAGCTCTGCGTCAAGCAGGTTCGACACGACGACCACAGTGCGGGAGGCGTCGAGCACATGGACCACGGGCTCCTTGTAGCGCGGCGAGATCTTGACAGCTGTGTGGGTCTTGGACGTGGTTGCGCCACCGATCAGCAGCGGGGTCTTGAGTCCCGCGCGCTCCATCTCCTTAGCCACATGGATCATCTCGTCCAGGGACGGTGTGATAAGGCCAGACAGTCCGACAACATCAGCCTTCTCCTTGATAACGGTCTGGATGATGGTCTCGCAGGGAGTCATGACGCCCAGATCAATGACCTTGTAATTGTTGCAGCCAAGCACGACGCCGACGATGTTCTTGCCAATATCATGCACGTCTCCCTTGACGGTAGCCAGAACCACTGTGCCGTTGTAGATGTCGTCGTCATTGGCTGCGTCGTCGAGCCCAGACTCCTTCAGTCGGGCCAGACGCTCCTCCTCCATGAATGGAATGAGGTGAGCAACTGCCTTCTTCATCACACGCGCAGACTTGATAACCTGCGGCAGGAACATCTTGCCAGCACCAAAAAGATCGCCGACAACGCTCATGCCGTCCATAAGCGGGCCCTCGATGACATTGAGCGGACGCGGGTAGCTATCCTTGTCCAGGCGCGCCTCCTCAGTATCTTCCACAACATACTTGGTGATGCCCTTGACCAAGGCGTGCTTCAGGCGGTCGCGCACGGGCAGCTGACGCCACTCCTCCAGGTCGGTCTTGGCGGTGGCATCCTTGCCGTGGGTCTGGGCGTACTCTAGCAGCTTCTCGGTGGACTCCGGGTCGCGGTTCCACAGAGCATTCTCACAAATCTCCAGCAGGTCCTTGGGGATCTCGTCGTAGATGGTCAGGAAGCCAGGGTTGACAATGCCCATGTCCATACCGGCCTTGATGGCATGGTACAGGAACACCGAGTGCATAGCTTGCCGGATGGTCTCCTTGCCACGGAACGAGAACGACAGGTTGGAGACACCTCCAGAGATCTTGGCACCAGGGAGCCTGGTGTGGATGTCGTTGGTGGCCGCGATGAACTCGACACCGTAGTTGTTGTGCTCCTCCATACCGGTACAGATGGTCAGGATGTTCGGGTCGAAGATGATGTCCTGCGGATTGAAGCCAACCTTGTCGACCAGCAGCCGGTATGAGCGCTCGCAGACAGCAAACTTGTGTTCACGGGTGACGGCCTGGCCCTCTTCGTCAAACGCCATGACGACCACAGCAGCACCATAGCGCTTGATCAGACGTGCCTTCTTCAGGAAATCGTCGACGCCTTCCTTCAAGCTGATACTGTTGACAATGCACTTGCCCTGGGCACACTTGAGGCCAGCCTCGACCACAGCAAAGTTGGACGAGTCGACCATCAGCGGCACCTTGGCCACATCGGGCTCAGTCGAAATCAGGTTCAGGAACTTGGTCATGGCTGCAACGCCGTCCAGCATGCCCTCATCCATGTTGACGTCAATCACCTGGCCACCGTTCTCGACCTGCGCACGCGCAATAGCCAGTGCCTCCTCGTACTCATCGTTGATGATGTGCCGCGCAAACTTGCGCGAGCCAGCGACGTTGCAGCGCTCACCGACGTTCAGGAAGTTGCTGTTCTCGTCGTAAATCAGGGGCTCGAGGCCGCTGAGAATCATTTTGCTCTTGCGGATGTCGGCGGGGGCCACACGGGGTTTGAAGTCCTTGCACGCCTCGTAGATGGCCTTGATATGGGCTGGCGTGGTGCCGCAGCAACCGCCGAGAATGTTGACCAGGCCCTCGCGCGCAAACACGCTGACGTTTTCGGCCATGGTCTCGGGCGACTCATCGTACTCGCCAAAAGTGTTGGGCAGGCCTGCGTTCGGGTAGCAGATGACGTTGGACGAGGTAAAGTTGGAAATGGCCTGGATGAACGGCCGCATCTGGTTGGCCCCCAGCGCACAGTTAAGGCCTATTGCCAGCGGCTCGGCGTGGGAGACACTGGTGATGAATGCCTCGCCGGTCTGCCCGGACAGTGTGCGGCCCGACTGGTCGACAATAGTGCCCGAAATGAACACTGGCACGCGCTCATAGATGCCGTCTTCGAACAGGGTGTCCACTGCAAACAGCGCTGCCTTTGCATTGAGCGTATCGAAAATGGTCTCCACCAGGATCACGTCCGAGCCGCCGTCCAGCAGGCCGCGGATCTGCTCCGTGTATGCCTCGACGAGCTGGTCAAACGTAACGTTGCGGTAGCTGGGGTTCTCCACTGACGGCGAGATCGAGCACGTGCGGTTGGTCGGGCCAATGGCGCCGCATACGAACCGCGGGCGATCGGGGGTCTCCTTCAGCATATCAGCACAGGCCTGGCGCGCAATCTCTGCCGCAACCTTGTTGAGCTCGTACACTACATGCTCCATTCCATAGTCGGCTTGCGCAATGGTGGTGCCGGAGAACGTGTTCGTCTCGATGAAGTCGGCCCCTGCCAGAAGGTAGTTGCGGTGGATGCCGTAGATCGCCTTGGACTGTGTCAGGACAAGCAGGTCGTTGTTGCCCTTCAGGTCATGCGCGTGGTCCTTGAACCGCTCAGCGCGGAAGTCCTCCTCGGACAGACGGAGGTCCTGGATCTGTGTGCCCATTGCACCTATTGTTAGAAGAGTTTGTTAGTGCTGGGGCTCTATGGCACGTCGGAGTTTGCGTGTGTAGGGCACGGGTCTTACCGTCGAGAAACATGATGCGCTTCTTAATCTCGCTCTCGATGTACTCGGTGGCAGCACGCCGGCTGTCAAAGCCCGCAGGAATGGTTGAAATAGGAGCCATGGCTTGAAAAGTGGGGTTTTTAGGTTGGATAAAATAGTAAGGGATAGAAAAAAGATGACTGAATAGTGGAAGACTAAAAAGTTTTGGATTTTGTGAGTGAACTTGAACGAGGCGTGGCGCTGCATGCTAACTGTGATTTTGAGCCCGGATGCTGGGCCACCAATCACCAGCGGATGTGCTTGATTGGTTGATCACACATCCTAATCCAGGAACGCGAAGCGGCAACGCGTGAAAAACTGGGCTCATGCTGGCTCTGGTGCGAAACCTGACTCTCAATTCGCATTGCCCTCAGTCTAGTTGTAAACATGTCGCCCGAAGCAGCAGCCGCCACAGCCGCAGGTATTGATGCAGTCGGCAGCGAGGAGCTGCACGGCCCGGCCAAGAAGATCCGCATCGACGGGCCGAAGAGCGAAGAGCCCGAGCAGAAGCCGCTGACACAGGAGCACATCTTTCATAACCTGCGCCTGCGACGGATCGTGCGCGAGAACCACAGCAGCACCATCGCCCAGCTAGCGCTGTACTTCTACCGGCCCAATGACCTTACGCCCCTGGACGCAATGGAGTGTGATGGCCACCACAAGGGCCACGGCCTTGGGGGGCTGTCGCACTACGAGCGCAAGTTTGACAAGCGCGGGGCTGTGCTGCGCGAGAACAACGACAACAGCAATCTGCTGGGCACAGTTGGTGCCACCCAGGCAAACATCTACGACAACGAGAATCAGGGTGACCACTTGGACATCATGTCGCACTACCAGCTGCCTGAGGAGTCGGCGCTGCCGTTACATACGTGCTGCTGGGTGCACACCCCCGACGATGCGCTGCTGGCCATGGGCGGAGAGGATAAGCTGGTGCATATCATCAGCCTGGGCTGGTCGCGAGAGATCCGGGTGCTGCGTGGACATACAGGGGCAGTTATTGATCTGCAGATGCATCCTACAAACCAGAGGCTGCTGGTGTCAGCAGGCAAGGACCGAACGGTGCGGATTTGGTCGGTTCAGACAGGCGAATGTCTGTGCCGCTATGAGACCGACGCGACAGCGGTCCGGTTCCATCCCGACGGCAAATCGCTGCTGACAGGTTCCTCACAAGGCGAGATCCGCCAATGGCCAGTCCCAGTCCAGTCACTCACAGACCACAGCGGTGACCCACTCGTATTCCAGGCCAGCGACAGTATAAAGTGTCTATCGGCAAAGAAGTACCAGGGAACAGCCATTGACTGCATCCGATTCGCCCAGGGTCACGTCCTGAGCAAAAGCACGGCTGGCCGCATCGAGTACTGGAATCTGGACACGAAGGAGCCCATTCGCTCAATTAATGTGCGCAGCCACGGAATCATGGTATCAAGGTTTGACGTCAGCTACGACGACAGCTACCTGTGTGTCGGTAATAGCCGTGGTGCAGTCTACATCTACAGCATCGAGACCGGCAAGCTGCTGCGCCATCTGACGCACAAGCGGTCAGTGAAGCCCGTAACATGCTGTGCGTTTTCGCGCGACTGCCGCAGTGTGCTCTATGCTGGCGAGGGCGGCTTCATCTGGCGCTACGACTATGTCGATGACGAGACGCTGGCCGAGTGGGAGAAGGGCAGCGATTCAGAGGCGGACGACAGTTCCAGTGAAGAGTAGAAATGAATTTATTTTCTAGCCATGCTAACCATGTCAAAGCGGCGGCGCAAACAGCCCCGACATAGCGCCTTCCAGCAAATATCTCTGGTGGATTTCGCGGCTCATCCCGGCTGCTGTCAGCGCCGGGTGCCGGAACGCCGGGTTCGGGTCAATGTACGTCTGCTTCATGCTGATGTGGATCGGTGCATAGGGCGATTCTGTGGGATCAAAGGTGCCCTCCATGTCCTCATCGCCTGAGTTTTCCTCATCCGAGTTCTCATCCAGGTCGCCCAGCAGGGCAGATACGTCAAACTTGGATCTCTTTGAGGCATCCCTGTGCCTCAGCGACGAGCGCTTCAGCTGCACCATCTTGGTCTGCACAATCTCCTTGGCATCTTTGTCCGACGACGCCAGTGCATCAATAACACTATCTTTGGCCATTTTCTTCTCGCGCTCCTCGTCCATCAGCTGGCGCCGGTACTCCTCGCGCTGCTGCAGCCGCTTGGTGCGCTCCTGCTCGGAAATCAGATGCTGCAGCTTCTCTTCGCGCTGCTGTTTCGAGATGTTCTTGTAGATCAGGTCGCGGTTCTCGCGCTTGTATCGGCCAATCTTTTCCTCGGTCTCCTGCACATCGACGTCGTTTAACAGATTGAAGGTGATATCTTCGACCATCTCCAGATAGTCGTTGAAGGCGTTGAGTGTTTTGAAGTCCTCCTGCCGCTTGTTGAACGTCATGGCGATGCGCTTGCGAATCCGCACCTCCTTTTCCACCGTCAGGTCCTCAAAGATTTGCTCGTAGAAGCTGCTCTGGCGCAGAATCTGGTGGCACACCGGGCACGGTGCTGGCCCCATGCTAAAGAGACGCTCGACACACGTCTCGCACATTTTGTGGTAGCAGGGTGTGACCAGAAGCTTCATGTTGTGATTCAGGTAGCGGTCGCTCTTGCACACAGGGCATACGTCGTCGTCGCCCTGGTACGGCGGGATATCCTGCTTCCTCGCTGACGGCAGAATACTCATGCTCAGAAAAGACAGAGGCTGTGGATGTTGACTAGAAAGCTCATCTTTTCGAAGGCGGCCCATGCATATCAGGTTCAAATCGATGCAGTCGTGGGGATCGGCCTTTATGGTAAAATCACATGGCCGCAAGAATTTGTAACGAAATCACGCAGCCTGACGACAGAGGTCACACCCACATCTATGCCCGTTTTTCCGCCTCTGCCTGAGTTCCTTGGCTTTGCGCTTCCACCACCATCTCTGCTCTTTGACACCCACCACAGGCGTTAAATAATATTATTATCAATTTATTCTCGAATTTCTTGTGCTCTAGGAATGTCGTCAACACAGCCAACAAGACGGACAAACAGCTCGCCCCTGCGCGGGTTCGACTACGTTCGACTGGGTCTCTTTCTCGTATTCTTTGTCGGCCATGCATTTATGATAAACACCTGCCAGCTGCTGGTCTGTCCCTGGCTAAAGAAGCTCGCACCAGTGCTGGACCGCAGGTTCAACCAGCAAGCCGAGCGCTGGTTCTGTACAGTTCTTCTTGCAAGCACTGAACTCTGGGCGCCCACCAAACTTGTGCTCACTGGAGATAGCGACCTACTGCCCAACGGCATAACTGCTGGCAGAAGCTGGTTTACGGCCACCGAGGGCTGCATGCTCATCAGTAACCACCAGACATACTTTGACTGGATCATTATCTGGATCCTCAGCTACATGGAAAAGTGCGACGGGTTCATAAAGATTATTCTCAAGGGCGAGCTCAAGCATGTCCCAATCTTTGGCTGGGGCATGCAGTTCCTGGACTTTATCTTTCTCAAGCGCAAGTGGGCAGAGGACCAGCTCACCTTGACCGAGCATATGCAGCGCATTGTCGCCCATGACGACCCAGCATGGCTGCTGATTTTCCCCGAGGGCACTGTTGTGTGCAAGAACCGCATTGAGATCTCCAATGCGTATGCAAAGAAGATGGGGCTGCGCAAGCCCGCAAACACATTGCTGCCACGCGCCCACGGCAGCCATTTCTGCCTGGAGCAGCTGCGCGGCAACATTTCGTACGTATACGATCTGACCGTCGGCTATGAGGGACTCAAAAAGGGCGATATCCCAGAGGACGAGTACGGGCTGGTCAGCATGTACGGAAAGGGGGTGTATCCGCGCGAGGTCCACATCCACGTTAAGCGGTATGCAGTTGCCGATATCCCCACCGACGACGAGGGGTTCGCAATGTGGATGAACCTGGTGTTCGTCGAGAAGGACCTGCGCATGGACAAGTTTTATGAGCTCGGACGCTTCCCGCACAATCACGACGAGGACGACGCCATACCTGCAGACAAGCCCGTGCTGCATGACACGAAGGATGCAAAGGCGCACAATCTGCTGCTGGAGATGGCATTCATGTGGGTCCAGTTCCTCTCGATAATTACACCATCGTACTTTGTCCTCAGGTATGCCGCCAGCGCTGCCTCGTCCGTCCTGTTTGCTTAGAAGATGCAAGCCTCGCGCAGTTAGCTATCCCTTATCCCTTTTCATTTCCATGAGGGCGTTTAATACATGTTTCCTTTTATACGAAAGACATTGGAGCTAGTGTGTCGACAATGGAATGGGAGAGGACCGGTGAAGCAGTTTGCATTGCCGTCGGCTGCTCACGCTGGAGAATAAACCTATTGGCCACTCGTCATGATCTTGATAAACTCATCCTCGTTAACTACATGCGTGCACATAAAGCACAGGGGACTTGGTTAGCAAGTGCGTATACCTTTGGCATAATACGTAATTCCATAGTGCACTTACTGCCGCCGTCCTGGTCCAGGTCAAACTCATCGACCATGGCCTGGATCTCCTCTTTCGAGATGGTCTCGCCAAGCTCACGCGCAATCCGCTCGAGGTTGCTCACAGTGATCTTTCCCTTGTTGTTCTCGTCAATAAGCTTGAATGCCTTCCGGTACTCCTCGACCGGGTCGCGTCTAGAGATCATATCCGCCATTACGCGCGTAAAGCTCTCCCGGTCAATGCTCCCTGACGATTCGTCTGTTCCGTGGTCCTGAAGGATCTGCAGCACCTCCTGCTTCTTCTGGTTGAACCCAAGCGCCCTCATTGCAACCTACAGTGTTGATGGCCGCAGCGAGCCGTATCTCAGCCAACATGTTCACAGTCACTTCATCCGAGCCATCACTACGATGTGACCAGCCTCCACGGCTTTACCTTCAGCTCGAAAAAGTCAATCAGCCCGTCCTTGTTGGTGTCAAACAGCGAGAATGCCTCGTGGATCTCTGCCAGCTGGTCGTCGCTGATTTTGGGCACAGACTGCACGCTTGAGCGCTGCTGTGTTGTTCCAGAGTAGTTGATTCCGTTCATCCTACAGTTTGCCAGCCGACGCGTCAAAGCGCGATTGTCAGTGCAAGTGCAGGTGCAGGTGCAGGTGCAAGTGTTAATTGCCGTCTCAACAAGAAAACCTGTCTCTCTAGTCAATTGCAACAGCGGTGCGAATTGGTGCGTACTTTTTCTCGTGAAGTTGTATGTGTAAACTAGCAATTGGGCGACCAAGCCAGGGAAATAGTTGGGCATTTGGAATTCAACTATTGATTATTATAAACCGTGCCCCATTGTGGGGATCGCACGGGATTAGCATTCTGATGAGATTAATAGCAGTACTCGTAGCGCTTGTGCAGAATAGCAAGTCATGCCAAACCAGTGCAATCATCCTCCCAGTACGCCGCTGTTGAGCTGATAGCCTGTTCTTCAACGTAGCGCAAAGAAATCAAGTATATAGTATCTGCACAGTTCTGCTGAGACGCCTGGATCCTATGATCTATGGCTTTGTCCACAGTTGCTGCTGGTGCTGTTCCCCAAATTCGGCCCCTTGCTTCATCGCCAGTCGCTAAAGTGTAGCTTGGAATTGGGGTTTCAACTACGTGATCTAATGCCAGTGTTGTGTTATTGAAACAGTTAGTCAACCTGCTTAAATACAACCTGTGATTCTTTATTGGTTTGGAATGCAATATACTTTGCCGGTGATATCCTCACTCATCTCACTTTATTATCATGGTACTGCTTTCTACATGCCAAATGTTTGGCTTGTATGTTGCATTGTTATCGGCCCGAAGAGATATGCTAGAATGAGTAACCAGGATAAGTAAACATCTCCAGCTAGTCGTTGATGTCCAATGCAAAACTCTCATACAGCAACACGGGTTTCTTGGGGTTGAACACAAGCGCTGGTAAGGAATCTGCATGCTGCTCCATCGATGGCTTATTGTTTGGCTTACCAGCAGCCCCGCTCATGAATCGCATATTCTGAGTTATCAAGGAGAGCGGCTGTCTATTGCGAGTCCATTCTGAGTTGTTGGGTCAGGCATGCCAGAGTAGATGTGGTCACCAAAATACAGCATGATAGTCTTTTTTTTACAGACTCATGTATACAGGCAGATAAGCCGAGCCTGGGTTTGCCAGGCTAGTTTACAAGCTGCTAAACGGTGAAGGATGTACTTGGTGTACCTACGTCGGTTTCCAGTAGTACTCTTAGTTTATTCTGTTAGCATAGTAGATGAGCTTGCTCGGTAACACTTGCCACTGTATTTTGGTTAGTCGTATGGTGTTTTAGTTGGAAATCAAAACAGCAAAATATAGCGTATTCCATACTTCATCACATCACTGTGCAACTTTCATATAGCAAACATGAAAAAGGCTGTCTGTACAATAGGTGTCGCTCTACAGATTAAACTCAGTATACTAGTTCTCTCATAGTAATGAATTACTCACGCTTCTGCGACGATATCTGGGACCAGCTCTCTGCCATGAGCAAATCGGCAGACTGCGACAGCAGTTTACTTCTCCAAAGGCTCAGCAGCTTGGATAGTTTTCTCGGTACGGATCGAGTGTCGAAGGTAGCCCATGCGCAGTGGGTCGATTCACTGGCAGTTGCAGGTAGTCTGGCACAGGATACATTTGTGTGGAGCAGTTCAGCTGCAGTTCAGAAGGCTGGCACCAAATGGCTCGTGGCTATTTCGGAGCAGCTGAACCTTTCTTCGAGCGGCATTATCACCAAGAATATGTTTCGGGCCATCTGCGACTCGCGCGTACGACCGTACTTTGCGTCCTCTGGAACGGCTAAACCGCAGTTTGTGCTGGACTCATCCAACAGCAAAGCAGACACGCGCATGTTGGCCGACAACAAGCAGTGGAGAACCCACCAGCAGTGCATTGCAGCGTTTATGTGGGCGTTCGAGCACCTACCAGATGACGACATGGTTGCAGTTATTTCGTACATCCTGCCGGTAGCCCTTGATCTGGCCGAAGACTACGATGCTGGAATGAAAGTGCGTGGTATCAAGCTCGTGCTGCGTCTGCTGGACCGCATGGACCGCGAGTTCCTGCGCAAATCCGGTATTGCCAGCCTACTGGAGAAGAGCGTGCTCGACTCTCTGGTATTCCGCAGTGGTGAGAGCGCAGGTGCAGGCACACAGCTCATGGATGTGGCATTTGCGGCAGCAGTGCGTGTGTCCCAGACACTGTACCCGCGGATGGACAACCCAAAGTACACGGCTGCATGGTGGAGGATGGCCGACTGCATTGTGCGCAACAGCATGTATGTGTCAGATAATGTCATGGCAAGCACCGTGCTGTGCAGGTGGATTGCACCAGTGTGCAAAGCCCTTGGTCCGGCCGTGGCAAGATATCTGAAGCCATTGCTGGGTGTGGTGCTGCAGAATCTGCGGGCACCTGTATATCTGATGCCCGAGATACTTGAATTGCAGCTCGTCTCGGTCGAGCAACTGGGAGAACTGATGGATGCCTGCCCACCCAGGGTCGGTGCGCATGCAGATGAGATTCTGGCGGGCCTGGCCATCTCGTGGGCGATGACAGGGAAAAAGCAGAGTTCCAAGACAGCAGGTAAGGGTGCCATTTCAGGCTATCTCGATTGGTCTGCTTCCCGAACCATTCAGCCAAGTATTGGATGCTCTCGTGTAGGAATCGACAGACTCCAGAGCGTCATTATCATGACAACAAGGAAACTGCAAGGATATGCGCCAGAGAGCGTCAAGGTAACATGGACAGGTTAACCCTGATGAAGAGATGGATGCATAATGTGTAGGTTTGCTAACATGGCTATCGCATAAGTGTAGGCTGGAATCCAGCGTTTGAGCAGCGCGCGCCCAGATGAGTTTAGCGGTCTAAAGGATGCTCTGGCTTGAGTCACTCACTGAACTTTTTAATGTGTGCTTTACAAAATAAGACATGAAGTGCCCTAAGAGCTGAACGCCCAGATTTCGAGGTGGGCGACGACAAACTCCTGCTGTGCATCTGGCAGCTTGCTCTTTGGGTGTGACGGATCGACACACAGTGGCTCGTTGTTGAATGTCGGACACCGGGCCGAGTACCCGTGCAGAAAGTCGCTCTTGAACCACATGCCGAATTTGCCGCGACCACCGCCAATGGCGACGAAATCTGGATCACACAGGATGAAGTACTCGTTGTCGCCGGTGTACTTGAACTGCTTGACGGCGTCCTTTTTGCGTGACTCTGGCGACGACCTGAACGCCTTCCACAGGAAACTACAACCCTCCAGCAAAGATGCATCAGTGTACTTGCATGTGTCTGTCTAGTGTCTGGCCAATCGTGCTGCACTTACCATGTGCCGTTGCCGTAGAAGCTGGGATTCAGCCGCAGAGGCTCATTCAGATACGCCCCAAAGACCTACAAATGGCGGGTATGCATATGTCACTCGCAGTGCTCAATAGGTGTGCCCCAAACTATATGTGTGAATGCACATTTTTCTGCGTGGCCGATTTTACTTACCCTGCCTTTTGTGTCTTTTATCGCCAGCACCATTGGGCCGGCGTTCTCACAGCGGGAGAGCAGCGAGTTCATGCTGATGCCGTGCTGGTCCATGCTGTAGACCAGGCGCCAGGACTTGGCCAGACGCTGTCTTACCGGCAAGAGCTCGCGCAGCTACACATGGAATGTTTCGCATGACACAAGGGAAACAATGCGAGGTTATCAGGTCAGTTGACAGGCAGATCAAAAGGCCAGAGGGAAAACACAGCTTCTGTGCGTGTGCCATGTGGATTTTGCTTGGCAGACAAGGGCGGGTGCCTGCCTTCCCAAACGGTACCTACCTCGCGGATGATAGTGGCAGATAGGACTTTTGGCGTGTCCGCATCCCGGCCGTCCAGGCGTACAGGCGCACGCTGGTGCTGTGACTGTGGACTGTGGTTGTTTGCTGGGGCGGTGGGGGTGTGGGGCACGGTAAGCGGGGTGGCCATAGCCTCGGCTGTCTCATTGCTGACACCGCTGTATCTGTCATTTTCGCTGACTTCCTGGCGCCCATCCTGCGCGGGGGACGACGGGGCGACAAAGTAGCCTCCACATTCTCCCAGCGCGTGGTAGTGCACCTCGTGCGGGCTGTTTGTGTGGTTGTTTTGGTGGACCGCTCCGGCCAGTGAGGCATGGGAGCTGGGCGTGCTGCTGCTCATTCCCTCGGTTGATGACGAGTCGACCGAGTCCTCTGCGTGCTGCCTGCGTCCAAAGTGGAACCACTTTGACGGGCTGCTGCTATTGGCAGACCTCTCGGACTCGCTGGTTGCGTATTTTCTCAGATTCATGGCGAGCGTGTTGGTGGAGGGCAGTGAAAACGCCAGTGGCGACGGTGTGCTTGCTGCACGTAGGGCTGTGGCGTTTGGGCTGTCGTTGCTGTCGTCAAGCACAAACGTGCTGTGAAACGTGTTGGTGCTCTGGGCAGGCGGTGTGTCCGGGTAAATGTCAAAGAGCTCCTCGAAGTGCGTGCGCGGTCTGGCCTGCTGCGACGAGGGAAAGGTGTGAAGCTTGAAAATGGTCGACGAGGAGAACGGGGTCAGGAGTGGAGAAGAAAGGCCTGAGGCACTCTGCACGCTGCTAGCTTGTGGGATGGGCGAGCAGTCGAGCGGTGATCTGGCCCCACCTGTGCATTCCACGACCGTGTCGCTCAGCGATACCAGGGGCTCGGTGCTGCCCAGAAAGCTGCCGCTGCCGAGGCTACTGGTACTCCTGCGCGAGGGGAATGTCCGGCTTCGCAGCCGGGGGCGTACGGCGGGTGCTTCCATATGAGAGCAGTAAATAAAATAATTTGTCTTTGCGAGGTTTTATTTTCCGGAGCAGAGAGAAAAGATGGGCGCGGGGTGGCAGTGACTGGGCCTGAGGGCAGCGAGAGGCTTATATTCTTGGCATACTCGTCGCCGAGCACGGCATATGCGAAGTGCTTCTGGCGTACGGGCGGCCGACACAGGAGGTGCGCTTCTGAACAAGCGTTGCCGAGTGGGGAGCACATGCCCAGGTTTAGCCATGGATTGGCAGGCAATGCCGCCCTGAGTATTACCGTGCGTGGATGCATAATGGGGAGAGTAAAAAGGCGCTGGGAAAACCTGGCCATCAGCGGCCAGCAGGGTGTGACGAATCACTGTTCTTTTCGTTTCTCTTCCCACCCAGCACAGCTACCAGCGCCATGTCCCTGGTTGGAACCGTATCCGCCGTCGCCCGCAGAGCCATGCCGTCGGCAGCCCTGGCGGGCGCCTCGTACTTTGCGCTCAAGGCGCTTGCTGGGTTCACCAGCCCTGATGCCAAGCCCGACTCGGACCGCGGCATGCAGCCGCTGTACGCAACACACAAGCCAACGACGCCGATCCAGAAGCTGACAATCGCTGTGGGCTCAGCGCTGATGGGCTTCGGCGACCCGACCGACGGCTCGCACATTGCAGCGCTGGGCGATGCTACAGCCAACCCGTTCTTCGGCAAGATGCGCGCGCAGATGCTCAACGACCCGGTCGGCCGCCGCATCCTGAAGGAGCGCCCCGAGATTTCGTTCACACCGGAGCAGTGGTCGGCGCTGCAGCACCTGCCCGATGGCACATTCGGCCGCACGTACTACAACCAGATGCACCGCAACGGCATCTCGTGGGCCACGCGCCCGCCCGTGCGCTTCGTTGACAACGAGGAGAACGCGTATCTGCTGCTGCGCTACCGCCAGTGCCACGACTTCTACCACACGCTGCTGGACATGGACATCTCGGTCGTCGAGGAGCTGGCCATCAAGGTCTTTGAGTGGCGACAGACCGGCTTGCCCGTCGGCCTGATAGCCAGCCTGTTTGGCCCGCTGCGTCTGCCGGCTGACGAGAAGGAGCGCTTTTTCAAGCACTACCTGCCGTGGGCCCTGCAGTGCGGGTCCGAGGCAAAGCCGCTGATTGGCGTGCACTGGGAGGAGATGTGGACCCGCGACGTCGAAGAGCTGCGCAAAGAAATGGGCATCTGGCTGCTGCCCGAGCGCAACAGCGTGACGCACGCTGCCAACTCGACTGCCATCACCCCCTAGACGCGCTCTCCTGCCCAGCCCTAGACAGCTGGTATTCGATTTAAACTTCACATATTGGCGCTCACATTTTTTGGTTAAAGATATCTTCTAAGACTCTTGCTGCTGCTGCTGCTCCTTGGCTGCTGCTGCCCTGGCTTTCATCTTCATCTTCAGCCTCTTCGCTGACGTGGCCTTCTTGACAGCTAGCTTCTTTTTCCTCGCCCGCTCGTTCTTCTTCATGCTGGCCACGCATGCCAGGAACACGCCATGGTAATGCGCCAGGAACGAATCAAGGTCGCCTGGGGCCACCAGCGTGCTGAGCTTCTTCTTCTCTGTCGCAGCACGCACCAGCGTCGCATACTCCTTGTCGTCGAGCGACAGCTTGTCGACCATCTGCCGCATCGCCTCCTCCTCGCTGTTCTGCGTTGTCTTGCGCTTCTTTCCCTGCGTGTAGTCGTACCGCTTAATGCTCAGGTTCACGCTGCCCTTCTCTTTGGTATCAGCAAACAGGTCCGGCAGCATTGCCAGAAACTACAGAGGGAATAGCAGCGTTAGTGGTGTGGATTGCATGGAATGCAAGGTGGTGAGTAAACGCATATGCTTGCCTTTTCGTTATCCAGAAGCACCATGTCTGCCCTCTTTTATTGTCGCCGCTGTGAATTGAAACGAGAAATTAGAGCTGGGAATTAGCGTGAAGCAGCGTTGAATTGAGTAGAGAAAGTGTGGCAACCAGAGTTTGGCTCAATTTTATTCGGATGCCCAAAAGCGTGATCCGCTGAGAGCCCGATACGTATAAATTGCTGGCATGATGGGACCTATTTCGAGCGCGCCGTGTCTGCTCACGCATCCATTTCATCTATCCATGTCGGCATCCCGAGCACTTTTCGCATCTGTGTCGTCCATATTCAGGCACCGGTGCGCCAGTATCCGCCCAGTATCGACAGTGGAGGCCGGCACCGCCTACGAAAACATGGTTGTCCGGGCATTCAACAGGCTCGGCGCAGACCTCGAGCGCATCGGCGGGGCAAACGACCAGGGGATCGACTTCCGCGGGCCGTGGGCACTGCCCGAGCAATCCCAGTTCTACGTCGTCGGCCAGTGCAAGCACTACGAGCGCAAGAAGATCGGGCCCTCTGTTATTCGCGAGTGGGAGGGCGTCATGTCGCGCCAGGAGCCAGATACGCTGGGTGTCATCTCTGCGTCCAGCGGGTTTACCACAAAGGGCGTGCGCACAGCACTCAGCTCAGAGTATCCGATGGCCTTGGTAACATTAGGCTGCAGTACACCGATTTTCAGTGAAGGCGGCGCTACCAAGGGCGTGGAGCTGGACATACGTGGGTTTGTCTGGAACAAGGCTGCGTCGGAGTTCCTCGGCCATCTGGTGGTAGCCAAAAAGCACTACGACACACGGCTAGTCCGCGTTGCCGACCCAGCCCACTTTTCGATCCAGCTGCTCTGGAATGGCGAGCCATTGCCCCCGACCTCTCGGTAGTTGCCGCTGTATTGAGTAAAAGAAAAAACGCTATACATGTACATGCTCCACTGGCCCTGCATCACTGCTCCTGCTGAGGCGGTTCCGCATCCTCGAAGCTGCTGAAGTCCAAGCGCACGTATGTGATCTTTTGGCCATTCTCGGTCTTGGTCTCCGTCGTCACTGCCTGGATATGGCTGAGCCTCCTGAGAAGCATCGGCAGCTCCTCTGTCGAATGCCCCACCGACATGAGCTCTCGCTTCAGCTCCTCCACAGTCATACTCTGGTGGTCGAGCAGGGTGTCCAATATCGCTTGCATGGTATTGCCATAGTCACGGAAGAAGTACCTGAACAGGCTGCCCACGTACTTTTGCCTCTGGCTCTGCATGCTGCTGCTCCGGTCCCACCATGGCACAAACACGCGGTTCTCAAGCAGCTGCAACGTGGCATTTGCGCCCTGCATGAACTCTGCCACCTTGCTGTCAACCATCATGTCCTCAGTGCACTGCAGGAGCTGCGTGCGCAGGTTATCCAGCACCATGTACTTGGATGCCTGGTCCTTTGTATCCTCGAGCTGGTCACCGATCGGGATCCCGGCCATCTCCTCATCAATATCAGCAATGGTACGCCGCATCCGGATAATCTCAGCATCCACCATGGCCGACTCCTCCAGTATCTCGCTGTCCTCTTTGATGCCAGACCGCGTGCGCTGGTGCTCTGCCAGCTCGCGCTCCTTAGCTGCCACTGTGCTTTTCAAATTCAAAAGATTTGCCTGCGCGTCGGACAGCGCCGACTGCTCGTCCTTGATCACCTTTTGCAGCTCGACCATCGTCGCCTCGTCCTCCACCAGCTGCTGGTATTCGCTCTTTTGCTGCTCAACTTTGGCTTGCTGGGCCTCATGCGTTGCCCGGATCACCTCGACTGCTGACTCGAGTTGGTCAACCTGCCGGAACAGGAACGGCACGGCCTCCTTGGAAATAAGGCTTTGCGCCTTGCCGATGTCGCTGGCGGTCGTGAGCTCGTACTTCGTTTCGCACCGAATTACCCGGGAGACCCGCGGGAACGTGCGTGTCAGCGAGCCCAGCGCAGTTGTGGCCGCTGCGAGGTTGTTGTTGCACGTTTCAAGCGTTGCCACGCACTGGTCCAGCGAATCCAAATACGACATTACGAAAGAAGAGAGGAAACTAATAAAAATGTAAAGGAAAATGAGAAAAGGGCGTGCCGTTTCTGTTGGCGATATTTTTTTAGCTTGGATACAAAGCTCGGGCTGGTCACATGATTGGACCATAAGGATGGCGGTCTGGAATTAAATCGTGGCTTCCAAAGAAAGCCAGGGTTGGTTGAGCGACGACGCGTCGCAACCCCTCGTCTCTCTCCCTATTTACCTCCAAACCCCCTCCCCGGCGGACACATACAGAGACCTTTACATATCAGCTCTATACGATGAAGCTCGTACGGTTTTTGATGAAGCTCAGCAATGAGACGGTGACGATCGAGCTCAAGAACGGCACGCAGGTCCAGGGAACAATCACCAACGTTGATATGAGCATGAACACGCACCTGAAGAAGGTCAAAATGACAGTCAAGGGCCGCGATCCTGTCAGCCTCGACTCTCTCAGCCTGCGTGGCAACAACATCCGCTTCTATATTCTGCCTGATAGCCTGCCCCTCGACACGCTGCTTATCGACGACACACCGAAACCCAAGGCTCGCAAGCGGGAGGCAACCTCGTCCAGGGATCGCGACAGCGGGACCCGTGGACGCGGTCGTGGACGCGGCCGTGGTCGTGGCCGTGGTGGTAGACGCTAAGGATAAAAATGCTCTTCATGTATCTGACAGAAAAAATCTATTAAAAACGCTCCTGCAGCCATGTCTACTTGTCGTAGCGATCAAACACGGGCTCTTCGTCGGCTGGCCGGTCCACGCGCTTGGGCTCCCACTCGCCCCACGCACCCTGGCTCTGCATTCTAAAGTACTCTTCCTGCAAATTGAACTTGCGCTTCTCGCCCTTGGCCTCGTCAAGCGTGACATTGCGCACATGCTTGTCGCGCACCTCGTATTTGGTCTCTTGCCCCGGCAGAAGCACAAACGATCCGCCGACTACCGCCAGAAGGAACGGCAGGCCAACGCATAGGAACGGGTGTTTTTGCGATAGCCGCTGGAACGTCGACCTGTGGTTTCTACGCGCCCAGCTGTTTGATTGGAACTCCGAATTGAGCTTCATTGGAGCAGAAACGAATGTAAAAATACAAAAAAACTGGCGCTGAATTGAAGGCAAAAAAAAAAAAAACGAAGCGAAGCACAGGCGCAATCGATTGCTGGGCTGTGGTTTGTTTCGCCAGATCAAGCTCCACGCAGTAGAGAAAATGCTGAAAAAAATTTCGTAATGGGGCCAGCTCCAGCATTTTTCTTTGCTTCCCTTTTCTTTACTCCTTTGACTCGCCTTCTCTCACAGTTAATGCTGCCAATGAACAGACTTGCAAGGGGCTCCTCGATGCTCGGACGCAGGGCGTACAGCCAGGCAAAGGACGGGTTTTCGATCAAACAGCGTGCGCTGCCTACCACAACCTCAATAAAGTACTCGATCCCGCAAGACCCGTTCCTACTGGCATCAAAGTTCCGCGATGTGGCCCGCAACGGCAAGCTGGACGACGCGGTTGCCATAGTGATGCAGACAAAGACCAGAGACCAGTCGGTGGTCGTATGGAACCTAGTGATCAACGAGTACGCCAAGATAGGGCGCCTGGGCCGGGCACTACGGGCGTTTACAGAGATGCGCAAACGCGGGTTCAAGCCGACGCCAACAACATTCACTGCACTGCTGAAGGCATGCAGCCTCAGTGATTCGGCCAACCGAGCACAGATCGCCGGGGAACTGTTCGATATGATGGACAGATACAAGGTTGAGCCGACGCTGATTAACGTCAACAGCCTGCTGATGGTGTACCAGCGCAATGAGAGTGTCGAGCCCTTGCTGGCATGTTTCAACAACCTGCCAACAGAGGGCCCACTGGCGCCATCGCTCGAGACATACACGACGGTAATCTCGACTTTGCGCCGCGAATTCATGAGGCTGCTGGATGGGAAGCAGCCGGCGAGGTCGGCCAAGGATGCAAGCACGTTTGTTGAAGCGCGGAGGCATGCGCTGAACCGACAGAACCTGTACCGGTCGTTTGAGGCAATCATGGATGTGTGGACATCGTTTGTGGAGGATGTGAGGCATAGACAGCAGGGCCTGGCCCGTGATACAGAGGTGCTGATGGTTGATGCCAAAATTGTGAACATGGTGTTGAAATGCTGCCATTCGATATATAACGAGAACCGCTCGCTAGGACGGCGTGGATTCAAGGTTGTGGAGGATGTCTATGGGCTGGACAAGAGTCTTGCACCTGGAAAGCAGGGTCCCGATGCAAAGGCAGACGCCACGCCATTGGTGGATCTACTGAGTGAGCAGCTAGTGAACAGCGATACAGGGCTGACAGCTATCAATACTAGCACCGTAGACTTGGTGCTGACGCTGTGTTCGAGAGATGGCGAGGTGATGAAGGCGATTCGGTTCTGGCGGCGCTTGATGCTGAGTCACCGGGATATGGTCCAGCCGTCAAAGCTTAACTATGCGTCCTATTTGAATCTGCTACACCTGCGGTTAGAAAAGTTTGCTATTCTGTGAGTTGGGCCATATTCGTGCAATACATAGACTCGTATCGAAGATTGGCTTATCAGCAGGCTATACGTGTTTATTCCTTATCTAGCTGGTGGTTTTTTTTTAGCGTTTTACTTGAAGAAAACATGCGGAACCTGTGTTTGTTCTCTCCTGAGGTGGTTAGTGGCGATACCTGCATTTTTCATGCTGATAGGCGATTGGGATTGAGACTGAGAGTGGACAGGTAGTGTTTTATCGATCAGGCCAAAGAGTTTGTAGTACGCCTCGTTGGTGCATGGATAGCATTTGTATTTGTGAATTCGCATGTCTTCCACGGGGAACACGCAGTTGCAGCGGCATAGGAGCAAGCCTCTGTATATCTCTGAAAAGCCCAGCACCACACACTCGTATAATTCGATGTAGACTTTATTCGGAGCGTGAGGAAAGGCGGTACTGGACATGGCAGATGTATGTAACGTTTTAACTATTTAGACAGTGGCTATAAAGGAACATGCAAATGACAAAAGGAAAGGAGAAGTGTGGCTATCTCTGTAGTTCTGTGGTGCCGTCTTGCTGTCTGATGTATTTCAGCCGAGTTTTCCTACACACGATGGTACTTTCCTTCAATCGGCGAGCGTCGTGGAGTTGAGTCCGAGTCTCGAAATGATAAAGTGATATGTATCAGGAGCTCATTGGTAAACATGTTCACACCTAACTGCAAACGGAATTCATGCTGAGATAACGATATCACCTTCCACTTGCCCAGTTTGAAAGACTCGACCATTTTGAGTTTTATTGGCATACCTCATTCTGATAGCTGCAGATGGCGTCCAGGTAATGCCAATCATGGCCGAGCTACCTTTCTGCACGTATTGTTTAGGACGATAAGGATGTAGTGGAGTATCAGAATGATTTTGCCTGCTGCATACTAAGATGTTCAGACACCCCCTCACTACTGCAGATTTGGCGACATCACTGATCAGAGACTGCAAACCAGTACTGCCCAGATGGCAATTCCAATTAAATAAAAAATGACCCTGGGTATTATATGTGGTTAATTAAAGAATGGCCTATTTGAGATGGATGTAATTGTCGAATGAACTCTTGGGGACAGTGCGTGTGCTATACCGCCTCGTTCCGCTGTGATTGTATTCCTCTACGACAACGCTGTTTCCAGAGACCTTTGCTACCCAAGCTACGTGGCCATAGACACCAGCGTTTGTTTGGGCAACTGCACCTGGGTTTGGCGTGCTGTTCATAGCGACGCCAGTCTTGCGCGCGGCCTCATCCCATGTGTTTGCATTCCCCCAATTTGGGCCTTTGTAGTAGTTGTGGAACTTTACGCCAAGCCGCTTGTTGACACGGAATGCAACAAAGGATGTACACTGACATATGTAATATCCCCAAGGGTCGACGCTGTCGCACTGTCCTTTATACGGGTAGTCGTCGGTAATAGGGCCTGCAGATCCGCTTTCACCAGAGCCACCGGCGCTACACTCTGAGGCAACATAACCGGTGGACCCAGTCTTTATGTAGTAATCAGCGACGTAGCAGCCGTCGCTCGTCTTGTCCCACAGAGCGTTGCCATTGATGGTCTCACCCGATGTCTGACAAGTGAGCTCGACGTCAGTGTTTATCTTGTAGGTCTTGACAACCGCTCCAGATGTACCAGGGCTTGAACGGCAGTTGACTACATCGGCTTTGTAGATCGGGTAGGCGCTTGCCAGCACTGCGAAGGAGCTGAGACAAAAAGATATTATTGTGGTAGCTTTCATTGCAGATGATGAGGGAAAATGCTGGTAGTCTGCCAGCAGTGTGCCATCCTTGAGGAGGTTTATACTGCAACCCATTCCTTCATCTCCTCAACCTGCTCGGCATTAGCATGTCTACATAGTTTTCGGAATGAACTGCCAAGACAAATACACAATCAGCCACCACCATCCCCACTTGAAGCTGCGTACGCGGTGAATTCAATATAGCTATCACTGCTACCTTGGAGTAGATTGCTTGGCCAATTTCATGATTCCGGTGATTACCAGGATTTCTATCTATCCCGTCTCGAACAGGTTATGTAATGGCTATCTTCCCTTATCATACATCTTTCAACATTCTCGCTGCTGAAAATCCAGGCTCATATACGAACATGCAAAGCAGTGTATTTTTAGCACCACCAGCCTATACGCACAATATCGTCTGCGTCCTTTAAACAATCAAAACATTCTTTCTGCTTGCTGCTTACATATGCAGCGATTCGTGGGCAAATGCATGGGCTACGTATTGATCTCCTTGAGTCAAGAGATGGACTAAAAATACTCTCGGCAATCCGCTGCGACTCTTCTGAGATCTCTCCAGTCCCGGAACTGCAAGTGTAGAACGTGCTTTCACACAGTATGGCTACACACTACGAATGATGTTGCCACCGAATTCGAGTATAAAAGACCATAGGAATCCTCTGCTGGGCGGTGTAAAGGCATCATCACTCGGACTCCAACAGAAACATCCTCTTTATTGCCCGCAACCCACCCAAGCAAGCACTTCTACACCCGGCCATGAAGATCACTGCCGTCTCTGCTATAGCCCTTGCTACCCTCTCCCAGCTCGTGTCCGGATACGCCATCAACGGGGACAATGTCAACTGCCGCACTGGCCCCGGCACTAGCTACGATGTTGTCCGCAAATACAACAGCGGTGACGATGTCACTCTCTCCTGCCAAACCGAAGGCGATGCAGTCAGGGGCGACTCTCTGTGGGGCAAGACCCAGGACGGCTGCTATGTTGCCGACTACTACGTTCAGACTGGAACTAGCAACTACGTCGTTGACAAGTGCGGCTCCTCCGGCGGCGGTTCTGGCAACACTGGCGGCAGCGGATACTGCAAGAATGTGAACGCTGCCACCCTTGACCTGGTCAAGGACTTCGAGGGCTTCGAGCCGAGCCCCGCACCCGACCCCATCGGCCTGCCCACTGTCGGCTATGGCCATCTGTGCGAGACTAAGGGCTGCGCTGAGGTTTCCTATAGCTTCCCACTGACCGAGGCCACCGCCGAGTCTCTGCTCAAGGACGACCTTCCCAAGTACTCGTCATGCCTTGCCACGTACCTCAAGAGCTCGGTTACTCTCAACGACAACCAGTGGGGTGCACTGACTTCGTGGGTGTTCAATGTTGGCTGCGGCAATGCCAAGTCGTCGACGCTGGTGTCCCGCCTGAATGCCGGCGAGAACCCGAACGACGTGGCTTCTTCCGAGCTCCCGCAGTGGCGCCTGGCTGGTGGCCGGGTGTTCAGTGGGCTTGTCCGTCGCCGTGCGGCTGAGGTCAAGCTGTTCACCACCCCTTCGTCGAGCCAGGCCTTCCCCAACTGCCAGTAATTCTGCTATCTGGATCATGCTTTTAAACGTCTTTTCCAAATGGACTAAGCGATAATGTGCTTACCCTAATAGTAAGCAATGATTCCCACATATTCAATGGTTTCCACAGCCTGGCGTGCTATTCTAAATGGGAATGGCCCTGGAAAGTGTATGGCTACAAAGGCTTCGTCTTGGTTGTGGACAGATTTCGAGTGAAGAATGCATGAATATACCATATGAATGAGGTGAAAATAAAACACTCGTTGGGGCCGTGTGTTGAAAACATAGTGTATCGTTAGAAGTAACAAGTACAGCGCTTGTGCTATTTATCATATGCTATGGCTGGGGCTGGTTCGTGAGCGAGTGTGTCTCTTGGCTAAGTGGTTTGTTGTATGGTTTAACGATACAGGGACCACGACCATGTTTGTGCGTACGCATAGTGTCAACATCGAATGTATTGCCACAGCGGCAGTACACCCATCCATCACTAGTCTGTAGAAAGTTCAGAATAACATAGTCGTGGAGCTCGATTCGCAGCATGGTCCTATCGATACTTTGGTGCCATCCTAGTTCATGCATGCTGCCATATGCTTCAGGGCATTTGCCGCATTGGTAGACGTGTAATGATGTTGTCGACATCGAACATGATATGTACAGAGGTGATTGAGGCAAGCAAAAAAGAAAAGAGGCAAGTTGTGAAGCCAGACCAGGGCGCTTTTATAGCAACCCATGTGCGCTAGTTGATACAGCTGATTGCACAGGTTGTTGGCAAATGTGCAGCATTTGTGGCGAGGAATGTGTGAGCTCCGGTACTAGTATTAAGTTGCTAGTGAATTGGCTGTTGGTGACAGTTAGTGGCATTTCTTGCTGGCTCGTGGTATTGGTGCTCTTGCTGACCATTCCAATTTTACTATTCAGAAATACTTAGTTTGGTAATATACATAGCCAAGGTATTTGCCAGCACATCTGCCTAGCGGCTACCGGACTCTGTTAACCTTGGGGGTAGGATGAGGGTTTACGAGCGTGTATGTAAGCAAAATAAAAGGTGAAACAAGATTGGCTGAAGGAAAATGGGAGGGTCCAGTCGGCCTGAGGTCTGATTCTATGTGGTTTGGCTGTTGGCATGGTGGCGTTGGAGTGGATCGGCAGCCCAATGCTAACAGACTCCATTCCACGTATTGATATCTTGGTCTAGTGGATTGCTACAACTCCGTTACATCAATTAGAAGAAAACTAGAGGGTGCGGACAAGGCGAGTTCCCCGGATCCGACTCATGCCCGAATCAGCACGTGTGATTTATAATGTATTGCCTGCATCATGATATGCACAGGGGTGGTGCTAGAGGCCAGCGTGTAAAACAACATAGCAAATTGATAACTGTAGCATTACAATCCTAGCTATATGCCCATCCATCAATTGTCGCTACCACTGTATGCATTTAGGGTATCTATCTGGGGTAACTTGTTAAAATGAGATGGTTTCTCCTCCATGGCTCCTCCCTCATGGCTCAGCTGCTAGCAGCTCGGAAAAAGTGTACAAATCAGGAGGATTTGGTGCGGACATGGCGGATCTATGTCTCTTTATTCAATGCAACCAACTCCCATGAGCCGCACTTGCAGCACAAACGCATGGCGCAATGGCGCACACAGCAATCTCCGCATCTTTCACACAAACATGCATCCCCTCCCTTTTTGCCGACGTCATCAGCCTCTGGAGCATATAAATACACGAGTATGCAGGAAGGAGTCCAGGGCTTTTCCAGCACTAGCGTCCACTCACCACCTTGTTCTTTCCTAATGGATCCACTCAACCCTGACTCGTTTAACCACAAGTTTGCCACGGTCAACGGCACCACCATTCACTATGTTGACGAGGGCACCGGTCCGGTTATCCTTTGCTTCCACGGTTTCCCTGATCTCTGGTATGGCTGGCGCAAGCAGATTCCCTACCTTGTCTCGCTCGGCTACCGCGTAATTGCCCCCGACACGCATGGCTACGGCCAGACCGATGCTCCGAAGGATCTCAAGGCATATGGCGCCAAGAACATCGTCAACGACTTTGTCTCGCTGCTTGATACTCTGAACATCCGCGAGGCGGTGTGGGCTGGTCATGACTGGGGAGGTCTTGTTGCCTGGCGCGCTGCCCTCTGGCACCCGGAGCGTGTCATCGGCGTCATCTCCTACTGCACGCCGTATATTCCAACTGCGGATACCTTCACGCCCCTGGAGGACTTCGTTGTCAAGTTCCCCAACTGGTCCTACCAACTGTATTTCCAGAGACCTGAGGCTACCGATGAGCTCAACAAGGAGATTCCGCTGTTCCTTACGGCGCTGTTCCGCCACTACAAGGACTTTGCAAAGACATCCATCTTCAACCCCGCTGTACCACCTGAGCAGCGCACGATCACTGATGTCAGGGGTCTGGAGCGTAGCTCGGTGTTCACTCAGGGCCAGCTCGACTATTACATCGGCGAGTTCCAGAGGAAGGGCATGGAGGGTCCGCTGAATGCCTACCGCGTGCGCAAGATCAACTGGGAGGATGAGCATGAGGCAGGGTTCCTGATGAACAAGATCGATAAGCCCAGCATGATGGTCACTGCAGGCCATGACGGTGCATTGCCCGCAAAGTGGACCGAGCACATGCCAAAGTTCATCCCCGACCTGATGCAGGAGCACGTCGAGGAGTCGGGACACTGGATCCTGGACGAGCAGCCAGAGTTCTGCAACAGCGCTTTTGCAAAGTTCCTCAAGCATCTGGAGGATAGCGGTCTTATCCAGAAGTAAAATAAACATATCAGGTGTTGATTACTAAGATGATCATATAGAGGTGAGAAGGTCTGTAGAAAAAGAAGAGGTGCAATCTTACATCACAACGCAATTGCTGCCATCCTTGTCCTTTACGGACTCTTTGTTTTTCGTGAGCCCAAACCGCTTGCCACGGCCTGACGCCTTCTCGCGCTTCTGTGTGACACGACGCCGCAGCGCAGCCGTCGACTCGGATGCGGTTCCGACGATTCCCTGCTTCAGGCGCTCCTTGGCCTCCTCGCTGCCGTGGTGAGCTGCGCGCTCGTACCAGTCCTTGGCTTGGTTGATGTTCTTTTCGCAGCCAATGCCCATCTCGTAGTAGTAGCCCATGGCAAACTCGGCACGCGGTAATCCCTGCTGTGCAGCGCGGTGGCCCCAGTCAAACGTCAGCTGGTCGTCGGGGTTCAGCACGCCTTCGGCTCCTGATAGGTACCAGCCAGAAAGCGCCATCTGCGCTTCTGGGTTGTCCTGCTCCGCAGCTAGCTGGTAGTAGTGGATCGACGAGAACGGGTCTACCGGGAACTGATGCTCGCCAAACTCAAACAGGTGGCCCAGCTTGTACTGCGCGTCAGCCGAGCCCAGACGGGCGGCCTTGTCTAGCAGCTTCTGTGCCTCCTCAGCATCGACAAACACAGTCTCATAGACGGCCGGGTTGGCATACTCACCCAGATACATCAGACCGAGCAGCAGTGCGCCGTACGGGCATTCCTCGTTGGCCAGCTCGGCTGCACGGCGCAGGTAAATCAGTGCCTGCTTCGGGTTGGGCTTCTTGCCCAGCGCGCCGTCCAGGAACACCTTAGCCATACGGTAGTTGGCCGACACGTCGCCCAGCGCCGCCGCCATCTGGTAGTACGAGAACGCACGGCCCGTCTGCTTGCGATCCTCCTGGTGCACAGCCACCTTGTAGGCTGCCGCAGCGTGGTGGTTCTTGGCAGCATACGTGAATAGCTGCAAGGCCTTCGACTTATCCAGCTCAATGCCGTACTTGCCGCTCTCGAACCATGTCCCAGCGATATACGACGCCTCAGTGTTGCCCTTGCGCTGCAGGTGCTTGATCCAGTACACGGCCTCGGAAATCAGCTTGTCGCGGTTTGCCGGATCGATCTCCGTCGCCTGCTGGCCCAGTGGCAGCGATGCCGAGCTGGCGTTACCACCCGCCCCACCAAGCCCCGGCATCGGCGACGAGGACTGCTCGTTGCCAGGCAGGTAGATGGAGTACGTCACATTAAAGTCCTCGCGCGCCGCGGGGTCCTGGAGGTTCTCGACTGACTGCAGCAAGAACTTGGCGTACTCGAGCTGGATCCGCTGGTCCTGCGTCTTCTTGGCTGCCTCACGGTACATGTCCAGCGCCGACGACCCATTGACCAGCGAGTGCGACATGCGCTTCGACGCCGGCGACTGCGTGCCGTACATGCTGGATCTGTTCAGCGACGTCTGCGAGCTCGAGTAGATCGAGTTGCGCGAGTACGTCAGGAACTGGTTCGGCTCGCCGTTGCCGTTGCCGTTGCCGTTGCCGATGCCGCCAGCCACAGAACCGACTTGGGACGCCGACTGCCCCAAGCCCGAGCGGCCCGGGCGGGGACGCTGTTTGGGACGCGGCGCAACGTCGATGCTCTGGCTGCCGAGCGGGCCCATGCCGCCCTCATTGTCCAGGCGAGGCTGAGACGCAAATTGGTGGATTCCTATTCCGTCCGACACCCCCAAGTGGCGGGGCGCCGCCATACTGTGAGCAGCGTCGCTGCTGGTGCGCCCAGAGCTGCCGCTCTCCAGGCTGCCGTTTTCCAGGCCATTGTAGGCCGGCTGCCGCTGTGCGTCGGTGAGGCTGGTCCGAGATACACTCGACGATCCGCTGTTATCGTTGGACAGCCGGCCTCCGCTGGCTGCCGGGTACACGTTGGCGCTCTGGTAGTGCGCGTAGCTGCCGGTGTCGAACCCGTCATCCATGTCGCTGCTGGCCATCTGTGGCGTCTGGTAGTTGCTGGCGGGTTGAGGATAGGCGCTGGGCGAATGGTCGGGAAACTGGGTGCTGGGTGGCCCTTGCTTGCTGATGTTCAGTCCCGCAAGCGCGGAGGTGGGGATTTGAGGGGCCTGGCTGGCACCGTGCGGAGGCGATGGAGGAAGGGCCCTGTTTGGAGGAAGAGGATGGCTGTTCTGCTGCTTCTGGGCGGATTGGCGACTATCGCTGCTGTGGGTGCGGTCCATGGCTGCTATTGTTTGTCCGCCGTCAGTTGTGAGTGTGTAGAATAGGAATCAAGCAGCAGGAAAGAGAAGGGCCTGTTTTTTCTTCCTCTAGAGCTTTTGTGAAAATCAACACACAGAAACAAGAAAGAAAAGATGCAGACTTGAAAGCGGAGGAGGCTCGGAGAGCGTGTATGCGCTGGGCTGTGGGAGTACAGGAACGAGTGGCGAGTGGTTGGTCTTCAGTTCCGTGAAGCGTCAGAATAGGATGCCAAAAGAGCCGGAAATAATGAGTGGGAGAGGAAAGAGAGCCGTCGACGCTGAAAAAGGAAAGGAAAGAGAAGGGAAAGGCGTCTTCTGTTGGGTGCGAGCGGCGAGAGGTAAACAAATACTGGGCCAGCCAAAAAAGCTCTAAGAATATTTTCCTGTCCGAGTCTCCTGTGACCGCCGATTGAGAAAGAACACGAGTAGCCCAGGCTGTCCTGGTTCGTCTACCGGGCTGTGGGATAGTGCTGAGCTGTGCACTGGCGCTTTGCCTTTTGGTCGAGGGGTGCGAGAAAAACCAATTGAATTTCTAGCTGGCAGCCGAAAGAGAAGAAAAACGATGCCGTGAAAATAGCCGATGAGGTGAGGTCTAAGAAAAAAGTACAAAGGTTACATGTGCAGCGAGCTGGTGAAGCGAGACGACGCACCGTTGGCACTTTTATGAAGTCCCTCAACCATCGCCAGCAGCTGGCAGCCCCCTCACCGCCAGGCTGGGATGCGTGGAGCAGAATGTGCACCGCTATCCCTGCTGGCTATTTCTGCCTCCCGTCTACCTCCGCTTCATCGCCAGAAAGGGCGTCTCGATCGTGGACCTTCGCTCTGGGGTAGAGGAATATCAAGCACCACAGCACAAACAGACCATTGCCGGCCGTGTTATTTTTAGCCATCCGCTGCCACTGACAGCATGGAGCCATTTAGCTCCATTGTGCCAAGACTTGGGACGCTAGTTCTCTTCTTTTTGCATTGACGTGTTTGGTTGTCAAAACGGAACTCTGCTGATGTTGCTCGGGGGCGTGCAGATAGGACTGCGGGAGTGTCTCTGCCTCTGGTCAGACACAGATCCGACACACATAATACCCCAGCAAATGGAAATCACAGTACATCATGCGTGCGTAAGATGTGGTGCCTCCGGCATGCTTCAGCATAGATTTCTGTGACCAGCTTTTTCTTCAGTCCTGTTCAGCGCATCTATTCTTGGGTTATCACCTGCTAAACGTACAGCGATGGGGTCATCTGAATCTGCCAGGAAGAGCAGCGGCGTGTTCCAGGACGTCATCAACTCGATCTTCGAGCCAGGCGTTAACCATGGCGTGCTAGTGGTCATGAACTGCGCATTCATTGGCCTCTTCCTCATCCTCTTCTACCTGCTGGTCGCCACTGGCTTCAACCTGCATGTCTGCGCCCTGACAGCCATTGCCGTTCTTCTGTTTGCCTCCATCCAGTGGTTCATCCGCGAGCTCGCCAGCAGCAAGGTCCTCGCTAAAAAGTCGCCAGCAAGCTCGCGGCCATCGTCGTCGCACAAAAAGAAGAAGCTTTAATTAATCTCGTTTAAGATATTAATCGATTGCATCCAAACTCAGCTCGTGTACCATTCGGAGTATCGCGCTTCGGTACTCGGGTGGCACCTCGGCGCTGGCCTGCCGGATCAGCTCGCCAATGTACGGCGTGTCGTTGCCAATGTCGCTGGTGTACACGTAGTTTATTGCCACCTTTACCACCCAGCTCACCAGATTGCTGATAACCCCGCCAAATGTTTCAATGGTGCCCAGTGTCCCTGCCACTTCTGGGTACATTATCGGCTTGAACGGGTCCAAATTTTTGAGCGCAGAAAACAACGCCTCAAGGCCATTGTACACGGCATCACCGGCTGCAGCAGCTTGCTTGGCATCGTAGCCGATTTGGTGTGCGACGTCTTTGAAGATTGGTGCGGCTGTCGCTTGCTTGTCAGTTCCAGATAGCACCAACCCGGATACGAGAATCCATGAAAAGACCTTCATTGTATTGGAAACCCTTAGAGAACCATGCAGTTGCAAAAGTAGGAGTGGATTGTTTGTGTGTTCCGCATGAATATGTCTATATACCGCCGCCCGCTAGTTTACTTTATCATGTAGCTATATAGCGAGTCTTGGTTTATTGCAATAGCATTCGCATTATTAAACTGGATGCTCAACATTAGTGTGGCATAACATAGACCTCATTTGCCAGTATAACGTCGCTTTATTGAGGCTCCATTGATGCTGATGTGAATGCCAATTCAAGCATTCCTTCTTTCTCATTGCCCTCACGAATAATCCACCCCACCAGTGGAATACCGTTCCCCGACTCGCCGTACAAAAGCCCACGCACCTCATTGCCTGCCAGTTCACCAGCTGCATTACCAGCAAGCTTTCCACCGAGTAACCCGCTCGCCCCTAGCGCCAGCTGTGCCCCTGGGAAATAGCGGGGTAATGGCTGGAGCAGGTTCTAGCTGTCGACAATGACGCTGGCACCGACGGTGGCTATGTTATAGGCGCCAGTGGTCAAATATTCTACAGCACCCGCGGCGACCGCTATTGACTTTACCATTGGCGCACCGAGACACGATGCACAGAACGATATCGCCAGAAATATACGTGATACATTCATATTGGAATGTAATATGCGAGCTGCTGTACTTGGAGATATCCTGTGAAATAAATGCAACCGTGAAAAAGGTACACTATGCCACTGCATTCGACGATATCCATGTTTCACAAACTCACTATCAACCATTCCTTTTAGTGGTTTCATTGACAGACAAACTGGACTGCAAGTAAAATACTACTCGGTCTTTTTCTCATCATCGTCGCGTATAATCCACCCAGCAAGAGGGATGTTGTTGCCTGCCTCGCCCTCCAAAAACCCGCGTACTGCATTACCGCCCATTCTGCCCGCTATCCCGCCCGCAAAACTGCCACCAAAAATACCTGCCGCACCTAGGGCTATTTGAGCACCGGGAATGTAGCTTAGCACAGGCTTTAGCATAGTTTGGTGGTCGACCACATAACTAGCACCTGTGCTGGCTATATGGGAAGCCACCGTAGCCATTGGCTCCTCGGCACCCAAGGTGACTAAAAGCGACTTGATTATTGGTTCGCCCAGGCTGGGAACACAAAGTGCTGAGAAGGAGAGAATAAGTGAAGCCTTCATTCTGCGAGAGATTGCTAAAATAATATGAATATATCGCTAACAAGGAAGGAGGGAAGAGGGCAGGGTTATTAATACGCCAGAAAAACAGAGGGTTCGGTTGTCCAAGAAACAGCAGTGGTATAGCTGCATGGCTATTCGTTTGTGGTATATTAAGTTTTGAACAGCTCGGGTGTGAATACAGGGCATGCCTCGGCATGTCAGCACAGCCATGCATTATGCCAGTTGGTAGCTACTTTAGTATTAGAGTCACAGTTCTAGTGGTCTATCGGATATATCAGCACCAAGAATAAACGTATATTTCTTTGACTACGTGCAACATATGCAAACTGGATAGCGCCACAGATTATTTTTGTTGGTCATGAGGTGTCTGGTGCTGTTTATCCTAATGAGTTCTTTACTTTAGGATATCACGAAGCAGCGCACCTGCGTCGCAGTGGCCCAGCAACCACGCACGCTTCAAGTACAGATGGGGCTCAGACACCATGTGTCTATCAAACGAGGGCAGCTGGATCAAGGCAACGGCCAGGTGATACCCAGCATCGGCGACCGGATGGGTAGCATGGAACAGAGACTCTCTCAAAAACGAGCATGCCATGCTAAAATCAGCGGTCACACCTAGTGTCCCGCTCAGATACGCCATGCCGAGCCGATATGTGGCCAAGGAAAAGCCCTTCTTGGAAGACGTCTCGAAGCACTCGCGCGCCTTACGCACTTTCTTTTGCGCCTCGTACATGCAGCCAAGATGGTAGCCGGCAGCCTTGTGGCCAGCCCTGACTGCTACCAGGTAGTACTTTTGTGCCTTTTTCTTATTGACCGGGCACCCGTACTTGCCGAGCTCATACCAGCGAGCGACCATAAAGCTGGCGTCTACATGTTTGTTTTTGCTGGCCAAGCGCAGCATCCAATAAACGCCTTCCATGACAAGGCGGCTCTCGGCGCGCATATCCTTGAGTTCCGCTGCCAGGTCTGCCAGGTCAGGCGACCCGCACAGAAGAAGCTGCCTTGCGAATTCGTACTGCACGTCCTTGTCTTCAGTCATCTTGGCTGCGGCGTGGTACTTGGCGATAAGGTCCGGATTGTGGAGGAGCGTTGGGAGTCGGTGCGCGCGGCCCATGTCGGCATCCAGGCCCATTCCAAAATCGTTCACAATAGACATGCGCGGCAACTCGTTGACGCTGTTGCTGAAGGAGACGCGCGACTCAGCGTCAGTGCTCTGGCGCGGGTACACGGTCGGCAGTGCCGAGGGCACAGCTGATGGCTTCTCGGGAGTCTCTTGACTACGGCGGCCGACCAGCGTACTCTGGCTGCAAGCGTACTTGTTGCCGAGATCCCAGGTGCTGTAGCGCGGAATCTCCCACCAGCCGATCGGTGACTTGGGGCCAATTTGGGTTGGCTGCATGGCTTGCGTGGCCTGCACATTGATGCTTGGGAACGTAGTGGATGCCATGATGGTAATGAAATAGATACAGGTGGTTTTCTTTTATGGATATATGCAGAGAGATGGAGGGGTGTAAGAAATGTGGCGAGTGCCGATGGAGGAGAGGGACGAATGGAGAACTGAAAGTGGAGGGGAGGAAAAGGGAGGGGAGTGTGGCGCGTTCAGGGCTTGATAGACAAAAGGGGGATGGAGGAGCGGAGTGGCGAGTGCGCTATATATAACGGAGAGAGCAAGAGGCAAAAATAAAATTAACGAGTGCTTAGCAAGAGTGTCCCTTTTCGCGCAGAACCAAATAAAAACAAATGTATTTCCACACCAGGACAGGAGAGAGAAAGGGGGCAGAGCAGCTGGTTCCCTATTTATGACACGAGGTGTCTGTTAGGACAGAGCGCAGTGCTTGTTTTACCAGGAGCCCAGGGCCAGGACAGCGCAAGATGCCCGCGTTGTGGCATGGGTTTGCATGCAGTCGCCTGAAGAACAATGGGTGGTGTCCGATTAGCCTGCCAATCGCGAATATGAGAGCCGCCCTTCAGGAGGACAAAAGACAAGGCACGAGCAAGGGCTATTAATTACGAGCATTTTCGCATCACCGAGCGGTTCTTTCTTTGGCGGAAAAGTAATCGCGAACGTCACAAGCTTTCTAGGCGTTTCTGCTTATACGCCCCTCCCCTATATCGCGAAGAACAAGGCACTGGCTGGGTACGCAGTGTCCCTTCTTTCCAGACTAAAAATACGCCCTGGGATTTGCACGCATAGGCACAGGGGAGGCTCAGGCCGAGGCATGTCGCAACTCTAATGTAAAGAGGCAGACAAACGACGCGATATCTGACACCTTTCTCCGTATTCTCCGGGCCCTTTGCCACAAGCCAACATACCGAACCCGATGCGGATTGTTGCCAACTCTTGCAATATGCATGTGCATGTATCTCTGCTATGTCCGAGACCCCATTCAATGTTTGTGTTTTTATGATGCGTTTTGGATGCAGGAATCAGGTCAAGAAAAAAAGAGAATGGGTGCAATGCCCTACACCAAGCAAGCTGCGCTACTACCTCGCCTTGTCCTGTGTCTGACCGATGGGGAACGCCTCGGCTGTTAGCTCGATGTTTTGCACAGCGCCAAAGAAATCCGTCAGGTAAGTCTACAATGGAACAGCGAGGAGTTTTAGCGACGTGGTAGTGAAAATATAAGCGTGCCAGTGGTGCTCGACCATTATCCGTCCCGGCTAAAGCAGCACATGGCCCAACAGCAGCTGCAGGCAGTATCAACAAAGGGGCAGGCTCGTACACATCTACTGCTACACTCAGTTGTGCCCCTCCTGCCTCCTCCCCTCTTCGCCCTCCTCATTCTCTTGCTGCAGCCTCCATATCCAAGAAATGGTGCTGGCATCCTTACCTTGCTCAAATCGCGTGCAAACAGATCATCGCGCACGCCTGGATGAGAATGAATAAGTGACGTATTGTACGCACGCACCAGATCGGCCAGCGTCTGCTTGCTCGACATGTCAACCGACTCTAAGAAGTCAAGGTTATAGTACGTGAACCGATCAATGACCGACACTCCCAGATCAAAGTCGTGGAAGTGCGAGTACGAGTTCTCGCCCTTCTTGCTCGACCCAATGCTCAGAATGTTTCGCGACTCAAACTTGCTGTACATTGTGTTGGCCTGGCAGGTATCAATCATAAAGAGAATCTCGTGATACCGCTGCTTCTCTGACATCTGCTTGAACGCGTCCGTGATGTCGTAGCTGTTGATCTCCTCTGCGTCCTGGAACTTTAGGAAATCCTCGCCGCCGTGACCCGTCATGTAAATGAATATGTTGGATTTGTCATCCGTCAGTAGCCGCTTGTTGCGAGGCGTGTCGGGCGATACGCGGCCCGTCAGCAGCCGGATAAAGTTCTCTACAGTCACCTCGTACCCGCGGTAGTCCACTTCGACATTGTCGCCATACAGATCCTTGGCCTTACGCGGGTGGTCGTAGACTGCCGCGGGCTTCTTGTTGCGCGCATTGCATGCTGCGTCGTCGGCCAGCATAAGGATAATGTGCGAGTCGGGTATGCCCATGCGCTTCACTGTGCGGTACAGAGAGAGCGTGTTGGCCATATGCCGGTAATTGAACCAGAACCGCGATGTGCACACAAGCACGGCCCAGTTGTTTGTGTGGTCGCTGCTGCTGCTATACAGCTGCTTAATCTTGTCCTCAGGCGTCGCATTCGCCGTGGCTGGGCGTGCCAGCAGCATAAGCAGGCCCAGGACGAAAGCGCCTGCAAGACTCAGTATCGACCGGCACCGCATTGCGAGTGTGAATTTGTGGAAAGAGCGTGAATTTTTTAATGGAGAAAAGCTGAGGAGAGCAAAAAGCAATTAGGGCTATTAAACTTTTGCTGTGTGTATGGCTGGGAGGCGAGAGGGGCTCAGTTGCCAGGGCCCGGCGGGGGCTGGACCATATGGCCACTGCGCTGGGCCCACGACCCGTACTGCTCCTCGAACGATGCGTTGCCGGGTGTCCGATCGGCCCACGCCTGCTGCGTCGCTCTTGCTGTCTCGATTGGATCCGGACTCAGCATCGACGACTTGTTCGACAGCCGCTTCCCGCTGGCTCGCGACCCCGGGTCGTTGTCAATCAGCAGCGGGGTGTGCTCGTCGCTGTGGTGCTGGCACTCGCGGTCGCTCTCTGTGCAGGCCTCCAGGTACCCGTGGTTGTCGCAGCCGTGCGCAAAGGTCTTGAGAGTGAAGTACCGCCAGATGGAGACGATGGCAGCCGCCAGAATCAGGGTGCCGAGGATGGCTGGCAAGAGTACAAATTCGACGCGTGTGCTGATGTAGCACTGGCCGTGGTAGTACCGCCAGAGGTCGCCAGAAGCCGTGTGGTTCTGCGAGGGGTTCAGCCAGCTGCCAGGAACGCACACGCCTGTGTTGTCAAAGAACCCGCAGCCCTCTTGCTCCACGCAACTCTGGCAGGAGCTGTACCGTGCGCACTTCTGGACCAAGTCTACAAGAAAGCCCCTCTTTTCAGACCGCTGCAGCTGCTCACTTGGCGCCATGACCGCAACAAACGGATGTCATCCACTTACCTAGGTATGTGTCCATGCTACGTGTTTGATATAAGGTTTTAGTGCTAGTGGAAATTTGGTTTTTACAAAAAGGCAAACAGAACGGAAGAGGGGCTAATAGCCGTGTCCTTGCTGCTTCTGGTGTTTTCGCTGCACTGCAAGCTTGACGTCGCGACAGCGTCACACAGAATCGCCCGACCGATAACACGGCCACAGTCCAACAGGCGCTGATGTCTTAGTGCAGCCTGCGCGCACTCCCCACAGTCAAATGGCTCTTGGCCTATGCACGTGCTGAGCTGGTGCACACCGCGGTCTGTTGTCACCTGAGGACGCGTCTGGGCTTGCGTAAATATAACCGGCAATGGACTGGAGCGGTCCTGACAACGCCGGCAGACGATCGGCCGCCTGGGCGAACATCGGGTCGACCAGGGCCTCGAGCTTGGCTAGCGCCGTTGCTGGCACTCCTTTGCTGTCGAGGTTCCCCGTGGCACTGTAAAATGCAGCCATTATGAGCACCACCGACGATATCAGCGCAATATCCAGCATGCACTTTACGACACCGAGGATTGCGCGCGTCATATAGATGCACACGGCAAGCACTATCAGGCGCTTGCCCAGCAGAGTCCCGGCAGGCTGGTCCTTCACTGTTGTCATTTTGGAAAAGGAATATTGGAAAAGGTAATGAGAGCTAGCAAAGGAAGAGAGCTGCGAATAGTGCCACCTTGTTTTGCTCAGGTCGTTGTTCTATGCGCAGCCCCTGCCCACTCGATGCGAGCCGGTTTGTCGCTTTATTCCTGGTGCTTGGGCAGGCTGAGCCGCCGCCGGAGCAGGTCGACCAGCGGCCGCTGCATGTCCTTGGGCCGCTCCCGCTCGTGCAAAAAGTACCCCAGAGTTCCGCCAAGAATCCCCACAAAAATGTCGGCTTTGCTACAGACTGGTACTTCATTAAAACAGCTCCCAGGGTTGCATGCGAGGGGACCAGAAGTCAGTTTAGTGCCGATACTTACGCAGAGATGAAATGCGTGTATCGAACCCGAGGCATCTGAAGGATATGCTGGTGCAGGATATGAAGCAAAGGAGCTGGATCGTGACTCGCCAGTGTGCGCTCGCGGAAATTCTCCGCCAAATCGTCCTCAATCTCGATAAGCAGAGTGTATGGGCACATGTGCACCGGGCAGGTCAGCTCAAATGGCTGGGTGGTTTCTATGTGGGATGGTCATGTCACTGCAGTATCCCATTGGCTGCCACATGACTCTCCCTTGTTATAAACACCTTGTAGTCCCCCACACCAGTCGGCCGCTACACACCAGTGAAGGCGATTCCCTCTGGCTGCTTCACAACGGTATAGTTGACCAGATATGGACAGAAATTGACGGCGACAAGGTGAAATGTCGGGAGAACGGTGATATCCCCTGGTGCTGCTACAGTTCTGACTGTCATTCGTACACCTGCCCTGGAGTCGTCACCAGCTGCCATAGCCAAGCACTGCTCATCAGCACAATGAAGGAGGCAACCAAAGAGCCATCCAGCTCCAGGATTTCAGCCAGGGTAGACAAAGACACCGCAGCTGACTGTGTCGAAGGAAGCGCTGCTATTGCCTACCACGTCAACTCCGCTAGTCGCCTGGGCCTAATGCCAATCGCATTGCTAGCATTGCTAGCATTGGCGCTGCCTCCTTTCACACTTTTCACTTAGTCCTTTGCAGCTCATGTCTGGCTATTCATTCTATCCAGGGTAGTACTATAGCAACTAGAACGAATGTGCGCCAATAAAGCAGTTGTCCTATTCTACTCGTGGTTCCGGAGTGCAGCCAGGTCGATATACTTGTTTTTGTTACGGTACTCGCGGTGCCATATCTTTGAATCGTCTTCACGTACCTGCTCAACCAGTCCGCATCCATTGTAAACCATGGCACCGAAAACTGCATCCTCGTTGCGATTGCCATGGTAGACAATATCAGGGTCTATGCAGTCAACCAACTTGCGATTAAACATATAGAACTTCCCATTGCCGTACCAGCTGCCGTTCAACACTGGGTTCCCGTCAAGGTTGAGGATAAAGTCGCTGATGTAAACGGGTTTTTCGTACCCGCGATACTTGTCCATCAGCTTCATAATGTACTCGTAGTCAGCAAATGCATCATCGTCCAGCTTGATAAAGAACTCTGTGTTCTTGTAGTTCGCCTTAATCTCACGTACAAAGCACGCTGTCTTTTTGTCCAACGTATCCCATGTCGACAACCGATTACATGCCATGCTGCAGTGGTCCTCCTGGAAATCGCATACTGGCCGGAGGTATTCGCCAACCCACATGTTTCGGTAGAACTGCAGGTCCGAGTTCTGATTCACGGGCATTATGATAGCAAGGTCCTTTTTATATTGGTACCCTGACCATAGATGGCCAAACCTGTGCCGCAAGAGCAAAAAGCTAGTCGCTATTATACATATGAGGGCTACCAAAAAGACCGATAGGCGAGATACAAAAGGCGTGCAACGGGCTAGCATTATAGCTGAGGGAATCGGTCAAATGAAAGTACAGAGAGAATGGCTTTGAGATGATACTCTCCGAAGCTGCTTCTTTGTATACCGCTGCAGGCTAGGTGAGGGCCTCGTCAGCCCCTTCTTGCTGGCAATATTACTTGCCAGCTATTTACATCCAGTTGGCCAACACTGCACCAATAGGCACCCAGTTCGTATTCTTCAGAGAAGATCTTGGCATCGGGGGTGCTAATTTTTGTTGGATTTGCAATATAGGGACATCAGAAATCTCTTGTCTGACCACTCCTCTCCAGAAAAAGTGTTGCTGGTGCCTTTTCCAGAAAGGTTGGATTGGCTTGTATAGGCTGTTGGCCAGCAGTACAGATGGGATCTAAGGGCTGGGAAAGCATCCCATTCTTAAAATAGGGACTGCACGCCAAGAAAACAGATCATTATGTGCGCCTGCAAGCCTACTCTCTGCCTCGGAGTATATTATTCAACAGCAACATCAGTTTGTGGCGTGCACAAAATGTACATGTGTTCAGTATGGTGCTGGTATGTGTGGTACATAGCGCAGTATATGAATCACCAAGCCATTCCACAAGTTTGCTCTATGTGTAGCTACTGTATACATTGCTTAGTGCTTTTAATGTATATTGAGTGCACGTGAACATTGCCAGTAGGTAAAGAAAATCAAAGTAGTAGCTGTATGTATAGGCACCAGAATGGGAGACTGAGCCCCTGCTGGCTCGAGGCACACGCAAACTGGTTGAGTTTTAATAGCACTGGGCTTGTTTATTGCTACTTTTTGACAAAACCGCTGTCCTCAAGGTGCTTAAGGAACTTTGCAAATGCATTGTTAGAGGATTCTGGCTGTTCATTCAGAATCCAGTGACCCGATTCCTTGATATGTTCCTGCGTCATGTTGGGAGCGAACTGCAGCATATGTTCGACCCATTCTGCAGGCAGTGCGGCGTCATATCCTGCCGTAACCATCATGCAGGGCTTATCGATCTTCCCCATCAGCAGGCCAGCCTCATGCTCATCCTCCCAATTGATCTGGTATACGCGGTAGTAGTTGAGCGGACCCTCCATGCCATTCTTCTCAAGCTCGCTGATATAGTATTCATATTGCTGCTGCGTTAGCAGTCCACTGAGTTCCAGACCTTTTACATCTGTGAGCGTGCGCTGCTCAACTGGAACAATGGGGCTGAAGATGTTCATGCTCAGAAACTCATTCCGTGGGCGGAACAGGGCCCTAATAAGCAGGGGCAGCTCCTTATTGAACTCGTGCGTAGTCTCTGCCCTTCCGAAATATAGCTGGTAGGACAGCTCAGGAATTTGAGCTGCAGACTCATCCAGGGGAATGTACTTTTCAGGTGACAGGAAGTATGGTGTGCAGTAGGAGATGACGCCAATGACACGCTCCGGGTGCCAGAGGGCAGCACGCCAGGCTATATTGCCTCCCCAGTCGTGACCAGCCCACACCGCCTCGCGGATGTTCAGAGTGTCAAGCAGCGAGACAAAGTCGTTGACGATGTTCTTGGCGCCATATGCCTTGAGATCCTTCGGAGCATCGGTCTGGCCGTAGCCATGCGTGTCGGGGGCGATTACGCGGTAGCCGAGCGAGACAAGGTAGGGAATCTGCTTGCGCCAGCCATACCAGAGATCAGGGAAACCGTGGAAGCAAAGGATAACCGGACCGGTGCCCTCGTCAACATAGTGAATGGTGGTGCCGTTGATCGTGGCAAACTTGTGGTTAAACGAGTCAGGGTTGAGTGGATCCATTAGGAAAGAACAAGGTGGTGAGTGGACGCTAGTGCTGGAAAAGCCCTGGACTCCTTCCTGCATACTCGTGTATTTATATGCTCCAGAGGCTGATGACATCTGAAAAAATAGTCTGAAAAGGATAAGGGGTGAGTGGATATGCATGGCTGTATGTATAGAGCGGAAATTCCGGCATAGTGTTTTTAGGAATCGGCAGTATAGAGAAATTGTAAGGTGGATCTGTCATGGTCGCAGCAAAAGCTTCCTAAATAGAGCACACACAAAAAATATTTTATTTTACTTCTTAACATGACCGCTATCCTCCAGATGCTTGAGGAACTTTGCAAAAGCGCTGTTGCAGAACTCTGGCTGCTCGTCCAGGACCCAGTGTCCCGACTCCTCGACGTGCTTGTGGTTAAACGAGTCTGGGTTGAGTGGATCCATTGAGAAAGAAATAAGCTGGGTTTGCAATTGGCAGAAGTTGGAGATGCCAGGATCTATACACTCCAGGAACTGGTGGTATTTGAAAACGTGTCCAGGCCTGTGTGAATAAGACGGCCAGCGGCGTGTGAATTGTTACGCCATACTTTGCAACAATTCAGCTGCTGTACTTGGAAACCTGCCTGTGTGAACGGGATACAGCTTGAGCCCGTCAGATTTATATCAAATCTATAAATGCTTTCCACTAAGCTATTGCTATGTTGCCTGGTGAGCTTACTTCTAACACCCCTTTTGATAATACCACGACGTGGATGATAATAGTGTATGGTAGGTTAAGATTGCCCAGATATACGGGTTTCATTCGGTATGTTGATCACGTGGCATCTCTGCAGTCAAGAGGCACGGCATGACTGAAGATCACCTGATATCTAATCAGCAGATCATTTGGTGTTCCAATATTCTGGTGGTCCAATCTTTTGAAAAAATTGGCTCTTTCTTTCGTTCCACGTGCTTCAAAAAAATACTCTACTGAAATGGCCGAAAGCAACGGCACGCACATAAAAGCACTATTTGACTGGGTGACCGAGCATGGGGGCTCGGCCAGCAAGGTCCAGATCGAGGCTGTTCCTGGAGTCGGCAACGGCGTGGTAGCCAAGCAAGCGCTGACCGCTGGTGAAGCATACATACACATTCCCCCTGAGCTCATAATCACAGACAAGGTGTGCCGATCGATTCTTCCCGCAGACAGCGAGCTGGAGGGACGCCCACTAATGTGTGCGTTCCTGGTGCACGAGCGGTTCGTCAACAAGCAGTCGTTCTGGAAACCATACATTGACGTACTGCCAAAGGAGTTCCACACGCCGTTGTTTTTCAGCGATGATGAGTTGCAGTTTCTGGATGGCACACCGGCAGGCAGTTCAGTGGGCGAGATGCGGGAAAAGTACATGAAGGAATATGAGCAGGCGCTGGAGGCGGTGGAGGAGACGGTTCTTCCGCGATCAGTGTTTACGTTCAACACGTACCTATGGGCAGTCACAGTCTGCACATCGCGGTCGTTCACGGACGATCTGGTGAAGGACCATGAGGATGCGCGGTCGGCGCGGAATGCGATTCTGTTGCCGTTGATGGACATGGTGAACCATTACCCCCAGAGTAAGGTCACGTGGCGACACGGTACATCGGGGATCTCCTTGGTGACCGAGGTGGGGCTGGCAGCGGGATCGCAGGCGCTGAACAACTACGGGCCCAAGTCGAACGAGGAGCTGATGCTCGGATACGGGTTCTGCATCGCCGGCAACCCGTTTGACTTTTTCCATGTGAAGCTCAACTACGCGAGCGACCCGCTGTATATGCAGAAGAAACAAGTGCTGGAAGCGACCGGACTGGGCGAGTTGCGGCACTGCATTACGCGGGCAGCGATGACCACCGATCTTTTGCCGATTCTGCGTGTTCTGGCGATGAACGAGGCAGACATGCATTATCTGGGAGCCGCGCAGCGTGAAGACCTGGAAGACTGCGGGCTGCGGGTAGAGTTGAATGCGCGTCATCTTTTGCTACTACTGCTGGGCCAGCAGCGATGCAAATTCGAGGCAGTTGAGGCTAATCTGCCTAACATTGACACGGAAAACACACGGGTGGCGCGAATGTACAGGAAGGGCGTCTACGAGGCGATCATCAGCACAATCGACGAGCTTGTCAGCTCAGTACGGCAACTTGGCGCGCTTGGTAGCGATCTAGCTAGAGCTGGCAAACACGCGCTGCCAAAATACATAGCTACGGGTGGAGCTAGCTGCGATGTTGTGCTGCAGCAGGGCAACACCACTGATAGCTCGCCCAACAAGCGCGCGCGCACCGAGAGCCCGGTGGAACAGTTTATCGATACTGCAGTAATCACAGAGGAGTCATTTGTGGGGGACGCTGCATTCGCAGAGGCTGCAGAGCAGGTGGATGTGGACGAAGATACGCTGCTAGCGCTGTTCCTGATCCGCGCGCTTTTTGATCCGGCCTCGGTGTGGCATGCTGCAGTCAAGCGACTTGAAGAGTTCAAGCATCCGATGCTGGTAGCCGAGCAGAGCGAGCAGTATGCGGACATGCTAATGGAGCTTTACGAGATTCACTCCGCACTGTTTCCAGTTCTCAGTGAGACGTTTGCAGATGTCTTTGATGCTGGGCAGTTTTCGCTGGACCGGTTCCTGTGGGCAGCAGGCGTAGTCAGCGCACTGGATGTACGTGTAGCAGTGGATGGCGAGGGGGAGGCAGTGAATGGAGTGTGTATAGTCTGAATGAGCAGTGTGATCGTCGAGAATGAATCGTCAATATCGTTGCATAGCTACTGGCGAGAAATGTTTGCGATGATCACAAATATACACTGGCGACTCTACAGTTATTTCATCAACAGTTGGAACGGATCGCCCAACCATAGTGTGGCATGTCGTGTGTGATATACTCCGAAAACAGCCCCTTGCAACTGCCTTAATATGTTTACTTTCTGAAGTACCTTTCTACGACATATATTGGAGCGTATGAAGTACAAAATACGAAGAAGGAAAGGAAGAATCCTTGGATGAAGGGGCAGGCGCCCGCATGTGTATGGCGTCTGTCGCTCGAAACAGTGAAAGGAGGTATTGTAGCCTGGGGGTTCGACCCATGGGTTCCTGAGATCTTATGACTGGTCAACTTGAGAGCCGCAATTCCGATGCCCGATTATACCCCAAGCAGGACCGTGCTCACGATAGCAGCTTTTGGTACCAGCCTGCCTAGTCAACTGGCCGATGGCTCTCGCAGCTTATGAAAACTGGAGCAATCAGAAAATACGTATGCCGGCCTGACAATGTGGGTAAGTCATTCGAGTGCTGTGAAGCATCGAGCTTATGAGCAGAGTTCCGACCAAGGCATATAATGTGATGGGCTTTGAATACATACAAAAAAAGACCACCCGTACACACGTCACTGTCCCCCTTTTGTTTCTGTAGTTTTCACGTCGATTACTTTCTCACAAAATACTAAAACTCTTATGATACTCCAAAACATGAAACGATGGCTCGCGGGGGCATCTGGTAGTATGTCAGCATAATGCGTTATGCTGTATACTGCTAGTTTGGACAGAGTGTCAAGAAGCGTGTATATAGCGCTGGCCCCCCTGTGGGCTCAGCGACTACGCTGCACCATATCGGTCTGCACGAATTTCCATTCGATTAAAACCCCAAATACCTCCCAGGACTCGAATCCGAGCCCTTCAAGCCAATGATATTAAGGACCCTGGATAGGCGCCATCCGCGAGCTATACTGGCTACTCTGGTGGCTTTATCCCTTTTCTCAATTTTAAGCTGACCACCTCTTATGCTAATACATTCTAGTCGGCATAAATCTAACCTCCAGTGAATAATAGAACGGCACCAAGACAGCTAGCTCTATATACAAACATCCTGTGTAGCAATTTCACGGCGTATCTCATCTGCATATCCATAGTCCACGAATACTAGACAAGTAATATATTTTCTCGGTTCCCTTCATTAAAAAGCCATATAGCCACACTTTACAAACTAGCTTCCACATTATTTAAATACGCTCAGGAGCTATGCAGGACCGAACAGTCGTTTCATGTTGGCAACATCAGCATCATATGTCGACTCACACAGTCCTGAAAACACGCTGTTCAAGCGCAGATGCCCTGCAGTGGATAACAGCGGCGAGGGTGGGCTGGATGGCACCATTGGCTTCTGCTGCCGAGTTTTGTTGTAGTTCTTTATGTAGGGTAGTAGCGATGGGCACCACCCAAAAATAAGCGCTGGCAGCTTTGGGAACTGCAAGCTAGGCAGTTGTGTCTGTGATCTATCCTAGGGGTACTCTATTTTGGTAATCCTGGTAGTCGCTCTCATGCTGGCACACCCTGGGATCAATACTGGGTGCCATTGGCACAGTACAGCCTTACAGCATTGGGGATGGGATACTGCGCCCTGATTGCCGATTCACAGACAACCTGGCACTGGGCTCAGACGGTTGGGACACAAAGCCACGCGCCAGCAACAAGGCATAGCCATTATGAGCTGACCGCGGCAATACAACTAAAAGGCACTAAGTGCTTAATGAAAAGTAGAATATCTTGAAAGGTCAAAGGAGTAGACTTGCACTGAATATCCTAAAAGTGTGAAAATTTGCCAAGCGGGAAAACCAATGGACAGATGAGAACAACTAAAAGGATTTCAAAGATTTCACATGACCAGAATAAGGTACGTGTGTCCAGATTGATACGCCATCCTATTCTGGTAAGCAAAAGAAGTCTGTTTATGCGAACGGGTTGAATGAAGTACTATGGTGTTGGCTACTATTTAGCAGGTCCCAGCATCTGAAGGGCTGAAGTGGCCTCACATCAATTGTACAGATTGTCTCGTTTGCCATTCAATGTCATACTACAGAGTCAGCTCTCTACATTTTGTGTTGCAATACTGGATCCGAGTTCGTAGTTATTCTAACAGGTACATACTGCATGTACCAGAGTTGTTGAACCAGGTCGTGCCAATCGTGTAAACTACACAGCTAGGTCGAGTGACATGTGGTGCTCAGCATGGCTCAGACTGAGTGTGAAAACAAAACACAGGTACTATGACTGAATTCGAACCATTCTGAGAACAGAAAGTGTAGCAGTCTATAACAGTAGCTTCTGTCATTACCTAGCAGCATTGTTCTCAGCCCTGGAATCGCCTCTATATTTGTGGTTCCAATCACTACTGTAAGTGACACGCTGATTTGCCATCTCAGCAACCTCTCACAACGGTAGCTCTGACTTCATAACGTCTGTGTGAGCGTATCAGTGTCAATGCTGCTGTTTTTCACGAAAGCGGTCGCTTGCTTAACAACTCCACAATCTGTAATCCCAGTTCATTAGCTGGACATGGTGAGAGACTGGTACTGAGTACAAGAAGATACTATTTAATTGAAAGAAAAGGAAAAGACCAGCTATCCGTCGTGCGCAATGCGTTTTAGGCGCGATCTTCCCAAAATCAGTGGGGAATCGATTGGTTCTGGCAAACCGACGCTTTACCTAGTAACTTTGCCTGCTCTTGAGTCTTAATAATCATATGGGCTTTACTAGAATAGACATCGGTCTGCTAACTACCATTCGTGGATTAGCATCTTAAATTATGCTATATTAATTACAATAAAGGGAGGAGCCGTCTACAACAACCATCAATACCCACAGCAAGGCCGTGGTGTAAGAACTATGTACATGCTGACTGCGACTGGCACTAGCGCTATGACCTCAGTAGCTCTGCGATTTGGGAATCCAATTTCCAAATATATGATTTGCAAGAACCATATAGCCATTTGACAATATCGGTATCGACTGTGGAACATAATGGTAGGTAGATTATTATTGAGATCGAACAGTGGTAGAGCCGCTGTAAAGCCACGACTGCGGGTGTATCAGTCAAAAGAAGAGCGTACACATACGTACGCGTGTATAGCTCCGGGCTGCCCCCATCAATATCGATCGATTATCTGAGGGGTTTTCCTGGCCAGTGCCACATCAGAGAAAAGCGAGAAAAGCGAGAAAGGCTGCCCTCGCTATAAAATACTTGCCTCCCCCAGCGACATGCGCTGAATTCATTGAATTCGAAAAAGACATTTGGCGAATTCGGTTGAAATTTCAAAAATGGCAGTTACTGCAGATCTACCTTGCAGCCATCGAAGCGGTTACTGTGGTATATCTGTATTTGGATATAGGCTTGCGTTACATAATCTTGGGACCCTTTTTGCGCCTTTCTACCCTTCCCCACAGACCATTCAGCAAGTATGGTGTAGGTACCTTGCCATCATTCTTCAGCAGTCGGAGAACAACGGAATAGCCGACCACCACTGGCAGCCACCCGATACTGGGCACAATCGCTTCATGTCCTTTTCTCGATTGCACCTATGGCATCGTTTGTTGACATGAACAACCGGCAACGAATAGAATCATCCACTACTCATCTACAGGCCAGATTCTTGCTGATTCCTTTGCCAGATTTTGACGTCGAGACGAAAAATTACGCGTCGAACCCCCAGCAGCAACAAAAAATCCAGGTATAAAAGCTTGCGCACTCGCATGCTGGCCAGTTTCTCTTCTCTTCTCTTCTTCCTTACAATCCAAACGAATTATATTTCTCGTACTCGCAAATACAAGCATAATAAGGTAAGAATATTCCACTTTCACTCGCTCACTCGCTCACTCCCACACGTTCAAGCACACGTTCAAGCACACGTTCAAGCACATACGATACTAAACACATCAAGTATCAATACTGTTAGATGTCTGCATTTACCACTCCCATTCCTCCCTCTACCATCGCCGCTCTTCGCCTTAAAATCGCAGAGGCGCGGCACCTTCTGCGCGGCCGCCGCACTGCAACCGGAGATGTTGCCAAGACCATCGCCCGAGCGGCGTCCAAGCTCCTCGAGAAGATCATCAAGGTGACCGAGGTAGCTGATTCGGTTACCTGTGGTGTAGCAGTGTACGTTTACATGCGCTCTGTGTGGGGAAAGCCCGTGGGTAACTTGGGGCTGCTTACCAGCGATACATTCAAGAGAGAGCTCCAGAGTTCTCACCTCGTCACCCATGCAATGATTGCATCACCGCGCGGGCTGGAGGCGCTGCATGTGCTCCTTCAGGTACAGGCAAAAATTGTCAGTGCCTCCGCCGGCCGCCGCAGGCTGGCTTACTACCATGCATGCCAGATGGCCCAGAAGCAGTCGGCCGCTGCTATCGTCGTGCGCACCACCATTTCCACTCTCCGCGCTTCGCACACCAACATCTCTACCGCCTCCATGGTGCACGGGGTCACTTTTGCTGCAGTAAACATGCGCGGTTCTACCACCACTGCCGCTGCCATAGCTGCTGATACCCGCGAGGTCACCACCGCTGCAACCGACGTGCACGGTTCTTCCACCGCCGCCGCTGCCATAGCTGCTGATGTGCGCGAGGTCACCACCGCTGCAACCGACGCGCGCAGTTCTACCACCGCTGCCACTGCCATAGCTATTGATGTGCGCGAGGCTACCACTGCTGCAACCGACGTGTGCGGTTCTTCCACCGCTGCCACTGCCACAGCTGCTGATGTGCGCGAGGCTACCACTGCTGCAACCGACGTGAGCGGTTCTACCACCGCTGCCACTGCCATAGCTATTGATGTGCGCGAGGCTACCACTGCTGCAACCGACGTGTGCGGTTCTTCCACCACTGCCGCTGCCATAGCTGCTGATGTGCGCGAGGTCACCACCGCTGCAACCGACGCGCGCAGTTCTACCACCGCTGCCACTGCCATAGCTATTGATGTGCGCGAGGCTACCACTGCTGCAACCGACGTGTGCGGTTCTTCCACCGCTGCCACTGCCACAGCTGCTGATGTGCGCGAGGTCACCACCGCTGCAACCGACGCGCGCAGTTCTACCACCGCTGCCACTGCCATAGCTATTGATGTGCGCGAGGCTACCACTGCTGCAACCGACGTGTGCGGTTCTTCCACCACTGCCGCTGCCATAGCTGCTGATGTGCGCGAGGTCACCACCGCTGCAACCGACGCGCGCAGTTCTACCACCGCTGCCACTGCCATAGCTATTGATGTGCGCGAGGCTACCACTGCTGCAACCGACGTGTGCGGTTCTTCCACCGCTGCCACTGCCACAGCTGCTGATGTGCGCGAGGCTACCACTGCTGCAACCGACGTGAGCGGTTCTACCACCGCTGCCACTGCCATAGCTGCTGATGTGCGCGAGGCTACCACCGCTGCCGCTGCCATAGCTGCTGATGTGCGCGAGGCTACCACTGCTGCAACCGACGTGTGCGGTTCTACCACCGCTGCCACTGCCACAGCTGCTGATGTGCGCGAGGTCACCACCGCTGCAACCGACGCGCGCGGTTCTTCCACCGCTGCCACTGCCATAGCTGCTGATGTGCACGGTTCTTCCACCGCTGCCGCTGCCATAGCTGCTGATGTGCGCGAGGCTACCACCGCTGCAACCGACGCGCGCGGTTCTTCCACCACTGCCGCTGCCACAGCTATTGATGTGCGCGAGGCTACCACCGCTGCAACCGACGTGAGCGGTTCTACCACCACTGCCGCTGCCACAGCTGCTGATGTGCGCGAGGCTACCACCGCTGCAACCGACGTGTGCGGTTCTTCCACCACTGCCGCTGCCATAGCTGCTGATGTGCGCGAGGTCACCACCGCTGCAACCGACGCGCGCAGTTCTACCACCGCTGCCACTGCCATAGCTATTGATGTGCGCGAGGTCACCACCGCTGCAACCGACGTGCACGGTTCTTCCACCACCGCCGCTGCCATAGCTATTGATGTGCGCGAGGTCACCACCGCTGCAACCGACGCGCGCGGTTCTTCCACCACTGCCGCTGCCACAGCTGCTGATGTGCGCGAGGCTACCACTGCTGCAACCGACGTGTGCGGTTCTACCACCGCTGCCACTGCCACAGCTGCTGATACCCGCGAGGCTACCACCGCTGCAACCGACGTGAGCGGTTCTACCACCACTGCCGCTGCCATAGCTGCTGATGTGCGCGAGGTCACCACCGCTGCAACCGACGCGCGCGGTTCTTCCACCACTGCCGCTGCCATAGCTGCTGATGTGCGCGAGGTCACCACCGCTGCAACCGACGTGTGCGGTTCTTCCACCACTGCCGCTGCCATAGCTGCTGATGTGCGCGAGGTCACCACCGCTGCAACCGACGCGCGCAGTTCTACCACCGCTGCCACTGCCATAGCTATTGATGTGCGCGAGGTCACCACCGCTGCAACCGACGTGCACGGTTCTTCCACCGCCGCCGCTGCCATAGCTGCTGATACCCGCGAGGCTACAACCGCTGCAACGGACGCGCGCGATACTACCACTGCTCCCTCTGCTTCCACTGGCACTGGCACTGGTGCACATGGTGTCTCCATCGCTGGCACTGGCGCTGGCACGGATGTGCGCTGTGGCACCACTTCTGTAACTGATGCACATGGGACTATCACCACTCCCCCGACACGCTCAGCAATACCACTGCCTGCTGCTATCTTGATGCTATCTCCACCATGCTCAGCACAGCAACTGGTCGAAGCTGGGGCACTGATGCCTCCATCACCCTCAGAGCTGCAGCCAGTCGCAGCAATAAGGCAGGTCCCTATTCCACGCTCATCGTGGGTGCGACTCTCACTAAAGAAGCTGCTGCCCCCACCACGCTCAGCACTACCACTTGGTCCAGGCCCATCTTTGGGGGCTCCACTGCAGTCAGCACCACCAGCAGCTTCTGCAATGTCACTGTGGCTCATGCCGCACTTGAAACCAGAGCCGCCGCCCATGCTGCGCTCTGCAGAGCACCTGTTTCCCCGACCGCCATCGGAATTCTTGCCATTGACCCCGCCGTATTCAGCAGCAACATCGCCGCAGCCCCTACCCTACCTATCGGCACTGCCATGTAGCGATACTGCTGTCACACTCGATGCTCTTGCTGCCTCGCTCAGTACCGCTGCTGCCTCGCTCAGTACCGCTGCTGCTGCACTCAGTGCTGCTGCTGCTGCACTCAGCAAGTCCTGCCCAACCCAAACGTGCACGGGCCAAGGCTCTTCCTGGGAACCTTTTTGCTATCGGCCCCAGAAACTCTAGACTCCATGCCCGTATGGTGCTATTCAGTCTACTCACGTTCCATGAGATTTTTGGAGATGTTGTTTGTGTGCGATGAGATATGCGCAGATGGTATGCACCTGAAACATGCCAAGGCTATCTCGCGATCATAGCACAGAAACAGCCCGTATAAGCATGAGCGAAAGCATGTGAACCTGGTGTTCTCGACAGTATCTGCCACCGCCTGGGATTCTATGGCCCTCTGATGCCTGAGGAGCACGCTCGCATACCTTGGTTTTCAGTTGAATGTTTTACCTGTGGTTCAGTAAGAAAGTGATTTTACTTATTATGCTTACAAATGGATGCATTTTGGCCAGTTGTTATCGATAGTTGCCTGTCACATACACGAATTTGAGCTGAGGCGATATGTTCGATCAAAGCTGGCTTTGTTGTACATATGTCAAGCGGAGTCGTGCTTATTTAGTTCATAACCGAGCCTGTGAGCAGTTCGCTCTTGGCTCAGCTGAGTGCAAGGTAATATAGAATCAGAGAGATGAAAAATAATCGAAGGAAAAAGAGTCGAGGAGAACCGTATGATGGACAGGCAGGTAAAAGCTTCTTAGTCACTCAAATTGGCTCGGATGCTGCGTATCACTAGCTAATGTTGGCATATATGGATAGAAAGCTGGCACTTTTCATTTCTAAACCCCTTGCACCTTTTTCTATGCTCTTTTGCTCAATTATCGAGCCCATTCCGCTCAATACCTTGTCACAATATCCCTCACTAATTTCTCAACCTGCCTGCGTTTTCAAGGGAATCACATATGTTTCGAATGTATTTGCAGGCAATTCCTGTATCCCGTTTTTCGTGGCAAGTTACTCGGCTTTAAATACGATGATTGTAAACAAACCGACAAACGAACGAACGAATGAAAGAGATAATGAAATTAAGACAGCACAGCTAATATCTTTGGGCAGCTAGTGCATGACATCTCTGCAACTAGTGCGCATGGGAGTCAGCTGCAGAAGTCGTAACCAGGACAGCCAAGGCGCGGCCACATACTGCCCAGAGGTTCATAAAGGGACACTTCTGAGCAACACAATCGCCACCAGCAGCATTAGTAACAGTCGTCGCATTGGTGCTGCTGGTAGAGCGATCGAGCTCTGTTGCCATGACTTTAGCAATCAGCTGCTCGATGATGGTGATGATAATGGCGTTAGTAGTCGCAATGGTAGCGGTAGCGGACTGGGCACTCCCGTCATTGGTGCCTAGATGTCTGTCGTTAGAACCCAGAAGCTCCTCAGCAGCAGTGTCGGCAGTATCGGTGTTGTAGATCTGGAGCACAAGGTGGGAAATATAGGGCTGTGAGAAGTAGCAAAGCAAAAAGGAAATGATAAATAAGGGAGAAGGTAATAGCGAGAAGAAGGTATATAGTTCATAGTAATCGGGTCTTGGGATTCTAACATAAAATGCCAAATGCAGTTTACCACGGAGCCACGCCGCAGTCTTTTCGGCGGTTATATATATCCACATTAAGAGATATACAAGTATTGTATAGCGGAGGTTTTTCTACACGCCTTTCGTCAACGCTCCACGCACTGGTCAGAGCAGTTCTTAAACTCAACCAGATATCATGCTGCCTTTCCCTCTATCGCTCTCCAGCTGCCAGGACGAATGGGGAAGGCAGTAAATATGCCAGCTTTTCCAACCCATTGTGTGACCAAATATATCGCTCTTTGTTATCTTTCAGTTATGTAAGAGTATGCCAGGATATAGCTTTTCTGCAGCAAAACGTAAGGGTACAGAAATATGCACTCGCTTGTGCAAGTGAGACGTTCAAAGCCATCATAACATCGACAATATGAAAGTGAAACTGCAGAGTTCGTCCTATGCCCGCTTCGAGTTCAGTATATGTAATTCATTGAACTTGAATACTTGGTAACCTCTTGTCTGTTATTCCATTCATCTTTTGGTACCATCTTCTCACTAGCTTCTACCCAAGCCTCTTGTCAACACCGGTCCAAACATTAGAGCTCCCAATATTTCCGCTTCCACAGCCATCACTGCCGTAGCCGAAACCAAAGGCCCTGCAGATGCATTTGAGGAGATGGCTGATGTGCGGCCTGAGGACTCCCAGTGACTTGGGGCAGATCACGTGCCAGGAACCGAAGGTGACAATTCTTTTGTGCGTATAGCCCCTCCCCAAAAGCTGAGCTGCAGGTATTCTCTTCTCTTCTCTGTTTCTGTTTCTGCTTGGCTTTTCCAACTTATTTTAGTATTCATAATTCGTACAGCAGGGTATTTCAAATGAATCGTAACCAGGGCGGCTACGGGTATAGCACACATTCGCCCGAGCCCACCGAGTATGCAGTGGCAACTTCGGGCTCGGAGCGCATGACACCACGGCGGACGGCGGGCGGGTTCGGTAACGGCAGCCTGCGTACGACGCGTAGCAGCGGCGGAGCATACTCGCGGGCAGGCGAGCGCAGCGGACTGGCACGCGTGCAAACAGGACCGCAGGCGCGGCGGCCAGTCTACGACCCGGCGTACGAGCGCACGGCGGAGTACGTAGCGCAGAGCGGCGGTTTCCAGCCGTACGTGGCAGACAGCGACCGGCGGACACCGGAGCTTTATGCGGCGATGCGCACAATCGACTACAGCGAGGCGGACGGAGCACGGCGGTACCGCATGGAGGAGGAGTCGTCGCCATATGAGGACCGTCACGTGGTAGGCAGCGCACGGCTATTGGCGGGCCGCACCGACATGCAGTCGCAGCGCGTAGAGTTTGGGTATACAGCACCAGCACGGCAGACGTATGCAGCGTCGGATTCATCGGAGCACGACGAGATTGCCGAGATTATTGCTGACATGAACAAGGCGCAGATTCCAGCCGGAGTGGTAGATCTGGGCGACGAGAAGCACGTGTATCTGCAGCTGGGCGACGATACGAAGCGCGCCAGGCTGACTGAGTCCGTGTCGCAGACCACACTGATCCAGCTTTTCATTGACAAGTACCGCGCGCGTCTGGCCGAGGAGGTGGACACGCTGCCGTCCATCTACATTAAGGATGCGGTGTCGGGTCACTTTTATGAGCTCGAGGATATGGCTGATGTCGTCGACGGCTCGGTGCTGAGCTGGCGTGCGCAGCCTGGGACACTGGCAACCGAGCCAAAGAAGGAAGAGCAGCAGCAGCAGCAGGATGAGGACAACCCATCGGCGGTCCAGGCACAGATTGTGGGGCTGACTGAGATCGTCAAGGCGTTGGCCGACACAGTATCGAAGCTGCCAGAGCAGTTCAGGGGTGAGCTGGCGGCAGCAGTAGGATCTGTTAATGAGCAGATACACGCACAGAACGCCAAGGTCGATGCAGCTCTTGAAAAGGCATCTGCAGCTGCTCCATCAGCACCTGCCCCTAAGCCTAGCCCTACCGACGGCTCGTCAGACGACCTCAGCGAGCAGCTGGCGTCAGCTCTTAAGCGACTAGACGCAGCGGAGCTTGCGTTGAGCGTCGAACGGCAGGAACGGCGCGAGGCAGAGGCAGCACTGCGGCAGGAGAAGGAGGCGGCGGAGCAGGCGATGCAGCGGCTCAGAGATGACGTGGGCAGCCACCCGAGCGTGTTGCGCAAGCGCATTGAGTCAGGCAAGGACCGGCTCAAGACCGAGTACCGCTCTTTGAACGCGCGGTTCGAGGATGCCGACGCAATGGTGCAGGAGATGCGCAAGGATGTGACTCAGCGCGGCTCGATTCCGTCGGCGCAGCTGCTGCGCAAGGCGAGCGACGAGCTGGCAGCGGTGGCCCAGGGCTCGGAGGCGCTGGTTGCGTTCATCAACGAGACGCGGGCCGACTGGAAGCTGACGTGGGAGGAGGAGCTGCAGAATATCTTGAAGGAGCAGAGCTTCGTCAAGGACGTCGAGCAGATGCTGGGCGAGCTGCTGGACGATGCGCGGCACCTGGACGGGGTGCTGGACAAGCTCGAGCAGGTCGTTGATCTGCGCGTCCGCGAGCGCGCCAGCGACAGCTACGTGCCGGCTGCCGCGACCAAATTCATCGACGTGGTGTCGCCTGACGATGCGCCTGACGCGAAGCAGGGGCTGCTGCGCCAGATCACATGCGTCGATGTTGACCATGAGCGTCGCCTGGATGCCCTGCGCGCCGCCGAGAAGCTGCGGCAGCAGGAGCTGGCCGCCAAGGTCAATGAGTTCGACCAGGAGCTAGCCGACTTTGTGGGTCAGCGCAAGCTGCGCAAGACCGGCGGCACCGAGGAGCTCGAGCGCAAGCGCATGGAGAAGGAAAACGAGGTCCTGAAGGAGATGATGAAGAGCGTCGAGGAGGCCGAGCAGGCCCGTCGCGCCAAGATCGCCCAGCGCAAGGCCGCCAAGCAGGCCAGGCAGGGAGCAAGCTGACTTGTATTCCAGCCCAGCTAATTATATATTAAATCCTAAAATTATCGTTCCCCCATACTAGCCACTGCCGATTTGAAAATGGCAAGTGGCGAGGGATGTACGCTGGGGAAATCTCAGGTTCGGAGCACCTTTTTCTTCGTTCTTTTTTCTACACCATGGATTTCACGCCGGTCAACCCAAAGCCATTCCTGACATCGCTGGTCGGATCACCCGTCGTTGTGCGGTTAAAGTGGGGCCAGGAGTACAAGGGCCGGCTAGCCTCGATCGACTCGTACATGAACATCCAGCTGGTTGATGCCGAGGAGTTCCAGGACGGAAACTCGACCGGCGAGCTGCCCGGCGAGCTGCTGATCCGCTGCAACAACGTCCTGTATGTGCGCGAGCTCGTTCTGGACAAGCCCAGCGAGGACCAGGAGATGGCCGAGCAGGATGATGGCCAGATGGAGGAGGGCGAGCAGAATGCGTAAGGCGTTTTTATGTTAATAGAAAAGCTCTCCAAAAGCGCAGAAATTGTGGCGAGCACTGATCGTGGCATCAGCGGTGTAAGAATGTGCGGCGCTAGGTCTCCTCTCAGATAATTTTGGAAAAGGACTATAGGGATCTGGGGCTGCTCGCCTGGGGGAGCGGCGGTCCATGTGCCTAAACGGAAAACTCAGCAAGGTGCATATAGAATGCGTAGAAGAAAAGACGCCAAAAGAGTAGCTGTTTTTATTTGGGGCTGCAAAATGCACTGCTATCCGGAAACGCGCCCGCCTATTTCAAAAACCAGTTGGCATAAATAGCTAGACGCACTACAGTGATGACCAAGACCCCTCCCACCCTTTCCTTCCGCTTTCTTCCTCTGCAATGTACATAGCACTCCTTAACCACGACATATTGGCGTGCATTCTGGCGTATGTGTATGAGCCGCATATCCACTCCACCACGGACATCGACGATACACGCATGATTGCACAGCTGGCGACCGTCAGCCGGCGGTGGTTCGCAGCAATGTGCCCCAGGGCATTCCGCGTACTGGTCGTGCAGCGGACCTTTCCACACGGCATATTCAACCATGCCTGTCATATGCGGCACCGGTTCCTGTGGATTTGCAGCGGCGGCTATCCGGGCATCCCTGTGCGCTCTCTGCACCTGATCATGCCAGACGAATGCCGGTGCCCAGGGCTTCTCCTAGAGGCGCTGCGAAATCTGGCGCCAAGACTGTCGGGGGCCGTGAAGCTGACGGTGCTGGGGCGCGGGCATCTGACAATGGGTACGCTGAATGGTATGGATAAGGGCGCAGGGGACGCTAGGTGCTTGGCGAGGCGGTTGGGGAATGTGAGGGAGTTCGAGTTTGTGGTCGATTACTATGCAGAGGTGGGTGATCCGCAGGCAGCCTACGCATTCAAGGTCTCGGGATTCGTTGGTGCATTGCGCAGTCTCCTGGCAAGGAAGCGGGAGGACGAAATAGCGGAGGATCCAAGTGAGTGTGACAGTGGTAAGCGCAGTGTGTGTGCAGAATGAGTGGGTATTGTAGGTTTGAATGTTTTTCAGCTGGTGCCCTAATGTAATGTCTCCCCCCCCCTCACTTCAAGGCTTCCGTACTCAGCCATTCCAGCACATGGTCACTAGTGCCAATGATGGAGCTCAGAGCACCAGGCCAGTGTACCTTTATATAGTACTGGAATAGACTAATAGCAATATGAAAAAAGGAAACGGCAGCGTGGGTGATACGCCTGATGATGGTATCAATGCGGGGAGATATTTATATCGCTGGAGATGGCGCAGCTACTCAGGTTTTTGGTGTCCTGGGGGTCGTTTCCAAATACACTGCAGCTGACCAGCCTTTTCCTCTCTCCCCTGTCTCTTCTAAAGTAGTATTTTTCACCTCATTCACAAGTCCATATTAAAAGAGAATAAAAAAGCAGAGCTCATTTCACAACTTTATGCAGTCGGCAATTGGCGAACAGTGGGACGAATTGCTGGTGCGGCTAAAGTCTCGGTACGTGGCAAACACATAAAGCGTGCAAGGAGCCTCTTTTGGAAAAGACAAAAGAGACTGAAGGACAACCGAGCTAATGGTTTTTTGTCAGTATTTTTTTAGAGATGCGAAGGAGCGCGAGGCGGCAGCTGAAGAGCTACATAGACAGGTATGATGCATATATCAACCACAGCATACGTTGGGGACATTAACCGCTTGCTCAACATGGCAGTTTGTTATATAGCTCAACACCGCAGAGGCGGTTGATAAATACGGCACGCACAGTGCACTGTACAGCAAGCTAGGGGCCATGGCAAAAACCCTGCTGGGATCGTCCTCTGCAATCGACCATTTAGCATGCACCGAAATTCTCTCGGCGCTGGCCGACATGGCATCACTAGAGGTCGACCAGTACACACGGATATCCCTGCAAGTCAAGACCTTGCTCAGCAACCCCGACAACGCAGTGTCTGCAAAGGCCGCGCAGCTCCTGCGCAAGCTCATCAGCAAGCGCTGGGCTGGCGCCCACGCACTGCTGGAATCAGAGGTTTCCCGCAGCCTGGCATGGCTCAATAATCCGCTTAGCACACATTACGTGGCTGCCCTGCACGTGCTCACCGAGGCATTCGCTGGTGCGCCCTCGGCCATGCGCGCATATGCATTCAAGGCATTGCCGTGCGTGACCAAACAGCTCCACAGCCCGCAGAGGGGCGTGCGCGAGGCTGCTGCGCTGGCGCTCAAGGCTGGCCTGGCCCATGTAGCCAGTCGCGATGCCCCTGCGCTCTGGCACAACTTTCTGTTCCAGGAAATGCAGCAAAGGGATGACTTTGCGGCCTTGCTGATCTGCCAGGCGCTGGTTGAGCACGGCGGCAGCTTCATGCTAGCCCACCTTGCGGCAGCCGGCGATTTGGCCATCAGGATGGCCAGTGCACGTGATCCGGATTCCCACGACCGTGCGATTGCACTGCTACCAGCACTGGCACAGTACAGCCCCCAGGGGTTTAGTGCACACAGCTCCGATGGGCTGCTGGCGAAGGCGGTTTGGCTGCTGATCAGGCAGGGTGGCGAAGCAGAGCTCCGGGCGCTTGGCGGCATTGCTGTCAGCTGCGGTGACAGCTTTGCTGTGTATGTGGAGCCTGTCATCCAGGCAATCCACACGGCGATTGAGAAGCGGTCGAGTAAGGCAGCGCTGGTGGCGGTGGCGCAGGTGGCGCAGGCGGTCGGTCCTGCAATTGTACCGCATGCAGATGGCCTGCTCGATGAGATGTGTGCAGTTGGGCTGAGCAGCTCTCTGTGCAGTGCACTGGCGGTCCTGGTCGAGGTCGATGAGTTGGCGAATGGCGTGCGCGAGCGCCTGCTGGATATGCTGTCAATGGTCCTGATTGGAATTCCGTTCAGGCCGCGGCAGCCGGGCATTGATGCGTTTGAGCTGCAGCAGGGCCTTACACCACGGCACTACTCGATGCCAGCCATTGCCCACAGAATGAAGGCTAGCTCTAATGATCGGCCATGGCTGGCGGCCAATGCTACAGCAGCACCAGAGGTGCTTGTTTTGGCACTCAATACGCTTGGTAGCTTTGATTTTGGATGCGAGAACCTGTCGCTGTTTCTGCGCCAGGACGTGCTCGCGCTGCTCTCCCACGAGCTGCCCAGTGTCCGCATCGCCGCCATCCACGCATCCTCGCATATCGTCACGTCCAATACTATGTTTCATATGCTGTTCGGTGCCGGCGTCGATGTGGCCAGTAGCCTGGCGGACCAGCTTATCTCCACATCCGTCATGGACACTAATGCAGAAGTGCGACTGACAGCTGTCCGTGCACTGGAAAACTGCCGCTGTCTGGACTTCCACCTGAGCCGCACCGCCTCCGTGCGCACCCTGCAGACGCTGCTTAATGACGAGCAGTCTGAGGTGCGACTGGCTGTGGTTGGGATTATCGGTCGGCTGGCTACCACCAATGCCGCGCATGTGATGCCGCTCCTCCGCCATCTGCTGCTGCAACTGCTGACTGCATTCAAGCACGCCCAGAGCAGCAATGAGCGACGCGAGTGTGCCGGACTGCTTCTAGTAGCGGTGCGGGCGGCCGAGGACTGGGTCCAGCCGCATGTCGCGGGCATCTACCGCGTTATTGAAGAGCACATGGATGAGGGCCGGAGCCAGTTGGACATTGCCGCAGCGCTGGCACGCGCTAGCGGCAAGGATATGGCGAAGCATATGGGTAGCATGTTGAAGGGCATTCTGCGGGCGCTGGGTGACCAGACAAATATAGCGCGGCAGCTTGCGGGGCTCCAGGCGCTAAGCAGCTGCGCGACATTTAGCGGCCTGGTCATCAAGCCGCTTATTGCCCAGCCGACACTGCTGCCTTCGCTGATGCAGTTGCTCAGGACAGATGCGAGCGAACAGATCCGCCTTGAAGTACTGCGTGCTATCGGTGCCCTGGGAGCGATTGACCCCCACTCATTCAGTAGGCGGGCGACGAAGCTATCGGGAAAGAAATACGCAGCACCCAACGTCATGGAGGTGGCTGTAATTAAACCCAGCGAGATGCTGGAGGGCGGTATCCCAACAGACTCGTACGGCACGGCATTTACCGACAACCCGTACTATGCTTCTGTCGCAGTCAGTGCGCTGGTGCGTATTCTCCAAGACCCTGCCCAGGCAGTACACTATCGGCAGGCAGTACAGGCGCTGGCCTCAATGTTCAATGCACTGCAGAACGGCAGCCAGAACCACCTGCAGGTGGCTGTGCCGGCTATTCTGGGCGCCATGGACGCAGCGCCCAGCGACCAGGCACACTTCTACATTGAGAATCTGGGCCGTATCGTCATGATCGCCCGGGATCTGATCCGGCCGTATGTCGAGCCCATGTTCAAATTGTTAGAGTCCGGTCCCAGCATTAGCGTGCAGCGGCAGACTGCGACCATCGAGCTCATCGAGGTGCTCTATGTGGCAATGGCAGGCGACCTCGGCATCCATTGCTCAGCGACAGTGACGTTCCTGCTTTCCATTATCGCCCTTGACAAGAGCGACCTGCGGCTGACCACGCAGCGCGCACTCCACGCCCTGCGCATCCTTGGCCCAAGCCTGGAGAGGTACGTGAGTGCGGTTCTGCCAAGGCTCATTGAATTGCTTAATGTGCAGAACCAGCCGCTGCGTGCAGTCGAGGAGGCCCTGAAGACCACCGCTGCTATTGCTGCGTCGGCTGACTGCCGTGGCTTTGCGTCGCGCATCGTCCTGACGCTGGTGCGCATGCTGCATCATGCGACAATAAGGTCCCTGCAGACAGCAATCATGGATGTGTTCTGCACACTGGCTATGCGCTTGCAAGACGACTTTGTTCACTACCTGCCAATAATCGCTAGTGCGCTGAAGGCCACAGGGATTACGCATGAGAGATACACAAAGTACACGCGCAGTCTGCTCCTGGGCCGACTGGTTGCTGAGGAGCCGGTGCCGGAGCAGCCGATGCTGTATGCTGACGGACCTGCATTCCCGCTTGGGCACCCCGACAATCTGCAGGTCAATGTGGCTGCGCTGCAGCGCATATGGCGGATGGCCCTGCAGTGCCAGTCGCGGGAGGACTGGCTTGGGTGGCTCCACAGTCTCAGCACCGAGTTCCTGCGGCAGTCATCGTCGCCGGCCCTGCGCGCCTGCGCTCCCCTGGCATTCACACACAATGCCACTGCCGCACGCCTATTCAACGCCGCCTTTATGTCGTGCTGGACCGAGCTGTCCGGACCGCCGCAGCAGGAGCTCATTGCGCTAGTCCAGAACATTGTGCTGAACGAAACTGTGCCTGCAGAGCTCCTGCAGGTGATTCTGGCGCTGGCCGAGTACATGGAGCGCGACGAAAAGCCCATGCCAATCGACATTGGGCTGCTGGGCGCGTGTGCTAGTCGCTGCCATGCTGTGGCGCGCGAGCTGCATTACCAGGAGACTGCATGGGCTCTGGAGGAGACCGAGGAGACAGCCGAGCGGCTTATTGCGCTGAATACGCGGCTGGAGCTGCATGATGCTGCCACTGGCATGCTTGATTACGTACGTACACGGCAGCCTGGGGTCAAGGAGAGCGCGGAGCTGCATGTGCGCCTGCACCACTGGGACAGGGCCCTGCAGATCATCGACCGCCAGGAACACATTAGCGGGCCGACCACTGCCACCACCACCATGAAGCTGCGCTGCCTGTTCGAGCTGTCTGACTGGGAACGCTTGATCCCGCTCTTCCAGGATATCTCCCCGGACCGCCATCCAAGCATCGCACACATCGGCGCCAACATGTCCTGGACATTGGGCGACCTTGCTGGTCTTGAGAAATACACGCCATCCCTGCCCACCGCCGGCGGCGAGCGCAGCTTCAGCGAAGCGCTCATTGCTGCGTTCCGTAATAGAACCACGGATGCCGCCCGGGCGATTAAATTGGCGCGGCATGAGCTCGAGACTGACTTTAGTTCGCATCTGGCCGAATCGTATAGCCGTGGGTTTGCGCATGTGTTCCGCTGCCAGATGCTGACTGAGCTCGAGGAGGTTATGGAGTTTCGTGCCGCACACAACAACCGCGAGCGGCAGCTGGCGATTGCCGAGACATGGAGGCTGCGCATGCAGGGCGTGCCATATGATGTCAATACGTGGCGGCGCCTGCTCTGGATCCACAGCCTGGCAATCAGGCCCATCCAGGACCTCGAAGTGTGGGCAAAATTCATTAATCTCTGTCGCAAGACCAGGCAGATGAATATTGCCAGACATGCGCTCTGCGTGCTGGTGAGTGACGAATCTGGCTATATGCACGAATGCGCGAGGGCTGCGGATCGCGAGTCACAGGACAGCGTTCAGGTGGTGGGCGGCGAGTTCAGCACGCTCTTGTCGGATCAAAAGCTCGACGAGTCGATCAGCACGTCGCAGCACCCTCTGCTGAAATACACATATCTCAAGTACCTGTGGGCAAACAGCCACTGCCAGGACGCATACCAGAGACTGGACCAATGCATTGCGGAGTACACAGCCCAGCTCAGCTTTGACATTGATCATCCGCACGCGCTATTTGATCATTCTGGTGCTGCTGGCTCTCGGACATCTGGTGGCGCCTGTAGCTCTGACCTAGGACTAGTACAGCTTCTGGCGCGCCTCTTGTACAAGAGGGCCGAGTGGCTTACCAGCCTCCTGCAAGACACAAATCTGGGACATGAGGCGAAGCGCAAGGCGGCACTGGGCGCGAATGAAGCATACCCCCTATCTCCACCGCCTGATAGCCGTGAATCAGCAGCACACAAATCGGTCCTAGGCTCACAGACTAGATTGGTGCCAGGTAGAATGACTAGTGCAGCAGCATCAGACGCCACCAAGGCTGATGAGCTGGTCTTGAAGTCGTACCAGGCAGCAACAGTTCTTCACAGCAAGTGGTACAAGGCGTGGCATTCGTTGGCGTCCCAGCACTACTACGAGACGCAGAAGCTGACCGGTGAGCTCGATGCAGTACCCGAGGATGCCATTGAGAGGCACGTGGTGCCGGCAGTGAACGGCTTTTTCCGCGCCATCAAGCTGGCCAAAAAGGACACGACGCTGCAGGATACACTGCGGCTCCTGACCGTGTGGTTCAACCACCCGCACCACTCGCTGGTAGTGCAGGCAGTGCAGGACGGCATCCATACGGTCTCGATCCGCACCTGGCTGCAGGTGATTCCACAGCTGCTGGCGCGCATCCACATCCAGCCTGAGAAAACTAGCTTGCTGATCCAGTGGCTGCTGGCCGAGATCGGCAAGCAGTACCCGCAGGCCGTCCTGCTCCCACTATATGTGGCAGCGCGCTCAGAAAACAGCGACCGCGGGCAGGCGGCTCGGATTGTGCTGGAGAAACTGCATGACCGGACACCTGTGCTGGTCGAGGAGACCGAGGTGGTGAGCCGCGAGCTGATCCGCCTGGCGCTGTTGTTTCCAGAAATGTGGCGCGACGCACTCGATGTTGCCTCAAAGCACTACTTTCAGCAAAACGACATTCCTGGCATGATCCGCGTCATGGCGCCGCTGCATGAGCGCGCGCGCAACCCTCAGACTGTGCGCGAGTACCATTTCGTGCAGGCGTGCTTCAGCGAACTGTCGGCGGCTGAGGAGTACACTGCGCAGTACCTGGCCAGCAAGCCTGGGCGGTGCAAAAAAGCGCTGATTGAGAAAGTATGGACCGCATATCATGCGATCTTTGTCAAGGCCAACAAGATGATGCTTAGACCCTGCCCGCTGGCGCTACGCGACACAGCACCGGTGCTGCTCGACTGCTGCGACATGCAGCTGGCTGTGCCAGGCACATACGACCCAGACATGCCGTTGGTCCGCATTGCATCATTCAAGCCCACGGTCGATATGTATGACACGAAGCAGCGCCCCCGGCACGTGCATATTTATGGATCCGACGGCCATACCTACGTATTCCTGCTCAAAGGCCATGACGACATGCGCCAGGACGAACGCGTCATGCAAATCTTCGGCCTGGTAAACTCTTTGCTCAACAATGATTCGGAGACTGCGCAACGCGCGCTTGCAATCGAGCGGTACCCAGCCATCCCGCTGTCGTCCAACACCGGCCTGATCGGCTTCTACCCGAACAGCGAGTCGCTGACTGACATTATCCGCAGCTACCGCAGCGCGCACAGCCTGCCCTTGAACCTAGAGCGCCAGATGGTGCTGCAGTTTGCACCGAACTGGGACACGCTAACGGCTCTGCAGAAGGTCGAGGGGTTCGAGTATGCGCTATCAAATACACCCGGCAACGACCTGCAGCGTGCAATGTGGTACAAGGCGCCCAGCGCCGAAAAATGGCTCGAGCGCCGCACACAGTACACGCGCAGCACGGCGGTTCTGTCGATCGTTGGATTTATCCTGGGATTGGGCGACCGCCACCTGACCAACATCATGCTGCACACCGAGACCGGCAAGATTGTGCATATCGATTTCGGCGACTGCTTTGAGATTGCGTCGCAGCGCAAGGAGTTCCCGGAGACGGTGCCGTTCCGCCTGACCCGCATGGTGGTCATGCCGATGGAGGTCGGCTCGATTGAGGGCACGTTTAAAATCACCGCTGGACTTACGATGCGAGTGCTGAGGGCAAACCGCGACTCGCTGATGGCTGTGCTGGAGACATTTGTGTTTGACCCGCTGGTGTCGTGGTCGTATACACAGGACACAGCCAGCAGTGCCAGCAATCTGTCGTCCCAGCATGGTCTGAAAAAACAGGAACCGCCGGAGGAGTGGCAAATTTCCCAGAGCAGCGACAGTGACAAGATTGAATATGGCAGTCGGCCCGACAAAAGGATGTGCACATCTGACATGGCCAGGATGGCCGATTTTGCTGGCCACAGGACCATGCAGTGGCAGGCTGGGAACCCAAAGGCTATGGCTATCCTCACCCGTATCGCGAGCAAACTACAGGGTACCGATTTTGACAAAAACGAGAAACTGACTGTGGCCATGCAAGTCGATAAGTTGATCCAGCAGGCAACGTCGTCAGAAAACTTGGCTGTTATGTATCCAGGATGGGTTCCACTGTGGTAAACACGACCTGTATTATAATTTACGTGCAACTTTCAATCTTGTCCAATTGCTAAACATGAGCAGTTGCACGTAGTGGACATAGCAATATGAGAACCAAAAGATAAGGTAGAAAACACAGCCTACCTTGAGCGTGTAGCTGATTTCCTGCAAATGGCAACTCGAAAGGAGCGCATGTTCAAATACATATTTCATATCAATGTCGTAACAACACCGGTTAATTTGCAACCTCATGAGCAAAGAACACCCCAAGGTGGATGTCTCATTAATAATAGGGGAAATGTGTTAGGATGATAGATATTGGCTGGCTGAGCTAGATGATCGGATATACTGCATCGATAGTGTTCAAAGTACAGCTGCAGTCTTAGGGTTCGAGGATAGTAGGTAATACGCGCGCGGTATGTGACGCAGCTTCCAAGTAGGCGTAATCCAGCAGCATTACCAGCCGATATTATATCCAGATTTCCCAAGCTGCATTGGCTCCATTGGCTCCTGGCCAATATTAGAGAGGAAACTAGTACTATTGTTGTGTCGGTCGACTATGTAGGGGTTTTTTAATGTATATTTAATACTGAAGAAAAGAGAGAAAAGGGAATAGACGAGTTGCGCAGGGGAGTTTTTAATACTGCCATCTGTGCGACTTATCAGAGGCTAGACTCTACCTCCATATCGTAGGCTGTAGCGGGGCTCTCGTTGACGCCTGGATTTCTGTCACCTGATTCGGCTGACATGTCGATGTCAGGGACAGCCGCATCGGGCGCGCAACACTATTAATGCAAGAATAATCGGTCATACTATGTAACAATATTTGAATAATCAATCAGCAACTATAATATACTATGTACTAGGTACTTGAGCCCAGTACCTTAGTCAGTTCAGATCATTTTCCTTTATGAATCCCTGTTGTGGCAGCTGACCCTACCAGCCGCCCGCCTAAAAGACATGCATTATTCATTCAGTAGTGGATGCCTCGGTGATATCCTGAAAACCTGTGTAGCATTGTCATGATGTATTCACGCAACGGAGATTGGCAACAGCAGATAATATTGCAATAAATATAATTTGAAGTGCATGTAAAAACAGTATCAGATCGCTGGTAAACACGCTTTGAATGTGTTCGATCAGGCATAGCATTCTGATCATCACATACTCAGACTGACAATTAATAACTCAATGTTAGATAAAAAAAAAAACAACTAATTGGATACATTAATGAATGATGGTCATGTTGTTATTTTGACACAAGAAATCTAGCCTCTCTTCTGCTTTGCTGTGGAAATTGGCTCGTTTGTTTCGGACAGCTTTTTGTTCTGTCGTGGTCCACCATCAGTTGATTTAGGGGATGTGGTGTAGCTAGTGACCGTGTATGTGTGCTCCACAATCTGCTAAAATCCTTCCCAGAGAAGAGAGAGCTTTATTTGGATTCCTAGACTGTACTTTCGGGTGCTTTCTTTGTTGGCTGTATCAAGACTTGGATATATTAAACCCTTATATGCTGGTTTTCTACATCGTGCACATATATTCAAAATGAGTTCAAATAGGTATGGGCATTGTATATAATACTATTCATTAAAAGCATAAAGTTTCACAGTGAAGACAGAGTGTATTGTTACGTATTAGTATATAATAATGATATTGAGGAGGCGAGGAAAAGTAAAGCGCATCCCAGCAAGCGTAGCATCCTCGGCAAACAGCTCAGTCCTACAAAAGCGCAAAGTATCAACCTCCTGAGCTCTAGTCGGCACCACATTGCACATGCATATCGCACCGATGAACAGCGAACTCGTGCTAGCTATGGTTCGAGGGCCGATGCCTATAACACCTTGGAAATCGGTCTTTGCCTCCAGTGAACCCAGCTGTGGCGACTCAAACAACTCGCATATGTCCTGATGAATTTGAGTGGAGTGGTCTGTCTGGAGAGGATGAGGATTCAGAGACTCCACGACGTAGTCATTCGGATCATAGGGCACCGGTGGACTCTGGCCACGTCAAAGGTGCAGTCCAAGATGGCGAACCTTATCAAAAAAAAACCAACAGCCCTTCCAGCTGACAGGCAAAGCTATCAAACGTCAGCTCGTGGTTGATTCCTTTGACCGACACGCAATCCAGATATCTTGTTGGGATCCTCAGGATGCATGGGTACCCGCCTCCGTTGAGCACGTCACCTTGCACGAATGATGGCAGAACCTCTACCCTGGTAGCCTCGCTGATGCTGCTAGAACCCATGCTTGAAACAAGCGGCAGCGGATCGATGGTGGATGCATTCGTGAACAGCATCCACTTTTCGCCTGTCTGCCACTGTCCGCTGCCTCTTCTCTTTGCAAGTCCTCTTGCAGCTGGAACCGCCAGAGCCCGCCCGTCCGCTTGTGCTCAAACGCGGGTATATGCACTTGCATCCCTGAGTCATGACCTACAAACAACCATCCTGAGCCGGCGGATGCTGAGACCTCGTGCACAAGGGACGCGCACCAGGATTACCGCCACGAAATGGTCACCAGCCCAGCAGTCCTCCAGTTGGCAATTTCCGGGTTGTATGATGAGCAGCTGCCGTGACCGGCCCACTTGAAATCGCTCTAGATGTGATCTGGCCCAGTTCCACATCGACCGTGGGTCCGTTCTGGGCCACGCACTACGAGCAGCCAACAGTCCATTTATTCCTCAATACACCCCATGCCGAGCCCGGACCTGAGGAGTCCATACCGAGTCGTCGTGCTCCGCTTCTTGCGCCGACAGCCCAGGGTAGTTCCTCCGGTAGGTAGTAATCTGGTCGTTCTTGGTCATATTTACAGCTCCACGCCACGACTCCCACCACACGGCATCGCGGGTGACAGCATCCAGCAGCGCCTGCGCATCTGTCCGACCAGCAGTGTCCGCCACCGGCGCACCACCCTCGCCGCGACACTTGTCGCACCATGTCGCGTACCAGTCGCCGCGCGGGTAAACAATCGCGTTGGCCGCGTACTTGTGGCCGCCCACATGCGACGTCTCCCATGCCGCAACATGCTTGCCCAGCCCATGATCCGCGATCAGCGCGCGCACATCACGCAGCAGCTGCGTTCCGTGCACACCGCACAGCTGGTCGCGTGAGCCATGCGTGCATATGAAGATGTGCCGGTTCTTGTTCATGTCGAGCCAGCGGTGGGCAAACTGCGGCTGCGGCAAGCCCGTGTCTGTCGATGTCCACGATGTTGGCAGGACATCGTGACCCAGCCACTCCAGCAGCTTCTGCACGCCATCGACATCCAGCTGCTCGGCAACCAGCCCGTGCGGAAACACTGCGACGTCGATCTTTGCAAACTTCTCCTCTACCGGCACGTCGGGCTCTGCTGGCGCACTGCATGAGCAGCCGCCGTGCCTGCGCGGCAGTGGGGCAAAGTCCGACAGCGTCACCATGGCGCGTCCAGGCAGCCGCACACTGCCGCGGGCAAGCGCTGTGATGGCGGGACTCAGCCCCTCGATCTTGGACGGCCATTCGCTGGAGCGAGAGTTGCAGACTACCAGGTGGTGCCGGTGCGGCGAAACTGTGCCGACCCGCCCGTCGATAGTGCCGGCGCCTGCTGTGTGCTTTGCGGCGAAGGCCAGGGGGCTGTGCTGTGCGTGGAGCGGCCGCCGTGCCAAGAGCGCAAGCTGTGGCAGTTTCCAAATTGTGCGGGAATTGGCTAGCATTTCTAAAAAAGACAGCAAAAGAGCAAGATGTAGAGATAAGCGAGCGGAAAGAGGACGGTGTGTTGAGCGAGGCCAAAGGCGCCGCTCGCCCTCTATCCGATCTGCTCGCTAGTTGTCGGCCTGCCTCCAGGTCATGTGGACGCTCTGCCATCAGATAGTGTGCTGGCGTCTGAACTCCACTCGCCGAGCTCGCTGCGGAGCAACTCGGCCTCCTCGGCCATTTCCTCCGCACTCCTGGGCACGCGCTCGTCGTTGTCCACGCCCCTCACCCGCTTTCTCGAGCCTAGCTCATCGTAGATATCGTCGTTGTTTGCAAAGTCGGCCTTGCGCCGCGGCAGAATGTGCAGGTGGACGTGCGGCACCGACTGGCCTGCCTCCTTGCCGTCCTGGATCACGAGCGTCAGGCTGTCAGCCTTGTACACGCGCTCTACCAGCCTTGACACTCGCTGGCCCTGCTGGAACAGGTCAGTGACCTCGTCAGCAGAGAGATCGTTGAAGCGGGTGACAGGGCGGCGCGAAACCACCAGGACGTGTCCAGGCACCGCCGGCTTCAGGTTGACTAGCCCGTACGACAGCCGGGAGACCATAAACACCTGGGACTGCGGGATGATGAGCGGGCCAAAGCGGAACGACATAGCGTGGAGAAAAAGAGGCTGTAGATGATTTCGTATGGCTTCTATTCGTATTCGTGCAGACAGCTAGCTCAGAAAAGACACGCCATTTTGCCTGGCTGGTCAACAGTTATGCAGCTTGGGCTCCTCAGATGAAACCAGCCTAGAACCCGCGATCCGGCGACAGCTCGCGTTGCCGGCTCTGCCGTGGATCCGGACGATACTCCTGCCGGGTCCTTCTGCGCGGGTGCCTGTCATGGACCCTGTCCTCCAATGTTCCCTCCTCTTCGTCACTCTCGCCGCCCTTCATGGAAGCCTCGCTGTCGGCAACTGTGTCTTTGATGAACGCAAAGTCCACCTGGACAGCCTGTCCAAGGAACCGCTTGCCCGACCCCCGGCTGACAGCTGCCTCAGCCTCGGTTAGCTTTTCATACTCGACCAGCGCGTAGCCCTTTACGAAACCGGTCTGGCGGTCAAGATTCAGGTGCAGACCGCGCACCTTGCCGTAGTCGGAGAAAAAGTCCAGCACCTCTTCTTCGCGTGCCTCTTCGTGTACGCCTGTGGCAACCACTACCCACCCCTCAACCGAACACTGTGCGTCAGTCGCCGTCACCTTAGGAATTTTGGCAGGCGTTACAGATGTGTCCATTGCTGAGCCCGACTCAGGAGCTACCGCCGACTTGATCGTGATTCCACTATTGCCAGTCTCACCCTGTACCACATCACTACCAATGTCCATTTCTACATCGTCGTTGCCAGCCTCTTTGGCACTGCCCTTGATGCTTTGGCCGACAGCAGATGCAGACGACTTTATGGCGATTCCAGTCTCGCCAGAATTTGGATTAGCTGCTCCGCTGCTGAGAGACATACCAGACCCTCCTTTCTCTGCCTCCTGCGAAGTTCCCTTTATGCTTGTTCCTGTTGTCGCTGCTGTCGCTGCTGTCCCTGATGAGGACTTGATCGCAATCCCGGTGTTGCCAGAGTCGGCCCTCGATGTTGCAATGCTGATCCCCATGTCAACATCATCTTTGACCGCTTCCTTGGACACGCCGGCAATTGATATGTGCTTATTTCCCCCGCTGCTCATGGTTCAGTATGTATGTAAGTGTGAAGAAAAGTTGGAGTGTGCTTTGATGCGCGAGTGTACAAATCGATAACCAGCAATCAGCCAGAGTTTTACGAACCATCCCTCCTTAAGGATATGTGCAATTATGGTCAGCTTTGTGATGCTGCATGATGTCGAACCCCCTCTACCACTGTCCATTCAGCCTGAACATCCCATGTCCTGGTGATGTCTGCATTCAGTAGCATCAGCAACACTAAACTGCACCGGCAATACTTCGAAATGAGTTTTAAATATATCTTGATGTACCGATCCCACACAATGCAATCTGCTCACTCAGAGCTCGCCCTTGACCCGCTCAATCACATCATACAGCGCCTTGGCCATCTCGGGGGTCTTGACGCGCACCAGGTACCGCACAGGCTTCCCATCGACAATAACCATCACTACAACCTCCTTCTTGCCGTCCTGGTGGTCAGTGACCATCTCCCGGAACACCGACACATTGAGCGTCAGCTTATCTGAGCCGACTTGGCGGCACAGTAGCCGTGCGCGCTTTGCGCCGTCGGCACTCCACGATTTGACCTTGAAGATCCCGATGCCCAAGTCCTTGTATGTCTTTGCCTCTGCATCCCACTTGTACAGCTTGGAGCGCGTCTCGGTCTCCGTGGTCTCGCCCTCCTCGCCGGCCGTTGTGGGCTTCTTGGGCGGCTCATCCACGTTCTCTTCGTCATCGTTTGCGGCGTCATCATCTGCATTCTGGCTCTCGTCAGGCTTGCTTGCTGCAGATTGGCCGATGCTGCCAAAGGAGAACTTTGGCTTCTCCTGTGCAGCAGGGGCTGCCTCACCAGGCTTGGAGAATCCAAATGAGAACTTGGGCTTGTCATCGGCTGGTGCCGCGCTGGCGGGACTGGGCTTTGTGAAGCTGAAGCTAAATCCCGACGACGGCTTTGCAGGCGACGTCACAGCCGCCTTGAATCCAAACTTTGGCTGCGACGAGTCAGTTGACTCCTTCGAGGCAGCAGCAATTCCAAAGGCCGGCACTGGCTTCTCCTCGCTCTTCTTCGCCTCCTCAGGCTTTGCCCCGAACGTAGCAGGTGCAGTAGGCTTGACCGGCGACACCATTTTGGTATCGCTCACTGGTACACCTGCAGCGGGCTTGTTGATGGCGTCCCAGTGCTTCTTGTACTGCTCCAGCAGCGGTGTCAGATTGACAAAGGCATTGGCGGATACAGCGTCGTTAATCTTCTTCTGAATCGACACGTTGAGCCCGCGGATGTTTTTGTAGTACTCCTCGTCTCGGTCCTCGTCCATGCTCTCGACTTCATCATTCTTGGGTGCAAGGGCAGCTGGTGCACTACCTGCAGGTGGTACGAACGAGGAGAAGGTGGGCTTTGTTGCCTGGCTGGCAAATATCGATGACTTGAACCCAGAATTAGACGCATCCGCAGCAGTGGGCGGCTTGAAAGCAGGCATCGAGAAACCGGTAGTGGGCTTTGCAGGCGTCTCGGCAGTCTTTTCGGCAGGCATTGGCTTCTCAAGCGCGCCAAAACTGAATCCCGATGAGCTAGCTGCCGGCTTAGACGTTTCTGTCTTGGCTGCCGTACTTCCAAAGCTAAACCCAGAGCTAGTCGCAGGCTTCGCCGCCTCCTCTGCCGGCTTAGAGTTGCCAAATCCTCCAAAGGAGAACCCGGACGTGCTGGCTGCCGGCTTGTTGTCCTCGGATTTGCGAGCAGGGCCACCAAAGCCGAACCCAGATGGACTGATGGCTGGGTTCCCAGCGGTCGTTGCCTGGCCAAACGACCCGATTTTGAATCCAGAGCCGGCCTCTAGTTTTGATTCCGCCTCAGCAGGCTTTGACTGATTGAACGAACCAAAGCTGAATCCCGATGAGCTGGCTGCCGGCTTCGGCGCGTCCTCCTCTTGCTTCTTCTCCACGGTACTGCCAAAGGAGAAGCCAGCAAACGTCGGCTTCTTCTTGGGTGGCTCTGCGGCATCGGCACTGCTGTCAGCTGCTGGCGTTGTCGATCCAAAACCCGCAAACGAGTTTGTGGGCAATGTGGGTGCATTGGCCGACGGACCACCCCGCAGCCGCGACTTTGGCTTCTTAATGACGCGCGTGGCCAGGACCTCTTCATTTGCCTTGCGGAAGGTGCCTTCGAAATTGCCGGCGCTTTCCTCGCTGTCGCTTTCATCGTGATTCAGCTGCGTAAGCTGCTTGTCGGCTACTCGCTTTCCCATTGTGAAATTGGCTGTGGTTGCTCTGAAATGCGGTAGAAATTCTCCCTAGAACCCAAGCAGCGCTGTGGTGTCAATCGTGAAAGGGAGAGAATAAATTCAAAATAGGTGTCAGGAGGAAAGGGAAAGAAAAATTTTAACTCGCACGCGAAAATCAGCACTTTCGGCCCAAAGAAAATGTGGGCGAACAAAACAGTGGCTTTGGCACGCTCTTTGCTTTTCTACCTGCTTTCCTTCACTTGTTCACCATTAATTCAACGTAGTAAATGCACAAGCACCCTATTCAACCCACCGCTGATACATCTCCGCCGCACTGCTTTGACTCGCCATGACCCCACCAGCTATCACCGAACAATCCCTGCTTGCCGAGTTCGGCAAACTAGTAGACTGCGACCTGATCCGAGCCATCTGGTCTGAGCAGAGGAACGACCCGGCCAAATGCCGCAACATCGTCATCATGTTGAGCGGCACAGACCCACCTGCAGGTGAGGCAGTGAGCCACCAGGACTCATTGGATTCGTACTCGTCCTCGGACATGGGACTCACGTCTTCCGAGCTCAGCAGTGTGCCATTTTCACTAACAGTCACAGAGTCTGAGACATGGTCAGTGGACATGCAGAACTCAGGCCCACAGTCGACAGCGACAGCTTCAACATGTGCTCCTAGTATTGATGCGATTACGTCTGCCGACACCTTGCTGGAATTTCTGCAGGCATGCTTCCCCGAGTGCAGCATGGACTACCTGCGCACCAAGGCAAATGAAGTTTACCAGACGGACAGCAGCGACTTCCGGGCGGATCCAGTAGAGGCAATCGACATTATCAGCAACGCGCTATACAACGACCTCGAGAGTGTTGAGAACCTGCAGTACCAGCATGCTGCTCAGGGAAAGGGTTCAGAAGTCAGTCGCGGTAAGCAAGCAGGAGTTGCTGACCTCACCAGCACCGCATTGGAAGATATTGAGTCCAAGTACACAGTTGCAGGGGCAGAATCCAAGAAGAAGAAAAAGAAGCAGTCGAAAAACAGGGAGAGCCACGCAAAGACCAAGTCGCAGTTTGCGCGTGCAGCATACCAGACAGCGCAAGGGCCGAGCAACGCATGGAGCGAAATCAATGAGGAGCTGCGGTCCCTCAGCAACATCTTCCCAAATCTTGCGGTGGGCACCGTGCGGACCACATACCATGAATGCGGCGCTGACATTGACGCAACCGTGGGGAAGCTCGCCGAGATTGCAGAGAAAGTCTCTGCTCGAAAGAAGCCCACAGGTAGACCGATTCAGGGTGCCAGGAACTCAGCACCTGCGCCAACTACCCCCCAGCACGACCCAAGCATGACTGCGGAGTTCATTAGTCAGCTCAGACAGATGTTTCCAGATCACGACGATGAGGTGCTGCGCAATGCCGCAGCAGAGGCCATTGATATTGATGACGCAGTGACTAAGGTGCTGAAGGCAGTCGAGGACCAGTCTGCAGCGGCTACCAATGGCAAAAAGAAGTCGAAGAAATGGCGGCGCGCCGATGATCTAGCCAACCACCGCCTGACAGCTGCTGGGTCTGGCTCAAGTAGCGTAAACGCACACGACCCGCTGGCGCGCGTTCCAATGGCAGCGCTCTCTGGCGAAGCTCGCGAGTGGATCGCTGACCACCATGTGGACTCTGCGTACTGTCGCCGCAAAGCGCAGGTCCAGCTGGATAAGCGCAACGAGCTGTACCGCAAGGCAGCGGCGGCGTACACGCAGCGGACCAAGGCTGGCAGCCACAGCGCGACAGCGCTCTACTACTCAATTGAGGGCCACAAATGTGATGCACGTGCGCGTATTTGGAATATGCGCGCGGCCCAGGCAACAGTGGCAGCAATGAAGCACACCGACAGGAACACTATTGATTTGCATGGCCTGACACGGCCCGAGGCTGTTGCGCTGGTGCAGGAGGAGGTCACGCTGTGGCACCTGCAGAACCAGAGCACTGACGTGGCCTCGCGCAAATCGCACCCACTGCACATCATCACTGGGCTCGGAACCCATTCGACTGATGGCATGCCGCGGATCCATCCGTCGATTGTCAAGGTCCTCAGGAACGAGGGTTGGTGGTTTGAGGAAGGCAATGGGTTCATCAATGTTATTGGCGTGCGCGAGGGCAATGTGCTTGTCTGAGCCGTATCTATATATCCACTACTTAATATTACAAGCGTGAGATTACACCTAGCATAAGATATGTCCAACCATGGGCCGTGCGACGAGCCCTTAGTACTGGTACGGGGTCTGATCGATTAGCTACATATTAGTCTTTTCGCATATTATTTAAACAATATGCTTGTCGCCTCAATCCCAATGACGACTGTTGAACCAGGAAGGAATAACTAGCTATCCTCACACCACATCGCGCTTATCGTTACCATCAGGTGTACGCACAGCACTCGGTTTCCATCTGCAGTTCTACGCTTGGCTCTAAGAATGCACGTCTACATTTGTGAGTAAATCTCCAGGCCGCCAATGGTCTATCTCTCAAGCAACTTTTTTTTAGATATCTAGTAGAACGAGCAAAAGTAATTAGAAAAGGGAAGCAACCTCTACGTGTGTTCCAAGCAGTAGTTAATATATCTTTCACCTGGCACACAACGATAAAACTCTGAAAGCCTGTGGCCTTTGAAGCCAAATGTGGTTCCCTGCTCGCCTGAGATCAACGGTGGTTATACAGACAAGCATTAAATGTGGATAATAAAGCTACCGACGCCCGGTAATAGTCTCTGTGGCGCTTCCAGGCTTTGCTGTAGCCGCTTAAAATAGGCAAAGTGGATATCCATAGGCCTCTTGCCAACGTTTCATTACATATATGGTGATACCAACCGGTAAAACAAAGCAGGTAGCCAATACCTCATATCCGCATAATAAATGCCTGGCTGTCGATATATTGTGGAGGGCATCAGAAATAAACTGAGAATGAAATGAAAAAGCGGCTCCAAAAGCCTAGGTGCGGTCACGGCTCAAGTAGTCCGCAAGCTGAACGAAGGGACCCATTTCAACAAGATGGGAGCGGAACAAGGTCACACCATTGGCAAAAAACTTGGGGAAAGAGAGGATGCTCGGGCACCGCAACGCCAGAATGACCGCCAGCCTTACAGCCTGAAGCCAGCCTGCACCCCGGTCTACGCGTAAGTGAAATTCCTTCAGAGTCAGAGATAGAGGGGGACCCGAGGCACCGGCAATGGGACGAGTGTTCATATCCAGGTAAACACAGCCAAAGTGGGATTTGGCATCCCATGACACCAGGCGCTCCTTATCGGCGAGCTCCATCAGTTCTGTATCATAATTGGCATCCCCCAGGTCGACGCTTTTGGCACAAGTCACATCAAGCTTGTGAATGAGTGGCAGAGATCCGATCAGTTCAAGGATCTGCTCATACGTGCACCTCACCCCAGGAATGTCCAGGACGCGGAGAGTTGGCGCAAAACTGTCAACACGCGACTGAAGAACAGAATAGTTGAAATTGAACCCATCGCTAAGGTCAATCACTGGCGTCCTGTGGAATGCCCCGAGTATACGCGAAACACGATTGCCATATACCTGGCTGGGCCATTCAAACAACTCCCCGAGTCTCGCGCACTGCAGCGCCTTGAACCGACCCTCGTCCAGAATGCCAGCTTCGATAAACATGTCGATGTCACTCTCCGACATACACATGTCCAGGAATTCCAGCGAATCTCCGGATCCGCGTAGCAAAGTGTCGTCGGAAAACGGATAGATGCCGTGGACAACCAGGGATTTCAGTGCGGGGAATGGCATCCCATCGAATGACGGGCGCGATGCAGTGGTAGCGTCTTGTTCACAAGTCTTTAGGCGAAGCTTATGAAGTTCAGGATACGTGACAGTTGTGCCATCGCTGTCGGATACGATGTGCTCAACGAGGTTAGGTGCACTGAGGTCAAGATCCAGCCGTTGTAGCGACTGCCAATTTCTGCGGATAAAGGTGAACACTTGCTTTGTTTTAGTGCTCCCACTGGTGACCAAACTTTGTAGCGGGGTCGAGCTTTGAGAGAATGGTAAGGCTGCGTTCAAAACATATCCGGTGCAGTCAATGGCAGATCTTCCGGTTAGTAGGCGCTCCAATAGTTTGTGTGAATGATAAGGGGACCAACTCTGCGAAGCTTCCCCATCCCGTATCACCTTAACGGAAGATATATCAGGGAATATGTGCATGAGCTCATCAGTGAATATGTGGATTGGCTGTAGCTTATCATCCTGCTTCAGCTTACCGCGCTTTCCAGTAAAGGTAAAGGAGAGGACTTCAATATGTGGAAATAAAGTTTCAGCCGGCGTGCATTGCCTAAGCTGGATTAAAGCGGAGCCATTAAATATAGTCGCAGTTTTGAACATTACTATGACCTCCTTTGTTAGGTCACAGGTGCCAAGCGCATAAGCTAACTTGAGGGACGGTTTGAATTGAGTGCCCACATGTACGTAACGGAATGCATAACTAAGGAAAAACTGGCGCCATGAACGGCAAACGCGTGTTAGGGGTTTGCTGACATCATATATGGCTTCCTTATCATATGAGTCATTGAGAAACTCAGGCAAAAGATAATGGATGATATGCTCGAGGATGAGCAAAGGAGGATGCTGGGCAATAGCCTCCATGGTACGAGAATGATAAAATACGAGGTTAGGAATGAAAACTCAAGTAAAATGGTAAGCTTGCACTGTTATTCAATGCGGTGAAAGTAAAGTAAATAGAGTCGAAGGCAAATGCTGTTTGGAAGAGTCCAGATAGTTTGCCAGGTTCAACGGGCTTATAAACCCACCTGCTGGTGGCATTAGGAACAGGTGCATTTGTTCCTGTGGCAGCCTCTTGGGCAGCAGCTTCAGCATACTGCTTTTTCCAGTTCCGGGCTGGGCTGTGTGGTTCGGGACTTGGCCACTCTTGAGAGGGTGAGAGCGAGAGCGAGAGAGCGAGAGAAAGCTGCTTGTTTCAGACCCACATGGTGAGCTGCGTACCCCCTGTTGGGACACAGTCATGGCAAACAATGGCCATCATACCTTTTTATCAGAGCCAAATATATTGCTAAAACGACCTACATTCCAAATTTGTTAACATGTTGCTGCAGCGTATTTTGCTGCGCGATGTGTTGCCATTGTTCATGGCAGCTCCTAAATATATTTTTAGATTTTTTCTTATCGCCTCAAGGCTTTGCCGTGAGCTGTCCACACTGAGTTCGCTGAGGGGCGGCTTGGCGACAAACTCACAGTGCAACTTAGGCCCCATGAGAGCGAGGGGAGGCAGAGGAAACCCCCCTTCCTGAATCATAAAAAGCAGGCCAGATTTCGCTCCCTCCAAAACTTTTTCTTCTCCTCATCCCTCTAAAATCTCACTATACATAATACCCCCTCTATTCACACACTTGCGCTTCCACTCCACCTCCCGCCGCCCTGTATAATTTTCTGGACAGCTAAGTATTCGATTACATCCTGTCACATAGTGTTCCGTACTAACCATTTTTATTTCTGTTGTCTACTAGCACACCCTTGTCGAAATGAAAGCTATATTTTTGATGCACTTTTATCTCGCAACACCGCTGTACTTTTGCACAGCATGTTTTGGGCTTGCCCTTGCAGGTCTCTAGTTGCTGTTTGGTCTCTCCTCTCTCTCGCCTTTATATTCTTTCTGACTCGCATGTTTGCCACAGTTTTGTGTGGTGTTTGTACATAGCCGGCTATCCATTGCCACACACTCTTGCCTAGATGAGCTCAGAGATACGCGGGTATAGGGTAGTTTTAGGGGGCAGGCTGCTCAAGAGGCGGCTCGGCGAAGGGGTACTCGAAAGAGTTCCGCCTGACCCGAGAACGGAGTTCCGGGCTGTACGCTGAGCAATACCTAGCGCAGGAGTCTGTGTGTGTTTGGCAAGTTTGGCAAGTCTTTCACTTTCACTCTGCTGGACATGCAAACGGGTTGGTACTGCATTTAGATTACTGAGGGCGAACAGGAGACTGGGAGGCAGTGGTGACTAGAGATCTGCAAGCGCTGGAGCAAAACGTGCTGTACAATTGAAAGCGACTATGTTGTTACTTCTTCGATTCAAGATATAATTAAACACTTCAAGGCCCCATTTGAGACAGTGGACAATTTCTGATGGCGCTACTTTGTGTACGGACCAGAGGAGCATAAAAATTCAGCACGTCAATCGCTGCGGCTGATGTTTTTCAATATTTTGCATTTGAATATACTGCATGTTTCGATGGGCATAGTGAGAATCGGTCCAGTCATTGTACAGATAGCCTATTTCATCTTGCAACATCCCAGAGATCTCAGATGGACTAATTTCTTTCCCTGTTTCAATGGAGCAAGATGACATGGGCTATGTAGGTGGAAACCACTACTAGATATACAGCAAGCATATTCAAAGTGGCCAAAAAAGAAAATGTGATTGGCCCTTGTTGCGGTAAATGTGCGATATGCAGAATGCATCCTTGCTGTGTTGGCATTTTCGACTCTAGAGGTGATGTGTAAATGGTTGTGCACAAGTATCATGAGGACCTGCACCAAAACGAGCGATTTATGCGGGTGTTTAGCCTGACTACATCGTTGCTGGCCAAGGACCCAGAGACTGCGATACCATGCATGAGGTCATTTGCAAGAAACGCGAAGTCACGCAACCAGCCGCTGAACCAGGGGCAGGGCATGATGATGCAGTTATCGCTGATGGTTATGCAGAAAGTTGGGTCTTTCGAATACGCAATGTGGAACATACCTGGTAATAATATGCATCGTGCGGCTTTATGCACCACTTAATTCTAGGTATATCTTCAGAATGCTCGAACATTTGTGGCGATGCACTGAATTAATATGGCACGAATTACATTGATTACAGTGCTTTGCTTGCAAAATTGGACACATCCTGTATTTATTATAAAATTTGCAGATTCTTCTGAGTAATATTCAGATATTTTTACTAGATAAATCGTTAAATGGCCTCAATATCAAGGGAAAAAGATCGAATAGTGAAAACGACCGCTGGATCTCTGGTAACAGCTGCAAAAGGCAAAAATTCCGCAACGGGGAATCGAACCCCGGCCACGACGGTGAGAGCGTCGGATCCTAGCCACTGGACCATTGCGGATTTGAGGCTCTGTTTTCGAGACAGAAACCGCTCAACTTGCTGACTTTGTCAAAATTAAAATATCTATAAACCTATGATATATCATTCTCATTTGATTCCGATTGCCATCACCATTTTTTGTTGTGGATCCTGGAAACAAGTCCATATAAGCTCAAATGTGCGTGCACACATTATTATGCATATACTTACCCATATACCCACTGGAATTAATCCGGTGTTTGTTGAGCGTCATTTATATCTACTCTATATCATAGTATTGCCCTCTCGTCAGTTATGACACCGGTTGTCGACATCCGGGATCCGGAGTCCCCCTTCACCACGATGGGCAAGGCCGAAGCGCATATTCACAATGGCCCAAACTGACAACCACTCATCCCCTAGGTTAACAAGTATAAACTTAAACTCTAGCGAATAATAGAACGGCGCCAAAATAGCTGGTTTTCAGTCTATAAGCAGCCTACCTGACTACCGTACAATATATCGTATCGGCATATTCATGATCCGCAAATACCAGCCAGATTATATGTTGGACAAACATGTATTCGCTTACTACCGGCGATTAAAGTGGCCATACAACCTCCCATCTTAAACAAGCCTATAGGTTTAAATCGGTTCAAGTCATGTACAGAGCTGGATGATCATTATGCTTTTACTCGCCTCAACACCTATTTCTCCTCTTCGTGTTTCCTTTTATTTACTGACAATGATAAAGTATATGCCCACTCAAAAGACATTCGCGTGTTGGTAAACAGGATATATTCATACCAAACTTATGGCGCTTGCAGTCTGGGTGACACCAGACCCATCAGGAGCAGAGTCAGTAGCAAAGCCATGCAAGAGTCTTGCCTGTCTGGCATAGTAGGAGGTATGTGCTCACGAAGAGAGCCCAATGCAACCCGCGTGCAGGTATAGTATAACGATGTTTATAACGGAAGGTTGCGGAGTAAAAATGGGGTTTCATCCCACTGCCCAGAGTAGGTGATTCTTGCGTAACCAGACATATCCATCAAATGGCCGCTGACGCACATCACCGAGTCAAGCCCCGCACCGAGGCATGCCACGGTTTACAGCCACAAAGATTAAGTAACGGAATGTACAGGAGGGGGTTGTGGAGATATCGGAATGTGTGGAAGAGGGTGAGGTATTAGAAAAAGCCTGATGACGCAGGAAGGGCTATTTTTATATTTAGGATATATGCTGGCCAGCAAGCCAATGGTTCCTTTTTTAACCACTCTCGAGGCCAATGAGCCCGATTGCGGGCTATGCAAACAGTTTGCTATCGCCACCACCGACTTAAGCCCATGGTTCTAAGCTTGAATGCCGGGGATGTGGAAGTTGGGTGATTTGTTTATTACACTACTGCATCTACAAAATGCGAACTGACATGAATGGTACTTTGATAGAACTAAGGTTCTGGGCCCAATGTTTCGAGTGCTTTGAAGACATATATTTGTCACCTTAGGATCTGAACCCATCGACCAAAAGAGGGTGCTGTTTGTTAAGAGTTTGCAGAGCGAGCCACGCATACTCGTTGAGGTTCAAAAGAGCTTGCATTTCTCCACTAATTAAAAAGGTTCTAGTGGGCGGTCAGACATTTTGGACTGTAAAATCTTTTAATAGGGGAAAAAAGTAAAAGTAATGATTGCAGAAGGTGACATAGAAAAAGGGCTGGCCACATACTGTCATAATATTTTTAGTTGAACGCTGACTGCGGCTTGACGGACCAGGGAGGACGGAAGTTTGCATTCCGGAACCTGCGCTCCAGGTTATCTAGCTGCTTGTTTGGTGCAAAGTCCATTGGCGGGTGGGCACCTGCCCGTGGGCTCGTCGGTTGCACGCCGCGGTGGAGCAGGTCCTGGCTGGCGACAAAGGGGTCAAACTGCGACGAAACGCTGACCCTGCCCGACCGGCCACCATATTTTTGCAAGTTGTCAGCAAGTGATGGCCCACGGGGTGTCAGCATACGCGGCACATTGGGTGGCTTGCCCGACGACAGACCCATGTTAGACGAGCTGGTATTGATCTGGCGCTGGGCCTCCTGGCGCAGTGCGTTGACGACATCGGCATCGTACGTCGACTCGTGCGATCCTGAAAACACGCTGTTCGAGCGCAGCTGCCCCGCAGTGGGCGACAGCGGCGAGCGCGGGCTGGATGGCGCCATTGGCTTCTGCTGCATGGGCGGCATCGGGATGTATGACGGCTGCTGCGTGTTGCCGCCAGTGCGCACATTGTGCGGGCGTGATTTGGGCACAGGCAGAGGCCGCGGTTCAGGCTCCTGGCGCTTCATAGCATGGGCATCAACCTCCGGAAGTACATGCTTGGCGTCGGGCTCCGGCGTCACAGGCATCAGCGACTGGTTCTCGATCTGCTCGGCAGCAGCTTCCAGGAAGTTGCGCAGGGCAGTCGACACACGCTTCGGCTGCTCCTTGGCCGCGGGCATCTGCGGCACAGGCAAGTCACTGCTGGTCTTGGCCATCATCGGCATCGGCGGCAGTGCTGGCACAGCAGGCGTGTCATCAGTGCTAAAGCGTTCACGCGAGACACCGCCACGACGACGCGGGTTTCGCGTGCGCCTGCCCATAGTGCTCTTCTTGCGCATAAGGATGCTGCGGCGCCGCATCAGCTCTCCGCCATGCTTTTTGCAGTAAATTGCTCCCTTGATGCGAACTGCTGTAGCCGACGGCACCACCTGCGAGCATTGGCGGCATCGCATGCATGCCTTGTGGTAGCCGTAGCCCTCGTGTGTGACGCGGTCATAGACATAGACGACACGGGAACACACGGGGCAAACAGGCTGATCCCAGCCATTGACATCCATGGTGTCGTTCAGTAGCGACGACTCAGGTCGCGACGCTGACGACTCAGCGCGTGGCCGTGCAGCCTCTACGCGCGACGGTACCACCTGTGGCCGACCACCACCACCCATCAGCGTCGACTGCTGTGGTGTGGCATTCCTAGCCTCGCTAGAGTTGGCAGCCACGGGATAGCGCTTCTCCAGGACCTTGGTCTTGGTCTTCTTGTCGATCACGCGCTCGCGGATGTATGGAGTTCCGGATGGCGATGTCACATGCTCGCGCTCAAAGTGCGTCTGGCGGTCCAGGTCGATATCGCCAGCCCGTGCCACCTGGGCTGGGTCGGCCTTGCACAGCGCCAGCTCGCCGTTGCTGGCCTCGCCATTGGCCTTGCGCTGCATGCGCATGTGCTGCAAAAAGTCATCGACAGATGTGAACGACTCCATGATGAGCCGGTTCATGTCGCGGTACTTCTCGTCTGACAGCGCACTGGGTGGAATGGCCACGCCCTTGCCCTGCATCTTTGCTGACGGGAAGAACTTTTCAAAGTGCTGCTCGCAATACACATGCCCCTCGATTGCGTGGAATGACGACGTGGTCAGTGCGCATCCGCATGCCTCGCACTTGAGGCAGCTGGCGTGCATCACTAGTGGACGCACCACAGCATCTGTGTCGGTCACACCCTTACCGCACACGCCACAGCACCCACCATCACACGAGTGCGCCTTGCCGCCATGCGAGGCCGTCGACAGAGGGCGTGCAGGCGGGCCATGCCGCAGGATATCCATATCGCTCTGGCTCATCACGGCTCTAATGCCTCCACCCCCGCGCAGGGTGGATGGCTCGTTCGGGTTGCTGCCCCGCCCACCACCAACCAAGTTGGGGCTGGTGCCACGGTTCGAGCTCGGGTAGGATGCCAGCGAGTCAATGTCCTCCTCGATGACTTTGGGCAGCTGGAAATCGTCACGCACGTTGGCCGACATCAGTGTGCTCTGGCTGCCAAACTCTGACCCCTGCGTTGGTTTGCCCTGCCGGCTGGGTGCCACAGATGCTGCCACCGATCCAGCGACCGAGCTGCGGCGCGGCTGTGATTGCGCATGGCTCGATGCCCTGCTAGGAGCATAGTACGACTGCGGCCTGCTCTGCTGCTGGGCAGGCGGTGGGCCATTCTGGTACTGCTGCTCCATCTCTTGCTGCTCCATCTCTTGCTGCTCCATCTCTTGCTGCCGGCGTTCCTCCTCCTCGTTCTCCATCTGCTGCTGGGTCTTGCCGCGGTTCTTGATGTAGGGCGGTGGCGACGGGAACCGCCCGAAAATAGGCGTCGGCGGCTTCGGGAACTGCGGGCTAGGCGACCGTGCCTGCGACCCATCCTCGGGGTACTCTGCGTCCTGATAATCGCTCTCCCGCTGGTACTCGCTGGGGTCGATATCGGGTGTAACTGGCACAGCACGGCCTTGCTGCATCGGAGGCGGGACACCGTGCTCCGATGGCTGATACCCAGGCGACCTAACACTGCGCTCAGACGGCTGGTACACGGGGCCACGCAGCGGGGACGATGCGTAGCCACTATGGACTGACCGAGGCGAAGCAGCCGACGGCACCGGCGACGCAGCCGGGCTCCGAGATGGTGATTGCTGCTGACGCGGGGCATGGGTGGAAGCAGCCGACGGTGTGCGGTTCCTCGCCGGGTATCCGTAATCAGGTTTCAAGCTACTGCCTTCCGAGGGTACTGGTGACTTGCGCTCACTAACGCGTGACTCCAGGTCGCGACTAGACACAACCGACGGCTCGTAGCTGCTGGCGGGCGGTGCAAATCCGTGCGTGCGACGCATGACTGCAGCCAACTCGTCGTCGCTTTCGTTGGCCACAACCGGCGACTTGGCGCTGCCGCGTGCAGTGCTAGGCGCTGGTGAGACCGCCTGTGTGCGGCGCATTACAGCTGATAGCTCGCCTTCGCTGTCGTTGGGGACCACCGGGGTGCTACCGCTACCACCGCGCAGGACGCTGGCCTGCGAACTAACGATGCTGCTACGGCTTGCCTGGCCCGTGCGGCCCATCACAATGTCGAGCTCAGTCAGGCTCTGGTTCGGCATCGCCTTGCTGGTCGCCGAGGCCGCTGATCTGGTGGACTGGCGGTCATCCTCAGGCAGCGGGGTGTTGCTGTTGCGGTCGCTGGCAGGTGTCGCTGTGCGGCGCAGCTTCGTGTTGTCGAGACCACCTGTGCGCCGGATCACGGAAGCAAGCTCCGGCGGCATGTCATCCAGGTTCATCGGCAGGCTAACTGCCGAGTCATTCCGCACCACAGGCTCCACTGGAACCACTGCCTCATCTTCCTCATCCTCCATCGCATGGTCCTCATAGTCCATACCCTTGCGGAGCAGCTCCTCAGTGCGGACAGTGGTGTTTGTTCCATTGTACCGACTGCCAGCCTCAGACTGCTTGTCATTGCCCTTGTTGCTAAGTGCAGACACACGGGTCATGACACTAGCAGACCGTGCCGACCCAGCAGCTACGCTTGCACCGCCCCCGACCAGCGAATCATGGGAGATCACTGACTCGTTGTCGTTGACGATGCCCTCATCGGACATGGCATGGCTATACCGTGACTTGCGTGAGGGTGCCGGGCTGCTGTGCCGATGGTGCGACGACGCGTATCCTGACGAACTCTGCAAATCCTCCTCGATCTTTTGGCGGGTGGCAGCCTCAGTGCGCCGGAGCACTTCCTCCAGCTCGCTGACTGCCTTGGCAACCTTGGCCTCGGCTGGGTGCCGCTCGTTGAATTTGCCGCGGCTGGGCTCCGGTTCCGGTTCAGGCGACATGGGTGCATTGTAGCGACCGCTGAACGGCGACTTGAAGTCAAAGCTGGCACTCGGCATGTTGCGCACAAAGATGGGCTGCGACTTGAGGACCGTAAAAGCCTGCGTCATGTTTGGCTTGCGCAGCTTGAATTTTTCGGGCTCTTCCCAGAACTTGTCACTGTCAGGTGGTGGTTGGTTTCTGCCTGGCGGCGGTCCAGACTGGCGCGGTGGCGGTCCAGACTGGCGCGGTGGCGGGCCTGCCTGGCGCGGTGGCGGTCCTGGGCGTGGAGACGATGGGCCATTGCCAGTTTGCTGGCGTGGCTGCTGGCGTGGCTGCTGGTGAGGTTGCTGTGTCGGCTTTTGGGACCGCGGTGCCTCGCTGGACGGTTCCGGCTTGGTCTGAATAGGCTCTGGAGCCAGTACAGGCTCTGGGCTAGCACGCGACGATGCCAGCATCACCGGCATCTCCTCCTGCTGTGGCTCACGGGTGGACAGAGCCGATTTTGTCGATTTCACAGATAGAGCCGATTTTGCCGACTTCACAGATAGAGCTGATTTCACCGACTTCACTGATTTCATCGACTTGGCAGACTCTGGTCGTGTCTGGAGCGGCTTGAGCGCAGGACTCCCCTTCTCACTCTCGACAGGTTTCACCGACGCTGCAACACTGACACCCTCAGTCCGAATAGTATCGTAGTGCCTCTGATCATGCGACGATGCAGTCTCACTCGCATCCGTCATATCCATGGACATACCGCCGCCGACCAGGATGCTCGATGGCGCACACGAGCGCTCACTCTTTGGTGCGGGGCTCATGCTTGTGCGGTCCAGCGCGTCAATAAGCTCGGTATCACGGATGCTCAAGTAGTTGCGCTGGCTGCTGGTTGCCGATTGCTCGTAGTCTGACGAGTTGCCAGATGCTGGGGCCCGCACAAGCTCCTCAAAGCTCGCCCGCAGCTGCTCCTTCAGCTCCGCATCCGACGTCGTGTCGTCTAGGTACTGCGCCAGCTCGCTTGCCGGAATGCCGCCTGGTCCCATGAACCGGTGTCGCCGCCGCAGCTCATCGAGGTACTTTGCCAGCACCTCTGGCGGAAAATACTGGGTCAGGAGCGCTTCGGCGCGCTCGCGGTAGTTGATCTTGTCCTTGGCCGACGTGCGCGGACGCAGTGGCTGGCGTGACATAGATCGCGGTCTTGCCGAGCTGCCAACCTGGCCCTCAGGTGGCGCCACAGGCGGTCCGTTGAATGCAGAGAAAACATCGTGGTCGGTCCCAGACCGCCGCGGTTCACTCTGGGGAGTTGCAGCACCGCCGCCGCCGCCACCACGCAGCACAGATGAGGCTGTTGATAGTGCAGGGCTTGGTGACCTCTCGTTCAAAGGGGCAGAGAATGTTGATGCCCTGCTCACGGACTGCGCAACCGACGCTCTGCCGGTGGGGGTGCTGCTGGCTGCACGAGCCAGCTCTTCCGGGTAGCCGCGGAAAGTCGTCATCGTGCATTTGTCCTCGGTCGTCACGGCGCTGAAGGTGGAGCTGCGCGGACGGAACCGTGCTCCACCACCCACCAGCACCGGCATCGATGAATCCATCACACTGTCAGTGCGCTCGCTTTCTGTATCACCTTCGAACGCCGGCGTAATTTCCACAATGCTCGGGTCGACTGAGAACGCACGTACCCGGCTGTACTCGCTCAGGCGCGTAGTAGCCCGGCTGGGCTGCGGCTGCTGCTGCTGCTGTTGCGAGAAACCACCAAACGAGCTCGCTGCCTTGAGCCTGGTGGGGGATGGGCTCGGGGATTCGACAGTAATGCTTCCGCCGCCGCCAGATATGGACTCCGTTGGAGCAGGCAGCAGCGCCGGCTTTTGCTTGCTGATCTTTTTCATCGGCAGCGCCTTGATGTGCAGCTGCAAAACGCCGTCCTTGCCCTGCGTATGCGTAAACTGCGGCTTCCGGGCTACAACACCGTCCTCCTCCTCGCTAGGCGTCGGCGAAGAGAGACTCCGCGCGTCGTCCTGCTCGACAACAACATCTCCATCTTCATTCCCACGAATCTACAGTTGGCATTCATTATGGCCCAACAGCCCAGGGTTGGAATAGCGGTAGCCGCTGTCCTTTTAGTATTTGGCAGTACAGTCAGGCCGCATCTGCGGCATATTTTTACTGCGTGCTGAGCATCCAATTATGCAACAGCGTGTGGGCTTTGGAGACCACAGGCAGCGAGGAAGGTGCTGCGACCATGAATCCAGTGAGCCATTTTGCGACAGATCGCTGCTGCTCTCAGTGCAACTGCGAACGCCAGACGCTCTACACCAATGTGTATCGGTCATAGCTATAGTGGGTGCGCAGAGAGCTGCAGCGGGACTGAAAATCACGGCCCCGCCTACATGGATCGACAGCTTATGTTGCTGACCATAAAGACAACATAACCAGGAAAATGTGGGACGACGTTTTGGGGGATGATGGCGAGGGTGGCATACAAGACAAGCAATAGTAGGGGTCCACTCGCATATTGGCCGCCCCGGGTCTATCTTTTCTCTGGTGCGAATAGAACGGCGACATTGACATGATGGAGCCAAGCGCAACACGGCTATTCGAAAAAGTCAATCCTTGTGGCATGCAAAAGATTGTTCACTGTTCGCAGGCGATTTGCAACGTTAAATTCTGGCCCATGAGTGCCAGTCAGAACGCACTATACATGCGCCAGATGCATGTCGGTCTCAATATACTGGTTCCTGCACCAAGGCTCGTCCAAGCTCGCTAGTCTGTCTGCCACATAAAGAAAGGCTCTGCTGCAACGGTCGCTTTCTGGGCAAGCCTCAGGGAAGGGAAGGGTAAGGCTTGGGCAGGTTCCATCTGAAAGAAGGCAGCCTATGCACAGTGGATCCTCTCAGGTACGCACAAAAATTCCCGTGAAAGTCAACAGGGGCGAGCGAGGTGCAAGTAGACATCTCTGATGTGCATCTGGCAACGTATAGTAGGACGGTCGGCGTTTGAAATAGTACAGCTGCCAGTGGAGCGCAAAGTTAAAGCACATGTACGTTACCTTCACAGACACCTTTGTAGAGGTGGCATGGTCGTCTTTGTCGACATACAGATCGCCTGTAACACGAATGTCGTATTTGAACGGCGAAGGGCGGGTCTCCTTCATGCTAGTTCCGATTCTGTTGTTTGTGCGTTCCCCTGGGCGATCGTTTTCTCTACATAAAAGCAACTGCGAACAACGGGGGTTAGAGGGGATGTTTTGTACGCCAATATAGCCGAGTAACGGGGAAGCCGGGATGCGTACCTCGCTGCGGCCAACAATACACGCGGCCGATGGCAAGCAGAAGCGGGGGGTTCTGGTAGGGAGCGGCCAGGTGCGAAATTCGTCGTGTGCTGGGTGACGACTGGGCCTCGGTTTGCTTTCTAGTTTGGGACTGTGTAACAATAACCACTAGTCCAGCAAGCTCACGTCTGAAAAGAGCCTATATGTGTTTGTGCGTCTAGGGAAATAAGAGGGATATTAAAAGAATGATACAGAGAATAAAAGAGTATGAAGAGGAAAAGGGGAGTGGTCCACAAGAAGCGCCTTTTTGTGAAGGGTGATGGCTATTGACAGAAAAGAAAAAGGAGAAAAATTATAATTGCAGTAGCTGGGAGGGATGGATGGCGCGAGCTTGGTCGCGTTTTTATTAACAAAAACTTTGGTGGCCTATTTCCTGAGGGTGCTGGCCGAAAATAAAAGTGATGTTCGCATTTTTGTGAACGGCAGGGGGAAACCTGGGCAAGCATACCTGGTTCCTTCTTGTTTTGGACAACGCCCCTGCGCTTTGTGGGTATTGTTAGGAGAGCCGGGATCTGGCCCAGCGCACAGCGGATACCCACTATTGCTGGCCATGCCACTCTATTCCACCTTTTTCTTTTGTCCTCAGGTCTCCACGCGCGCGCTCCACGAAGCAGCGCCCTGCGTCAAGAGCAGCGCCAGCAATAGTCCATCCCGGGTCATGTCTACGTACAGCGCCAACCCACCCGCCTCCCCCTACTCCGTCGAGCATGTAGCGTTTTGGGGGAGTCAAATGACGAGGATAAGACGCTCATCCAAAAGCGGGCTCGGAACAATTGCAGCACTATTCATATGACGAGTCTAATGTCAAATGTAGACATGCCCTGATATAGTGTGCGCAGGATACTTTGCTTTTTACATGGCTCTGGGTAGCCCCAAGAATGGGGCTGGAATCGGGGAGGGCAAGGGAACGGCAGAAGTGCATTGCTTGGTCAGTTGTTGCGTGTGGATCCCGACGGTAAAGAAAAAAGCCACGCGATGTTGCAATACCTTTCGGTCGACATTTCAAGGTTCCCAGCGCACAGGTGTAGTGCTAGGCTGTCTGAAAGCGTGGAGTTCAGAGTATCCGCACCATCGCTTGTGGATTACCTGATCAGCATTCGGCGGAGCTGCCCATCCGCAGCTATTGGTGAGCCAATTCTGGGGGCACAGGGCATTCAAAGCGGGGCTTGATAACACCTCGGTCGGCTGATACGCATCCGCCAGTATGCCAATGTGTGTGAAGTTGTACATCTCATTGGCAGCGATGCTTTTGCCTTATTCACTTATGCCTGCCATGGTCTGTTGTGATGCGGGTACGGCCGCTGTTTGCAGTCCGCTCTCTGCAAGTCAAAGTATATGCTTAATCCTCTCTTTGCATCCTTTTAGTTCGCGTCTGCGCTGTGACGAACACTTGTGTGTCGATAAGGTCACACCGCGCTCACAGCTCCTATTAAAAGCGCATTTCTCACATGATTTCGGTCTGGGAACTCGCTGGATAGTAAATCAGACTGTACAACGAAGCCTGTATCGCTGGTCTGCACGGCAGGCTGTATGTACACTCGCAAAGTCGTGGCAGGCGAGGACGGTTGCTGCCTTGTGCACTCTCAAGCCTAGGGTCCATCAAGGAAGGCGGTGATCTGCTGATCCGGCCAGTGTGGAGCAGTGATTTGGAACCTCGAACGCCAAGGCCGAAGAGCGCACAAAGGCCGCCGCACGACTATTATTAATATCGAGCCTCTTTATCCCCTCTTTCCGTTCGCTTTCCCGCCCTTCTACAGCCTTTTCCCCTTTTCCCCTCCCTTGTTTCCAATCGACCCCTTTCAATTTCTTACACCTTTATATATTTCTCTCTTTTTTGCTAGTTTCAGTAACGACAATATGGTTAAGGAGCGTTCGTACAAGATTCTTGAGCAGCTGGACGAGTATGAGCTGCAGGATAACGGGGACTCAAGCATGGCGGTGTACGACAGCGACTCGGACGGCCAGCACCTGACGCGGGACATGCAGGCCAATGTGGTTCCCTCAGCCATGGACGGCGATGATGATGTCAGCGACGATGGCCACGACAGAGAAGCGGCAGGCGGCAACAGCGCCGGCAGCGCCTCGGCACAGCAGGCATCGTCGGCGACTGCAGTGATGCCGACGTCGACAGACGGAGTATTTTCAAACATGGCGGCCAAGCCCGACGTGTACTTGGGCTATGACGACAAGGTGCCCGACGAGCCACTACCGGTAAGTATAGGGGGCAAATAAGCACAGGGGTGTTGTTTTGTTTTGGGGAGTGGAGGAAATCCTGCACGAAGGTATTCTGAAACACCCCTCCACAATTGTAGACGTACCAAGACATTTACGGCCCGCAGTCGGACGGCGCACCCCCGTACTTTGAGCCGGCGGTGATTTCGGTGGGCGACGAGGAGGAGCTGCTGATAGAGGGCCTGCCTGTGGGCTCGGTGGGCGTGTTTGTGGTGAACCTTGTGGTGTCGACGGCGTTCCAGATTGTCGGCTACATGCTGACGTTCCTGCTGCACACATCACATGCTGCCAAGAACGGGTCGCTGGCGGGCCTTGGGATTACATTTTTCAACTTTGGGTTCTACATCCGCACGCACCTGGGCGAAAACCTATTCGACGACGTGCCGAACGCGCCGCCGCAGGGCCATCCGGGGCAGGGCGGCGAAGACGGGCAGTACGACATGGACTCACCGCTGGACAACGCATACTTTGCGTACCTTTTGATGGTTGTCGGCTCAGCGATATTCCTAAAGTCGGTGTTCGACTATGTCCGGATCCGGCGGCTGCAGGCAATTATCGAGAGCTCGCCCGAGATGAACGTCTAGGCCTTGTCTTGCATGTACTTTTCATGTTGAAAAAAATCCCCAATGTATTCACGGTTCTTCAAGTCTACTGGTGCGGGACGAAGCCACGCGATGCCAGGATGTTGTAGAGGTTGCGGCCAAACTGCGTGCCGTAGGCGGCCACACCCTGGGAGAGCTTGTCGGCCTTGCCCATCTCCTCAATGCGCCTGTTCAGGAAGCGCCATGTGTGGGCGTGGTCGGGAGACTTATCCTCGCACATGTACATCTCCGTGGCCACATAGGCGGCAGCCAAGGCAGACCGCTTCGCATACCAGTCTAGCCTGACGCTCTGGTCGCCAGCCAAATACCAGATGCGACTCGCCAGCTTGCCCATCTGGTCAATCGCGGTGGGCACGTTCTGCGGCTGCGCCAGCAGCGCCGCAGCCTCATGCCAGCGGTTTGCGTACGGCAGGGTCTGGCGCAGACGCGTAATGCAGATAAACCGCAGCTTGTCGTTGGTGCTATCGAACTCGTGCAGCTGGTCGTCGACCTCAATGGTGGTTTCGTCCAGCGCACGGTCCATGAAGTGGCGGACCAGGCCGAGCCCGCCTGACTCGGAGACACCGTGGGCCATGGACGAGTAGCCCAGGTCCTGGCAGGCGGCGATGACGGAGGCGCGGGTCCACCCGAGCTCGTTGACCTTGGTCAGCGCGTGGTCAAGGATCTCGAGGTTGTGGTTGGAGGGCGTAGTGTAGAGCCGGCGCAGGGGTGCGCGTGCAGCGACCCGGCGCAGGAGAGTGCTGTTCATTGCTGGCAAGGGGAAGGGTAGGGGACAATATCCAGGAAAGCGAAAACAATCAACAAACGCAGAAGCGCGCAAATCCTGTGTAGTTTTTTTTCGGGCATGCTTGGACGCTCACGGGGAAATGGGTTCGCAGCGCGAGAGAGGGGAAAAAGCCATGGCATCAGCCGCACCTGGGCTTCCAGTTCTCCGCACCAGCAACTTTTTCCGTCTCCGCTCAGCACATTTCGGTGTATTCTTTCTCCACATAGTATTTCGCTCCCCCATTCTAATTCAGTCTGAAAAACAATACCCGCGAACGAATGGATAGCTTTGACTTGCATTCGCTCATTCTCGAAGAGCTGTCGACTGTGCTTGCAGCGACATGCAGGCCCGCGGATACAAGTAGCACCGACCCGGCAGTGCAAAAGGTGCTGGCGCAGTGCCCACCGCTGCCCTCGCAGCACTCAGAGCAGGCGCTCCGCGTGGTGGTGACGAAGCGGCACGAGAACGGGATTCTAGCCCTGGCCAAGCTGCTCAGCACGACTAGTTCAGCGATCGTCCGCACGTCACTCCTGGGCCGAGTTCTGGATTTCGTCAGCGCACTGCCCCAGTACTCGTACAACTCGTCGGCTTTCGGCGTCGGCGGATACCACGCCGAGCACTGGTTCCTGGAACGCTTTATCGGCCGGCTGCTGGCGTGCGCGGTGCAGGCGCCTGAGACAGCCGATGCCATCCTGGGGCGTATCTGGGCGCTGCTGGGCGACCTGGTGGGAATTCTCGAGTCCCATGAGCAGGACCGCATTGTGACGTTTGCGCTACCGGCGTTGCTGGGCGCGATGGAGGCGCTGGAGAAGTCGCCATTCAGGTACCGGTCGTCGGACGTGCTGCGGGCAGATGCGCTGTCGCAGCGGCTGCTGGAGCCGGCGGTCATTGAGAACATCCACAAGGCGATCACGACCCCAGCGGCGACCGCGGCGGCTCGACGCACAATCGCGCTGTACCTTCAGAAGGACATCGGGCTGTCGGGCAGCTACGTACTGGCGCAGTTCCTGCTGGTGATCCGGGCGGTGCTCGAGTCGCGGCTTGCGGTGCGGCTGGTGGAGTGCGGGTTGCTTGACGGCAAGCTGATTGACGGCAAGAACCCGCACCAGCTGTGGGACCTGATCTCGCAGCTGGACGTCCATTGCTGCAACTCGGAGGATGGCCTTGGGGTGCCGGCTGAGACCGAGCCGGAGCTCAGCAGTGCCTATGTGCGGTTCCTGGCAATCAGTCTGCAGACATACACGGACACGCGCACGGCGCTGGTGCGCCATATGCAAGCCAGTGACGGGGCCGACGAGATGGAGCCAGACGGCAAGGCGAAGCTGCGCGCCAAGCCCAGCCCCTCGCTGACAACCAACCTGAGCATCGAGTACCGCACGCTATACGCAGGCACGCTGGTGTCTCTGCTTCTGGGCAGGCTGGACGCAGGCCTGCTGAGCAATATCCTAGAGCACATCTGCAGCGAGTACGCGCACCGCATGGCCAGCCTGACGGTGGTCTGCTTCCGCGTGCTGGTCACCATTGCGTCGTTCTTCCCGTCAAGCCGCGACTCGATCCTAGCGGCCGTCAGCGGCTTCATCACTAGTCCGCCGGAGCGCCTAGTGCGTGATCTGGCAGTTTCAGGTGGCTCGCACAGCGAGGAGGAGTACTTGATCGTGCCTGCAGCCTCGGCGCTAGCAGCATGCATGCGTCTGGCCACCAGCAAGCCGCGCATTATCTCGACTATCCACACGCTGATCAACACACTGGCCGCCAGCCGCACCGGTAGCGAGGTGTCGGCGCGGACGCTGCGGATTTCGCGCAACGTGATCCTGGTGCTGTCGCGGCTGGCGCTGCTTTACCAGGACGCGGAGATCACAGCGCTGGTGGTCAGCATGGTCTGTGCGCCGCGATTCACCGCCACAGCGCAGCTGGTGCCGCTGGTGATCGAGAGCTCGGCCAGCGTGGCAGCCATTGCCGACGTGCAGACCTTTGGCAACGTCGTGACCATGGCACACAAGCGCGTGTCGTTTGCGCGTGACTCGGACGACAGCGTCAATGTCACTGTCACTCACACCATGGTTGATCTGGCGGGGCGCGTGAGCGACCGGGCGGAAATCATCGAGAGCTTCTTCTGCGAAGTTCTGAAGTCCTTCATCGACGCCAGTATTGAGTTTGCATCACCGGCCAAGTTCAAGGGCCGGGCAGTGACGCCGCTATCGACATTCTTGCCAATTCTCGATGCGCTGGTGTCGGCACGCGGCTACGCTATTGACAAGGAGGCGACGGCTGAGCAGATTTCGCTGTGGCGGAACTTTTGGTTCCACATGGTGATCCGCGGCTATGTCACCGAGCGGTCATATGTGAAGAGCTACGGCCGCATCTTTGCCAGCCTGGCCAGCAAGTCGCCGATTCTGGTGCACCCCTCGTCAATCAACTATCTGGAGACAGAGATCGAGTACAACTCGATTCTGCAGCGCGAGTTCTCCGACGCCCGCCTGACGCAGCTGCGGCAGGCGCTGACGCCCATTGTGTCGCCGCAGAACAGCGCGCTACTGCGGAGCATCGGCTTCCCGCAGGCTGTGTTTTTGCTGGCCGTGTATCATGTCGAGGTGGCCCGCGCCCGCGCCGGTAACTGCGCGACTGTGCTGCACTATTTCAGCAATTCGGCCGTCACCAGCTCCAATCTGCTGCCGGAGGTCGAGAGCATTGCTGAGCTGGTCATTCTGGCGTATGTGCGCGAGACGACGTCACGCAGATGGTCCGTCGAAGTGTCGCTTGCAGGTAACCAGCCCAGCAGCCCGCCAGTCAGTGCTGAGGACGTGCCCGTCGACAGGCACATCCAGAGCGGGGCTACGTCAGTGGTCAAGGCACAGGTACGCGAGCTGATGGTCGCCTCATGCCACCACCTGGAGCAGGTCAGCAAGTGGGCGCAGCACTTTGCTGAAAAGATCCTGCGCGCATTCCCGCAGGCCCTGCTTGACAAGGCTGTGATCTTTACTCTGCTGGAGCTGGTGCAGCTGGTGTGGAAGAGCTGCAAGGCCGAGCAGGACGACCAGTTTGTGCCTGTCTACTGGTTCACGTCCGAGACCCTTGGCATCACACTGCAGCTGCCAGACTCGATTACTTACCGCAAGACGCTGTTTGCCCGCATGTCGGCCTGCGCCAAGCGCTGGCTCGAGATGGTCGGACGCGCGGCGCCGCTGGAGTTGGAGACTCTTCTGCAAGTCTACTTGTCAACGCCCTGCGACGATAACCTCGACTACGAACCTCACATTGGCCACTCGCTGGCCATTGAGGTCGGCAGCAACATCCGCTTTGGCGTTGCTGTCTCGGTCAACGCGGGCGCCCTGGCCACCAACTCGTCGGCATTCTCGTACCGCCTCGGCCTGCGCAACTACTTGCGTGGACACATTGGCCACGGCCGCGACGTGCTGGCGCTGAAGAAGGCGCTGTCGGAAATCTACGCTGCGGCCAAGGAGAACCCGGGCATGCCATTGCCCGAGGGCGGCCCGGGCTTGCGCGAGGTGATTGATCTCCTGCAGCACGCCACCCACCAGGTGGTTGCTGACGCCAAGGCCGACCGCGAGCTGGCGCGGCTGCTGGTGTGGGTGCCGCTGGTGCTGTTCGAGGAGAGCGTGATGCGCGCGGCCACGCACATGTGGACGACGCTGATAGTCGAGCGCGCCGACGCCGAGGTCCTGATTATGGTCGAGCTGACCATTGCGTGGACATGGCTGATCCAGCAGCACCTGGGCATATTCTCGCACCGCTTCGAGCCCAAGAACCCGTTCGCCGCCAAGATGTCCTATACGCCCTCGGACAAGTCGGCGCGGTCGCGCGGCTATGCGGTCATTTCGCGGTCGCTCAATCCGCAGACGCTGCTGATAGAGTTTCTGCTGCAGCGCTTCGACTCGGTCAAGCACCTGCCGTCGGTCAACTTCAATGTGGTCAATGCCATCCTGCGCATCCTGCAGGCGTCGTTTGCAAACTGCGAGCGCATCACGACCAACGCGTTGGCGCGCGGCCCGCTGTTTATGCTTGTGCATTTGGGCTTCAAGATGCTCAAGCTTGGCTTCGAGAGCAGCGCCATCTTGGAGTCCAAGCTGCGCGATGGGCTGTACCGCATGGCCTTCAGGTGGTTTGCGTTGCCGCCAAGGTGGAGCTTCAGCGGCAGCAAGGCGACGCTGGCTCGCGAGATCCAGATCCTGATCGACACCCGCCATACGATCAAGGGCGACACGCCGGTCCTGCGCTCGCTGCCATCGCAGATGCCTGCGGGCGCGACCTGGAACGCTAATGGCAGCGGCCCGAGCACTGGGCTGACCACGCGCGGCTCCAGCAGTAGCCTGGTCAGCGGCTCCGGCGGCAACGCCAGTGCTACAAGCAACCTGCAACCTGCATCCTCTGCACCCTCACACTCGCGCGGCCACAGCATCCTTCACCTGCACAAGCGCCATTCGAGCATCAAGTCTCCGGCGCCGCTCGCTGGCATGAGCGCGGCAGCCCTGTCTGAATCAACCAGCGTCACATCTTTGACTGAGGACGACGCCGACCGCGAGATGATTCTGAGCGTGCCGCGCGAGCAGCTGAAGCAGCGGGCGCAGCGCAACCAGACGCTGCTGCTGATGCTGATTGAGAACGAGATTTGCCGCATGGCGACTTGGGCCAATCCGACTGACCAGAGGATCGGCTACCTACCGGACGTCACCCGGTTTGCACGCGACAAGGTTCTCACTGATGTTGGCTGGCAGAACCTCGTCGTCGACGCCTGGGTTGCCGATCCGCGCCTGGCCGTGCAGCTCACCCAGCGGTTCTCCAACCCGGCCGTGCGTCGCGAGCTCAAGAGCCTGATCTGCAAGTTCCCTGGCGAGCTGGTCCACGAGCCCGATGCGCTACCATTGCTGATTGAGCAGCTGCGCGGTGCGGACACCCTTGCTGCGAATGGCAGTGCGGGCGGGCCATTTGCTGCCGGGATTTTCAACAATCTCGGCCGGTTGCTGACGTTCCGTGAGCAGAAGTTTTTGCTGTACTGGAGCCCGGTGCCGCCCATCACGTCGACCTCGTATCTTGCGTCATCGTATTCGCGCAACCCATTGGCGCTGCAGTACTCTATGCGCGCGCTCGAGTGCTTCCCTGTCGACATCACCTTCTTCTATATCCCCCAGCTGGTGCAGGCCCTTCGCCACGACAAGTCCGGGTACGTTGAGCGCGCGATCGTGTCGTCTGCGCAGATCTCGCAGCTCTTCGCCCACCAGATCATCTGGAACATGAACGCAAACATGTACAAGGATGAAGAGTCGCAGGTGCCAGATGCGCTGAAGCCCACGCTGGACCGCATTGTCGAGACTATCGTCGGAGGGCTGAGCGGCGAGGACCGCAGGTACTATGAGAAGGAGTTTGACTTCTTTGGCAAGGTCACAGGCATCTCTGGCAAGCTCAAGCCGTTCATCAAGAAGAGCAAGCCCGAGAAGAAGCGCAAGATCGACGAGGAAATGCGTAAAATCAAGGTCGAGCCCGGCGTCTACCTGCCCAGCAATCCGGACGGCACTGTGGTTGACATTGACTACAATAGCGGCCGTCCGCTGCAGAGCCACGCCAAGGCGCCATTCATGGCCACCTTCATTATCAGCAAGCCTCAGGACGCCGGTGATGAAGTGCAGGAGCTGCTTAAGGAGTCCGATGCTACGGTGACGCCGCCTGAAACCTCATCCAGCGCCAGCTCGATTGCGGAGGCCACTGATAATAACCGTCTGCCGCCGATTGAGGAGTCCAAGCCCTTTGGCAATCAGCTTGACTTGGGCGACGACAACAGCGACGACGACAACGACAAGACAGATGAAATTCACGATGGTTCTCCGGCCGAACACGAGTTGGACATGGAGTCGCTGTCGTCCAAGCTTGTCAAGGCAAAGGAGGTCGTGCACCGCAGCAACTCTGGTATCAGTGACGCGCCGGATCTGATTGGCATCTCGTCGACGCTGTCGGAGCGCGTGACGGGCCGGCCAAGTCGTGAGTCTGGGCGCTCGCATAGCCTGGCGGTCGTCCACACCAAACAGTCCATGGCTGTCGCTGATGCTGCGATTGTGCAGAAGCGTAGTGCTAGCCTGCTTGTCTCCAACTCGTTCTCGAACCAGGGCAAGGCTGTGGCGGCTGCTGTCGCTGCTCATAACACGGCAGCAGCAGCAGGCCATGACCGGCAGAGCATCAAGTCGGCCAAGAAGGGCGGGAAGCGCATCAGCAGCGAAGTCATCACTCGGCTGTCAGCCATCTTCAAGGTCGGCGACGACTGCCGGCAGGATGTGCTTGCGTTGCAGCTAATCGCGGTGTTCAAGAATATCTTCACCTCGTGCGGGCTCGACCTGTATCTGTATCCGTACCGTGTCGTGGCGACCGCGCCTGGATGCGGTGTGATCGATGTGATCCCGAACTCGATCTCGCGCGACCAGATGGGCCGCGAAAAGGTCAATTCGCTGAGCGACTACTTTGCCATCAAGTACCATGGCGTCGACTCGATCCAGTACCAGCAGGCGCGCAGCAACTTTGTGCAGTCGCTGGCGGCTTACTCGGTGCTGTCGTACCTGCTACAGTTCAAGGACCGGCACAACGGCAATATCATGATTGACGACCAGGGCCATATCGTGCATATTGACTTTGGCTTTATCCTTGATATTGCCCCAGGCGGCATCACGTTCGAGTCTGCGCCGTTCAAGCTCACCACGGAGTACATCCAGGTCATGGGCGGGTCTGCCGAGGCGCAGCCGTATCGGCTGTTCTGCGAGCTGTGCATTAAGGCGTATTTGGCGTGCAGGCCGTATGCCGAGACCATTATTCAGATCGTCGCGCTGATGATTGATTCAGGGCTGCCGTGCTTCAAGGGCGAGAGCACATTGACTAAATTGCGCGGCCGGTTCCAGCTCGACAAAACGGAGCGCGAAGCTGCGCAGTTCATGGCTGACCGCATCGCCGACTCGTATGAGAACAAGCGCACAGTCATGTATGATTCGTTCCAAAAGGCAACTAACGGAATCCCTTATTAGACCATCTCCACATATTCGACCATAGTATTTTATGATTTCATTCTATTTTGCTCATGTCGTAAATGGCTGGTTGTAAGCAAGTTGGATATGCTCCTTTAGTTCGCTTTTGACATCGTCAGTAGCCAAGATCTGAAGCACACGATTGCTCTCAGCTGTTGATTTTGCATTCAAGGGTATGGATGCCGACAGTGAGGCTTCCATGAAGGATAGCGAGAGTGACGAAGAGGAGGGAACATTGGAGGACAGGGTCCATGACAGGCACCCGCGCAGAAGGACCCGGCAAGAGTATCGTCCGGATCCACGGCAGAGCCGGCAACGCGAGCTGTCGCCGGATCGCGGGTTCTAAACTGGTTTCATCTGAGGAGCCCAAGTTGCATAACTGTTGACCAGCCAGGCAAAATGGCGTGTCTTTTCTGAGCTAGCTGTCTGCACGAATACGAATAGAAGCCATACGAAATCATCTACAGCCTCTTTTTCTCCACGCTATGTCGTTCCGCTTTGGCCCGCTCATCATCCCGCAGTCCCAGGTGTTCATGGTCTCCCGGCTGTCGTACGGGCTAGTCAACCTGAAGCCGGCGGTGCCTGGACACGTCCTGGTGGTTTCGCGCCGCCCTGTCACCCGCTTCAACGATCTCTCTGCCGACGAGGTCACTGACCTGTTCCAGCAGGGCCAGCGAGTGTCAAGGCTGGTAGAGCGCGTGTACAAGGCTGACAGCCTGGCGCTCGTGATCCAGGACGGCAAGGAGGCAGGCCAGTCGGTGCCGCACGTCCACCTGCACATTCTGCCGCGGCGCAAGGCCGACTTTGCAAACAACGACGATATCTACGATGAGCTGGGCTCGAGAAAGCGGGTGAGGGGCGTGGACAACGACGAGCGCGTGCCCAGGAGTGCGGAGGAAATGGCCAGGGAGGCCGAGTTGCTCCGCAGCGAGCTCGGCGAGTGGAGTTCAGACGCCAGCACACTATCTGATGGCAGAGCGTCCACATGACCTGGAGGCCGACAACTAGCGAGCGGATCGGATAGAGGGCGAGCGGCGCCTTTGGCCTCGCTCAACACACCGTCCTCTTTCCGCTCGCTTATCTCTACATCTTGCTCTTTTGCTGTCTTTTTAGAAATGCTAGCCAATTCCCGCACAATTTGGAAACTGCCACAGCTTGCGCTCTTGGCACGGCGGCCGCTCCACGCACAGCACAGCCCCCTGGCCTTCGCCGCAAAGCACACAGCAGGCGCCGGCACTATCGACAGGCGGGTCGGCACAGTTTCGCCGCACCGGCACCACCTGGTAGTCTGCAACTCTCGCTCCAGCGAATGGCCGTCCAAGATCGAGGGGCTGAGTCCCGCCATCACAGCGCTTGCCCGCGGCAGTGTGCGGCTGCCTGGACGCGCCATGGTGACGCTGTCGGACTTTGCCCCACTGCCGCGCAGGCACGGCGGCTGCTCATGCAGTGCGCCAGCAGAGCCCGACGTGCCGGTAGAGGAGAAGTTTGCAAAGATCGACGTCGCAGTGTTTCCGCACGGGCTGGTTGCCGAGCAGCTGGATGTCGATGGCGTGCAGAAGCTGCTGGAGTGGCTGGGCCACGATGTCCTGCCAACATCGTGGACATCGACAGACACGGGCCTGCCGCAGCCGCAGTTTGCCCACCGCTGGCTCGACATGAACAAGAACCGGCACATCTTCATATGCACGCACGGCTCACGCGACCAGCTGTGCGGTGTGCACGGAACGCAGCTGCTGCGTGATGTGCGCGCGCTGATCGCGGATCATGGGCTGGGCAAGCATGTTGCGGCATGGGAGACGTCGCATGTGGGCGGCCACAAGTACGCGGCCAACGCGATTGTCTACCCGCGCGGCGACTGGTACGCGACATGGTGCGACAAGTGTCGCGGCGAGGGTGGTGCGCCGGTGGCGGACACTGCTGGTCGGACAGATGCGCAGGCGCTGCTGGATGCTGTCACCCGCGATGCCGTGTGGTGGGAGTCGTGGCGTGGAGCTGTAAATATGACCAAGAACGACCAGATTACTACCTACCGGAGGAACTACCCTGGGCTGTCGGCGCAAGAAGCGGAGCACGACGACTCGGTATGGACTCCTCAGGTCCGGGCTCGGCGTGGAGTGTATTGAGGAATAAATGGACTGTTGGCTGTTCGTAGTGCGTGGCCCAGAACGGACCCACGGTCAATGTGGAGCTGGGCCGGATCACATCTAGAGCGATTTCAAGTGGGCCGGTCACGGCAGCTGCTCATCATACAACCCGGCAATTGCAAACTGGAGGACTGCTGGGCTGGTGACCATTTCGTGGCGGTAATCCTGGTGCGCGTCCCTTGTGTACGAGGTCTCAGCATCCGCCGGCTCAGGATGGTTGTTTGTAGGTCATGACTCAGGGATGCAAGTGCATATACCCGCGTTTGAGCACAAGCGGACGGGCGGGCTCTGGCGGTTCCAGCTGCAAGAGGACTTGCAAAGAGAAGAGGCAGTGGACAGCGACAGACAGGCGAAAAGTGGATGCTGTTCACGAATGCATCCACCATCGACCCGCTGCCGCTTGTTTCAAGCATGGGTTCTGGCAGCATCAGCGAGGCTACCAGGGCAGAGGTTCTGCCATCATTCGTGCAAGGTGACGTGCTCAACGGAGGCGGGCACCCGTGCATCCTGAGGATCCCAACCAGATATCTGGATTGCGTGTCGGTCAAAGGAATCAACCACGAGCTGACACTTGATAGCTTTGCCTGTCAGCTGGAAGGGCTGTTGGTTTTTTTTTTTTGAAAAGGTTCGCCATCTTGGACTGCACCTTTGACGTGGCCAGAGTCCACCGGTGCCCTATGATCCGAGTGACTACGTCGTGGAGTCTCTGAATCCTCATCCTCTCCAGACAGACCACTCCACTCAAATTCATCAGGACATATGCGAGTTGTTTGGGTCGCCACAGCTGGGTTCACTGGAGGCAAAGACCGATTTCCAAGGTGTTATAGGCATCGGCCCTCGAACCATAGCTAGCACGGGTTCGCTGTTCATCGGTGCGATATGCATGTGCAATGTGGTGCCGACTAGAGCTCAGGAGGTTGATACTTTGCGCTTTTGTAGGACTGAGCTGTTTGTCGAGGATGCTACGCTTGCTGGGATGCGCTTTTCCTCACGCCTTCAATTGGTCGAAAACTCACTGATTGGTGATGCAGGTTGACAAAGTTGTACCAGTCCGACATCGCCCAACTAGTCTAACAAATACTCAGGAGGCACACACTGCGCCTTCATGCTAACATCATGCGCACCGAGGGTGCTGCCAGCTACTTGTAGTTTTACAGCACAATACATGAACAGCCGATTCGCAATATCGCTTATACCGGCTATCCCTAGGTTCGCTTATACACAATAGGAATAAATACATTTCCCTTCCGAAACACCTCGGCGAAGAGCTTAGTACAGAGCCACAATCAGGGCACACCACTATAATAGCAAAAAATAAGCTGCTCTCACCATTCTCAGAAGTGTATGTTTGCTTGCCCCTCTTTCCATGTGACGACGTGCATGTTCTAATCTCCATAGTGTATTAGGTGTATAAATAACAACAACGTGGTAGCAATATGGAAGCCATTTAAATACCACACCCGGAATGTGGACAACCACACTGCCAAAGGAGTCAGAGGCTCTGTTGGTCGAAGCGATACAAGCAAGTCCTAGCATCTCTATTTCCATGATACGCCATTACACAACATCAAATACGTTTTTATTCTTTGCAAGTTCAGAGTAATAAGTCTCATTAGGACTGTTGCTCCCACCTTCCTTGCTACCGCTGCAGCAGCCCAAAAGGCCGGTGATAAATGCAGGCCTACTAGCGACAAGTTCCTGGAGAAAGAATACGGACTGAATTGTATTGATCGATAGTATGACTAGTCTGCGGTTGTGATAGTCTGTGCAGCTGAACACAGCGAGGCGAATTGCAATTGTCTTCATTAGTCTGGTGGCTTAAAAGACTATAGAAACTTTGACTGCGTATTGAGTGCTAGAATCTGAGATACAATCCAGATTGTCTTACCACACGGCAAGGCAGTATATTAATTCCACTCACAATATCTTTTTTCATATATAATCTTATATTCATTTTGAAATATCAATTAAAGTAGCAAGACTTTCAGCGACTTGCAGAAAATTTTAATTTCCTACAAGCTGCATACCCAGATCGATGGTACACAGCCATCATACTGGTGTTGCGTGCGCAATAAGCTAAGAGACACGAGTATTTGTGATTAGCAAATGTCGACAACCGAATGTTTCAGAAGTTATATTTTTAGTTCAGTTTTCTTGACAAAGTAGTGTTTTGTAGAGCTAGTGGCTGCGCTTCTTTTTCTTCTTTGGCGGCTCTTCATCCGAGGAGGAGTCTGAAGAAGAGTCGCTGTCTGACGAAGAGTCGCTGCTAGAGCTAGAGCTGGAGTCGCTGTCGGAGTCAGAATCGGAGCTCGAATCACTGCCGGATGAAGACGACGAGCTCGAATCGCTGCCGCTGTCCGAATCAGAGCTCGATGATGAAGACCCACTGCCCGAGTCGCTATCAGAGCTGCTGCTGGAAGATGAGCCCGAGTCCGAGTCCGAATCACTATCACTGTCCGAATCGGAGCTGCTGCTCGATGACGACGAAGATGACGACGACGAAGAGTCCGAGTCCGAATCCGAATCACTGCTGCTCGATGACGAACTCGAAGAATCGCTATCTGAGCTGCTCTCCTCCTCAACCTTGACCTCCTTGACAAAGGCCTCGAGCTCATCACCACGGGCCGCAGCCTCGGCGATCAGCGCCTTGATGGTCTTGGCCATGCCAAACTCCTGCAGGAGCTTGTGTGCCTTAACAAGCTGCTGTGCAGACTTCTTGTTGCCTTTGTTGCCCATGTTGCTGGCCTTCAATAACAGAGTGTCTCAATTCTCTCGGAATGAACGAGAAAAAAATAGTAGCCAAAAATTGCGAAGCCAAAGAAAGAAGAGCTGGTTGGGGTGAGGGTGTGCGTTGCAGAAATTTTTTAGCCATACAATTTCGATAGACTTGCCTAGAACGCCTTGCCATCACATGATGCTGTTTCTCTATCCCACAATCTTTCCAAACTACAGATGCAAACGGCATCCAAACCTCTGTTGGCTGGCCCGGTCTCCAGAATGAGGGTCGGTTCTGAGATGGAGGAGCCAGCACTGTCGGATGAAAAAAAAAAAAAAAAGAGCGATGTATATATTTGAAACAGGAGACAGCATAAGGAGGAGTGTGCATGCGATTAGACAAAGTCGTTCCGAAGCGATTCATAGACCTTATAGGCACTGTTGACTTTGAAGTGCGCGGGCGCAATCGGGCTGTCAACCTGTCCGCGCAGCGTACCAGTGAGCTGCTTGTCGCGAGCCATCATCTTGTAGTCCCAGTCGTCCAAGCTGTAACGGATAGCCTACACAAGAACATGCACCAGGTGAGTATGCGTGACTGCTAATTGCGTGTAGCAAGCAACCTCGCTTTTGGCGTAGATTGCGTTTCAAAATGGGTGCGTGGTTTGTTTTTTTACCTTGCCCTCATTGCGCGAGTTCTGAGCGTAGCGGATTCCCAGACTGCCCGCGACAATCATTCCCGACATGACGGCGAACGGAACGAGCGACTCGAATGGAAGCGGCATTTTGTATATATATGTCTCTGTCCTCGTAAAGAGCAATAAAAGCAGGGGTGGTGGAGAGTAGGAGGAAATAAGCGTTTGAATTGGCAGCACCCAATTCGAGGTCTCGCAGTTCTGGCACGACTTATCTCCCACCTATCTCAAAAATCCTCAAGCCGCTGATCACGATCTTAATTTTCGACATATGATTTATTACCAGGGAAGGCAGCAGAATTGGAACGTGCTGTATTGCAAGAGACGCGGGTCGTCTACTCCTCGTCGTCGTCCATCTCGTCGTCGTCCTCATCCAGCGCCCTCTCAGCATACTGGATGGCCTCCTCGATGAGCTCCTTCGGCACGCGCTGATGCTTGCGGCCCGATTCCTCGCACACCCAGGAGAGCTCGAGTTCAAACAGCTTGTCCTTGGTCTCGTCGTGGGCCGAGTAAATAATGCGTGCGGCTTCCTTGATGGCCTCACGCACAGTCATCTCGCTCAGCTTCAGCTTCTCGATCTCAGTCTTTGCCACCTGCTTGCCCTTGCCAGCAGCACACCCGTGGTATCCGAAGTACTGACCCGAGGGCTCCACCATGTATAGCTGCGGACCATCGGCATCGTAGCTTGCCATGATCGTGCCGACGCCAAACGGCCGCACAGCCGAATAGAGCGTGTACACCTGCTTGTACATGCCCATGCGCTCGGCCAGGATCTTTGCGGGAACATCGCGCTTGTACGTGTCGTGGTAGTTGCGCGACTCTTCCCGCGCGCGCTTCACCAGGTGCCGCGTGTCCGACATCCACCCGGCCGACACAATGCCGACATGCTTCGCGGCAGTCATGATGCGCCGGTTCGACTCGGGCACCAGCAGGCGCGAGTGCTTGATCTTCTCCACTGCCAGGACTACGCCGTCCTTGACACGCAGACCGATCGCCGTGCCGCTGTTGTCTACGGCCTTCTGTGCGTATTCGACCTGGAAAATGCGGCCGTCCGGCGAGTAGGTGCTGACCGACAAATCGTACTACACAGCAGGAAAAGTGGAAAAAAGAAAAAATATTATGAGCGCATGGCCTCTGCATAATTGTCCTGGTCTGCTAATCTGCAATGGCAGCAGCCGGCCCTCTGCAAGCAACGTACACCTGTGCCAATCGAAGTCATTTTGGAATTGGTTAATTGAAGAAAGTAAAAGACAAGTTGAAGAGAGCGAAGCTGAGGTTTGCAGAACCAAGCGCTGGCCACGCAAACCCACACATTTGAGTATTTTCCAAGCATGAAAGCGTGACGTACGTCTAGCGAACACAGCGTCATTTTTTCCAGGGCGCCGTTGTGTGGGTCTGTTTGCTGTGTCACTTTGGGCACTTACAGATTGCCAATGGCCTCTGAGGTGCCGATGACCAGACACATGAGCCCGACGCACACGATGAGCGCACACCACGCGTACTCCCAGGGCGAGAAGGTGCACTGCTCACGGTACAGGATGATGTAGCAGACCACCGGGATCACAAACACCACCATGGACGCGGCCACAGCACCCAGAATCGGCACGAATTTGGCAAAGTCAGACACAAACAGCGCGCACAGCGCAATGGCGGCCATCATGGCGGTGCGGAACAGCACCCGGTACATGCGCTCAGCAGCCGGCGAATGGTGGGCGGCGTCGATGTTTAGGTCGCGCTCGGCCTCGATGAACACGGCGGTCAGTAGGATCGGACAGGCGAGCAGGACGTGGGCGGTGATCATCACATTTGCGGTAGCCACAGGTAGGCCTTTGGACAGGCTCAGCAGGATGGGCGACATCACGTGGTCGCCGTATGCACCGTACCCAATCACCGCCACGCACAGGTAGATGAAGGCAATGAAGGCGGTGGCCACCGAAAGCGTCTTGCTCCAGAGCTTCGGCGACTCCATCGATGCCTCGAGGTCGGGCCAGTTCAGATTGCCGCCAAAGCTGAAGCAAATCGACGCCAGCGAGATCGGCAGCATCTTGCCATCCACCAGCTTCGTCGGCGGCACCTCCTTCCGCCGGCTGGCGTCGCCGATACCAATCCACATGATAATAACCACAGTGACAACGGTCGTCAACGTGCCAAAGAAGCTGAGAACAAACACATCGTGGATCTCACGCGCCAATACAATCACCAGCCACACCAGTACTGCCGATGCTGCGATCCAGAACTGCACGCTCGGCACAAAGGCAGACGAGTCGGCCAGGAGTGTCGAGATATTGACGCCTGCGAGCACAATGTAGATGCCAACGACGCCCAGCAAATTGAAGTCCTTCAGTGTCCGCACGATCTGCTTGCCGCGCCGGCCCAGTGCTGCCTCGACCACGTCAGAGTACGACTGGAGCCGCGTGCCCTGCTTGCAGTAGAGGCAGCGGATCAGCATGTTTCCCGTGTACGATGAGATCATGCCTGCGAGCACAATGTAGAAGGCTCCGATCCATCCACCCTCCTTTAGCGCATACGGGAGCTGGAGGATGCCTGTGCCCGCAGTAATGCACACGATGTGGAAGAAGGTCTCGACGCTGCTGCCTTTCTTGTGAACAGCTGCTGGCGAATCGCTGGAGTCTGTGAGTGCTGCTGGCTCTGGCGTCGCTGAGTATGTGACTCTGGCACTGCTGAGCAGCGGCTGGGTGGGAGACGAAGGCATGGCTGGAAAAAGAATAAGAAAGGCAAGAAGGGAGGGATGTGCACAAAAAACTTTTGACCATCTCGCAGGGTTTCACATCCACTCCTGCGGTTCCCATTCGCAGCCGTTTGCGCAGACATCGGATGATCGGGGAGGGATAGCCAACCAAAAGAAAAAAAAAACAGCTTCAGCAGTGTATTTTCACATAACTAGTCAAAGACGATCTTGGTGGGCTTGGCCGCCTCGTCAACGTCCTTGAAGAACGCACCGTAGGCCGAGTGCTGCTTCTTCTTGACGGTGGTGCCGAACTTGAGCAGGTTGTCGGGCACCGGCATGTTGGCCGCCCGCAGCGTGTTGATAAGCTCGCCCGAATGGGCCTTGTCGTGGACCGTGAAGAACGTGTGGGCCACGCCGGTCTTGCCAGCACGTGCCGTGCGGCCACAGCGGTGAGTGAACTCGTCGATGGTCAGCGGGAACGTGTAGTTGATAACATACTCGACATCAGGCACGTCCAGACCGCGGGCCGCCACGTCGGTGGCAATCAGCAGCGGGATGCTACCGTCGCGGAACGACTCGATGGCCTGCAGGCGCTGCGCCTGGGCCTTGTCGCCGTGGATTCCCACGCAGTTGTACCCCTGCCGCCGCAGCGTGGCCTCAATGCGCGCGGCCTCCTTCTTGTAGAGAGCAAAAATCAGAATGCGGTTTTTGCGCGACTTGTGGTACTTTTGCAGGAGCTCCATCAGCCGCCGCTCCTTGCGGTCCGGGTCCAGCACCTCGACGATCTGCTCGACGCGCTCGTTGACAGCCAGCTCGTCTGAGCCAATCGAGACGCGCACAGGGCGGATCAGGAAGTCGTCGGCCAGCTTGCGCACCGTCTGCGGCCACGTCGCGCTGAACATCACCGTGTGCCGCTGCTCCCCCTGCCGCGCCATGCCGATAATCTTGCGGATGTCGCGCTCGAATCCCTGGTCCAGCATGCGATCAGCCTCGTCCAGCACAAGGAACGACACGTCCGACAGATCCAGCGCCTGGTCGGTCTCAATCAGATCGATCAGCCGCCCAGGCGTCGCCACAATCACCGCCGGCTTCTGGTTCCTGAGCATGCTCTTCTGCTCGTGCTTTGGTGACCCACCGTACAGGCACACCGACTGGATACCCAGCAGTTTGCCAGCTGCCTCCACCTGCTCGTGCGTCTGGATCGCCAGTTCGCGCGTTGGCGACACAATCAGCACGTGGGGCTTCTTGCACTTTTGTGCCTTGGTGCCGAATGTGTTCTTCAGGTAGTTCAGAGCCGGCAGCGTGAACGCAAATGTCTTGCCCGAGCCCGTTTCAGCAATGCCGATTACATCGCGGTTCGCGCAGATGACCGGCCAGCACGCCGCCTGGATTGGCGTCGGCTTGTCGAACTTTGCACACGCCTGCAGAATGTCCGAGCCGAAGGGTGTGTTGGAGAAGTTCAGGTACGGCATGAACGAGTCGTCACCCGTGACCGAGATGCTGTTCTCCTCGTAGAACTTCTTGGCGTCGGCAATGCTCACCTCGGCCGGTGATGTCTTGGTCTTCTTTGCCGTCTGGCTGTCCTCGTCGCTGCTGCTATGCCGCTTCTTACTCTTCTTGTCCTTCTTTTCCTTCTTTTCCTTCTTGTCTTTCTTCTCCTTCTTCTCCTTCTCCTTCTCCTTCTTGTCCTTCTTGTCGGCCTTGATCTTTTCGACCTTGCTGGTCACAGGAGACTTAGCCTCCTTAGTGTCAATAGCCACGGCGCTCGGCATTATATGCTATATGTATGAAAATGTTGAAGCAAAGGGAAAGGAAGGACCTTCTGGCCTGGCTGCTGGCGGAGAAGCTGCTTTTTAGCGGTTTGCAGGATTTTTCACGTAAAAAAACGGAACATGCACTGATTTGATTCCTTGCGGTTGAGTAATCAGCAGACACTAGCCTGCTCAACTGTTTTTCCCAAAGCTGCGGATGTTTACCTGACCCCATCCGTATACCCCACGCCGCCGAGATCGGTGGTACTGGCCATTGCTGGGTCGAAGCAGAGCACAGTATACCATTGCACAGCCAGCCATGTGATATTCGCATACGCTGTTCAGCAGAATTATATTATCTGCAGCAAACAATCCAGTAGCTGTCCAAGCTATAGCCTCCATCGACTACTAAGTGATGCTCTGTATATACGACCCTAAGTAATGTTGAATAAAAGGTGTAGACACCGAAAAGTGTGAATATGGCTCTATTATTGGCATACTCCACTATGAAGCCTGTGCCTAATTCGGACACTTGATTTTGTATCCATATACTTTGGCATCCATTTCTGAAAGTGCTATTTCTCATTACTCATATTTCAGCCTTCTCCTTGCTTTTGCTGTTCATTGGATAAAAGAAAGTGCTGAGACGTCGCCTTGACCACACCCTTTTTTCCAACATCAGCACTTTCATTCTACTCCTACTCGCAATGAGTGACCTAATGGTTTATTTTCTTGTTTTATGATCCCCTGGCTGTGGAAAACACTTCTGGCCGGATACTGCACCAGATACTGACTGGTGTGCTAACCATAGAGGGTAATAAGAGCCTAATGAAAACGCCGTATATCTGCTTTTCGTCTGCTGCCCGAAAATATCATTTCATAGCTGCCATCTACATCTGCAGCTCTGCTCGCCACTACCCCGGGCAGAGACAGGTGCCCTATCGCCTTGAATCACGTGGCTTTGTGTCAGCAGGTCCAATGGCTAATCTGAGATCAGAATTTCCTGGTCAACAAAATTATGCAAAACCGATTCCTCCACACTCGGGCAGATGGTGCTTGCCTCACCTCTCTTATCTCTCGTCACTACTGCTAATTATGTTTACCAGACGACTATTGTTATTATCGCGGCCCTACCCGGGCCAGACTCGGTTTACCAGCACTCTGGGTCTATCGCCAACAATAAAAAGTGTCCTTGCAAAAAACAGCTCTGGCACCGACGTCAAGATCAGCGGCTGGATACGCTCCGTGCGCCAACAAAAGCGCATTGCATTCGCTGAAGTATCCGATGGCTCGACAATGCGTGGAATTCAAGTGATCATGGATGACCCGCAGCTGGCCACCGGTCTCTCCACCGGGTCCTCCGTTGAAATTACGGGAACACTGGCCGACAGCCCAGGGCGCGAGCAGAGCAAGGAACTGCAGGCGAAGCACATCAGCATAATTGGATCAGCGGATCCTGAGTCATACCCGCTTCAAAAGAAGCGGCACACGCTCGAATTTCTACGTGAGATTGGGTATCTGCGTCCACGCTCGCAGACAATCGGCGCTGTCATGCGGCTGCGCGATCAGGCAGAAATTGGTTTCCACAAGTTCTTCCATGAAAACGAGTTTGTGAAGGTTCATACACCAGCACTGACTGCGAACGACTGCGAAGGCGGTGGTGAGACCTTTAGCGTAGCTACTGACGTCCCTAAGGGTGTCGGGGCTGATCCGCTAACGGAGTTTTTTGGCCGACGTGTTAATCTAACAGTATCTGGTCAGCTGCACTTGGAGGTACTGACGGGGGCTTTCAAGCGCGTGTACAACTTTAACCAATCCTTCCGCGCTGAGCCCAGCCAGACAGGTCGTCATCTGTCCGAATTCTGGATGGTTGAAGCAGAGTGTGCCTTTATGGATAAGCTCAGCACGCTGATGGACGTTGAGGAGGCGATGGTGCGCAGTGTCACACAGAACTTGCTCGACAACTCTGCAGCTGATCTCGAGTTCTTTGCGAAATCCAACGAGCCGCTGGCTAAACTCATAAAGAAGCTGGTTGACCCGGCCCAGTACGCGCGTGTCTCGTATACAGAGGCCATCGATATTCTGCAACGAGCCGAGTCCAAAGCCCAGTTCCAGTTCAAACCACAGTGGGGCCAGGGACTTCAGAGCGAGCATGAACGGTACCTCGCGACCACACACTTTGCTGGTCCAGTGTTTGTAACTGACTACCCAACGCAGATCAAACCCTTCTATATGCTGGCGAACCCGGACGGCCGCACCGTGGCCTGCATGGATATGTTGGTTCCTGGACCATGTGAGCTGTTGGGAGGTAGTCTTAGGGAGCATGACTATGTCCGGCTGAAGCAGCGTATCCATGAACTTGGGTTTGAGGACGGATCGCTGGATTGGTACGTTGGGCTGCGCAAATACGGGACCACCCCCCATGGCGGGTTTGGGGTTGGGTTTGAGCGGTTCCTGCAGATGTTAACCGGGTTGGAAAGTGTGCGTGACATCATCCCGTTCCCGCGGTACGCTGGCCGGTGTCAATACTAGCCTTCATTATCTCTCAATATACTTTTTTTTTTTGGAATCATTCTACATGTGGCAATGGAGATAAGGCAAACAATCGGCCATCCATGAAATTGACACCAGTTATGACGCCACAGATGCCACGAAAGCGACGAGTACAGCGTGATCTTGAACTTGTCTTGAAGTGGATTTTTAAGCTACAGTTGAATTGGAGGAAAATCATTAACGGCACCGTGGTTCATGGTCCTGACCAAATGCCTCTTACGTATAACTCCAAGAGCAACGTTTTAAATTACGTGTCAATTTATTTGGCCATTGGTTGTGCGATAAGCCCTCAGTACCAACCTGGGTTCTGGCTGCCAAGACGCACATAGCCACATCGGCTAAATGTCGGGGGAATGAGGAAGAAAGTTAGAAAGAGCTATGGAAAACCACAGCCAGCAGCTCAAGATTAGAAGCAGACAGTTTCGACTATTCTCAGCATCGTTGCCAATAGTCAGGTTTGGGGATAAGCGCTGGATGATGCCAGGGCAAGAAAGCCTAGACACAATGGGTTGTAGCTGAGCACGAATGTCTAACTGATCACAGCTGCTCTGGCACTACCAGAGGGTGTCTGAGTGATATACAGCTGCCACTGCATCTGCCTTCGGAGTGTTTCCTCATTCTCTCCAACATTGTCTATATTTTATTCTTATAGCCCTCTACGTATTCACCTCTTGCAAAGTATCTTTAATCGACAACGACTTTATATTAGATGTGCTTGTGTATTTTCATGGTTTCTGGTTCTCAACTGTAAGCAGGTCATGTGTTGGCAAATGTGCAAATTTATTTTACAAATTTTCAGCGAGGTTTGCACAAGAAAATGGCTAGCTGTAGCCATCGATAGTAGGGCAGACTAAACTCCACTCTCCTTAAAACAGCAGCCACTCTAGTTGTAAATGGCAGCATCAAGGCCAGCGCCGACACCAGTGCCAATAACCTCGACACCCAAATCACCCAGGAAGTCCTTGGTGCGGTCGCTGAGATGAGGGCGGCGACCACCCTTGCGGCTGCGCTGGTTGTCATCCTCCTCAAAGTCCGCGTCGTCATACTCGAAGCTGCGCTGGTTGTTGTAGATAGCAGCATCCAGACCAGCACCGACACCAGTGCCAATCAGCTCAACACCAAGGTCGCTCAGGAAGTCCTTGCCGCGACCGCTGCCGCGACCACGACCACCACGCTGGTTGAAGCCACCCTGCAGCAATGAGCCAAGGAGGTCTCCGAAAATATCAGAGCCAACCTCTCCACCAAACTTGCCAAGACCCCTGCCAAACCCTCCAAGGCCGCGCTGGTTGTAGATGGCAGCATCCAGACCGGCACCGACGCCAGTGCCGATCAGCTCGACACCCAGGTCGCTCAGGAAGTCCTTGCCGCGACCGCTACCGCGGCCACGACCGCCACGCTGGTTGTAGATGGCAGCATCAAGTCCAGCACCAACACCAGTGCCAATCAGCTCGACACCCAGGTCGCTCAGGAAGTCCTTGCCGCGACCGCTACCGCGACCACGACCACCACGCTGGTTGTAGATGGCAGCATCAAGTCCAGCACCGACACCAGTGCCGATCAGTTCAACACCCAGGTCGCTCAGGAAGTCCTTTCCACGACCGCTGCCGCGACCACGGCCGCCGCGCTGGTTGTAAATGGCAGCATCCAGACCGGCGCCGACACCAGTGCCAATCAGCTCGACACCCAGGTCGCTCAGGAAGTCCTTTCCACGACCGCTGCCGCGACCACGACCACCACGCTGGTTGAAGCCACCCTGCAGCAATGAGCCAAGGAGGTCTCCGAAAATATCGGAACCAACCTCTCCACCGAGCTTGCCAAGACCTCTGCCAAACCCTCCAAAGCCGCGCTGGTTGCCATCCTCCTCAAAGTCGTCAATCTCGTCAATCTCGTCAGTAGTCTCGACGGCAGGCTCGATGATACCAGCAGACTGGTTGTTGAAAGGAGTCGAGATGTCGCTGTCAGCAGGACCAGCCTGGTTGGCAGCGGCAGTAGCAGCGAGGATAGCGAAAGCGGTAGCAAGAGAGATGCGCATTGTCAGAGTTGTTTTTCGTTGAAAATGCAAATGCAAAGTGAATGCGATATTTGAATGAGGTTGCTTGTGTGAAGCTTGAGGTGGTGATGTTGTTGTTGAAGCAGGATGAAGCAGCCATGGTGGGCTGGCTTTATATACGCTGTGTGAACCCCAAGGATATCTTCCGATACTGCTTCTGCCCTTTCCGAGATTTTTCGAGGAGATTGCTAATTTTAGCGGCGCGGTGCGGTCCAGCGGGCGCTGAGAAGGAGAGATATTAATAGGCTGAGCATGTGTCGATCATCTTGATTTTGCACCTCAGGGTATCCTCATTCTGTGCGACTATGCACGGCCGAAAATGTCGTGCATGGGCTCACAGAAAGCGCCTGCAAAGACAGCCGCCGCTCCTGAAAATAGACTGGGGACCATGTAGCCCGTTCAGCAGACCTGCACAAATGCTTGGAAATCTTGGTGATCTAAAAATACGAGAAGCAGCGGCACAGAAAGCGGCATGTAGATACAATCGAGATATCTGTTTGCAGGAACCTTGGCACCCGAGCTGCATAGCTGCACTCTCCGTACTGCGGCATATACGGAACTCTCGTAGTTTGATTAGACGCCGTGCCCACCTATATTGTGGATCCTGGCGCTGTCGTCCATGGGACCTTAGGAAACACATTTCTTGTGCCCACGACTAACAATGGTCGCATGGTCCCTTTCGGCCGCTATGCTGTGGTGTAAATATCCTCACACATTGTCCCCAAACCCCTCATGTAATTGCGAATGTGTCAGTTATATGTGAGCAATGCTACCAGAGGCCATGTCTGTCTGACACATAAATATATAATTCAGAACTATCCAGTAAATACAAGGAAAATAAAAAGAAAAGCGAAGTGAAGAGGAGAATTAGATGTAGAGATGAGTAAACACATAGTGACCATTCAGCTCTGCCCAGTTCCGGAGCTTAAATTTTATACAAGCTAGGTTGGAATGGGTGATTATATGCCTTTTTAATGACAGGTAATGGGTGAGTACTAAAGCCTGTTTCATATATTGTTGGTCTGGTATTCACGGACCATAAACATGCAGATGCAGTACACTGCATAGTAGACGGGATAGATATGCGTAGACAGAATGCGGATTATCTTGGCGCCGTCCTATTATCCACTCGAAGGATTTATGCTGACCAGAATTTAGAAGCACAGATGGACAGCATACATTCGATAAATGACAAGAACCCCAGCAAAACGGGTATGGCTCGCGAATAGCGCCTGTTGAAGGTGGTTCTTAATATCGCTGATTTGAAGGGCTCGGGCTCGAATCCTGTGATTTATTCGAGTGGAAATTCGTACAGACGGATGTGGTGCAGTGCAGTTGTTGGACCCATAGGAGGACCGGCACTGGATACACGCTTCTGGACAGGATATTCTAACTACTAGTGTACAAACAACACATTGTGTTTGTGTACTATCATATGCCTCCACGAGCTATCGTTTTATGCTTTTGAGCAAGGCAGAATAGAGTAGACGGCTATTGAGGGAAAAGAATAAACGTGAAAACTGCAGAAATGAAAATGGGCAGCGCCATGGGTGTGCGGACAGTCATTTTGTATATGTACGTAGAGCCCATCACATTATATAGCCTGGTTGGATCATTGGTCTTACGATCGATACTCTGCAGTGCTCGAATGACTTGTCGACACTATCAGCAGGCCGGTCGTATTCCCTGATCGTTTCGTTTTTTGTGTACCCACCACGAGAGGAATTGGCCAGTCGAATAGACGGGCTGGTGCGGAAAGCTGCTATTGCGGACACATCAATGTACGGTGTATAGCAGACAATGTAGCCAATGTGGCCATCAACCTGTTGACTCTGCTCATAGCCTATGATGCAAAGTCTTTAGAAAGGGATTCGGTGACCACAGCGTATATGGCACTAATTACCGCAACTGGCGTGCACTGGTGTAGTTTGCATAGTGGCATGCCTACCTTTTGGTCAATGGAGACGGAGTGACTACCTATCAGTAGGTCTTGGGGGGTTGGCGTTCGGTAGGGGACTCAAGAAGGAGTAGAGGTTTCGTATAGCTCTGTCGAGCGTGAATACTATTTTGAGGCGTGCTTTTGCCAAATTCCAAAAGTATTGTGCTTGGTCTTTGCCAGCCGAGTGACATACAGGGCCCAGCCAGTTCTTGCTTTCCCCACAATTAGCTGAAATTTATGCAATGATCGACTACAAAAAAATATATTGGAGTCTGCTATCCATCTCCGATTTGCGGTTAGCCCCTTTTCTTCAACCTGTTTCTTTATCCAAAAAAAAAAAAAAAACTATGGGCATGTTCCACGAGTACAAAACGACCATCTCGGCTGGAGATACGGTGATCATATACCTGACGCCGGACTCGATGTATCCCCTGACGATGACACCCGGTGCTGTGCAGAACAACAAATTTGGCAGCTTCAAGCATGACGACATGATTGGCAGCAAGTTTGGCACGAAAATGCGGTCGCATACGGGCCGCGGCTTTATCTATCTCTTGCACCCGACGCCTGCTCTGTGGACGCAAGTGGTGCCACACCGCACCCAGATTCTGTATCTCCCAGACATTTCGTTCATTTCATCGTACTTGGACCTGCGGCCGGGCAAGATCATGATTGAGTCTGGCACGGGCAGTGGGTCGTTCTCGCACTCAATCGCACGCACGATCGCGCCCACGGGCCATCTGTACACGTTCGAATACCATGAGCTGCGCGCAACGACTGCTAAGCAGGAGTTTGAGGAGCACGGATTGTCCGATATGATTACGATGGAGCACCGGGATGTTATCGCTAATGGATTTGGCAAGACGGATCTGGCAGACGCGGTGTTCTTGGACCTGCCGGCGCCTTGGGATGCGGTAAAAGCTGCCAAGGAGGCGCTGCGCAAGGACACCATTGGCAGGATATGTTGCTTCAGCCCGTGTATTGAGCAGGTGCAGCGCACGGCAGTGGCTCTGAACGAGCACGGGTTTTCGGACATTCGCATGTATGAGTGTTTGGCCAGGGAGCACGAGGTGCGCTCGGCACCGGTGCCTGATATTGAGACGGCTATTGGTGGCGAGAAGGTCAACTTCAAGATGTCCAAGAGTGACCGTAACAAGAAGCGCAAGCTAGAAGCGGGATCGGCGGAGCCCTCGGGTGAGGAATCAGCTAAGCTGCCAGAGGTGCTGGTGTCGAAGCCAACCGATATCACGCGCGGCCACACTAGTTATCTGACATTTGCCATTCTGGCGCCAGTGGATCAGCAATAGAAAGCTATTTTTGAGATGTCCAGAATAAACCAGCTACTACTTGAAGGTCTTGCCGTCAGCGAACTCGCGGGGCAGAGCGGAGCCCTCCCAGGCGAAGCAGTCCTCGATCTCAGCCTTGGTCTTCGGGTCCTTGTGGTCGACCTTGGTCCAGGTGTACGACTCGTAGTCGGCAGCGTCAGTGACCTCCTCGGGCACCTCCTGGCCGCGGAGCATGAAGTAGCCCCAGATCTGGTTGTTGCTGTCCTGGCCGAGAACCAGCAGGTTGCCGAAGGCATACTTGCGGGCGCGCTCCAGCCGGTTGAAGAACCCACCGACCAGGTTGTTTGACATGAAGATCTTCGTCAGCTCGTCGTTGTACTTGTACTCGACCTTCCAGAACGAGTAGCCCTCCTCGTCAAAGTGCTCCCACAGCCAGTTTACGGCGTCGGGCTTGGTATCGTTGTTCGAGTAGAAGCGCTTCCAGTCGTCCAGCACCATCTTGGGCGGCGGCAGCAGGTCGAGCTTGCTCTTGGGCTTGGGGGCGGGCTTGGGAGCCTCCTCAGCGGGCTTCTCGGCCTTCTTCTCGGCCTTGGGCTTCTCAGCCTTGGGCTTCTCGGCCTTCTTGGCCTTCTCCTTCTTGGTCTTTTCATTCTTGACTGGAGTGGCAGGCTTAGGCCGCTCCTTACACAGTTCGATGCTGGGAACAACAGCCTTGAAAGCTGGCTGGCTGATGATGGTCTTGAAGTACCGAGTCACATTCCTGAACTGCCTGCGATCCGCATCAGTCAGATACGCCCTGAATGGCAGAATCAGGTCGCACGCAAGCACAATATCAGCGACAGTGATGCGCTCGCCAACAAGAAAGGTCCTGTCAAGCAAAACCCTGTTCAGTCCATCAAGATAACTTAGCGTCTGTTCCTCGGCAACCTGATGGGCAGGCTTGATGAACGGTAAGAAGCCGATCAGTGGCCCAACAGTGCTCAGAGATGCCGGCAAAAAATCGGCCTCTGCAGACAAAATATACTGCAAAATCTCGGCCGTTTCCTCGGCGGTCTGGCCGAGCAGGGGCGAGTCAGCACCAGCCTTCGACGCAATGTAATAGGCAATGGCCGATGAGTCGGCCAGGCGGAAGCCATCGGTGCCCTCAAAGGCAGGGACCTTGCCGGCTGGGAACTTGGCTAGGTACTCGGACGTGCGGTTGTCGGTGTGTAGGACAAAGTCAGGAGTTAGGTCCAGCGGGAGGCTGAGGAAGCTGGCGACGACGCGGGCCTTGTAGGCGCGGAAGTTTGCGAGCGGGGCGTGTAGCGTTCCAAGAGATGTCATGGTAAGTGAGGCTGAAGAGCTAATGAAGAAGTGGAAATCAGAATAAGCGGAGAGAAAGGCCGGGGAGTACTCCTGCACCCAGGTGTGGTGACTAACTTGGGAAATTGAGATAGAACAACCAACATGTGCAATATATGCTGCTGATGTCGCCATATGCAGCGAGCCGAGCCGCCAGTATGCGATCGGCTCCATTCCAGATCCTGGGATCAAAAAATGAAACTAACACCTTGAGTCAGCATTTCCCTGGGCTTTTTTTTTTCTTTCTCTCACACATTGCATTTTCGATTTTTCAGCTATGAGCACAACCGCACAGGCTCCTGCCCGCACGCCCTTTAAGGGCGCCGAGACGCTGGGCGCCAACCCCCAGCAAAGCATCCTGAACGTGCTCCGCATGGCATGCGCGCCCGCCCTGCAGCGCGCAGACTTTACCTCAACCCTGCAGACAATAAAGCAGCGGTTCTTTGCGCGCGACTTTAACGCGATCTTCCAGACCCCCGGCAATCTGCCTGTCTACACGGCCCAGTACGTGCCGCGACGTGCGCTCTGCTACTACGAGATTTTCCAGCTGCCCGAGCTCCAAAGGATCCTGGAAAATGCTCCCACTATGTACTGCCTGGGTGCGGGCTCCGGCAGCGAGCTGGTGGGGGTAGCGGCGGCCAGCTGCACAGCACTGAATAGCAAGGTAGCAGGGCCGATTGTGGTGCATTCGCAAGACTACGCAGACTGGACAGAGACACTGGGGCAGCTGGAGGACGCTGTGCGGTACAAGTGGGGGCTGGATGAGAGCCAGATCAGGTTCGAGTTCAGCATTGGCGATCTGATGGCGCCCACCAGGCAGATGGAGGAGCGTGTGCATGGGGCGCAGCTGGTGACGGCCATGTTTGTATTCAATGAGCTGTTTGCTGACAAGGCCAAGGCCATGGGGTTTGTCAAGATGGTGGTGGCGAATGTGCAGAAGGGCGCGTATTTCCTGCTGGTCGATTCGGCCGGCTCATTTTCGAGTGTGCAGGTGGGTGGCAAGAGCTACATGTCGTATATGTTTTTCGACTCGCTGCGGCAGTTCTTTGAGCCGGTTGTCTCGGAGGACTCGAGGTGGTTCCGGCATGCAAGCAATCTGGAGTATCCTCTGAGCATCGAGAATATGCGGTACTTTATCAGGCTTTACCGCAGAAAATGAGGCAGCTGCGTGGTAAAACCATAAGCTGTCCCGCATGACAGTGCAGCGTATTTGGATGGATGATGGAGGTGGGTTGGGGGATGGTACATTTTGTCGGTATCTTTTTATATACTTGTAATTGCACATAATGTCGCAGTCGGGGCAGCATCTGTCGGACCGCGAGGCGGCGCTGCTGACCGAGTACGAGCTGATCCGCAACGAGGTCAAGAAGATGGGGGCCCTGGTGGCCGAGATCAACCACGCCGAGCTCGATGCCTTGACAGAATCAATGCGCTCGGTGGAGCAAAAGATGGCACTTGTATACACGCTGTTCCGGTCGTCGATCTACGCGCACCTGAGCCAGCAGGAGCTAGCGGCGACTGGCCAGGGGGGCGCAGACGACCAGTTCCAGACCAACTGCCCGCCGTTCGAGTGAACGCCGCTGTTTCGCACAAAAAAGAAGTTTTATATGGCTAGAATATATGGGCTCGGTCTTTAAATAATGTCTTGGCTGGCGAGGGGATATACGATGTAAATTGTGACTTATGCCTCGCTGACGGCGTCCTCGAAGGGCGTGCCGGTGCCCGTGGATGAGCCGGTGGAGTTGGCGCGGTCCAGCTCGTGGATAGAGTTTTTGTAGACCCAGCTGCCCTTGCCGATGCTGTCCTTGGCCGGGTACAAATACGCATAGGCATCCCGGACATCGCTCTCATCGTCCTCGTCAGCAATCCACTTGAACAGCGCCGGGGTCCAGGTCTCGCTCCGCTCAGCGCGCTCCTTGCGCAAGGCGCGCTGGGCCTCCTCAATCACGGTCTTTTCGCGCGATGCGGTCTCGTAATCACCTGATTCAATGGCCTGGGCGACGGCATTCCAGACGCGACGGCTCTCGAGCTCGGACTGCTCGCTGACGGGACGGATCTTGATATCGGCCGACGGTTGGGCGGCAACATCGAACAGTACGCTCTGGGAGCTGGTCTTGACGTCAGTGACGGTGGACTCAGCCACCCACTTGCCCTTGACAGTGAACAGGGGCTCCTGGGCTGGTGCATTGGGGGAGTACAGGGCACTGGGGTCGCGGAAGATGGAGCCGTCGAACTTGTGGTATTCGCCGTACAGCCAGGGCTTGGTGTGCCAGTGGAACTCGGCCGAATAGCCCTTGCTCGAGCGGATAAACGTGGTGTTGCTCATTTCCAGGAACGGCTTGCCGGATAGGATCGAGCAGATGTTTAGGCTGGGCAGGGACAGGCAGAAGACTTCGTCAGTGTTGCGCATCCGCAAGGTGACGCGGCCCTCCTGCACGACCTTCATGGTGGTGCCCTTGAATTTGGACTTTTGCGCAAACTGGCCGTTGCCGTAGATGCCTGCCTTGGCGTTCTCAAAATAGATCGCGCTGACGGGCGGGTGGTGCGACACCTGCTCACACACAAACGTCGTCTCCCCGTACTCGGAGTCGTCCCAGGACGCAAGGAACTGCTCGCCCAGAATCGGATTGAACGGCTTCTTTTCGCCCGTGTTCGACTCGGCCACGCGCTTGTTGTAGCTTCCGTACAGGGTCGAGATGAACCACCGGGCCACCAGCTTCATGCGCTCTACAAAAAGAAAAGGAGCAGCTTAATACCAGGCTCCTTTTTCTTCCAAAAACGTCGCATTGGAGGAAATGATCGTCCATGCGACATTGCAACGATCACAGCCGCAAGAGAGAGGTGGAGCCAATCGGCAATGGTTTCCATGTGTACGTTACCTGGCGAACTCTCGGCCTTTGTAATCTCAGCCAGGACATGCGGGTAGTCGCTCCAATGGGCACTAAGGGGGATGAGCGATTAGTAATAGGCCAAAAAGGTTCACGCATTGTGATGATGTAGTGTATGCTTACCCGTATTCAAGCAGCGAAATGCCGTTCAGCAAGAACGACGGACAAGTGAGCGAAGACAGATCACCAGTGAACGACAGCACGGTCTTGAGGAACGACATGAAGTCACCCGACTGCGACGCCGGCACAATATTGCCAACGGGCTCACTAACGGTGCTCTTGGGAGTGCTGGACTTTGACGAGCTGGACTTTGACGAGCTGGACTTTGACGAGCTGGACTTTGCGGAAGCCACGCTGCTGACACTTTTGCTGTCGCTCATGATGAAGAACAAGAAATTACTGAAACCTGAAGAAAAAAATGTTTGGAAGCAGAGGAGGAAAACAAAAGTGCATGGGTGGAGGTTTTGCGCATGAATTATCTTGTTTTTTTTTTTTTTTTTTTTTTTTTTTTTTTTTTTTTTTGGTTCCTACTCCAAAAAACGGTTTCATGGAACTCCGAGGTTGTAGCGCAAATGCAGGTTTTCCGCCATCCCTTTCTCGTGGATACCTGGCAAGGAGGATGGCCTGGGACGCGTAACCCAACAAGGGGAGCCCGTCGGGTGGGTTCGTCCCTTTGGGAACAGGGCAATTGCAAGATTACAGGCACACAGGTATTGTGTCCTGTATACGAGCTCTTCCTGGCAATTTATCTGCAGGCTGACCACCAGTGAGCGCTAAGGGGGTCGTGTAACCAGCATGCGCCGGGAGGCGGGACTGAGGCAAAAAAACCATATGGGGTGGATAAATGCAAAAAGTCCGTGAGGGGAACCTCGGATTAAAAACTGCACTTTCTCTCCACACCGCATTTCTATTCTGTACTTGTATATTTGTTATTTGGTTTTTTGTAAATGCTCGCGTATCTAGCATACTACAGTTGTGCCGGCATAGCAGTCCAGTATATAGTTTTGCTGTTCAGGTACATTGTGCAAAAGATGGTGCCGACCCACACCCCGCTAAGACGATTATCACGGCGATCGGACGACGACACGGACAGCGCATCAATCTACACAATCGTATATATCGTTCTCATTGTTGGTAAGTGCACGCGAGAGGAAGAGCAATGTGGGACAGCATACAGCCAACCTGCTAAATAAGTATGTAGCATGGGTAATTATTGTCGTCGTGGTACTCTATCTGGCAGTCTGCCGGTACCGACGCAACCGCTGGCTGATATCGCAAGGCATGGATGGGCAGGACCTGGCGTTGCGGCGACAAGTGCGGCTCACCGGCACGGTGCCGAAGCAAAACAAGCGTGTGCTGACCGAGCGCGAGGTCAGCGAGCTGCCGACATTTGCATTGACGCCCAGCGATATCACCGAGACATTCAAAATGGCGCAGGCCGGCTCCGAGGGACACGTCACGCTGGCGATCCCGGAACCGGCATTGGTCAAAGAGAAGTTGCCCCTACATGAGGAGAACTGCGCGGTGTGCTTGGAGGACTTTAGGGCAGGCGAGCAAGTGCGGAGGCTGGCGTGCCGGCATTACTTCCACTTGCAGTGCATTGATCCATGGCTGACAGCGCAGGCAGCCACATGTCCGCTCTGCAACTACAACGTGGCTGCGGATAACACGACAGCGTGATTTAGCAAAAAAGATGTTTCTAATAAACTAGATAATCTCAGGCGGCGTGTATGTGATCGGGAAGCGCGTCATCAGGCGGCTAAACGCATGCTGGTGGCGCCAGAACCTGGGCGTGTCGCTGGGCTGCAGGGGCTCGGGCGCCAGGCGGACGATCAGAAGCCCCTCGGAGGGATCCACGGCCATCACGTGGACACGCACCTTGGTGCCAGCAAACGGCAGATGGTGCGGGGCCACCGGACGCGGCAGCAGCATTGCGCGCACACCCAGGCCATGCACCACCAGCGAGACGAACGGACGCGACTCGTCGCGGTTATCCACCACTGCCGTCCACGTGAGCGGGCCAGGCCGTCCCGGCTCGTAGTACGGCCACGGCAGGTCGTAGTAGAGCGGCGAGCTTGTGTCGTAGAAACCCGCGGGCGGCGCCTGCAGCAGCCCGCGCCTGGCTTGGTTCTCCATGCGACGCAGCATAGTCAGCCCCCAAAAGTCCTCGTTCAGCGCCATGCACTGGTCGGCCAGCAGGTTGCGGCGGAACACGCTGGGCGCCAGGCGCTCCATGTCATCCTGCCCCCAGTACCACGGCGTCTGCTCGCTCGCGCGCGTGTGCTCTTTGAGCAGCTGCGCTTTGACCTGCCAGTGCACCACCAGATCGTCGAACCGGCGGATCGGCGACGTGGCCCGCGTGTAGCCGTCCAGGACTCCCATGATGGTCTGCGGGCCGGGCGTGGCAGCAAACACACTGGGATTCATCATATGGCGGACTTCGTCGAACAGCGCGCGGCTGATGACGCCGTCGGTGGCACGCGCCCGGCGGCCCACGGCATCCCACACAGCCCGGGCATCCATGGCCTGGGCCTCGTTCAGCTCATCGGCCAGCGCCGACTGCAACCCGGGGATGCCGCCGCTCAGCACGTCCAGGTTCGGCGGCGGCTGCACGCGGAACAGCATCGGCACATTGTGTTCCTGCGCAAACCGTGCAAACGCACGGCCCGCCAAAAGCATCAGCTCGCCGACCATCGCGTGGGCGGGCGAATTGACACCGATCCCGTGGTAGGTGCGCATCGGCGGGAACTCGTGCGCTGACGGGCTGGCCAGGAATGCCGGGCCCGAGAGACTGTGGGCTGGCATTGGCAGCCGCGGGTTGCCCAGCGAGAATGACCGCTCGGTGTTGGCCTTGGTGAATGCCCCGTTCCGCACACGCAGCTCGTAGTGGCGACGCACGAGCTGCTGGATGAGCCGCAGCGACTCGGTGTGCTCGGCGGCCGGCGGCGGGCAGCCATCGCCGTATTTTTGCCAGTCACTGGGCTGCAGTTCGAAGGGATGCACCAGCGAGCCGTTGCGGTACACCGCCTGCACTTGGGCAAACGACTTGAGGTCCGGCATGGCCCACTGGTACGACAGCACCTGGTCGGCTGCCGCATACGGCACTGCCAGCAGATTGCGCACACGCGCAGGCCGCACCTTGTAGTCGGCGATCTCGCCGTTGGCGTCCAGCAGCACCGACGCGGTCATTGTGTTGACTGCCGAGCCGTCGGCGCGCCGGCTCAGCGCCAGCTCCTGCATTGTCAGCGCATACGGCAGCATGTGCTGGTGCCGCTCCGCGTAGTACAGCGTCGTGCCTTGCTGCTGAGCCGCGTCGGCCACAACATGCCCCGGGTGTACGTGGGCCGTCGGGTCGGCGATGTGCACGTGCAGCCACGTCTGCTGCTGCCCGTCGGCGCCTGCCACCGTCTCCACCGACACGCCGTCGTCTACGTCACGTGTGGCGCTGTCATCAATGGTATATACCGGCAGCTGCCCAAAGTCGTGCCGCAGGTCCTCGCACACATCGCGCGCGTAAAAGTCGGTCTTGTCGATGATGCCAACGCTGCTGCGCGTCACCAGCGAGTCGCGCACCGCCGGAGTGATCTTGCGTGCCGACTCCAGCAGCCCTCGGCTCGGCTTGCTCAGCCCCTGGTCTCCCTCCAGGAACAGCTTCGCCGACAGCTCGGAGGCGCCCCTTATCGTGTAGTGGTCCTTGTTGGCGCCCAGCGAGCCGAACGGCAGTGTGCGCGTGTTGAGTTTCGGGTTGAACCAGTGCGGCCACACGCCCAGATCGACCAGGAACCGCGTGACGCTGGTGACATCGCAACCGGCGTAGTAGTGCATCTTCTTGATCACCGGTGCCACAAGCCCGTCGTACGGATTGGCTGCTATCGTGAAGCCGGCGTTGTGCCAGAATACAAACTGCCGCAAGATATTGATGAACAGCATGTCACTGCGCGAAAACTCCACCCGCCCGGCCTCCTCTTCGGTCATCGCCGCAGGCAGCGGCTTGCGCTCAAACACTTCGTCACAGGCCGCCCACCCGGTCAGCTCGCACGTGCGGCTCTTTTCGAATGCCTTGAGTGTCGGATCCAATGCCGCGCGTGTCGGCGACGTCGGGTTCTGTGCGTGCGAATACGCGACCAGTGCACGCGCCTTTGTCACAAACTGCGTGAACTCGGGTGCATTTTCGCGGATCAGCTCGCGCACACGCTCGATCTCTACCACCTCCCGCCGCCCGCGCAGCTCGAACGCGCCAGTGACAAACAGCCCATGCGAGTCGGGGATGAAGTGCTGTGTGTCGCTGATCAGGTGCATATACGCGGCGTACCGGGCCTCGGCCGACGTGTCGCCGAAGATCAGCTCCGCCAGTGAATCAACCGTGACCCGCCGCTGCCCACGGCCCAGTGCCATGCCCCAATACTCGCCCAGCTCGCGGTAGTGCGACCGCATCAGTTGCTCGGCGCGCTGCTGGAACGTGCGCACCGTACGCGGGATTGTCCGCAGCAGGACCATTGTGATCGACTCCTCGCTGTCTGCCGCCTCTGCCACAGCGGTCTGCATGCCGCGCATCTCCGCCGTGTCCTCATCGCCCAGCCCCGCCGCGTGGATGTCGCTGTCCATATCGCTGCCTACCAGCGTCCCCTGCTGGCCTTGGTTCTGTGCTGCCTGCAGCTGCATTGCCTCGTAGGCCGAGACCAGCGACTCGTGGCCGTGCTCGGCCTCGTAGTCGCGCAGCTGCTGCGCATACTCCATGACACGCCGCACGTCTTGCTCCGCCACGCCACTGCTGCGCATGCGCTGCTCGTCAAACAGTACCCCGCGCGCAACAAACCCGACGCGTGTCTCGCGGCCGCCCAGAATCATATTGTTGGCCAGCAGTGCGTTGAAGTGGAACCGCCCGGTGGTCTTCTGGATCACGCCCGCAGTCACCACGCCTGCACCGAACGGCGTCTCGTCTGTCCGCATCACCTGCCGCAACTCCACAACGTCGCCAGTGTTCACTGTCGCGTCAATCGGCACGTGCTCTGTCTCTTGCTGCGAGCGGCTCGCCTCCACGTGCCGCTGCAGCTCTGCGCGCGTCGGCAGATCGGCCTGCGTGATTAGGCTCTTGTGCGCCTTGACCACGCGCGTGTTGCGCGCCAGAAAGTCAAGCGCCGTGCGCTTCTCCTTTTTGCCCTCGCCCACTGCTCGCGTCGTATGGTACATGCGCCTGCCCCCTGGCCGCCGGCTCTGCAGCGCCCGCTGTCCACCCACGTCATTGTCGTGCAGCCGCCAGCTCTGCCGGATCAGCTGCTCGAACTCGCGGTCATCGTCCAGCACCGGCTCCTCCACGGCCTCCTTCACCTGCTCCTCCTCCGCCTCCGCCAGCCGGTCGTGCTCCAGCTGGTCCAGTAGCCTGTCTGCTGACATCATGTTCTCCCGGAACGCCCGGTACCCGGCCACCTTGGTCAGCCAGATCCGCCGTCGCTGCTGCTGCTCGCTGGTAAATCCCAAATGCACTGCGTCTGCTTCCGACATTCCCAGCTCCTCGGTGCTATGGGCTGCTCCGTCTGCTGCCGGGTGTCGCAGCATGCGTGGCCGCTGCCGCAATACCGGTTTCCCCTGCTGCCTGTCCAAATTATGCTTATCGGGAACTGCCAGATCGCCCGCGTCGTTGCGTCGCAGCTCCTGCTTGGCTAGCGCATCGGCGTAGTTGCGCGGTGGGCTCGGGTGCTTGATTAAGGTCTCGAGCTGCCCCACTAGCTCGTTGAATGTCGATGCGGGTTTGCCCAGGATGTCCTCGAGCTCCGGGTACGCTTTTGTGCTGTTTCGCCGCAGAGCCACCGTGCCTGTGGCCCGCATGCATGTCCGTGACCGCGCCTGCACCGCCGGCTTTAGCACCCTCCTGCATAGCGATGACTGCATTCTCTAAAAGTAAATGTCTAATTGCTGTGAAATTCTGTACAAGAACTGGGACAGGCAGGAGACCAGATCAGTGCGCCATAGGGCGTCGGAGGAAATCTCGAAAATTATTATAAGCGCAAAATCACCAATCTAATCCACGCTCCTGGGTCGATTACTCCCCAGTACTCTCTGCCTTGGCTAATCGGACATCATGCCCTGCTTTCCATATCACTTTTCTTTCTCCGGTACACCCTGTTTCAATTCACACCATGGCTTTCCGGGCAACACGCTTTCTGCGACACGCTTTCACCCCACGCCCCGCCTTCGAGCTGGCCCTGCGTGCGTCCTGCTTGCAGCTGGTCCTGGCGCGGTGGGGTCTGGAGACCGCTGCCCTGATGGGGATGCAAGGCGAGGCCACAGCCAACGACTCAGCCCGCAAGGAGCGCGCAGTCGAGGCCATTGCCTCGGCCATGTACGAAAGCGGCCTGGACGACCACATGACCGAGGCCGAGAAATCCATGCTCGACCGGCCCTACCGCACCTGGCAGTACGACGACTACCAGTACGGCGACCACTGGGAGTCCCTGGGCGTCCTGCAGTGGCTGCTGGGCCGCCAGCACCAGATCCCCGCATACTACAATAATTTCGACCGCGCCAATGTATTCCGTGCCACGGGGATCCAGCCAGCACAGCCGCAGAGCATTGCGCAGTTCGTCGACTCCTTCATGGCGCCCCAGCAGCACTTGAACGTCGACCAGAATCTGCTACAGCGCGAGATCGATATTGCAGAGGCCTGGAGCTGGCGTGCCCGCGCGCAGGCGCTATTGCAATTGCGTGCCGAGATTGCTCGCACCGAACAGGGCCATGATCAGGCGCCGCTGCAAGAGGCCATGCGCGCGAAGCACATCCCGCAGAGCCTCAAGAAAATCGCCAAGGAGCTGCCCAACACCATTCCTGCCGCTGCCCGCCGTGCCTTTGAACGCGGCATTATCGACGGCCTTGAGAACGACGACTTTGCAATCACCGTCGAGTTGAAGGAGGGCAAGGACCAAGACGGCCGCCCGGCCACTACCACTGTGCCGTACACGCATCTGGATTCCGCCCACCATGACGCGATCCGCAAGATTGCTGATGCCCGATTCATGGCCTTTGCGTGGTCTGTCGACAAGCTGGACCAGTGGGACCAGGACAAAATGGCCGAGATCACCTCCATTAATCCGATCGTATCGATATGGACGCCCCAGGATGAGTAGCCCAGGCATTGCCTGTTTCCAGTTGCAGCCTTTTTAAATACACATACCCACAAGGGCATGTTCACATGTGTGCTCTCCAACTTCCTTTTGTCTATTCTGGCTGAACCGAGGGAACTGTCTAGACGTCATGATCTGCCCGAGGATGCTATTTCCCGCAAATACAGATTCTTGGAATGCATGGCAGTGTGAAAACTATGCCCACCTCACCTTGATTTCTCATCCGCTACTCTGCCAATCCTACATATGCACAGACACATAGACCGTCTGCGTGGTCCTGTGACTTGGACTCCGTTTCCCGAACCAAGCTAGTCCCAAACCGAATATTTGTTTTCAATCCGACTGCCACGATCGACAATATTGCTCGCATACCATTGCACGAGCATCTGAAAGCAGACTCCCTTTCCACCGAGTGACATGTGCAAGTGCTGCTAGACAAAGCTGTGCCGTCACTTCCTGCAATGTCTCCCTTCTTAGCTGCCTCCACATAAAAGACCCTTTTATCCAGCTGTGATTCTGCCTTCTAAGGCTTCTATTCGATATACAATCGACCTCATTCCCCCCTTATCTTATTATTGAATATCCTTTTTTGTTACGTAATGAACCCCAAGACGTTCCTCGTACAAGCCCTGCTCATCGGCACTGCTGCCACCTGTGTCTCAGCAGCAATTAACTGGGTTGATATCTGCACCATCCAGGCCGTGACCGCGACCTGGCCGCAAATCCGCACCGTGACCAATCTCCTCCTGCCCTTCAGTTGGGTGATGATCGGCTTCGACAAGTTCAAGGAGCTGAAGAAGCTGCTCGGCGGCCTGTCGCTGCCCAAGGAGCCTGACCTAGCCGTGCAGCTTGGTTTGCTGCAGATTTTCGGACCCAAGAACCTCGAGCTTATCATCGGCCCCATCATCAAGCATTACTGGAGACATCATCCGTGCCCGGCCCCCACCACGCCAACCCCTCCTGGGCCAACTAGCACCGCGATTGTTGTCCCAACTACCTCGTCAGCTGCTCCGCCAAAGCCCTCGGCAACCAGCACTCCACCGCCGAACCCGTACCCGACCACAACTGTTAACATCTACCAGACGCACTAGATTAAAGCTACCATTGCGTTTTTGATAATCTAATGGCTTGCCATTTGCCATTATATGGTGCTCCTCATGAACAGTCAGAAATAAAACTGGCCAACCTTGTATTAAATACCAGTTTATCATGTAAAAGCTGCTATTCCGTAAGATAGGCAACGGCCAACAGGTATGGCTGGCCTAGGAGGTCATGCCTCAATTATCATATTTGGAGCCTCCCAAGTCCCAAGACAATATAGTTTATACTTCTCTTTCATTTTCATTTTCATTTTTGCTACCCGAAAAGGTCGTGCTGGTGGCAAGCGGGTCGCAGCACAGCCATCAGGCGAGTCTATAAATAAGGCCAAGTAGCCCACTCGTCTCTGGTCCCTGGCTCACGACCCCGGGACGTTTTCCACTCAATATATTCTCCTATACCACTATATTTTCGCACATTAAAATACTTCTTACGTATAATTGCAAGAGCAACGTTTTAAATTACGTGTCAATTTATTTGGTCATTGGTTGTGCGATAAACCCTCAGCACCAACCTGGGTTCTGGCTGCCAAGACGCACATAGCCACATCGGCTAAATGTCAGGGGAATGAGGAAGAAAGTTAGAAAGAGCTATGGAATACCACAGCCAGCAGTTCAAGATTAGAAGCAGACAGTTTCGACTATTCTCAGCATCGTTGCCAATAGTCAGGTTTGGGGGTAAGCGCTGAATGATGTCAGGGCAAGAAAGCCTAGACACAATGGGTTGTAGCTGAGCACGAATGTCTAACTGATCACAGCTGCTCTGGCACTACCAGAGGGTGTCTGAGTGATATACAGCTGCCACTGCACCTGCCTTCGGAGTGTTTCCTCATTCTCTCCAACATTGTCTATATTTTATTCTTATAGCCCTCTACGTATTCACCTCTTGCAAAGTATCTTTAATCGACAACGGCTTTATATTAGATGTGCTTGTGTATTTTCATGGTTTCTGGTTCTCAATTGTAAGCAGGTCAAGTGTTGGCAAATGTGCAAATGTATTTTACAAATTTTCAGCGAGGTTTGCACAAGAAAATGGCTAGCTGTAGCCATCGACAGTAGGGCAGACTAAACTCCACTCTCCTTAAAACAGCAGCCACTCTAGTTGTAGATGGCAGCATCAAGGCCAGCGCCGACACCAGTGCCAATAACCTCGACACCCAAATCACCCAGGAAGTCCTTGGTGCGGTCGCTGAGATGAGGGCGGCGACCACCCTTGCGGCTGCGCTGGTTGTCATCCTCCTCAAAGTCCGCGTCGTCATACTCGAAGCTGCGCTGGTTGTTGTAGATAGCAGCATCCAGACCAGCACCGACACCAGTGCCGATCAGCTCGACACCCAGGTCGCTGAGGAAGTCCTTGCCGCGACCGCTACCGCGACCACGACCACCGCGCTGGTTGTAGATAGCGGCATCCAGACCGGCACCGACACCAGTGCCGATCAGCTCGACACCCAGGTCGCTGAGGAAATCCTTTCCACGACCGCTGCCGCGACCACGGCCGCCGCGCTGGTTGTAAATGGCAGCATCAATACCGGCACCGACACCAGTACCAATCAGCTCGACACCAAGGTCGCTCAGGAAGTCCTTGCCGCGACCGCTGCCGCGACCACGACCACCGCGCTGGTTGTAGATAGCGGCATCAAGTCCAGCACCAACACCAGTGCCAATCAGCTCAACACCAAGGTCGCTCAGGAAGTCCTTGCCGCGACCGCTGCCGCGGCCACGACCGCCACGCTGGTTGTAGATAGCGGCATCAAGTCCAGCACCAACACCAGTGCCAATCAGCTCAACACCAAGGTCGCTCAGGAAGTCCTTGCCGCGACCGCTGCCGCGACCACGACCGCCACGCTGGTTGTAGATGGCAGCATCAATACCAGCACCGACACCAGTGCCAATCAGCTCGACACCGAGATCGCTCAGGAAGTCCTTTCCACGACCGCTGCCGCGACCACGGCCGCCGCGCTGGTTGTAAATGGCAGCATCCAGACCAGCACCGACACCAGTGCCAATCAGTTCAACACCCAGGTCGCTCAGGAAGTCCTTTCCGCGACCGCTGCCGCGACCACGACCACCACGCTGGTTGAAGCCACCCTGCAGCAATGAGCCAAGGAGATCTCCGAAAATATCGGAACCAACCTCTCCACCGAGCTTGCCAAGACCCCTGCCAAACCCTCCAAAGCCGCGCTGGTTTCCATCCTCCTCAAAGTCGTCAATCTCGTCAATCTCGTCAGTAGTCTCGATGACAGGCTCGATGATACCAGCAGACTGGTTTTTGAAAGGAGTCGAGATGTCGCTGTCAGCAGGACCAGCCTGGTTGGCAGCGGCAGTAGCAGCGAGGATAGCGAAAGCGGTAGCAAGAGAGATGCGCATTGTCAGAGTTGTTTTTCGTTGAAAATGCAAATGCAGAAAGTGAATGCGATATTTGAATGAGGTTGCTTGTGTGAAGCTTGAGGTGGTGATGTTGTTGTTGAAGCAGGATAAAGCAGCCATGGTGGGCTGGCTTTATATACGCTGCGTGAACCTCGAGGATATCTTCCGATACTGCTTCTGCCCTTTCCAAGATTTTTCGAGGAGATTGCTAATTTTAGCGGCGCGGTGCGGTCCAGCGGGCGCTGAGAAGGAGAGATATTAATAGGCTGAGCATGTGTCGATCATCTTGATTTTGCACCTCAGGGTATCCTCATTCTGTGCGACTATGCACGGCCGAAAATGTCATGCATGGGCTCACAGAAAGCGCCTGCAAAGACAGTCGCCGCTCCTGAAAATAGACTGGGGACCATGTAGCCCGTTCAGCAGACCTGCACAAATGCTTGGAAATCTTGGTGATCTAAAAATACGAGAAGCAGCGGCACAGAAAGCGACATGTAGATACAATCGAGATGTCTGTTTGCAGGAACCTTGGAACCCGAGCTGCATAGCTGCACTCTCCGTACTGCGGCATATACGGAACTCTCGTAGTTTGATTAGACACTGTGCCCACCTATATTGTGGATCCTGGCGCTGTCGTCAATGAGACCTTAGGAAACACACTTCTTGTGCCCACGACTAACAATGGTCGCATGGTCCCTTTCGGCCGCTATGCTGAGTGTTTAGACGGGAGTACGCCAGATTGCCTTCGGACTCCTTCCTTCTTTCAAATAGCATACATCTACTTTTAAATATACATTACAGAATAGTGCCTTGAAAGTAAGCATATTTGAGCTGTTGCAGGGGACTGCTTAATTAATATCCTATGCGAGGTACTACACATTATTTGCCTATTGATTTCGAACTCTATCACTCCAAAAAAACGCCATTATAACAACAATGTGTATCCAAATTTGGTTTGCCGGTTTATGCACTGCAATGCAATGTAGTGCATATCAGAACTGAAGTCAGCACCCAGCCCTCTGATCTAGTCATAAATATGACGTAACAACTTCTTTTTCTCTAGTGATGATAAAACATAGGCTTCAGGAAAACGCTACCTTGCAATTTTGACCTATATAAATCGGCTGTTTTCAGAGAATTCTCGCTTTTACCTTTGCCTTTTAATAGTATTTCTATTCCAATGCATCACACACGACATATTAGCTTAAACTCCGTAGGCAGAGATATCCTACCACTGATATTCACCATCGTTACTGAGCATAGCCCTTCTCGAAACAGAGGATTGAGTCAGCACCGGCAACTCACAATCCTCGCAACCACATGTATCCTGTGGAAGGAAATCCTTATTCCTAGACTCGTAAATGCGCTTATTATTGAATACGCTGGAAACGGTCACTGGATGTCTAACGCGGACCAAATATTGTCGGCAGGGTGTCCTGAATTGACTACGAAGGTTTTATTGACTGGCTGTATCGATCAGAAGGGTATCTCAACATTTCTAACCATGCTGGGGATATTTGGAATCGATTCCGTCGTATGGAGTGGAGTTCGGGTTTTGGAGTTTGAGAATGGCAATAGCCTTGTTATTCCGGTCGAGTACGAGGACAGTCATTCTGACATCTGCGACTACCTCTGTCAACAATTCCCAAACCTGGAGGTCCTTAATTACGAGAAATGGTATTCTCTCCCAGGACTATTTGCGGCAGAGTTAATCTGCGCCTTGCCACATATCTCGATACATAACAGAGGAAAGATATGTATTTACGGGTTTACACTGAGTCATGCTCTCACAAACTATCCTGAGAATATCACCAGTCTAGACCTCAATGCAAAGTCAGTTCGGGATCTCGACATCACCCTGCAGCTCCGGTCTTCACAATTTCGACGGATTCTCTTTTACAACATTACTGACCAAATACCATGGGGGCTATTTAAGAGCAAATATTCTGATGTTATTGAGTTTACAAACCTCGAATGGTTCAGATTAAACTGCATTGGCAGGACAAACCACCCCACATCCGCAGCAAACAATAGGCTTACTTTGCGGTTTCCAAAGCTTCAGAGGCTGGATACAGATAACTCTTTCAACTTCTTTACCGACTTCTATTCGTTGTTTGCTGAGATACCACTCATTGCTCTGAAGATCTGGGAACAGGCACGTCACTTTCAGAGAATCGATCCACAAATCGTGCAAGCTGCTGATACTCTAGATATTACGATCCAAGGGCAGCTTCGCTCCATCGACCAGCTTCACACTGAGCAGGGCTCAGTGGACACATTCTTGGTATTTTTCTTGTCTGCTGCAACCTTGCAGCCACCGAATCTCCGGCGTCTGGTGTTGAAGGCAGAGTTTATACACTATAGCTTTGTTGAGCGCCTCCTTGTCCAGATCCCTAGCCTGCGAGTTGCCAGATTTGAGTGCAGTAATGGCATGGAAGAAATAAGAACAGCTGGGGATGAGTTCGAGCCCGTGGACCCGGAGAATTTACCGTCGCGGATTGGTACATTGCCAAACCTTGAAGAGTTTAGGCTTTATAATTTTGGTCAGTGGGTAGCAGCAGACTGCGAGTGGGCCTGCCAATTTATTCTGTGCTCTCCATCACTACTTCGAATCGGTGTGCCAGACTCGGCCCAGTCCGCTATATTTAGATTCTGCCAGACCAGACGCATATTTATTGACATCCAGGTTCGTAGCTCATACAATCCTTTTCTCAATGGCTTATTAGTTGACAGTCTTATTTAGTGTATCGTCTGCAACATCGTTGCTAGAATATTTTTTATTTAAAAGGTTCACGTCTTTTCGAGCCTCACAGTGAGCATGCCTGACTTGCTGTGTGATCTCTTAAAAATAGCATTCTCCCTTTTGGTCGATTGATTCAGATCCAAAGGTCTCAAATATAGCCTAAAGAAGCTGGTAAAATCGAACTTGGAGCCATATATCAAAATGCCATTCGTCTTAGATCCTTCACATTTTGCAGGTTCAGCAATTCAACAAACGAGCTACTCAACTCCCGCATTCTCGGCGCTCAGACTTTGAACTGTTGGCTTCCTGGTTAACACATCCTACACCCAATATATTTTTATTCACCACATGCTGATATTCACACTGACCACAAATATGATTATGTTGAACTCGAGCATCAGCATGTGTTAACACATGACTGCATACTTAGCATATTCAAGCGAATGTCAGGGGGAGTTAAAAGAAACATGTTAATAATAAAAAAAGCGAGAGAGAAAATGAGAAAGTTGTGTTGGTCTGTGTTTTTGTGTCTAGTTGGCGGCAGCAGCGGGCTTCTCGGTCTCCTTCATGTAGGTGTCGAGGTCGGCGTCAAGCGACTCCTTGGTGGCATCCGGGCGCTTCTCGCGGTCGCCGCCACGACCGCCCTTGTGGCCGCCACGGCGACCCTTGCCTCCGTTTGCGGGACCGTTCTGCTGCTTCTGCCGTCCGGCGCCATTGGCTCTGCCACCGCTCCTCGGCGCCTTGCCACCAGCCGGCGATCCCTGCATCACAGCGCCGGGCATCATGGTGGGCATCATCATCGGCACGGCCATCGGGTTGTAGGCGACCTCGATCTTCATGGTGCGGCCGTCGAGCGTCACGCCATGGTAGCGCTCGACTGCCAGGGCCGCGTGCGCCGGCGACCGGAAGATGACCTCGCCGCTGCCCTTCGACCGACCATTGGGGCCAAAATTCAGCGTGGCACGCTTGACTGGGCCAACCTGGGTGAACAGCTCGCGCAGGTCCGCCTCGGTCACGCCATAGTCCAGGTTGCCAATCAGGATCTTGCCGCCCTGGCTCTGCTGCTGGGTGTTGGCAGCAAGGAATGCAGCCTGGTTCATCATCATTGTCTGCGCCGCCAGTGTCTGTTGCTGCTGCTGCTGCTTCTGTCCGCGCTTCTGGACTCCGCCGTCGCGGCGGGCGTAGGGCGAGCTGCGGTTCGACTGGTGACCACTGCTGTTGTTGCTGCGACGTCCACCGCCGTTGCGCCGGGGGGCCTCCGAGATGATCTCATCGAGCGACTTGTCGAGGTTGGCGGACATGATCTGACGTGTTGATAGACGGTCTATGTTCCACACGAGGCAGAATCCGATGTATGTGTGTGAATGAGAGAAGTAATTCAGCGAGAAGTGTGAGGGAGTAAGATGACAGTGGTTAGAAGCATGTGTTAGCATGAGCAACGCGAGAGAGCTGGAGATAGAGGAAGAAATCAGACAATAGTTGCAAAACACGAGCGGTCCTTTCGAAATAAGCACTTGCGAACGACAGTTGGGCACGGTGGCTCCGAGTAAACACGCGAATGAGCCAGAGGTGGCTAGTCGGCAGCAGGCTGAGGGGGGGGGGCAATGAACGGGGGATGCTCTTGTTGGCCCTGGTTTTCTCAGCAGGCAAAAGCGAGACAAGCTCAAGTCCGCGATCCAGTCTGCAGAACCAGCCAAAGGGGCCGAGCCAAAACGCCCAGTGCTGCTACGTAGAGCAGAGGACAGGGTCAAGCCGAGGGTCTGCGTAGGCTCTACCAAGTAGCCCGCCACTAGGCACATTCTCGCTGCAACTACGCTTCAGAGCCTCCACTGGCGTCCGCATCCCCTTCGCCCCAATCGCGCCCCTCTGCAGCTGATCCGCGCCAGGAGTTTGCGTGCGTAACCGGCGGACTGCGGCCAGCAGAGCAAAGAAAAGCGCTAGCGCTCTCAAGAGCAGCCACACCGCCCACGCTTTCATTCTTCGCCATGTACTGCCAGTTACGCCCGCACGTGTGCCCGCCAGCCCCGCCTCAAAGCACGGCCACCACCGCTGCTTCCGACCGACCCAGAGGGAAGGGGCTATCTCCAGACAGGAGAACGCATCGTCCACCAGCCACGAAACGAGTGAAAACGCGTGCGCGTGGGGCAAAATAAAGCGACAGGACAAAGATACCCAGGCTTTCACAACCCTGAACAGCGGCTTGCTTGGACTCAAAGACCACACATTGCACTGTCTTGAAAGAATAAGGACAGAACACCGGGCGACAAGTACCTTAAAGCGAGCAGGAAAGAAGATAATTGAGAACGACAAGCAGAGATTGTCGAATGGGCGCTGGTAGAATAAAAAAGAGTATAGAGAAATGGCTAGAGAAGAAAAATCGGGAGGCTGTGTTTCAGGCTCGCAAGAAAAAGTGGCACAACGGAGCTGGCCAACAGCACACGTGATGTAGGACGGCCAATGGTAAGCAGCAAGAGCGCTTGAATTTTTCGCGACCGAATTAGAGCGCGTTGAGCGCGGAGAGGGCTATCGCCGACCCAGTTGCATTTCTCTTTCCACTACTTGCTGCTCAGAACATTTGCCGCACCTGCCCATCATGAACCCTAATTTGAACGTCGCTCTGGACGATATCATTACCGAGGACCGGCGGGCGCACCGTCAGCGCAGACACCACGACGCATCGCCGTACAGGCGCACCGAGGGCAGGCCGCAAGCATACAATAGGCAGTCGTCGCTGAGGAAGGACGGCAGTTCCCGTAGGGATGACGGGAAGTGGGGCCATGACGAGTTCCATCGCGGACAAGGAGGCAGTATTAACGACCGCCTTGGTCCGAACAAGACGGTAGTGCGCCAGGATGCTAGCCGTGGCGCCAGGAAGGGCCGCGGGAAGTCTGAGAAGGCGCCGGGCCACATCGACCGTGGAGTGGCTATCACTGGGCGTGGGCGCGATCCAGCCCCCTATGACACCTTCCGCATGTTGTGGGTGGAGCATTTGCCACGCAACTATGAAGAGGACGAGATCCGTGACCTGTTCAGAAACACGGGCAAGGTTGAGGCTGTGCGCATGGCCAAGGACAGCAAGGGCCGTTTCCTTGGTAAAGCCGAGGTGCTGTATACGCTGCCAGAGGACGCGCGCAGCGCCATTCAGTCTTTTGATGGTGAGGTTCTCTACTCGACTGACATTACCCAGGTCGAGCCATTGCGTGTGACGTATTCGGACCTGACCAAATCCCTCTATCTCGACGAGATCAAGTTTGAGAACTCGTTGCCGGCGCCCAACTATGTGCCTGTTGGAAATAGGCTGGGCGGAGTGCCTGTGGCGACCGCCAACATGATGCAGGTGCAGATGCAGATGCAAATGCAAATGCAGGGGCTCCAAGAGGGTGATAGCATGCGTAGAGGCGCGGGCTCTGGACAGAGGCGCGGGTTGTCGACCCAGAATCGTCGCAGCCAGCAGAGCAACCAATCGTCACGGCCAACAACCCAGCAGCTGGATGCCGATCTTGATTCGTACATGAGCTCTAAGTCTGGCCAGAAGACAACGCAAGAGACGCCAGCTGTTACACCAGCTGCCCCTGCCCATGCCCCTGCTCTGGAGGCTACCCAGACTACTGAAGCTGCTGTAGATGATGATGACCTGTAGCCGGTGTTTTCGTAGGTGCTGATTACAAAATATCCATTGCCCATTCTATATGATGCACTGCATATCTGGAAATTTGACATAGAGTTGGCATTTAAGTATACTGATCTGATTCCACAAAGCGCTGGTGCCAGTATGCAGCAGCATGCAATGGTGAATCGGTATAGACTATATTTATTCTGCCATGTCGCGAGCCAGTACTATCGATAGACATGCTGTTCAGAAAGGTGCCATAAATCAGCAGTCATGATCATCAATATCATAATTTGAATGTATCCGGTATTTTGTGTGTACATCCTACCATTTTTACTCTTTTGTACTATTATCGTTTAGCTGCAGCGATGAACTACAACAACGGCACGTCAGGCGACCAGTTCGTAGACTTCAGCTTTTGCGAATCGAAAGATATCAACGAATTTGTATCGGTCCGCATCGACAAGCTATGGGGGACCCTGCCAGGGAGTAAACGCAGCAGCCAGGCCAGCCACGGTATAGCAATGCTTGAAGAGCATTTTCAGCAGATCGGCTTAGATAGCGACACAGGACTTGACCAGGCCTCGGAGCCTCTGCTCTTTATCACAGCCCAGCTGTGGAGCTCCGATATCCCGCAGTCATTGCCGCTGCAGACAAAATACAAGGCCAAGGCGCACACAGACGGATGGAACGAGTGGGTAAGGTTCCCGACGAAGTACAACGAACTGGCGGTGGACGCGTGCATAATAGTGACGCTCTGGCAGCAAGAGGCGCTGTGGAAGGTTGCACACTGCGGGACATGCCGGATCCAGCTGTTTGCAGATGATAGCGAACTGGTGCAGGGAAACCAAAGGCTGCAGCTGATACCGAAAGAGCACACTGGTTTGGGTGCGGAGCCATTGGAGTACGATAGGTTGTTTGCGGCAGTGCGTCGATACGAGGACGGGGATATGCAGAGAGTTGACTGGCTCGACACGCTGACCATGCAGCGGATTGAGGAGACTGAGACGACAGAGAGGAGGCAATCAGGCAGGCTGTATATCCATATGTCGTTCCCCAAGTTTGATTTTGCAGTAGTATTTGGCGAGAGTACGCTAGATGACCCGATAACAAAGCTGACAGCACAGCCCAAATACAGCCTGGTGTTTGACCCTGAAGCGTACCGCGACAACCCGTCCGAAACCAAGCACCGCAGACTGCTGCGCGGATACCGCAGCGGACCCCTGGATCGCGAGCTGAAGCCCAACGCAGCCTTGCGCGACCAGCTCAACACAATCGTGCGGTATGCGCCGAGCCAGCAGCTGACGGATGCGGAAAAGGACCTTGTGTGGAAGTTCCGGTTCTACCTGGCGACGAACAAGAAGGCGCTGACAAAGTTTGTCAAGTGCGTGGACTGGCGCGATCCGATAGAGTCCAAGCAGGCGACAAAGCTGCTGGCGGAATGGGCGGAGATTGATATCGACGATGCGCTAGAGCTGCTGGGTGCCGAGGTCACAGATTACGCGGTGCGTGTGTACGCCGTGTCGAAGCTGCGCAAGGCGAATGACGACGAGCTGATTGTGTATCTGCTGCAGCTGGTGCAGGCGATTCGATTCGAGTACCAGGGGGCGGGAGCTGCTGTGGGCCCTGGCGGTGATATGGCCAGCGGCATGGCCGGTGGTATCGAGGCGCCTGGCAGGCTGCAGCAACAGCAGAGTGCAGCAAATCTGCACGAGTCGAGTCTGGCCGATTTCCTGCTGGGTCGTGCGTTGCAGAACACGACTCTGGGCAACTTCTTCTACTGGTACCTGATGGTGGAGTGCAAGGACCGGTCGATGGGCAAGATCTACGGCAAGATTGTGTTCCAGTACGTTAAGGCACTGTCAGATGCGCAGGCGGGTGCCAACACGCAGAGCACGTTTGAGCGGCAGAGCAAGCTGGTGGGCGACCTGGCGCGCGTGTCGGGTCTGGTGCAGCAGCTGAAGGAAACACGCACACGCAAGGTCGACTGGCTGCGGGCGTACCTTGCCGACCCCAGGCACGGGCTGAATTCGTTCCCGGCGCTGTCGCTGCCGCTGGATCCGTCGGTGCAGGTGGTTGGGATCCAGGCGGACAAGGCCTCAGTGTTCAAGAGCACAATGATGCCGCTGTTCCTGCACTTTGTATGCTCTGACGGGTCGCTGTATCCGGTTATATTCAAGTCGGGCGACGATATGCGGCAGGACCAGCTGGTGGTGCAGATCATCACGCTGATGGACCGGCTGCTGCGCAAAGAGAACCTTGATCTGCACCTGACGCCGTACCGCGTGCTGGCGACGGGCGTCGACCAGGGGCTCTCTCAGTTTGTTGCGTCGCAGTCGCTGGCGGCAGTGCTGGTGGAGAACAACAACAGCATTCTGGCGTACCTGCGGAAGACCAGCCCGGATCCGTCGGCGCCCAACGGCGTGTCCCCCGAAGTCATGGAGACGTATGTCAAGAGCTGTGCTGGCTACTGCGTGATCACGTACCTGCTGGGAGTGGGCGACCGACACCTGGACAACCTGCTGTTGGCGCCAGACGGCCACATGTTCCATGTGGACTTTGGGTATATCTTGGGCCGCGATCCAAAGCCGTTCCCGCCGCCCATGAAGCTATGCAAGGAGATGGTGGAGGCGATGGGCGGCATGGAGTCGGTGGCATACCAGCGGTTCAAGTCGCACTGCTTTGTGGCATTCAGCATTCTGCGCAAGTCGGCGAACCTGATACTGAACTTGTTCTCGCTGATGCGGTACTCGGATATCCCCGATATTGCGGTTGCGCCCGACCAGGCTGTGGCCATGGTGCAGGACAAGTTCCGGCTGGATCTGTCAGAAGAGGAGGCGATGCGGTTCTTCCAGACATTGATAAACGACAGTGTGCGCGCGCTGTTCCCACAGGTCATCGAAACCATTCATAGATGGGCGCAGTACTGGCGTGCATGATTTTCTGCCCTTTGGCACAAGCCATCTGCGATAGAACGTGCATGTGTATAACCATATCCGTATTTATGCGTAAGCTGCATATACACTGCTTGCTGCTCGCATGCCGTTTGGGTTCTTCTCGATGATTACGATTTTTTTGTTTTAAAATGTATCCAGCATCTGCGGAAGACACAAATTACATGTGCGCGTGCGGGTCCTCGGGCTGCTGCTCGGGTACCAGCTTGATCATGTCGTCGATACGCAGGATGTTGATGGCAGCTTCGGTCGCAGACTTGAGCATCTTGATCTTGGACATGGCGGGCTCCAGCACGCCAGCCTTGACGTTGTCGCGCAGCTTACCCTCGTGCAGGTCCAGGCCGTACCACTTGAGCAGGCTGCGGGTGGAATCGGCAGGCGCGTTCTGGGCGGCGGCATGGTAGGCGCGCAGCTTGGCGATCAGCTCAATCGAGTCCTTGGCGGCGTTGACAGCAAGCTGCTTCGGGATGGCCAGCAGGGCGTTCGCAAACTCTGCGATGGCCAGCTGCTCGCGCGATCCCAGGGTGGTGGCGAACGACTCCAGGTAGACATCCAGGGCGGTCTCGACGGCACCGCCGCCAGGCACAACGGCACCCGACTCCATCACGCGCTTGATAGCGCACAGCGAGTCGTGCAGACTGCGCTCCATCTCCTCCAGCATGTAGTCGTTGGCGCCGCGCAGAATCACAGTGGACGCACGCTGCTCCGAGGCACCACGCACGACAACAATGTCCTCGTCCGAGAGCCGGATCTGCTCGATGAGCTCGGCTGTGCCGATAGTCGAGGGCTCAAACGACTCGTCGCCGTCGAGGTTGGCCAGGGTGGTGATGATCTGGGCGCCAGTGCCCTTGGCGATCCGGCGCGCATCGTCCTTGGGCACACGGGTGACAGTAATAGCGCCGGCCTCGGCGAACATCTTCACGTACATGTCGTCGATGCCGCGTGTGCTGAATACGGCCGTGACGCCGGCGCCGAGGATCATGCGTACGCGCTCGGCAGAAATGTCGGCCTCGCGCTTGCGGATCGCCTCGAGGTTGTCGGGGTTGTCGATGACGACGTTGACGCCCATCTTCAGGCGTGTCTTTGTCAGGTCAAAGTCAATCACAGCGATCTTGGGATCGTTTAGCGTCTGCTTCATCGCCGGGCTGGTGATCGGCCGGTACAGCGCGTAGCCCTGGAAGTAGTGGCTCTCGCGGGCACTCGCACCCTTGACCTTCAATACGTTGACCGACTGGACCGGGTAGCGCGCCTTTCCACGGAAATCAGTGGTCTTCACGGCCGACAGCGCGTCGACAGTCATCTCGGCAAAGAACGTGCCGTACGTGCCGAGGATCTTGCTGGACAGCGTTGTCATGGCGACATTGACCAGGGCCTCGCGGCCAAGCTTGTCCACCTTCTGCGCCATCTGGTCGGCAATGAACTTGCATGCCTCCTTGCACGCCAGACGGTAGCCGGTGATAATGGTCGCCGGGTGGATGTGGTTCTTGACCAGCTCATTTGCGCGCCGCAGGAGCTCTGCCGCCAGGATCACCACCGATGTCGTGCCGTCGCCCACCTCGGTGTCCTGCTGCTGCGCCAGCTTCACCAGGATCTTTCCCGCCGGGTGCTCCACCTCCAGCAGCTGCAGGATCGTTGCGCCGTCATTCGATATCGTCACGTCTCCCACGTCGTCCACCAGCATCTTGTCCAGACCCACGGGTCCGAGCGATGTCTTGATCACGTTGGCAATCGACAGAGCCGCCATGACTAGCATGAGTCGGAGCGTTTAGTAGCAGTAGGACTTTTTCTGTGCAAAGCGCCGGGCGCAAAAAAGCCCTCTAGGTGCGTGTTCCTTACCATTCTGCGAGCGGACCTCCTGTCCCGAGATGCGCGACCCGCCAATGAACAGGGCAGAGTCCTGGTTGTTTGTGTCAAAGATGCCCGACATTTTCCCTTTTCAAAAAATAGTGTCTTGAAGTTGCGAATGAAGAAGAAAGGAGCGAATCACAACAACAGCCAGCTGGGCCAAGCGCCGACGATATATTTTTTCGGCAGAACCTACGGTGTTCTCCAAAGGTCCACAACAGCCCGCGGCGCTGCCAGCAGCAGAATCACCCGATCTGATCTGCCGATCAAAGCCCGTGAGCGGAGCACTGCTCCAGCCACATGCTGCCGCCGAGAAAGTCACACACAAGCGACAGTGAGCAGCCAGGAGGCCACATTGTCCAGTCCGGCGCTGGTAGTTGTTGCATTTGAAATTATTGTGAGAAAAAGGTACAAAAGCAATACCGACTTGGCATACAGGAAACGTGGTCGCCGTGCAGGATCAGTGCAGCAGTCCGTCAGCTGCGCTTTTGTTGGTCTGCTTCCAAAGCTAGCAGGCTTTCTGGAGAGAAGGCACTACCGGGGCTGTGCTTGCTTCTCTGCCTCCAAAAGCGCCGCATCCGGCGGCAAAGTGATTTGCCTCTTTGATTTTTATTCCCTTTGACGACGCACGTACAAAAAACCTGCTTGCCAGTTGTGCATTCTTTTGCTTCCCGGCTACCGACAAGTGCCGGCATGGTAGCTTCTTTAGCACAGCATGTCGCAGCAGCAGCACAGGCACGACGCGCAGAGACTATAAGAAGAATTGGGCAAAGGGGCGGGGGTTGTTAGTAGGACAGCATGGCAAGCCGTAGGGGATTTGCAGCTCATATTTTGGTGCCGGCTTGTTGATGTCAAAACAAAGCTTCATTAGAAGCGATCTGCCTGCTCTCCAAACACACACAAAAACCGCTCCTGTTGGAAGCAGGACGCGGTTCCGGACCACCGAGATAGAACAGCTCGATACTTACAGACCCTCGCAGAAACCGCTGCTCCCCGACTGCTGGGGCTGCTGCTGCTGCACGTAGACGACCTGCGGCTGCTGGCCCTGAGGCGGTCCCTGCTGGTAATAGCCGCCCTGCTGGGGCGCGCCGTAGCCGCCGGGAGGGGGAGGAGGAGCGTAGCCGCCCTGCGGAGGCGGGTAACCAGGAGCGTTGTACTTGTCGGCCATTGTAGGTGGAAAGGAAGTTAGGAGAGGGTATTAGTAGTGTAGATGAAAGAGAGAGAGCAGAGGGGAAGTAGAGTCACAGCAGAATGCAGAGGCAAAGTGCAAGCGCTGAGAAAGTATTAAATAGCCTGGGAAGGGAAGCCGGGGAGAGGCGCTCAATAGAAAATTCAGCAGTGGAATTTGGATGGACGTCTTGATTTCGCTGCCCCATCGCCAATCGTGAGGCGACGCGGTCTTGGCGTGCATGGGGTTGTGTTCGTCCAAAGAAGCATTGGTCCCCAGTGCTCATTAAGCCTTCGGCGCTGCGGGCTCGCACAAGGCCAAAGACCATACGCTGGGCGAATAAGAGGGGCTCGCAGTTACACGGCCTATTGGGCTGTTTGCCCGCAGGTTCCTTTTTTTGCTCAAGACGCTGCAGAGTCACAGGAATTTAATTGAAAACAGAAACGCTAACGCAGTATATGCAGGGCAGGGCTCTTCTCACGGCTCGCGCTTGACCGGCAGCAGATCGAATTTTGCCAGCAGCTCCTCCTCGGAATCAAAGCTGTATTCGAGCTGGATCGGAATCTTGGCCTCGTCTGCCGACGGATACGGCGCCAGGCCCTCGTCCAGGTTGGCAATGCGCCAGTTGACGGTCAGCTGGCCCGCCTGGTTCGGCACCTTGATCTCCAGCAGCACCGGAGCGCGCTGCGGGTCCAGTAGCGTCTCTGGAAACACCAGCTGCTCGTCGGCCAGCGCGCTGGTGCCTGCGCCCATGGTCGACCACAGCGCCTCGACGACTAATCCGCGGCCGCGGTCGGCAGTGAACCTCAGGCACACGATGCGCGTGCGCTGCTGCAGAACATCCTTCTCCTCGGACTTGCTCGGCTTGAATCCGAACCAGCTGCCGTACCCCTTGCTGGACTCACTGGAGGTTGATGGGCGCAGCTCGGGCAGCGGCGAGACGTCGTAGATGTACGTGTGGCGGGGCTCGCTGTAGCTGATCTGCACCTGGTGTTGCAGGGCTGTGAAGGCGGCGCGCGGCAGGTCCGGGTAGTTGCCCATGGGCACGCTGGGCACACAGCCGCCGGGCATGTGCGAGCAGCGGCATGTGCCGCCAAGGAACGCCGGCAGATTCTGCGGCGGCACCTGCTTCAGCAGAGCCGGCGAGTAGTTCTTGCCCAGGATCTGGATCTTGGAGATGACGCGCGGGTCGAGCCAGCCCTTGATCACATTCCACGCTGTGACGAACATGGCCGGCGCATTGATCACAAACGTCTTATGCATGCGCTCGGGGTAGTACAGCTGGTCGTTGGCCAGCATCTCGCGCAGCATGTTCAGGGCCGGCCAGTGCGACAGCATCGAGAGGGAGATGCCAGAGAGATCGAAGATCACCACCTGCTTGGAGATGTCGCGGCCAGCCCACCGCGAGCACTCGGGGAAGATTGTGCGGCACAGGAACTCCTGCATCAGGTAGTGGTCCTCGAACAGCTCGTCGAGCGTGCACTTGCTTGGGATATTCTTGATCCTGTACCGCCCGATCCGCTCAATGTACAGCGGGTGCCCGTCCTTGTCCTGCTTGTGCCAGCACCCGCCTCCAAAGTACCGATTCAGTTTGAGCTGAAACTCCTTGACCTGTGTGCCGGCCATCAGGTTCGCATCCGCCACCGAAAAGTACCCGCGCGTCGGGTACGGCACGGAAAACGTGTTGCTGGCCATGGCCACCGGCAGATCGTCGATTTTCTCTTCAACGCGCCATTTGTACCAGCCCTGGACCATGGCTGCTGACTTGTCCTACACAGGCACTGATGTCTGCACTGTTAGCTTGGGTCTTGGCAAACTCAACAGACATGATGTGGAGTCACGCTAGCAACTGTGTTCCCCCCCCCCGGCTCGCTGCTCGCAACGAGAACGTGGGGTTCTATTTGTAGGAGACAAGCTGTTCGCCAGCACCCCCTCCCCGCATCTCATGCGGAGGGAAAATATACACCTACCGTGTCGAGTTGTCTGGCCACCGCAAACCGCCAGATATCCTACCAAAATTTCGTCGCTCCAGTGATTAGTCAAGGCGCGGTGTTCCAAGGACTCGAGCTGCACCTAGGCGTAGCCTTGGTAGCGAGCTTCTGGTAGAACCCAAAGGTGGCGCACTTACCGAGTCCGAGCAGTACTCGTTAATATCGTCCGTCAGCGCTGCCCGCAGCTTGGCTATAGCCTCAGCCTTCTCCTCGGGCTTCGGGTTGTCCAGGTCAACCGTGGTGGTGTTTGTGTGGCTCATGATATCAGGGGAATGTGAACGTGTCAAAGCGTATAAACTATCAGAAATGGGTATCGTTTGTCCAGGGGCTTTCTCCTTGGCTCAAAGAGGGCTACTGTCCAGAATATAAAGCGGGGGGACTGCGAGGAATCTATTCAAAAAATATGCAGTTCTCCACTGCTACAGGTGGTGCCAAGAGACAAACGGGTGGTGCCAAGAAACAAGTAAAAGATAATAAAAACGGTGTACGCGCTTTGGGAAAAAAAAAAAAGAAGAGGAGAAAAGAGCTGACAGGCCCGCAACGAGCAACGGGAGGGCGATGTTCTAGAAAGACGGGCAGCTTGCCGCATCTGCCCGCACATCAGCAGTGCATGATTTTACCTCCCCCAATCGTCCTACACCCCTGGCCCATCGCCTGCAAAATGCCGGCTGCACGTGCCACGGGCACTAGCGAAAAAAGTCGGCAATCCGCTTCTCGGAACGCCATCCACACGACACGCCAACGAGGGCAGAATCCCTGGTACCTCTGGGTCGCTTCCGAATCTCCACCCAAAACGCTAGCAGGCCGCCCTACTGCTCCAATGCCTGCTTGAGCTCGCGCACCAGGCACATTTCGACGCCGGCGACTTCGCTCTCCTGGCTCATCGCCATGTCCAAGCTATCCGTCGCCCTGATAAGCCTGCTTGCCGCCACGCCCTCCAGCGCCAAATACACCGGCCGCCTAAACCGCGTCGCCAGCCGCCTGGCAACATCCGGCGTTGGATCGTCCAGACCGTTGCCCAGCAGCTGCGACGAATTTCCGCGCGCGCCAGGACGGTTTGGCGGCAGCGACAGGGAGAGGTTCGCCATGGCTCCCGGACGCGACGGCGATGCGGTGACTGCTGCCCAGGCCCAGACCATGCCGGGCTTGGCTCCGCCGTTGTGCATCAAGACACTGACCGCAATGTACTTGGCCTCGTCGGATGCGTGGGTCGGGGCGTCGGGGTTGAGCCGCTGCGGCGGGCCTTGCAGCGGATCAAGCAGGTATGTGGCCTGGTGCGTGGAGAACCTTGGTGGAACGCGGACAACGGTAGCTGCTGACATTGTGGTGGGGAACAAAGGTATTGTGACAAGTGCCTTACCCCTCTTTCCGGAAGATTGGTGATTTCCGTTTATCACTATCAATCGTATACGACCAAATATGGTCAAACCGCTGTAAACAGGTATTATTTCACATAGCATTTTTGAGGCCAATAAATAAAGGTGTTGCTTCAGTGGTTGAGGGACTTGTACCCAAACAGGCCGACGACGGCGCCCGCCGCAAAGGCCACGGCGACGTTGAGCAGCGACTCCTTGCGCAGCTCCTGCCGCACCTCATTCCGCTTGGCCTCCTCCTGCGCAGCCACGGCCACCTTCTCCTTGTCGGTCAGCACGCCCTCCTTGACATAGTACCTGGCGAACAGGTCGTTCTGCACCCAGAAGAACTTGTTGTACGCGCTGACAATCTTCTGCCTGGTCTCGCTGTCCCACTCCTCGACGCCCTGCAGCGCGTCGATGACCACGGCGGAAACATAGCCCATCAGGGCGTTGATGTGGATGTACTCGACATTGATGGTCGACGTCTTCAGTGGCGTCGTGGTGTGGATGTGGCCGACCCAGTCCAGGTACTTGAGGTAGGCGATGTTCCACTCGGCAGAGACCAGCTTCTTCAGGTACTTTGTCAGCATGGTCTTGCGGAAGGTGATGACCTCGGAGCCTATCTCGACTCTGCCCACGTTCGGGCCCTGCGCGTGGAAGCCCTCCTGGTCCTCGGAAAAGTGCTTCCAGGTGATGTCGTACATAAACAGCTTGTCGTACACGGCGTCGACGATGGTCGGGACCAGCCCCGCAACTACGCTCGCCGATTTGTGAAGAAACTCTTGATCCTCCTTGGTAAACCCAATGAAGCCCGCCACATAGTCGTAGCGATACTGCAGGTCAGTGTACAGGCGGGTGCGATCAATGGAGTTTTGCTCAGGCATGGTTGAAAAGAATAGTGATGTGAGAGAGAAAATTAAAGATAAGATTTTGAAAGTTGAGGTTGGAGATAAAAAAGGACGCTGCAGCTTTATATATGTGCTGGGCCCGCCATCTCCTCACTGTGTGTCGGGTTCCCTTCGTCGGTGCACGGAAGCAGTCCACGCTCCACCCTGCTGAAAAAAGCCTTTCAGTGTTAGGGTAAGCTGAATCCGGTGCTGTTGGCCTGCTGGGGCGAGCATCTTAACCGAGTAACAGCGTTGTGTAAGCACCGCTCTCCCCAGTGGCCACGGCAATACGCACATGTCCGCACTCCAAAACAGCTGCACTCACCAGTGGGGTGATTGTAACGTGGTGCGCGATAAGGACGGTGCAAAATCGCTGTCACCGGAAAGAAGCAAAATACATGCAGCGATGGTCGGACAGATGTTGACAGCATACAGGCCGGAAATCCTGCCTCCATCAGGCCACACCCAAAAAGCAACTAGCAGCCGCATATCTCCGGCTGTGCGACATCCGCAGAGATCCTGTTCTGTAAAACAGCAGCTGTGTGGCTGGCACAGCCTGTCTGCCGATTTGCAGCAAAGGAAAGAGGTTACCGATATATTGAAAGCTCCCCTGCTGACCAAGCGGCTAGTTAATAGGGCCCTCCACAGCCGTCGGCTTGTTGCTGTCGTCGCCCTCAACCACAGATCCGGAATTGCTGCTGGAGTCGTCGTCCTCGATCCCAACCAACTCGTTCTTCAGCGCCATGGTCTGCTTCTGCACGTCCGCCGGCACATTCGACGAGTACCTCAGCGTGATGGTCGGCGTTGTCTCGACCACATCCACGTTGCCGTGCCCAGCAATGTGCAGCTCGTCGATCTTGAGGTTGCCCAGCAGCGGCTGGCGGTGCGACGACGGCCGGCCGCCCTCAGACATGGTCGGGCTGGTGCCCATGCTCTGGCCCTTCAGGTGCGCCATGCTGGGCGTCGACGACATGCTGATCCTGTAGTCCGGCGTCCTGGACTTCCCCACGGCTGCGGGAATCGCCACAGCGCGCGCAGCAGCCTCAGGGGAGATCACATTTTCAGCCTCGTAGACTGGCGGCGACCCAACATGGTCGGCGGCCATCGCAGGCTCTCCCAGCGCAAACGCATCATCGGTAGGCAGCGCCACCCCAGCATCGCGCACATGGTCGTGGCACGAGAACGACGCAGCATAGGCTGACGGCGACAGGTGGACCGGCGAGCCGTCGCGCGGATCGGAGCGTATGTGCGGCATGCTCGTGATGCTGAGCTGGCTCGGCAGGTGGTGGTGCAGGTGGCCGTCCTTGCCATGGTGCATAAAGTGGCCTGGGTGGTCGGGATCCGGCGACGCTGACCGCGAGTTCTCGCGGGTCATGCTGGGGCTGATCTGCGACGGCCACACGTGGCCTATATGTCCCTCATGGCTGCCCTGGTCGTGGCCGCCGGACACCGACAGGTTCGACATCTCGCCCTTGATCTCATCAAGCACCGGCATGCGCGCGTGATCCCTGGCCTGCATCTGCTGGCTGGCTGCCGTCTTGGCCACAACCGACTCGACAGCAGCACGCATGGCGCCGGTGTCGATATCCTCGTCTCGGGGAGTCGAGCCGAGCGCAACCGACGGCGGCGCGTTGGTGCTGGCAGGCGTCGGGAACGGCAGCTTCGGCGTCGGGCTGTCCGCGGGCGTCCACACCTCGTCCACGTCCCACGTGTCGGAAACCGCGTTGACCAGCTTGGACGCCGCAGCTGCTTTGGGTGCAACTGGGGTGCCCGCAGACTCTTCGCGCCCTGCCACCACCGTGGCCGACGAGCTCAGAAGCTGGTCGTGCGTCGGGAGCCGCGTAGCATCGGTCTTGGTAGCCGGGCTGCTGGCCACGCTGTTAGGCGCGGCACTGGCGCTGGACCGTGCTGTGGCACCAGCCGAGCCTGTGCTGCCCTTCAGCGTGCCGCCACGCTTCAGCCCCTTGGGCTTGGCGCGGTGAGTGTCAACAGCGTCAATATCGATCTTGTATGTTTGGATGTCGCAGCCGTACGCTGTCCACGTCAGCTTCATGACTGTGTGCAGCGGGATCTTGAGATACGGCAGCTCGTCGGGCCCAATGTCCAAAAAGTACGCGTAGATGCAGCGCAGCACAGCCTGGTGCGAAATCACCATGATGTTCTGCTGCCGCTCCAGCTCCATGATCACGGGCTCCAGCCGCAGCACCACATCGCGGTACGACTCGCCGCCGCGGTACCGGAACTCAAACTTGTTCTGGTCACGCATCGCGTACTCTTCCGGGTACTCCCGTTCGACGTCCTCGTACGTCAGCCCCTCGCACACACCAGCATCCAGCTCGTCCAGAGCCTTCCACTGCATCTTCTTGCATGGCAATCCGGCCGCAGTCTGGTGCGTGCGCCTGAGCGTCGATGTCCACACCGTCAGCGGCTGGTCGCCCAGCAGCTTCGAGATGAGACTCGGCAGGGCGTCGGCGTACTTGCGGCCGTTCGGGCTGAGATCGGGGTCGCCACCCAGGCGCTGGTTGAGGTTGTACATGCTCTCGCCGTGGCGGCTGAACAGCACCGAGCGCGTGGCAATGTGGATGTTCATCAAAAAGTAGACGATGCGCGATTCCAGGTAGCTGGTGATGCGGTTGATGACAACCTGCGAGCCTACGTTGATCTTGCGCACGTAGCTGGCCAGCCGCTCGTCGTACTCCTCGACCGTCGGGTCCTCGGGCGGATACGGGTACTCGCCCTTCGCCAGCGGCCGCTTGCCATCGCCGCCAACGGGCTCATAGACTTCGCTGTAGTGGTCGATGCGATGCCGGAAATCGTCAAGCACCATCTGCGGGTCCTTGATGCCCTTGTAGTCGGGGCTCGTACGCTTGACCTCCAGGATGTTCATGTCCACCAGGTTGGCGTCGTCGCACCAGCTCTCGCAGAACATCACCTCCACGTTGTGCTTGCGGCACTCGTCGCTGATCATCTGCCGCCGGGACCGCGTCGAATTTGTTGCATCGTAGATCGCCACGCCATTGTGTACGTCCTCAAACCACGCAAACATGTCGTTGAGCGCCAGCACTGCGCACTTGAGCCGCTGCTCGATGGCCACCGGGTTGTGTGGGTCAAAGAAGCTGTGGTCAAGCTGCGCTCCGACGATTTTGCGTCGGTACTCGCCAACATTGAACACGCGGCAGTTTACTCCGAGCCATGCGAGATACCGTGACACTACACTGGGAACGAATCCCCCCAGGAAGATAAGAGGTCGGTGAGAAACAGGAATTGAGAGAGAAAAATTGGCCGCAAACGAAATTGCCCTTGTTCTCGCGCCGTTGGGCTTGCATGCTTGCCTGCCCAGCTGACCTGCTGCAGAACATCACAAAGTTCATTTCCCACCTCATACCAGCCAGCCTGTGCTCTGGCCACAGGAGGGAAACGGGGACGGCGGCTGGCCGGATGGCTGGTCAGGGCTGCAAACCGCACAGGAATTGCAAAATGAAGTGCAAGTTTACAGCAATTGTTCAGTTGCAGGTTCGCACACACAGCTGGCCAAGGCCCGGCATGCCGGGGGAGTGACTGCCAAACGACTTGGACACGCCTCCCCGCCTGGCTTGTCTCGCAGCCGGTGGCCTGTGCACGACAGGAGCCAGGGCTGGGCCTTTCCCTTGGTTGAAAAAGGAAACAAGGCTGTGCCAATCGTCGCCCAAATTGGCCTCCTCCCGCTATCTGTGACTGCTGGTGTGGGAAGAAAACAAAAATGCCTACCTTTGTACGAGATATAGGTCTTTCCCCGAGCCGGCAGCCCGACCATCTACATCGTAGAAGAGAGTTTAGCGCGAATTCCTATTCGACAGCCATACGCCGAGAAACCCCGATGCATGAAACCTCATCCCTCCTTCTCGGAAACACTCGCTCCGCAGGAACGGTCAGGCCATCCCTCCGTCAAAGGTCTCTTCACATGCGATCAGCTGTGCAGAGGAACCCTGTCTCCTTTATCCTGCGTAGACGAGAATGGCAGATAAGGACCGCGGATGGGTGCACACTCTACTGTTCGACTGGTGAAGACAGAAACAGCCCATTTTCCACCCCCTCTCGCTCCCTGGCTGACAAATGGGCAGCGGGCCCTCCTAAGGCTCCGGGTGCTGATTCTTACCACTACTACGATCCGTGTTCCTCCGGCTAACATCGTTCAGGGTATTCAGGGGCTGCTGCTGCTCGCTTGGCTACAGTTGGCGGTTAAATGAAGTGGATGGATGTGCCACGTCTGACAGCTGGGCTAGGTAAGGGCTATGCGTGGCAGCAAAGTGAAAAGGTCGCTGAATTCAAAAAGTCGAAGCTCCCAAGGCGAAGAAGGCACATAAAATAGAAGGATATCTCCAGCAAAAAAAATAAAAACAAGGAGTGAAGAGAAGAGAGGGGAAGGGTTTTTCTTTATCGGCGAAGGAAACATCAGGCCTGGGATCCTCCTTGGTCGGACGACGTTTTGCAAATGCGTGCAACCAGCACAAAGCGTCCAATGGAGGCACTCCTCAGACGCCAGTGCCGGCGAGTTTTCCACTAGCCTCGCTTGGGCGAGCCTGTCTCCGGCAGGCTGCTTTCTGGCAACGTCACTGCCTGCCCCCTGAACTTTCGGGATTTGGCCTGCATTGTTGCTGGTTTTCCGGCGATTCGGAAGAAACAACTGCGTCTGCGCCGGACTGGGCTCTCCGCGCCCCTCCTTCCGCCCCGGTTTGGGATACACAGCACATGGATACTCTGTGATATTTATTGATAGCGAGCTGGGCCTTCACTTGCCCTCAATTAATACGGCGAATCGACAATATCGTGCCTGGGCGACGCCAGCCGCTTGGCCACGGGCTTTGGCACCATCAGCGACTTGCGCGTGGGCTTCGCCAGCTGCGACCTCTTGACGGTCTGCACGTCGTTCGGCAGCGTCACGACGATCGCGCTGTCCTGCCCAAACCTAAAGTTATCGGCGACCACCCGGTCGCTGTACTGCTTGATATGGTACGCGTCACCGCGGCCCGTGCCCAGCACCCGCCGCAGATTCCACGTAATCACAAACGGCCCAGTGCTGGTCACAATCGAGTCCTCGATGTTGTTGCCCTCGGGCGACTGGTTGAACCGCGCCGGCGTAAATCTGACGGGTCCGCCCATGTACACGACGTGCTCGGGCTTCAGCTGCAGGCGCTTGGGCGCAGGCTTCTTTTGCTTCGGGAAGGAGATCTCGAAGCCCGTGCGGCCCTCTGGGTCGTCGGGGATCCGGGTGTCAATCAGAAGAAGATAGTTCTTGCAGGTTGCTACGATGTACCGGCCGTCTGACGTCACGTCAATGCCGATGATCGGCTCGCCCAGGGCCGGCAGAACGGTCTTGGCACGCACTCCGACGCGGTCAAACATGCGGATCTCGCCCTTTTCACTGCCCACCACCACAGCACCGCTTTCGGTCGTTGCGGCAGCCGTGAAGTGGCTCTTGGTCGTGTACGCCTGCATCTCGCCCTCAACCACCAGGTTGTCGCCGCCAATGCGCGGATCGATGCGGTAGATCAGGTTGTGGCTCAATCCAACCAGGGTCTTGTCGCTCGTCATCTGGCCGTACTTTGTGTTGTGGGCAATGGCCACGGTCGGAATGTCCTCGTGTACCTTCCACTCCTCGACGACCTTGCCGCGCTCAAGATCCATCCTGTACAGCTCATTCGGTCTCTGCTGGTTCATCAGAACCATAGCCGAGTCCTGCTCAGACAGCATTGCGGCCTTGGGGATGAACTTGCGGCCGTGCGTGTCATCGATGGAGTTGATGGTCGTATCAAACAGCATTTGGTCGCCGTCAGTGTGCTTAAAGACCCCGATTTTGGTGCCACGCACGACAAAGGAGCGGTCGTTCTTGTAGCCCACCGATAGCATCGAGTTTTCAGCCTGCCCAGACCTACTGCCAGGCCCAGAAGTTGATGCCTCGTCGTCTGACTCCTCATCTGACTCGTCTTCGGATTCGGATTCGTAATCTTCAGAGTCGGTCTCGTCAGACTCCTCAGCCAGCCTCGAGGTCTTGACACGGTCGGGAATAGGATCGTAGCGATCACCATCTTCCTCCGACTCGGACTCTTCATCTGATCCCTCAGACTCATCCCACTCCTCGGGTGCCTGGGGCATAGCCACATCCTCCTCGTACGCGTCCAGCATGTAGTCCTGAGAAGACACCGTTGCCTTTGTCCATGGCTCCTGGTTCAGCGTCTCGTACGCTGCGCGAGTCATGCCCTGGTGCATAGTATCGTAGTGCTCTTCGTCGGCCGCAACCAGCGAGAACGAGTATGCCCTGCCGCTGGCATCAAAGTAGTTCCAGATCAGCGACATGAAGTCATGGTTGAACACCGCGTTCATGCCTGGGTCAATGACCTGGGACACGTACTTGCGCTCATCGCTGGCGACATTAAGCCAGTACTCGTACTTTTCCGGATTGACCACCGTCAAGGCCACCTCGGATGCGACCAAAGCAAACTCGGTCTTTCTGGCATCGAAAACATACAGCTGCCCCAGTACCGACAGCGTGATGTCGCCGGTTTTCATCTTCTTGGGCTCTGGCGGCAACTGCGGCCCAGACAGCTTCTTCGCCTTCTTGGGCTTAGTCACCGTGCTTTGCTCGTATGCCGCAAGCTCGTCGTCGTCAATCTGCACGTTCTGCAAAATCTGCTCCAGCTCCTCGTCTTCGACCATGGTGACAATGCGACCAATCTCATCGGGATCCGCAGCCGTATACGACTCGCGGTTCTGCCGCTCCCACACGCACCGCGCTACCGCCAAGGCAAACTGCGAGCGCTTCTCTGGCGTCACGCTGCTGGCGTCGCTAGCAAACTCGTAGTGTACATGGGCCATCTCGCTCGCGTCCTCCCACTTGAACCCAGCAGAGTCGTCGACTGTAGCGCTGGTAAACCGCAGCTCGGTGCCAATAAGGAATGCGCGCTCATTGTCCAGCGCCTGCCCGTTGTCGGCCAGGTCCTCTTCGCCCTCCTCAAATACACGCACTGCCACTAGCTGGTAGTTGAATGGGACTGTGGTGCGCCGGATCACGAGTTCGGCGTCGTTGAATAGGCACTTGCGCGGCACACGTGTGCCCGGCCGCACCTCGTATAGAGCGCCTGCGTCAATTTTGTATACCTCGGGGCTATCCTTGCTGCCCCACACCATCTTTCCGAGCGACCTCAGCGCGAACATTTGTGTTGTAGAATAAGAATTTGGACTGTAGTAGTGAGAAAATAAACCAATGCAGGGTGCTCGTGATGCCAAGAGCGGAGAGACTAGACAGCAAAAAGTCAGCACGTTTTGTTGATGCGAGCAAGCTGCGGCGTCAGCCCTAGTCCTGCGGGGCACAGACTCTTGATCCTGGACATGATCAGATCGCAATCACGGGTTTTTTTGTACTATCTGCAAAGGTTGACCTTGCGCCAATTCAGTGCAATGGACGCACACTCTGCAACACCAATTTCTGCATTACCTTAGTATAATACTCGCTTTGCACGTCCATTTCACCCCCAGGGCTTGCTAGTGGCAGCACACGCCACTTTCTGTTCATTTGGTTTTCCGGGGCACAGAGATTCGGGGCGACGAACAAGACCTTACAAACGGCTCATGAGACTGCTGCAGCACGGCGGCCCGTCATGCCGAGCATATGGCAGCATGCTGGCAGCAATACCTAGATCGGTGGCCCAGTATACAACCTCGGCAACCCGGCGACAGCACGACCACCATTCGGGCAGCAAGCGCGCAGGCAAGGCCGCAGGGCAGCGGGATCACAGCGTGGATGGTAGGCGCAGATCGGCGGCGCTCGAAGACATCTTGTGGGGAAGGTCAATGCCGTTTGAGCCGCTCAGCCAGCATGATCCGGAAACACGGCCAGAAGCAATTGCCCGGAGCGCCGCTGACCCCAACACAGAACAAAAGGACGGCTTGACGCAGCAGCTTGGATCAGCGGAGAGCCTGCTGGACCATTCGCGGGCATACATGCAGCTGGCCGAATCGCGGATCTCGACCGCAGATGTGCCTACAGCAACTAAGTCGACGCGTGCGCGGCGAGGAGACCCGATCGGACGCAGCATGCCATCGTCGCTGATGCGGCGGCTCAACATGAAGTTCCACGCGGATATCAGGCAGCGGCGACGGCGACACGGGCTGCGGATACGCATTCTGGGGGCGCTATCAGAGCTGCAGCACTTGATCCAGGTGAAACCAGTGGATAAAAGAGACACCCGTGTGTTTATGTACCTGTCGGATCTCAACCGCCACTACACAGAGTACTTGTGTGAGCATGCAGAGCCCTTGAACCTGCGTTCATCGACTTGCATTGCGATGGAGCGGCACAGGAGCAGTGGCATGAGCCCAATTACCATTGCCGTGGCCGATGCAGCACATCCGCAGCTGATACCGCAGACAACACCGTATATGTCAGACAACCCGCACTGCCCGCTGTTTGATAGAGAGATGTATGCACGGCGTCACGCATCCCAAGGCATGTCGGATCGCATTAGTGGTGTGCAGCCAGACATTGCCAGCTGGATTGACTATATGGTTGGCGATCTAGGCGAGCCCGCAGCACATGCGCTATTTGCAGTTGTTTCACAAAGCAAAGTGCCCGAGCGCACATCATCGAGGCTGCGAGCAGCAGTGGAAGAGGCACTGGTACTGGCATTCAACCGGCGAGGCTTCACATTAACTGCGCTAGAGAGCCTGCGTGTGTGCGAGTACTATTTGCGGCAGCAGGCACAGCCAGTGCAGCCCAAGCAGGTGCTACGCGTCTGGCAGGCAGCAGGCGAGGACATTGCTGTTGATGTGGCAAGTGCACAGGACGCCGATCTGGTAGCCAGCCCCACAAGCCCAGGCATCTCGGCCGCAAGTATAATCGCGGAGCTGGCGTTCAAGCGGTGGAACAACGTTGCTTCGATGATGATCGTGCGGCTGTGCGGCTGGCCCTGCGACAGCAATGTGGCGGCAGCGTGGGCTCTGGTCCGCGGCTGGTTCCTCCTGTGGGGACCGATAATGAAGGTGCTTTGCCCTGTGCCTCGCCACAGCTTTGCCAGCGGCAGCGATCCGCATGCATGGGCGTATTGGCGCCCGAAGCTGCCTGGCCGTGACCGCCTACATGCACTGACGTTGAGCACCGAGGCGATTGTCAGACTAATGTCATTGCTGGTGGATCGTGGACATACGCTTCACACGGCGCAGGTCCTGGGATTCGCGATTTCGGAGATAGGCGTGCCGGCGACCATGTCGATGTTCAATGTGATGCTGCGCGGATACCTGAATCCAGGCAGGAAACACAGGGATAACCTGGCGGACCTGTCGTCGCTGCCACTGCTTAACACGCAATGTGTTTCGCTCTATGTGGACGGAGCGCGGCTGGCTGGCCAAAAGTCAGACTCGAGCGTGTTCATGATGCTGCTTCGTGGCATGCAGCGGTGGTCATTGACACCTGACGCCCACACGCTAGGTGTGCTGATCCTCAGCGCATGTCAGGACGGCGACCATGCGAAACTCGAGGGCGTGCTGAGGCTGTTTGCTACACAGTGGGGCATCGTGCCAAGAGAATCGAGCTGGCGCGATATGGAGCCGTACAACGTGAGCCATATAGCGTACAAGGTGCTGGCAGAGCTCGCTGAAGGCCCGAAACCCCCCGACACATAGAAATAGTGCTTTCGTAGAATACACACGCCTTCACTCTGGCTGTGGGCCAAATGCCCCCATTTGCTGGCTGCAGAGATGCGGATTTGGAGGCATTTCCGTTCGCAGCTGGCGCGATGCGCATTTGGCAATTTTCTCGAAAATATCTATTTTTGCGCTTCTCAGCAGTCTGGCTCACGCTGCCAAGACTCGTAATTTCCTGGAAATACTTCGCGCGCTGATTTCGAGAGATTCTCACACTGCTTGCTGCACACTGCGGACACAAAGTCTTGGCACCCCTTTGCGCTGGACTGCACAAGAATCAAGGTATTGTCCAGGCGTGAGCCCCATGTCAACAATAGCCATGCGGGCGATCACTGAAACTTTGGTCTATGCCATTTCCATGTCACGCTGGGGGGGGACTTGCAGCTCTTATTTACTGGCCACTTTAAAAGCACGCGCCCCAGTTGGCTGCCAGTGAGTGTTGCCTCAGTCTTCCTCCTTTCTTTTTTTTCCTCCTATTTCTCTCCTCTCCCTCCCACCGGATAGTTTTATTAGCACTCTATTCCTATTACTCGAAGAGCAGCAGGCATGGTGTTTGGCATAAACCTCAACGCGTCCAACGACGGCGTGCCGCGCAGCCGGCGAAAGCAGCTCATTGTCTCGTACATACCCGATTATGTGGTACTTGTAATCATGGCAATTCTGTGGGGCGTGCTGTCCAAGATAGCGCCATTCCACCGCGAGTTCTCGCTGACGAACAAAACAATCCAGTACCCGATGAAGCCCGACTCGGTGCCGTTCTATGCAGCGGTGGTGCTGAGCTTTGTGGTGCCGCTGGTGGTGATCCTGGTATGGACGGGGCTGCTGCGGCGGTCGTTCCACGACATGAACTCGGGCGTGCTGGGGCTGTGCCTGGCGCTGGTGCTGAACATGATGATCACCAATACGGTGAAGAACCTGGCGGGGCGGCACCGGCCGGACTTTATCGACCGGTGCGATATCGACAAGAACGCAGCACCGAGGCTGGAGCCGTTTATTGGGCTGCTGAATTCAACGGTGTGCCGGCAGACGGACCAGAGCATCCTGTACGACGGAATGCGGAGCTTCCCGTCGGGCCACTCGTCGTTCTCGTTTGCTGGCCTGACGTACCTGGCGCTGTGGCTGGCCGGCCACCTCAACGTGGGCGACGGGCGCGGGCGGACATACAAGGCGTTTGTGGTGTTTGTGCCGGAGCTGGCAGCGATGCTGGTTGCGGTGTCGCGCACCAAGGACTACCGCCACCACTGGCAGGATGTGCTGGCGGGCTCCATCCTGGGCGTGGTGATGGCGTGGATCAGCTACCGCCACTACTACCCGTCGATCATGTCGACCAGGATGGACCCCAGTATGCCGTACCCGCCGCGTATCCCCGACGACGACCTCGAGTCGTTTGGCCTGAGCAACTTTAGGCACGTCGCGCCGGGCAAGACGCAGAATAACGAGGCCACGATGGATCCGGTCGAGATTCGCACCGATGGCGCACACAGACAGCCGCAGGCGAGGCAGCAGCTCCAGCAGCAGCAGCAACAGCAATACCAGCAGCAACAGCAACAGCAACACCAGCAGCAGCCGTCGCACCCACCCGCTTCCGCCAGCCATGTGCGCCCACTGTCCGGCGCCTACGACGAGTTCAGCCGGCAGTCTAGCATAAGCGAAATTCACGCGTAGCCCCCACCCCTCGTCCTTCGCGATGACAAAAAGGCAGCATCTGTAATTTTTTTTTGCAAACAAAAGCTTGCCGGTGACTCAGAATATTAGGTGGGTTGACGAATGGTACAAGTTTTGTAAGAAGGCGAGCGCCTCCCCTCTCACCGCTTGTGGCCCTTGTGGCCCTTTTTTCCCGAGTTGCCGTTGCCCAGCGGGCCGGTAACGCCAGTGGCGCGGCGAATAGCCACCAGATCGCTGATAATGTCGTCTTCGGGAATGCCCTGGACGCCAAACACCTGGTTGTTCTTGCGCTTGCCTGGATGGCGGCCGGTGGGCTCGCCCAGCCCCAGCGTGTCGTTGCCGCGCTTGCGCAGGTTGCGCTTTGACGACGTGCGCGCGCTCGGGTCAAACACAAAGTCCATGCTGATATCCAGGCTGTCCTTCTCCTCCTTGAGCCGCCGCCGCCGGTCCTCGATATCGGTTGCAATCTTGTCGTAGATGGCCTGCTTCTCAGCCCGGTACGCCTTCTCGGTAACCTCGCGGTCGTGCTGGAACGTCCGCTCGTACAGATCCACCAGGTACCTGTGGTTCTGCTCGGCCGCCGTCAGCATGCGGTCGCGCTCCGCCGAAAGCCGCGCGACGCCCTCGATGAACACCGGGTGTGCCCCGCGCAGAATCTGCGCCAGCTCGCTCTGGATCTCCTCGCTCTTTTGCTCGTATGCTCTACATGGAGAAGCCGACTGGTTTAGCGTGTGGATTCACCCCTCACTGCCCTTGCTCTCCCTTCCCTTCCCGCTGCCTACCTTGCCTCAGACTCAAACACCTCGCGGTCTATCTGCTGCAGACGCTCCGTCACTTTGCTGCGCAGCGATTGGGCGCCACTCTTGGTTGCGGTTGCCTGCATGCCTACACACGCTCCAGCAGAAAAATAGCAGAGAAAAATGGTCGGTAATAAGGATTATTTGCGCTTTGCAGAAAAAAACGTGGACCGAATCTCGCCAGCTGGCTCTGCTTACCTGTCCGCGCCGACATGCCTGATATGTCCTGGATGTGGGCCTGGCCTGTTGTAGCCGAGTACCCCCGGCTCCACTCGTACCCTGCCTGGGCCAGTGGCTGTCCGCCACTGCTGGTGCTGTTGCTTATATGCTGGTGGTGGCCGTTGCCGATGGCCATCTGATACTGCGAGTGTGGTTGCGTGTAGGCAGGCGCCATCTGGTGGTGTTGTGTGTACCGCGGCAGTGCTGCTGAGGACAGCGCGCTGCTGTGGCTCATGCCCATGTGAGGATTCAGCTCCTGGTAATCGTCCATACTGCAAGACTGAGGGGGTGTATAAATTATGGAAAAGGAAAGAGTACAGGTGTGCTGGGAGGTGAGGGGGCTCTGGTGCTAGCCGAGCGTGCAATAGGTATAAAAAGCAGAGGGAGGTGAAGAGGAGAAAAAAGGACCGCAGATATCGCCTCCCCTCCGTCCCCTTTCACGCTTGGAAGCAGCGCTCCCCTCTGCTCGACTCCAAGGCGCGTGCGTCTGACGTAGAGCCAATCACGGGCCAGACGCGAATTGCTGCGATTGCGACCAGCTAAAAAAATTTTCCCCTTCCTGGCCAGCTCAGCGCCAGCCCCTTTTCATTCCTACTCAATTCAAACGCTTTTTTTCCAGCACATACATTACAGCACCATGCAGCGGCCAGACCGACGCGAAGCGAACCAGATCCGATCCCTGCACTGCATGCTGGGCCAGCTCAGCCGCGTCGACGGCTCGGCGCAGTTCTCGTCGGGCAAGACGTCGGTGCTGTGCGGCGTCTACGGCCCCATCGACGTCAAAGTGTACGACGAGAAGCTGGACCGCGCGCACATCGAGGTGAAGTTCCGGCCAGACATCGGCGTGCCCACAACAAAGGACAAGTGGGTGGAATCGGCCGTGCGCAGCACGTTCGAGAAGGAGGTCCTGGCGCAGCTTCACCCGCGCACGCTGGTGCAGATCAACCTGCAGGTGCGCGAGAACGACGGCTCTGTCGATGCCACGGCCATCAATGCCACAACCATGGCGCTGGTGGATGCAGGCGTGCCGATGAAAACCACGGTGGCAGCGGCCGCCTGTGTGGTGCTCAAGGACGGCAGCATTGTGGCCGATCCGACAAAAGAGGAGGCGGAGCTGGCGGTCTCAACTCACACGTTTGCCTTTGCCAACGGCTCGTCCGACGGCCCGCTGTATGTGGATTCGCGGGGCCGGTTCTCGATGGCCGAGTACAACAGGTGCTACGACCTGTGCCGGCTGACGTGCGACCGCATCCTGGCCTTCATGCGCACTGCGCTCGAAAGCAAGATCCAGAAGGAGTCAGCCATCTCGGCTGTGTAAGGATCCTTAAGGCTTTTAGTTGTGGTATTAGAATGCAAAAGCAGAGAAATGAAAAGCGTTTATACAGAAGATTGCATGTGGTAGGCGGCTGCAGGCTGCGTCGGGTAGCGCGTGCCCGAGTTGCTTGTGGACCGCTTCGGCACGTCGGCCGAGCTGAATCCTGCCGATTGCAGCGCAAGCGACCCCGACGGCGTGTACGTCTCGCTGCTGATGCCCTGCCCCGAGAACATGCCCATCGAGTGGCCCGACTTTTTGCCGAGCCCGTCGTGCCCCAGCTTGCCCTCGTAGAACCCGTGCTGCATGTTATAGATCACCATAGCGTATTCGTCATCGGGATCGTCAAAGTACAGCGAGGTTACGAATGTCAGGCATATGTAGATGACGCCAAACACAACCAGCACGATGCCGATGCCCAGCTGCGCCGCATTGCTGTCGATTGTCAGGCACCCACACATAAAGTAGAACAGCCCGCGCCCGAAGAACGAGAAGAGGAAGGACGCGTGCATCCGGAACACCGCCCAGTGCAGGAACTCCATCACGCACACGATGAGCCCGAATACTAGGCACACCAGCCCAAGCATGATGTGTCGCACATCCGTGGTCTGGAACGACAGGCAGCCCTGGACCAGTACCAAAAGCCCCAGCACGAAATTGAAGATGAGCAGCGGCAGAGTCGTGGACCGCCCAAGGTTGTATGACCTGCGCGCGAGGATGTAGGGGAGTGCCATGAATAAAATAGATTCTTTACTGGCTATTCGTTTTCGACAGAAAAAAGTAAAGCAAAAGAAGGAACGCGCAACAGCCTGGCCTGTTCGTGTCGTCCAGGCACTGCATTATTTAAAAGAATCGTGCGCTGGCCCCTAGAATTTCACAAAAACATCGGCCACCAGCCCTATTGCAAGGTAGCCCGCCAATTGTCGTGGACACTATACTACGTACCACGACTCATTGTCCGTTGTAGATGGAAACGACCGAACGGCGCAACTTGCGATTCGCCGGTGTTGTTGTCCTGTATCCGAATTAGCTGCCGCCGGCCAGGTAGGGACGAATTGGCGCCAGCTGCGACAATAATGAAGGGCAAGCATGAATTCCAGGTTTGCCGTGCCTCTTGCATAGTGAATACCGAATGCCACCCAGGACACGCCAAGCTTGTCTGGTTACACGACTTCATATTAAGCAATTGCCGGAATATACGGACTCAGAAAGAGCGTTATTGAGTAGCACGCCCGCTGTGAACTAGTCAAGAGTATGAAACGCTCAAAGAGCTTGGCTGGTGAGCGCAGAAAACTTTGCCTCCAGTGCTACAATCGCCTTGCCCCGCCCATGCGCATTATCGCCACAAATGCCATGTGTACGACTGATGTTGAAGTCCTTCAATGAAGGACAAGTGGCTCGCAGATACCTGCACGTGGACTCAACGACCTCCGCGTCTGAGAGCTTCGTGTGAAACAAAAGGAAAAAGCCAGAGAGTGAGCAAACCGAGATGTTTTCCCAAACCCTCGTTCCAAAGCCAACCCCATCCAAAAGCCTAGGAAGAACAGGCGGTTTGACTGTGTCGTAATCGTCAATGCATATCCGCTGCACATACGATTCCCCGCCCATGGCAATAATGGGCTGTATGTTTGATACCCAGGGATACGTCTTCTTTGCAGACTGCTTGCGTCTTAGCAGCTTTGTCAGCCTCCCTCCAAGCTGCTGGTCGATCGGATATGGAGGACGGCTGCGCACATATATCGTACTGCAAACATAAGGCTTCAGAATATCAAGCCACTGGCGAGAGACAAGCGCGTAGTTTATCACTTCCTTGAATGATAACTCGGGCTCGAAATTATAGATCCAGCTCCGTCCTGGCTCGTTATATTGCGAATTGGCCGTATATCCTATTTCCTGCCTGGAGTTGAGCTGGGAATAGAGAGCAGTATCCCTGATTAGGCTATCTAGCACTCGCTCGAGGATAGCTCTATCAGCCAGTATGCTAAGCCTAAAACTACCTGGCTCCATTACACATGAATCCAGCCGTATAAAGCTAAAAGTGATATATAGGATGACGGATGGAGACGTGCGTATCCAGGACGATTGCTATTATCTAGCTGGGATTCTCATTGCCGCTTTTGGGCCTATCCTTACGCATTGCTGCATACACTGCTTGCCAGCTATCTTGGTGCTGTTTTATTTCTTTCTGACTGCATAAGCACACGTGTATAGGGTGCTATTCACTATGCTTTTATAGCCTAGACCATTGGCCCATGGTGTCTTCTTAGTCAGCGGTATCACTCAAGTGGTTTATGTATATGTATATTAATGCCACTTTGGATATGGAGTGGCTTGCATGGCACGGTGCACATCTGTGGTATACTGCAAACTCATGGATTGGCATTAAGCTATGGCCTGGCTAGTGAAGAACTGATGTGTTGACTAGTGTCCACAAGACATGGCCTCTTGCATAGTATTATAGAAGCAAGCTGGATATCGGCGTGCACAAGATAATTTTCAAGCTGGTTAAGATGATAAAAACGAATAACGAAGAGAATAAAGTAGACTTTCAAAGTAGAGACAGCAAGGTGTCTGGGACAGGGGCTCCAGAAGCCTAGAAATGGAAAAGCTAACCAAACAGGCAGGAGTACTTTTACATGCCAGCATTTGGACGGGGCGCGTACCCGCCGTTCACTTCGGGGACGGACATGGTCGATGCAGGTGCGGTTGGGGCGACGACTGCGGGCTTGGCAGTGGGCGGGGGGCCAACAGAAGCGGTCTTTTGGGGCAGCGCAATGGCGGCAGGAGTCTGGCCGTTCGTGTGCTCGTTGATGTGGCTGTGAGCGCCTTCATCCTCGGTTTCCTCGTCATCCTGCAGATCAACATCCTCGACCTCGCCTTCGCCGTCATAGTCGTGGTGGCGTGCAGCAGCATCGGCGTTGCTGGCGGGCGTCGCGGTGCCAGACGCTGGTGTCACAGGCAGCGACTGCTGCGGCTGGGACGTGGTGGCTGGGGGCGGAGCAACAGCGTGCGGGGCGACCGGCGTGGTGGGCGACGGGACAGCGCTTTCGGGAGTAATGGCAGGGATCTCGGGCTTCGGGCCCTCTGGATCGTAGTTCTCCCACTGCAGCCTGTCGTCGGTCGACATCAGCTTCCACAGACGGCCGAGCTCGCGGTTGACAGCAGCCAAGTCCCAGTCGGGGTGCTTGGCGACAATTGCCTTGCGAGTGACACGCGAATAGCACACATACGCCTTGGACGGGCCCTTGTTTGGGTTGGTGTGGCCAGGCGTGGGTGCACGGCCGTTGTTGCGCACAGTGAAGGTACCGGTGCCCGGGATGCGGCCAGCCTGCATGGCCGGCATCTGCACGTGCCCATGCGAGGATGAGTGGGAGACGTAGGCGGGGGCCAGCGTGCTGCCGCTGCGCTGCTCAGCCTCGCGCCGCTCCATGTCAAAGAACACCTGGCGCTGCTCGGCTGTCAGCTCCTTCCATTTGCGGCCGAGCTCCTTGTTGACAGCCGGCAGATCCCAGTCCTGGTTCGCATTGACAACCAGGGGCCGCTCCTGGCGGCAGAACATAACGTAGGCGCGGCGTGGCGCGCTCTGCAAACGGCCCGCCTTATTCGGCGATACAGTGCTGGCCATGCTCTGTACTGTGGCAACGCCGGCAGGGTGCTGGGACCGCAGCGTGACAGAGGCGCCTGGGATCGCATACTTGTCGCGCTCGTGGTCCGACATGTTGTTCCAGTTCACCTCGAGGCGGCGGCGAATCTCGGCATCACTCCAGTCGGGCACTTTCTCACGCAGCAGCGGGCGCTGCTCGCGGATGAACATCTCGAGGGGTGTGATGGGGTCTGGCGTTGAGTGGCGCTGGGTGCTCTCGGCCTCGGGCGGCAGCGGGTACTGGATCATCAGCTCCAACATGCCAACCTCGTTGGAGAGCATCTCGTGCTGAGATCTGGTAAGGTACCGGTCCTTGATCATTTGCGACGTCGACCACCACCTGTCCCAAACGACGCGCAGCACGTTCATCTTGGCTTGGCGCGAGTTGGAGTCCATGCCGCCTTGCGACGCCATCACGGTGCGCTCGCACTCGTTGAAGTTGTCGGCAGCAAACATGGCAAAGGCCTGGCCCAGCTCATCGCCATAGTCGCGTGGCGGGCGGCCGCGGCGCTTTGCCGGTGGCGGAGTTCCACCGTTGGCGTATCCATGCTGGTCACCGGCAACCGAGTCATCGAACATTTCGCTGTGTGCTGACGGATGACGGGTGCGGGTGGAGTGCTTGCGCCGGAGCTGGTCGTCGGCCATGGCCTGCCGGGCGACGCTGTTGATGGTGCCGGCAGCGCTGCTCAGCACCTCGAGCGGCGACTCGCCACTGGCGGACGACGCGACCTCAAAGTGCGAGTCGTTGTGGCCAGACGCCTCACGTGACCGTCGCAGCATCTGCGAAATCATTTTGCACTGCATGGATATCATGTCCGCACATCTCTCGATCTACAATAGACAACACGACAGCACAAAATGTGAAGCGCGGGTTTAGTCACAACGTCATTGGAGACAATACGGCAAAGAATGACAACACACGCGCACAACAAGGGCATTATCGCAAATGGGCAAGAAGAATATTCCCGTTGGGGTGTGCGGTGGTAGTGGTTGGAATCTAGCTCGGTTATGCACCACCGCACCTATGAGTAGGGCGAGGGGGGACGCTGGGATAATGTCAGACAGTACGACACCTGGCAAGGGGACAGTAAGACAACAACACCATCACAGTGACAGCAGAAAGGAGGGGAGGGAGTAGAGTCCACCACGCGGCGCAAGTCGAGAGAAATGGCGAGAATGCGCTTTATTTTTCTTGCTGATATCGGGGATGGGTTACGGACACAGCCAAGTGAAACGTGTCACCCCCGAACCGTATGACGGAAGGAGGGGGTTGGTGGAGAGTGTGCGTGTGGGCGAGTCTTTTTTTTCTTGTTGTGAGTGCCGGGTGACCAGAATAGACGTACATCCCAACAATTTTTCCACCGAAAAAAGTCATGGGCACTTTTTTATAAAGCAGTAGAGGCATAGGCTGAACGGAAAGGATCGACCCATTCGGCGCAAGCTATCCCTCCGTCACACCTGTACTGGCGACATTACAAAAATGCATCATGCATGACGGGGAGAGATAAAAGTGCCCGTATGTTTCAGAATAGAGCGCCAATACAAAGTGGTCATGATGTCTGGGATTCACACTGCCCGGCTGTACGCATTCATGATGGCTATATCCAATGAGATTGGGGAACAGCCGTAGTGCACCCGCATGTGTCGCTCTCTGATGATATTCCCCAGGTGGCTACGTGTAAAAGCAGCAAAGGAGCGGCATCATACAGCGATGGCGGGGATGGCCGCGCACACTTACCATCTCACAGTCCTCTAAGCTCAGCGTAACCGGCGCCATCGTGGTCTGATACTGGAAAATCGGCCTTGTAGAAAAAGATAAGGACTCCGAAAGGGGCGACAACAAAAAACGGACGTAGAAATCTAGGTCAAGCCTCGAACTAAAAAAGAAAAGGCCTAGCGTTTAGCCAAAAGAAAACTAGGGTATACGCGCAATAAGTAGAAAAATAAAAAGTGATGGTAAGGTGTGGAAAAGAAAAGGGGGAGGGGGAGTATGTTGTGTTTGAAATATCGTGATGGAAAAAGGAGGTGGGAGCAGAAAAAGTGTCCAAGCACAAGAATGTCTGTATGTTGACTTATTGGAGCGCGGCGATGAGCAGAAAAGGTGGGGGACAAGGTTAGGCCAGGCCAGTGATCGGATTGAAGGTTAGTGAGGAAGGCAGGGAGGACGGGGTGGGCCAATGTGGGCCAGCACAGCCTATCACGCACCACATCATGGCAAAATAGACCAAAGCCTGAGGAGTGTGTGTTTGACTGGGTGGAATGTGCACATCAAACGACCGAAACAGTAAGAGGCTCGCGGAAGGGAGGGGGTGGAAAATTTTTTTCATATGCTCCATGGAATCCAGCCCATTGGGAGTATTTTTGAGCAAGAGCAGGAGGGCGCGAAAGTCATAAATGGCCGGGTAACCAATGAGTTTCACACATAATAATGCACATAAACGCATGTTTTTTGCCACATGAGTCTGGCTCTGCTTGTCCGTGCCAAATATGCAATGGCCGCCCACTGCAAAACAGCCGCCCACCACCTTCCTGCGCCCTGCCACCAGCTACCTGGCAGCAGCAGCGGCAGCAGCGGCAGCAGCTCTACTATAGCCAAATTGAGACAAAGCCGGCAATTGTCTCTGGAGGCTAACAAGGCCAAAACGCCTTTTTGCTTTTCGTTAATCGCTGCATTCTGGTCGTTTTTAAAATAAAAAAGAGTTACATGCATCAGTGGCATACCCAGCGAGAGGGAAGTGGGCTTTTTGCGGCGCGCCCACATGTCAACCAGAAAAAACAAAGCAAGAAGCGTCTTTACCAGCATAGAATTTCGCTGGCCGCACGCGCAGCGGAAACAGCGTGTGGGATGAATCAGCAGAAAACCTCGCACCCGCCGCAGGAACACAAAGTGCCTGGGAAATTCGGCTTACCTTTTGCGATAAGGATCGTACAGCGCGGTAGAAATTGGTGGTCTGGTACGCGAGTCGGGCGTGGAAACAAACGAAAGAGGTGCCTTGGGATGGGGTGGCCGGTTTGCGTGATGTGCTACTGTGGTCTGCACACTAGATTAGATGGTAAGTAAAAAAGCAGACGAGTGCTGTCCAAGAACGCAGAAAAAGAAAAAGCAGGTATGGAAAGAAGAAAGCTACAGCGGAGCCACGGCCAGAAACAAAACCCAGTGGGGGAGAGAGGACGGGAGGTGGGTTATGTGGGATTTGCATCTCTCCTATTTGTCCTAAAAAGAATGCCACCGCACTTGTTTCCTCGGTGATTGGGATAGTCCATGTTGTGATGCACACACTATGGAGAGTGAAAATTGCGAACTCAGGAGGAGGGGGCAGCGTATGAAACAAATGTGTGTCATGCAACATTCTGCTGTCCAACCTGGACAATCAGCCAAGTGTGTATACATCATCCGCGGCGCGGTTGTTTGTCAACACACTTGCCATCAAATAATAGGTTCGCCTATCCTATCCCACCCGGCCTGTGTCGCTTTTTCCTCGCCCCTCGTGAAAGCCACCACGTTATGTACAGCACAGAAATTCGGGAAGCTGCCCAACATGAACATGATGAAGAATCCGTCACAAAGAGACAAATAATTCCCACTTATGCCCGGGTGTGGTGCTGCAATTCGTCGTTTATTCCTATAAATGTCAGTTGGCTGCTTTTGTCCTAGGCGAACGCCCAGAATCGACAAAAACCGCAATTACCGATGGCATAAGCCTCACCAACATAATAAACGGTGCATTGCTGAGATGTAACGTTTTTCGCAATCCACCACCACAACCCCGTTTCCGAATAGGATACGAAGCATGTCGGGCAAATACACCCTCCCCATCCACATTGCTGTTTTTCCTATGCACGCCTTCGCCTCCCGGACACGCCATTTTGAGCGAGCGGGTAACCCGTGTCTGCTGCTGGGCGGCAAAAGCCCTGGTTCCACACGTAACTGCCAAGACCAATGTGGTGTTTCGATGTCTCTCCCCTCAACCCGACCTGCCGCCAATTGGCAGTCAGGGCAGTCTCCTTGTCGATCATTCGTACCATGTGGTGGGAAGGCGGCTGAATAGATTGCCAATAAACCCCCGTACACGTGATGGCGAATATGTGTATCCGAAATTGCCCGCAAAGCCACTGCGCTACTTCGTGATTTCATTGCGATGTGATCGATCACGCTATACCAGATCGGTGGTTGGGCTAATCAGCAGGCCGTGTGCCATGCCCGGCGGTCCTATGCGCTGCCCCGCTGGAGGGTGGCTGTACTACCAGCTAGTGCATGGCCAGGTTCAAACCAGGCGTATCACTATACTGGCAACTGCTGCTGAAATGGCGGGTCTACCCGATATATGTGGACATCTGCCTATATCTGCCTACATCATCTGTACCATCACATAAGCAATCACACTTCAGACTGTGGTAAAGTGCCATAGACAGCTTCTGGGGCAAATAATATCAGATCGGCATTGGCTGTTGATAACCGAGCTAGTAAACATTAATACCCAGGTATAGGTTGCTGGTTTAAAACATCCACCAAATGCAGTCCCTTAATACCAGGCTTTGGATCACAGAAGCAGGGTATACTGATGAATTTGAACGTGCTAGAAGCATGCCGCAGATCATTGTGTGGTTCCAAATCCTTATGATCTTAGGAACCCATGGATCAAGACCTTTAGGCCACAATGGCCGGCCATACTATTCTGGGCGACCGGCGCCACTACTTAGACGGGCACCTGCCCTTTCACCTGGTGATTCCTCCTTCCTTCTTTCATACAGCATATTTCATACGTTCAATATACGTCGTGGAAAGGTGCTCGAAAAGTAAACGTGTTCTAGACAGTTGCAGGAGGCTGTCTATCCAAGTGTATCGTACCCGAGACACAACATATTTTTTCACCTTCCCCCTACTTACCGAGTACCGGAGGAAGCATACTGCTTATTTTATTTTATTTTTTCTCTTTATTTTGCTTTTGGCATTTTCCCTTTGCTATTCCTATGACTGATCACCCAAACACCAGTCACAAGCAACGTGGCCAGGCTAGCCACCACCGCTTGCGCCCAACAGCAACTGTCCCTGAAGCCCAAGTACCGGACACTGAGGAGCTCGAATCATTCATTTTCCCACTCAACGATGAGGTACCTGCGGCTGAGAAGGTCCATAAGATGAATTTGGCTTTAGGCCAGATGGCTGGAGACATGCAGCGTACGGCAGATAGGGTTGATGAACACTCTCGAGCATTGACCAACTGGCGCCGTAAGACTGGCGAGGACCTCGACGACCTTGAAAACAGCATTAAGAAACTCGCGACGACATCAAGGGAGCACATGATGGCCCTAGAAGAGCAGACTGGTATGAACACCACTGAGATTCAGGCGCTGAATGTCGAGTCTGCTAAGACCACTGCGAATATTGCACAGCTTACTCACCGCATCAGCGATATGCAGCAGATGCTAGCAACAAACTCTAGCCAGATATCGCAGCTAGTGACTCAAGTGTCATTGCTTGTGGAGCGTACGGCAAGAGCGGAGAGCGAGGTAGGCCATGTCAGGGATACCATGGATGGAGCGATACGAGTAGTGACCGACGCCACCCACCAGCAAATTACGGAGGCACTGGATGACTTTCGCAGAGATGCTAAGCCCAATGAGGTCGACAATAACACTAAGCCTCCGGACATTACAGAGACCCGTACGCACATTGTGGATGAAACTGCCCCTACCCCACCCAGTCCACTAGCGGCAGCACGCCCAGCAACCTACCGCAACGGCAACCGAGGACAGTCCGATGATGTCCGTAACTACAAGCACGATGCTGC